AATGGTATATTTTTACGATTGGAAATAATGATTTGTCGTCTATATAACTCCTTAACTTTCACGAATCTACGTCCCCGCGTACACGCGTCGACTCGTTCATTTCTATTCCTCAAAAGATACATCTCGCTCTCTCATATGTCGTTATTACAACGCACACTCCTTCGCGCGTTAATGACTCTTATACTGCACTACAACGTACGAAAAGTCGCATGCTAAACGACGCAGCTCATGCGATACGCCAATTTTTCTCTCTCTTTCTCTTTCCATTTTCTGTGTTGTACACGTGTATTCATACGCGTTATACATACAGCACATGTATAACACATAATGCGCAACCGTAACGAGTCCGTAAATAACATTGTGTGTACGTATGTGTGTTCATTATGTATATTGTACTATACGACTAGGCAAAGCTCGACTCTCGACTAACGCCACTGTAGGATAATTATCGACCATACGCATGATGCACATACATATTCAAGAGCTTTATAACGCGCTTACAACGCATAGAAGGATCCATCTCTTTATTATTCAATATAGCTTAATAATTCCTTGTACCGTATCTCGCTCGCGCGCCCTGCTCTGCATCACACACACACGTGCGCTTACATTTATCTTCCATTCGTTTTTCGCGCGTAACGCGTAACGCGCGCACCACAACTCGCTTATTTCTTTATTATTTATCCATCCGTTTTTCTTAATCATAACGTATAGTAGGTAAGCCGAGGCTGAATTATTACGTTATTATTATATCAAGTCGACACCGTTGGCGTAATACGTTTTTCAATTTTTTCTTTAATCACTATATTCCGTGCGTATAAGAATTAATAATAATAATAACGAGCGACGATGATGGAGTGCTGCGTTACGAGGAAGCTCTTTGCGCTATAGTAAGTAACGAAATAGGATAACGTTTGTTTTTCGCATTTTAAGTGAATTAGTCCACAGCCAAGAGCAGCAGCAGCAGCTTATAGGCCACCACCACACGTGGTACGTGTATGAAAATGCTGTAAAAGAGATTACATACTTTGCGCGATACGTTGCACCCACGCATTGTGGATTATTTAAAGGGATGCGTCGTACCGATACCGCACCGTACCGCGCGTAAGTGCATTTGCATGTGTGCGTGCGCGTGCGCTAGCTGGCTGGCGGCAAGTTATATATATTACGATATATACATAATAATATGCACTCGCTCGCTCGAGCTATATATGTATACGTGGAAAGAGAGACGTATGTATGAAATGTGTGTGTGTGTTTGTGTGTGCTGCACCACCCGGAGCGGTTTTCCATTATAAGGGGATCGGCATTCCTCGAGCTCCGAGAGCTCTGCTGCGCGGTCTGCTGTCAGAGAAAGACCGAGAGAGAGAGAAGCGGCGCACCCATTCCATACACAGCCAGCACACATGTATACACACTCACACACACGCATTATGTAGTGCTTTGCAGAGCTCTCGTATGGCTCGCAGAAAAGCACATTCGCTTCTCTGTTTTCGTACACACACACACACACACACACACACACAGGCGTCGCCTTATCCATCGCGATATTATTATACATTATAATATGTGCTCTCCTCTTCGTTCGGTATCGTCTCTTCTTGATTCTCTTTTTTTTTCTTCCTCGAGTATTATTATATTTATAATATTACGGCCTCCCCGAAGATTCGCTCCGAAATTCTTCCTCACTCGGTGGTTTCTTCTCTTTTTTTATCCCTTCGTTGAGCTGCTTTGCGGCTTCGTGGGCTCGCCCGCGAGAGAGAGAGAGAGAGAGAGAGAGATGCATTGTACAGATAATACGTACGACGTGGATTTCGAGGGCCGAAAACTATAAGCGTGTATATCGTGTGGGCGAATTCAACAGGTGCCTCGACCAATATACCTAACACAAACACATGTATAATATTACCGATCCTATACCTGTGCGTTTTGAGCTAGCGAGCTTAATACGTCGCTGTGTCGCTCGACGATCGATCTGTACCGAACGAGTTCACGGATTTATATTTAACGTTATTCAAGTCGTGTTTGGCGTTTTTGAAATTCCAATTGAGCTACGGTACATTATAAGCTCGAGTCGCGAGCAATATCTACAGACGACGAATATTCATGAGTTTTTATCCTTGACTCCGGTATCTCGTGCGCGTAGATATGTAGACGTATATAGCGCGACCAAGAACACTGCGTGGATAAGCGTTTTATTTGATGATCGAGGCTGGGTTAATACGTAATTTTTCGAGTGGCAAAACAATGCATCATCGACCGCTTCGACAACGTACGAGACTAAACTCGAATTATCATATACGACGATATTATTTATATATATCTCATCCCATATACGCGCCTATGTGATTAATGAACGAATGTCTGATGATCGGCCGCCGAGTGGTCTTGAATCTCGAGTTACGAGGACGAAATGTCGCAAAATTTTTCCACGTCGCGTACTTGGAGCTAGAGTATGAGTACGTACACGCGAGGCGAATCGGCGTCGAAAATCGGCAAATCCCGAGTTTTATGCATAAAGTCGGGTGAGCTTATAAGTTTGAAGAAAAAAATTGAATTCACAGCTCGGTGTGTATGTGCGGGTGTTGTAATATAATAAACGGAGGTTAACTTGTGTGTGTGTGTGTGTTGCACACGCTGCAGATGCGCTTCAAGGGTTTTATCTCTCTTTCTTTCTCTTTCGCTGTCTTTTACGAGCGCTCCTTCGTGCCCTCGATGCTGTTGCTAAGACAGAGTTGGCAACTTCCGCCACGACTCGGCATATGACAACGTATTGTTTATAAATCAGCGTGCGTTAATGCTTCATAATTTGTTTTTTATTGCGCGCATGATGTAGGACGTATCCATGCTAATTGATGTACGATTCTCGTGATCACTTAGGAGACACCCGCAGGTAGATACGTATATAGTCAAAAACCGTTATGAACCATCGTATATTATTATAATTTCTCAACGAGACCGGAAGTACGCGAGTAGAAAAAATCGGCCGATTTTTCAGTACGTTTTTGCGCCGGTACCATAGTGTGATCACGTCTTGACAAAAATCATCTCTAGCTCGTTTCGATGGAATAATATATAATGAATCCACGTGAAACAGAAGAAGAAACTTCTGACGTACTCCATATATTAAAGCTCCAGTTCGGACTCGTTTACGCACGTCTACTACTATACACGAAACTTTTTGCTTTCTCTTCTCGTTTGTATATTGTATAGTACGCTTTATACAAACTCCTAAATGGACACTATACTCGAAAGAGCTGCCGAATGAGTTTCAGCCTCGTGCACACACGTGTGTGTGTATGTGTGTGCGTATTAAAAAAGTTGCTGTCTTATATACATGCGTGCGTTAATACACGTAGACGAGAATAGGAAAGTAGACCTGTGTATATATACAACGTATATAGGTATAGGTGTGCGTCTCCTCGGCTTCTCGAACCGTTACATTATAAAGCGCACACCGACACGTATATAATACAACTACGCGCAGACACATAAACATAGGCGACTATGCACACGGGCTATGAAGGAGGTGCTATGTGTTCAGAGCATGTATACCTGCAAAGATGGCATATTTATAAAGGCGTAATATAGAGTCAGTCGTTCTTTTGACTGCCAATATCATATAAAGTCTGTGTGTGTCTGTGCAAGCGAGATTTGCCGTATAATATCAAAACTAGTCCCCGCACCGTCGTGATTATTATTACATACACACGCACATCTGAAAACTGGTCAAAAGTGGGCTATGCACGCGCGATATTACGACGAGGCTCGGCAGCTCCTTTTTTTGTGCTTCTGCTGTTGTGTTCATTCATTTCCACCGTCTCTCTCTCTCTCCCGGTCTTTCAATATCCAGTTTAGCAAGCTCATTACTATCCTATATTAAGTGACACCCGAGGACTACGACGACGACGGCGGCGACATTTTGTCTTTTCTTCTTTATTTTTTGCGCCGCGCATAATATTTTCAATGTATTTACGTTACATTATATGCGTTGTATATACAGTATCGTATAATACCGATCATCATCGCCGTCTTTACCGAGAATCAGGCGGCGGCGGAGTCGAGTAAATAGACTTTCGGTATGTGTCGGGGCGTAAATTTGCCAATGTTTATAATGGCATAGATACACGTTTATTATATATAGGTACGCATTCCAGTTATGTTCGTTTATGCGTGCCTACACGCGTGTGCTCTACCTATTTGTAACTAATTGAAAAGTCCAAGCATAATTTTGTCGTTATAATACTATTAGCACGAAATTCGCGAAACTATCCGGAATCGTTTCTTCCGGCACGCCAACACCTATTTTGAAATCGGAGTCGCAGTCTCATCATCGTCGTCGTCGTCATTAGGTAGAAAATTTTCGTAGAAAAGAGTTGTTAGCGAAGGCAAAGGACTCGCCGAGCCACTAGTAGAGATACGGACGGACAGGATAGGATATATAAAAATAGAACAGAGCTGCTGTTGCAGCAGCAGCATAGCAAGGACGAGCAAAGACGACGACGACTACGAGGCAAAGAGGGAACATAATCCACCTGTGTGTATGTTTGTGTGTATAAGCGCGAGACTATATACCTGCATAGCACACCGGTAGGCAGGCAAGATTGTTTGTCAGAGTGTTGGTGGTGGTGTGCGTTGGTGCTTCTCTCTGCTGCGCGCCGCGCGCTCGCTCGTTGTTGCATTCTTCGAGACACAAGACGCGCTATTATGTAGCAGCGGCAACAGCAGCGCCGAGTGCACACAAACGCACACACCAACACACATACATGTATATAGAAGAGAAGAAGAAGAGGCCTCCTCGCAGACTGCGGCGCGGAGAGAAAACGAGAGAATGAGCAACAGCGCAACAAGTGCCAAGACTGCTCCGTGTCTGTGTGCTGCGCGCGTTTCATACGTATACAAAAAAGGGTTAAAAGCGCGTCGCAGTCGCGGTGCAAAAAGGGAAGAAGGCGTGTAATCGTCCCCTTTTTCTTACTCTCATCCATCTGTCTGTCTCTTACCTGTATTTGATGACGTTTGACCTCAGTGAAGAGCCAATTGTCGGTGGAGAAGGCAATGGCCAGGAGCGCCGTGGCTATGATGCCGGTTATCGTGGCCAGAGAGAGCGTCACTGCTGAGCAAGGCATCTTGAAATAGCGGTTTCTTCGCCTCTACGTTCTAAACTTTAGATATTTGAAAAATAAACTCGGCGAATCTTTCGCTCGTTTCTATTTGGAAACTTTTGGAGGGTCGAATGAGATGCACTCTCTCGATCGGTGTTGTGATTTTTTAAATTTTTTGTATTATTTGGCACCTTTAGCACTTTGGATGAACGAGCTTACGAGCACCTGCTACTTTTTTATGATTATTACGATTATTAGCACAGCGGGGATCGGCTCGCATGGCAGCTCGTCCGCAAGCGACCGCACACGATTTTATTTAGAAAAAGAAATTATATTTTCTATGCATAAAACACACTCGCACAACTGCAGCTGCTATATATACTATATCACACAACTATATAGCTACAACTGCCACACATATACACGACCGCTGTTGTTTTTTTTTTGGTTATTCGAAATTTCGGAGTTTCGAAAACGGTACCAACAGTGTAGTAACGGGCGCGCGCGCTCTCCTCTCGCTGCTGCTCCTACTTGGGTAGTGCGTCTGTGTGCTCGCGCTACGTGTTTTATCGCGGGACTGAAGAGCGCTGCAGAGCGCGGAGCATAGCAGAGTCGTTGGCAGCCGCCGATATACGTAGCCGTAGCCGCCGCAGCCGCCGCCGAGCCGAAAGGATGACGAGAGTTCGCGTTGTGCACGAGTGTGCGTGTGTGGTATTCTATATACGTGTGTGGTAGTGCGATAGTGGTAGTGGTTGCCGCCGTCGACGGTTTCTCCGGTTGCGAGAGAGGCGCAAAAGAGCGGCCTCAGCAAGTTTTAATATGAGCGCAGCATAGCAGAGGGAAAGGGAGAAGGAGAGCGGGGTCTTATGTGTGTGTATGTGTTATAGTGTGTGTACACCGACTCTACTCGAGAGAGTTGAGACCGCAAAGAGAATATCCCGAGGAGAGTAGGGAGAGACGACGACGACGACGACGACGAGGCCTGGGCTTGCTGGCTGCGGCATGCAGTGCACCGATCGAGTCAGCAACAGCAGCCCATGCCTCTTGTGCTGTAGTGCACGAGTATGGTATGCGTCCTCGAGTTCAGGTATTATGATTACAGCTATATAGTCTATATGTGCTATATGGGGGACCATTTGCTGCTGCTGCTACTCTCCTGCAGCGCGAGAAGGGAGAGGAGAGAGAGAGAGAGAGAGCAAAAGAGTACTACTACCTGCACGACTCGGGTTTACGTTGTATACAGCATAGACTCCGGATTGTGCTGCTGCTGCTGCTGCTACTGCATACACAGCTTTACTTGGCGAACTATATCGCATAACGCATTGTTTCGTCTTTCGAGCACTTAACCCTTTTTTCTTCTCCTGCCGATGTTTTTTTTTTTATTATTGTTATTATTCTATACGTAACGTTATATAGGTAGCGGGTAATGTAGGTATGTGTGCTTTATCGGACGCGACCGTTTCGAGATCGGCACTGCTCCTACTATACTCCACTATGCTACTGCTCTATCGATCATCGGTTTTTCAAGAACTATTATTAATGCTTTTCTTTTCTTTTTCTCGATAAATAATGCCCATTATTACGTATCATGGAAGCGTGATGCAATTCTCGTTGCGCGTGTCACGCGTGCCATAGGGGGTCAGTTATCTGTCCACAGCTCTATTTTTTTTTCATTTTCGCTTAGTCGTAGTTTTGAAAGACCCGCAGCAACGATTATAACGTCGAGGAATTTCATTCAAATTACGGGTATTTAGATACGGCGAAAAGTATATCATGGTTATTCGGTATTTTAAGGTATGCGATTGATATACACATGCAAAACTCCGTGTGGCAAGTATGTACAGTCGCGATTGCCCCACGACTGCGCGCGGCGCGACACGACCGCATGTTGTGCTGCAGCAGCTTAGTAGTAGCACGTGTTCATTTAGCGGCACTGCAGCACCGTGGGCACGACGAGGCAGGCACGAAAAAAATCACAAATTTGTCGCGTGAAAATTATACTCGACGCGAGATATGCCATGGCACTTATGAATTGCGAGTTTGGTTGCTCTGCAAACTATGTATAAATATGTGCAGTGTGTTTTTGTCGTGTAATTACCCGCGTAAAAAAATTTAGGTTTCGCGGAACTTTTTTTAAGTTTGGCGATTTTGCCGAATTTATATGAACTTCATATGAACTTTGGCCCGTGAGACTCTGCCAAACTTACGTTTTCATGGACTCATTGATTGTGCAAGTTTGGCGAAAGTTTCGCATAAGTTTTGCGAGACATTCCGTAAAACTCATATAAACTTTGTAGAAACCTTGGCCCAAACGACTCACCAAACTAACATCTTCGTAGAGCCATTGATAGCAAAAGTTTCGCGAAACTTAATGTACATTTTGCGTAAATTTCTGCATTCCGCACAGTTAATATACACTTCGTACGAACTTTCGTTCATACAACTCGCTAAACTTTGCTTTTTGTAACTTGGAACTTTTTTCCAAGAAATCAAAAAAAAGTTCGTCTCGATACGATGAATATAGACAAAGATAGATAGAAGCATTTGAAAATTGACAACATTTTGATGAAACTTTTTTTTCAATACTTTTGTTGAGTAGTGTAGCATGTCCCGAACAAAAATTGTTTATATGAAAAATCGTAAATATTTATAAAAAACTAAAAAATTACTATAAATTACAATTAATGAATGTCTGATTTGGCTTTTTATTGGTTTTCAGCTTCAATAATAACTTTTTCATAAATATCTTATTTTTGTGTCCGACGTAAATTACGCACATGGCTCAATTGGTACCGTTCACGACTCCCACTCTCAAGGAACCAGGTTCAAATCCTACCCGCGGACTCTCTCAAAAAAATCTTTAACACAAAAAAATCTTTTAAATGCCTGCGAAGTTTTAATCGATTATCTAATTCTTCATTAAGCCTACACTGGAAGCTAAGAAATGAATAATTTTTTTTATTATTCATTAATGCTTGAAATGAAAATTAAACTTTCGCGAAACTATCGCGAAAGTTTCGCCAAACTTGCACTACTAGAAGTCACCGAAATCAAAGTTTGGCGAGTCTCATGGCCCAAAGTTCATATGAAGTTTAGATCAACTTGCGGATTTTAAGTTTCGCAAAAGTTTCGCGAAACGTGAATTTTTTTTACGCGGGTATGTCTCCGTATGTATGTTTAAATGGTATAAAATTGCGCGCTTGCCAAAGTTGTCGTATTTATGCTTTTCTCGTTACCACATGTTCTTTTTTGCACCTTTATACCTCGTTTAAATTTATCTCTCTTTCTCCCTCACTCTTTGTCTCTATAAAAAACATTTTGATTATGATATTTAAATTTAGATTGATTCAAACAGACTCTTTCTTTTCAAAAAGAATTTCTTGAATTTTTTATACTTGCAAGTCAGTTCTTTTTACATGTCATGAGATGACAAATAACATCATACATAAAAATTGTCAAATCAATCTCTTGAACAAATTAATAAATCATACTTCGTAATTTTGTACACGATTGAACATTAATTTTTTTACATTTATTAGGTTATAATGCGTGAGCGATGTGCCATATTGACGTGAGCTTTGAGACTGAACTTGTGAGCGAACACCTTTCCGCAAACATCACATGTATGTTTAGTAGCATTATGAACTTTATCAATGTGTTTTTTTAGATACCTCTTACATGAGAATTTCTTTTCACACACATCACATACATGTTTGACACCTTTGTGCACTGTATCAATATGAGTTTTTAGAACACTCTTGTACGAAAATTTCATTTCACACACATCACATACATGTTTAGTACCTATATGCAGCGTATCGACGTGGGTCTTGAGACTACTTTTTTGTGTGAATGTCTTTCCACATACGTTACATGCATGTTTGACACCTTTGTGTTTTGTATCGATGTGGGTTTTGAGATGGCTCTTTTGTTTGAATGACTTTCCACATGTATCACATACATATTTCACACCTTTGTGCACCATATCAATGTGTTCATTGAGATTTTTCTTATATGAGAATTTCTCTTCACACGCATAACATGCATGTTTAGTACCTATATGCACCGTATCGACGTGGGTCTTGAGACTACTTTTTTGTGTGAATGTCTTTCCACATACGTTACATGCATGTTTGACACCTTTGTGCACCGAATCGATGTGGATTTTGAGACTGCTTTTTAGTGTGAATGTCTTTTCACACAAATCACATGCATGTTTAGTACCCATATGCACCGTATCGATGTGAGTCTTGAGACTACCCGTCCGTGTGAATGTCTTACCGCAAATACCACACGTCGTATCTATGTGAGTTTTGCATTTATGTTTATGACCAAACTCATTGGATAAATTTCTTTTTTCATTCTGTTCGCTGAGTTCAGAGTCAAAATGTAATTTGAGTGCCTCGTCGTTAAAAAACTCTTTTTTAACAATCCCTTCAGTTTCCACTTTGATTTTATTTTGAGTTTCATAATTGTAGCCACTCTTCATATCCTGCCATTGGCTTTGCGAATATTCGTCAATTTTTTTGAGTACCAAGTTAGGTTTTACCCATTCACACTCAAATTCGATTTTCACGTCATTATTAAGTACACTTTCATGATTTCCGACACATTTCTGAAGGATAGGTGTCTGTAACAACATAAAAAGTGCGTTTAAAATTTTTCATGAATCACAATTGTAATATCTGTTACGCATAACAATAAATTCTTACTGGATTATCTTGAAAAAATTTGGAAAATTGAAAAGTTTTGAAATCCGGTGTCTTGTCAATTATTTCATCATTATTTTCAGTTAGCGACGAATCGCAAGATTCCTCCTTCACTCTGTAATAATTTCAACCCGATTAGGTATTATGTAATAATATTTTACATACTTAAATTGTCATAAAGTAGAAATTACTTGACAGCGCAATTCAATGTAGTAATTGGTTCCATTTTCCTCACTTAGAACGTGGTTAACGACTGATCTTCCGCAACGATGTTACAGATGAAACTAGTCAATTCAAATTTGATAATGTTTACAAATCATGACGAGTGTAAACAAATCAACACTAAATCATCGTATATTATTCAAAGAACTATATTTTTGATTCTGGCAATAAACTACAAAGATTTTTCTATAAATTATATTTTATCAAAAGTAAAACTTAAACATTTTGAAAAATGATCTTAAGAAAAAGCAGAGTTTGCGTTTTAACATCTACGATGATGAAAAAAAGATGTTTTAATAATTGAACGCTCGCAATGAAGTTAAGTATAAAGGTCATTTAATTTTAAGCGCATTTTAGTTTTCTCGGAGAAAAACGATTATTCGTGCACGCGTCTCGCGCGAGGACTTTTGACGCGCATTATACGTACAGTAGCTCCGATTAGCCAACGTATAAATGTTATTCCCAACGAGACACAACACGAGATTGAGAGCAAAAAAGATGAGCCGTTGTTTGCGCTTATAAAAAAGGGAAAAACCTACGTATTTTTTGGTAGCATCTTGGCCTGAGAATGTCATCGACCAATTCGATTCGCGAAGCAGATGCGTGGCACGCTTGCATCGTAATATCGATTTTTTTCTAACAAAAATTGCTGCTCTAGTACAAGAATATGATATGTATTATTCTAAATCGTTTCGCAAAAGGACTTTAGTTAATAAGGGAAAAGTACGAGAGTTTGATGCACGGTGAGCTTCACTAATTGATGAGAATGTTTATGAATTATACAGTGCACAGTTTATACCTACACCACTCCGAAATTTTGCTACACGATGGTAGTGAGGGCGACAAATTTTAAAATGAATATTAAAATAATTCAATATTATATATGTGTGTAAAAATCTATTTACTCGATGTTTTTTGTGTGAACTCAATATTACCTGTCGAGAGTTTTTTTGAAAGTATTTAGATTTAGAAGGTTATACAATTCCTGAGAGAAATCTTTACCTTATTAGAAATTTCAATTTGTTCAAATTTTATAAGGATAATCTATGAACGGATAAGAAAATATTTTTTTCTTATAACTTATTTAAAAAAATATTTTTTATACTTTGCCGGCTAGGTGCTACCGCACCTCTTAATAAATCGGGTACCTTAATAGTAAACAATATGATCATAAATGATTTTCACATCGTCGCTAGACACATTTATCAAGGCTGTAGTGAAAATAAATTAGTTTAAATGTTGTCTTTCCCCAAGAAACAAGCCATAATACTAACAGATAAATTTTACTTATTCGATTTCCGGGACACTAAATACAAGGATAAATAATTTATTTCTAGCTCCAAAATGGATAAAAGTAAGAAAAAATCTGAGGATATGGCCTCAAATGACAATTTAAGTGAAAACAACATGGTTGTTTCAGACGACCCAAAATGTATTTGTGATATTTGTCAGGAAGCATTTACACTAGAATCAAGTATGTTATCACATCGAAACACAATTCATAATGAACAAAAAGATTACTCGTGCGACGAGTGCGAGAAGAAATTTAAGTTTCGAAGTCATTTGAGTAGACACCAAATATCAGAACACAAAGGCTGCAAAGATTTTTCGTGTGACATATGCGAAAAGAAATTTGTGAAAAAATCGAGTTTGTTTTCGCACCAAAAATTAGTACACAAAGATCGCGAAGATTTCATATGCGACAAGTGCGAGAGGAAATTTGAAAATAAATCAAGTTTACTCAAACACAACAAAATATTCCATGAAGTATTCAAAAAGTATTTGTGTGAACTATGCGCGAAAAGATTTGATACTAAACATAGATTGCTTTTACACATAAAGAGAGTACATGACGATCGTAAAGATTCCACTTGTGATAGTCTTGAGCAGACTGTTGGAAAAAAATCAGAAGACTTCAAAGATGACTTCTGTAAAAATTGCGGGAAGAAATTTAGAAATAAACGGAATTTGCTCTTGCATGTAACAAGAGTCCATGACGGTCGCAAAGATTTTGCATGCGACCAGTGCGAAAAGAAATTTACACGAAAATCGCATTTGCTCTTACACCTGAGAACAGTCCATCAGGGTCGAAAAGATTTCGCATGCCACAAGTGTGAGAAGAAATTCGGACAAAAAACGCATTTGATTAGGCACCAAAAGACAGTTCACGAAGGTTGCAAAGATTTTGCATGCGACAAATGCGAGAAGAAATTTACACGAAAATCAGATATGTTAAATCATCAAAGGGCAGTACATGAAGGTCGCAGAGATTTTGCTTGCGACAAATGCAAGAAGAAATTTGGAGATCGAAGAAATTTTATTAGACACCAAAAAATAGTACACGACGGTCGCAGAGATTTCACATGTGACATGTGCGAGAAGAAATTCGGACAAAAATCTAATTTATTCTTACACATAAAGACAGTACACGAGGGTCACAAGGATTATGCATGCGACTATTGCCAAAAGAAATTCGGACGAAAACGTAATTTACTCTTGCACATTAAAACAGCCCATGAAGGTCGGAAAGATTTCACATGTGACAATTGTGAGGAAAAATTTGGATGCAAATCAAATTTGTTGGAGCACCAAAGGATAGTACACGATGGTTGCAAAGATCTCACCTTCAAAGTCTTCAAAGATTATTTCTGTGAAAATTGCGGTAAGAAATTTAGAAATAAACAGAATTTACTCTTTCATATAACAATAGTCCATGATGGTCGTAAAGATTACGCATGTGACAAGTGCGAGAAGAAATTTGGACAAAAATCAGATTTGTTGAATCACCAAAAAACAGTACATGAAGGTCGCAAAGATTTCGCGTGCGACAAGTGCGAAAAGAAATTTGGAAGAAATTCGCGTTTGATTGAGCATCAAAAAGCAGTCCACGAAGGTCGCAAAGATTTTACATGCCACTATTGCGAGAAGAAATTTGGATTCAAATCACAGTTGCTCGACCATCAAAGGATAGTACACGAAGGTCGTAAAGATTTTGCATACGAAAGAGAGAAAATTCGGACAAAAAACTAACTTAATTAGACACCAACAGACAGTCCACCAGGGTTGTTAAGATTACGTATGCAATAAATGCGAGAAGAAATTTGGACGAAAATGGTCTTTATCTTTGTACCAAAGATGCCACCATGACACGAGAAAAAAACATGATCGACAATTGTAAATGCGTACGTTTTTCTAAAATTTCAATAAAAATTGCTTTCTACACGTGTCTTTGAAATTAGTAAAAGATATCATAATGGTTTTTTTCACTTCTTAGTACTTTTATCAATTCAAAATCTTATATCAATGCTTTTCAAATTACGTGAGCAATAATTTAACATTTACGTGAGTGCGGCACATTTTTTAATCCACCACTAACAATGTGCGTATGTATACAAGCAAACAAATGTATGCATACAAACGCGTATACGCGTTTCAAGTCGATATCAACATTTTTGACCTCTAATGAGACCTTTAATGTAAATATGAGAATTATTTCATGGATTATGATCTTTTTTTTTAATTATCTATGTAGTCATTGGTCCAGGCTCTAGCAAGCTGGTGGCAACTCATTGTAACACTTTATCGCCCAATACTGATGAATTTTGTGCCCCAAGACTGTAGCGCGTAGTGGAAGTTGTGTGATCTTATTATGTGTTTTTGATGCACTATCGATAAATTCAAGTTGGAATACACTGCACTGCCTCAAAAACGATCTCCACATAAACGTATGTCTTATTCCCAGCAGTTTATCGCAAGACATCATTTATCGAGTTTACGAAACGCCTATGCAAGTTTCCTATACTAGATCGTTCAATGTTGAATGTAGTTCCCAATGATGACCATCTTTCGAAACTTTATCACCACAGATTTATACTAGATTTTTTGTGAATTTCTGCATTTATAAAGTTGTTAACCCAAATTTATTATGTAAAAGTTTTTCTTTCTTTAAGAATACGACTCCGGGTTAACACCAATAACTTTGAGTAGTTTACTTTCGACTGCAAACAATGGTCTCAACTTACAAGGAGACTACACCAGATACGGGTGAACAATTCTTACCAAAATTTTCAAAAGTTTTTGAAATGAATGTATTGCGATTAGTCGTTTCTAATGCATTTAACGCGAGTTTTCAAATTCTTAATAAGGTGATTGAGTATGATTTGTGCGTGCACAGTGTGTAGGAAGTTTCTAGTTATTCTATTCAAAATTTTCATAGAGTTGATAAGATTATCCCTTGAGAAACTGGACTGTTGGCCGAGTGGCTCGAATAAATTTTTATGGCACAAAAGTTTTGGCTATTGACTCTTAGTGCAATGAGATCAGACACAAAGGCTCTTCACGGCAGGTTCACCAAAATAAAAATGTTGAATTGTCTAGCTTGAAAAAATTGGCCTATAAGTGAAGTTCGTGCCTTGCATCAGAGCGTGAAAAAATCGAAAAGTTTTTTTTAGACGTTGGGCACTGAATTCTTTCTTACAGCTGACGTGCTATCTATCATCTGCCGATTCTCCGCTGTGAAATAATCTTCGAACGGTTGATAAATGACGAATTATATCGTATGTACTTGGCAGCTACAGGCCAAAGCTCATGATGTCGATAACTATATTTGCAGTAATTTTGAATGTCTCGTATTATTTAATTTTGCATAGTTTCCATGTCATTTAAATGAAAAGAAAATTTTTTTCTCAAATTCGAGTCGAGCACTCGCATTTAAAGGTACCCGATATTTTTGTGAAAAGTCGAGTTTTTATAGTAGCTTGATCTAATGACTCTCACAGTCAGAGTCACTTAATTCGGTAACGATTAAAAATCATAAATTCAGCGAAGATTAAGTAGGGTCGTTATTCTATCCCGAGCCGTATGCTACTGTTATTATTGCCGCATATCTCGTACACGAGCGACCCCCACTGCGCTGGACTTTTGCTTTTTATAATTGTTACCGAATATTGAACGACTCTCTTTTCTAAAGTCAGTTAACATCACGACGCCGCAGCGCGAACAACGAAAAAATATCGCAGCTTCTTCTGCAGCAAGTGATTTTTTTTGTAAAAAAAGTTTAAAAATATCTTAATTTGTAAGCGATAGTATTTCTGCGTGTGTGTGCGTGTGTGTGTGCGCATCATAATGTCTACGTCCGACGACGAATTCGATATAATTTTGGAAAACCTAATAAAAGTAGATGACATTAGGTCCTATCGACAAGATTTCGATTGGGAGATCGAAGAAGAGCGGCATGAATTTTTCTGTCAAAAACTTGACCCTTCGATCAGGGATTGGAAGGGACAATACCCAGATCTTCGTGAAATTTTTCGGCCCGAAGAGATCGAGCGTCTTCTTACGGATTCAATAAATTATATAAAACGAGGTTATTTTGAACTAGGAAAACGATTCATCGGGTTCGTAGCTCACAGTTGCTACAAGGACGTAGTCTCAGTTGACGAAGACTTCAAACCATCGCCGCGTCGCACTACTCCAGTGCACCATGCATCTAGAATCTTGCTCCCAATAATGAATATCGTGGTTTACGAGCTTTTTGAAATATACGACAGATTCGACGTGAACTACATCGACGAGTACGGACTGTCGCATTTCCACATAGCCTGCCAGTTTGGCTGCGAGGACGCGGTCCAGAAGTTCCTCGAACTCGGCCAGGTTGATCCCAATCTTCTCGTGCCAAAGTCGATCGATCCGCCGCTGCATTTGGCTCTCGCCGGCGGCCACAAGCAGGTGGCCGCGTTGCTGCTGAGACACGGCGCGAACCCGAATTTAGCCAATGCGGCGGGATCGACTGCGCTGCACGTGATTTGTTTGAGCAGCGACGACGACGACTTGGCGAAGATGTTGTTCGAGCTCAGCGATGAAAAATATCTGCCGGTGCGAGTCGATGCCTGGAGCAAGTTCGGTAACGCGCCGTTGCACCTGGCATTGCAATCCGGTAAAAAGAAGCTGGCCGAATTACTGCTGAGGAGAAACGCCGATCCGAATTTGGCTAGCAAGGACGGATCGACTCCCCTGCATCTCATTTGCGAGAGAAAATATAACGACGACGTGGCAGAGCTATTCTTCGAGATCAGCGACGAAAAACATCGGTCGGTGTGGGTCGACGCCCGCGACAAGAACGGCTGGACACCGCTGCAACTGGCAGTGGCGAATCTTTTGCCGAAAACTGTCAATGTACTCTTGAATCACGGCGCCGATCTGTCAGGCTTTGTTTTCCCGCACGAGGGTTACTTTGTCGAGGGACTGAAAGTGCAGGGTGCTGAAAACCAGTCTAATTTTAAATTGAAACTAGCATCTAGCTCTATGATCATTGTTGAACATCTCGAGAAAAAAGGATACGAATTGAACGAGAGCGACGCCCTGACGATAATGAAATTTTTCGCCAAATACGGATTGTTCGAGAAGTCGGTGAATCCCGTTCAACGTTGGCGTCAAAACAAATTTGGTTACGAAGACAAAGAGATGAAAAAGTTAATAATAATTCCAGACCTGTCGCTCTACGACTTGGTCCGGTTGAAACCCGAAGAGGCGGCAAAACGTCTCACATTTACGGACTACTACGAGTTCGCCCGCTCGCAACCGATCATTCCGCGACACAATGGCAAGGATTCTGGTGTGCATCTGGTCGAAAAACTATCGAGAGGTTTTTTTCGGCATTGGGCATTGGAATTTTTCGCGCAGTTGACGCACTACGAGCTACCGATTGTTTGCTGTAAAAAGATCTTCGATCGGCTAATGAACGAAGATTTGTGGCATATATGCTTGGCGGCTACAGACCAAAGCTCGCGATAGCGATATGCATATTTGTAGCATTTTATACATATCATTATGTACATATTATTACATAGATTTTTCTTGTTATTCAAATAAATACTTAAAAGGAAAAAATGGTTTTGATTCTCCTATAAATGATACGCACACGATCATCGAAATAAATAATCTCATATTGTGCATGCATTTACACGTCATTTCGACTATAAAAATGGTACACTTTTAATGGAGATTAATTCAGTTTCAAACAGATGCATCGCGTGAGTCGATGAATTAATATGTTACATTGACACAGTCACGAGATAATTTAATTTTACTCTTCGTAATCGATCTTTCGGTGTCAACGAGAAATCACAGTCGTAACAAGTGCGCGCATAAAAATGAATGAATGAACGATCAAGATTCCGAGGGGAAAAGCAAAAAAAAACGGAGCAAAAGTTCGAGTGACTCATTTGTAATCCCTTCCCTTTTCTGCCTATTATTACGCGGTAGAAGTTGTCGTCGTCGTCGTTGCCGATATAACGAGAGATAAACGTGAGTTCGCAACAAAGAAACACACATTGTAAGGTATACACCAACGACGGAATCGCTCCTTTTTTTCCCCTCTCGCAAACTGCGCCAATTTAAGCGATTATATGCAATTATTTTTATATGTATTATATACCGATCGAAACCTCGGCATCGCGAATTTTCCAAGGCCCGTAAATTTTCTTGTTTTTTTTTTATCATCGCACGATGTCTTTATTATAAAGTAACAACACGAGCTGAGAGACGTCGCGTCAATCGAATGCAATTTCGCGCACCGGAATTCGAGAGAAACAGAGAGATAAGTATATTTAAACAATATAAAATTATAAACGTTTCGAGGCAATTGTGTGTGTGCACCGAATCGCGCGATGACGAACCTCACCTATACTTGCACACTCGAATTTATATAAAATCATCGCGTCGAATGCGTCGATGTCTCTCTTTCTCTACAGATGTGTATATCATAAGTACACCTCTATATATAAACGCTTGCACACAATCGCTCGTATATATATTCGCGAAATATGTATATATTAAGGCGCTACTACGCGCAGCAATGCCGAGGACGACTACTTTGGAGTTCGCTCGCTCGCCGCATGCTCCGTATATATATATACCGCGCGAGATAAGGAAAAGAATATTATTTCGAGCGAGACAGATAGATACACACGCACTCACACACACACGCGTTTAGAAAAATAATGTATCGGTGTTTATCACACACGACAGTCATGTGTGTGTATATCGCTACTATACATATGCTCGCGGCGCGCAGAAACACACGAGCTCACTCGATCGCTGCTCGCAGCAGAGAGCCACCGCACACATAGATTCGTCACGCTGTACGTTCGTATATATATATAAAGTGTATCGGTGTGTATAAACGCGGGGCGCGCGCGCGTAATCACTACCGGTATATATAGATTCGCATACTTGTGCGCGCACACACACACACTAATACACACGACACACTTGAACATTTATTCGTATATGGATAGTACGTGATATATATCCTATGTACGACACACACGACGACGACGACGATCGGCGACGACCACGACGTCGAGAGAGCCGCGGCGACAAATAATTTAATCAGTTTTGTGCCGAGTTTTCGTGCGAGCGCAGCCGATTCTTCTTCTGCGTATCTTTTATTTCTTTCTTTTTTTGTTATTATTGTATTCGCACACGCGCGCGCCCGAGCGCGAACGATCTCGTTCGTCGCGACCTGTAGCACTTCTCTCTGCCTCTATCAAGGAGGAGAAGGAGATTTTTTTCTGCAGTTTTACTCTTCCATTCCTTTATTGCTCCGTCTTTCTCTCTCTCTCTCTCGCGCGCAAGCACACGACTCTTGTTTTGTTTTGTATAAGTGTGTATCTTATTATCATTGTGCGGCCGCAGCAACACGATCATCGCGCACGAAAGAGCCGAGAAAACACAACTCGACCAGTTGTCCGTATAAAAGCGTTCATGTGTTATTATTATAAATTTTTACGACAAAAAACATGTCACCGGAATTGACTTCTGATTCCAACGACGAGGGCTCGAGAATATACTGTGAGTATTGATATATAAATTTCGTCGATACCACGTGTGCCGTTAAAAAAAATTAATCGCCGTCCATGCGCGTGCACATGTATAACAGTCTTCGCCGACAGCAACGACGACGACGACAACAACCGCAACAACGCCATAACGGGCCAGCAGCAGCCGTTTCTGCAGCACCATGCTCGCACGCCGCCGAGAACGCCGACGTTCACGAGCCCCGGCACGGCCGACCGAAGCCACGTGAGGGTCTACCTGGCCAACGATCACGACTCGTCGCTGCGAGCCAATCAATATCATCATCAGAGCCTGCAGGAGCGAGCCTCGTGGAGGCGCAAGAGCAGGTGTCGGCGCGCCTGCTGCAACAAGACCTGCTGCTGGGCCTCGCTGGCCATTATCCTGCCGAGCTTGGTCGCCGCCTGCTACTTCGGCTATTATTACGCCGCCAAGTATCACTTCAATGTTAACAATGGCGGTAATGCTGCAGTCGGGAGTAATGGAAATGCAGCGGTTTGGGATCCGAGCAGTAGTAGCAGTTCCACGACGACGACTACGACGACGACCGGTGAGAGAGAATATAATATAATAATTTTTTGCCAAATATTTTTTTTTACTGCTGCTCGAAATAAGAGAATGTCCTCCTATACGATGTATAAGGCATAGAGTCGACTTATCAATGCCTCTTCGGGCCGCTCTCGAGTCTTTTGCCAGAGATAAGAGAGCTCGTAAAATGACGCTGCCGATCGATAAGCCGCGCTATAATACTACTGCTGTGCCAAAGCTCCATTTCTGTACATACCTTGCTTTATTCCGAATAATTTCTTTTTCTTTCTTATTTTTTTATGTACACTCGACAAATTTGACCAAGTTTGAATCACGTTCAATTGCCCCTGATATATGTTGAATCACTGCCTATAGCTTAAGCTGAGTAACGATCTCAACTCTCTTGTCATGCGTATAATATACGCGTGTTCGTCATTCAATAAATTAGCAGCAAATAATAAAATATATATGGGTAAATTTTGTCTTGACAGAGATACCGATAAAGGTCAAGGAGACGATACAGGGCTCGAGTTTGCTCGTGATCCAGAGCGAGCGCGACAGCCTCTGGACGTATCATCCGGAGCGCAACCAGTTCAGCCAGCTGCTCGCCACCCCGGCCGACTGTCGGCTGCACAGCTTCGACGTGTATCGCGACCGCACGACCTTCTGGACGGGCAGCTGCGACCCGGCCCGCATCAATAGCGTTTCGGCCGACGAGGATCGCATCGGCATCCAGCACACCAGCAAGCTCAACGCCAGCAGTCTGGCGGTGGACCACGTGACGGGCAACATCTACCTGGTGGATCGCCACCTCGGCACGCTGAGCGTCATGGACCAGGCGGGCCGCTATCACGCCCTGCTGCTGTCGGAGCTCGCTGAGCCGCGCTACCTCGAGCTCGACCCGGAGTCCGGGGTGCTGTTCGTGCTGCAGTCGCCCTCGAAAGCCTCGCGAGCGCAGCTGCCCGACGACGTGGCCGCGGAATTTCTGCGCGGACAGTCGGAGATACTGCGAGCCGACATGGACGGCGCCGATGCCCGAGTGATCGTGGCCAACGCGCCCATCTCGGCGCTGGCCGTCGACGTCGAGTACAAGAATCTCTTCTGGTCGGTCGACTTCGATCACGTGTTCCGCACGGACTACGAGGGCGACCAGCGCACCCGCGTCATACCGCTGGCGAGGCGAGTCATCAGCATGGCCGTGCTCGAGGACACCTTATACAGCAGCGAGGTGGCCAACGTGGCCAATCCCGTGCACGATCAGCCCGTCTCCAACGTGCTGAGATCCTGTCAGCTGGCCAAGGAGAACACCTGCATGCACCTGACGAGCCACGAGCAGCTGCCGTTCCGCGATCCGGGCCCGCTGCGTACCTGGGGTGGGCGTCGGCGCACTCGCTGGAATCCCTGCGCCGGCCGGACCAACGGCGGCTGCGAGCAGCTCTGCCTCAAAGCCCTGGACGCCTCGAGGACCTGTCGCTGCGCCATCGGCTGGCGCCTGGCCGAGGACGGCCGTGGCTGCGTGCGCGGCGACCTCGGGCCCCAGCTGGTCTATCTGCAGGGCGGCTACGTGCGCGCCAAGACGATCGATCCTGCCAGGAAGCAGTTTACCGATTTCATCTGGCCGACGAGTTACGCCGATTACGTGGCTATGGACGGCGAAGACCGAGAGGCTCCCGCTATCACCGCGGTGAGCTTCGATTACGACCCGTCGACCCACGAGATCTTCATCAGCAACGGCCGCAGCGTCTACAAGATGAACGTGAGCCGCGACGAGCCGCCCAGCAAGATTTTCAGCTTGGACGACGTGGCGAACTACGTCATCAACGATCTGTCCGTGGACACCACGGAGAACCACCAGTTCTACTACATCAAGCACGCGCTGCATCGCGAGAGCGGCCACAACGACAGCATCGCCCGAGTCGACACTCTCAATTACAACGAGTCGCACTTCCTCACGATACCGTTCCATCCGGCCGAGCGACTGCTGCGCACGCGGCCCTACTCGCTGGTGCTCGATCTCAAGCACAGAAAGGCCTACTTCACCGCGGACAGGGACAATCAGAACAACGTCCATCGGGTCGATCTCTACGACGCCGCGCAGGTGGCCACCGTCACCTCCGATCTGCCCTACTACAATCCGGAGAAGATCGTCGCCATCGACTACCAGGCCAATCGACTCTACTACGTGGCTGATCGCTACGATCGCTGGATCGTCAATACCGATCTCAACGGGCGCGACGAGCGCCGGCTGCGCGTACCCATCGAGAGAGTGCGTAGTCTGTCGGTGCACGAGGACTGGCTGTACGTGGCCAACGCCACGGGCGTCTGGCAGCTGAACAAGACCCAGCCCGGGGACACGAACGCCACGAGCCTCGTCGCGCCCACGTTCGAGACCTACGCGGAGATCGTGGCCGCCCGAGTCTTTTACAATTGGACGTTCCCGCGCGTGCCCTACCTCTGGGGCTCGTCCGATTTTCTAGGAATCGCCTAGTTAGTTGTATGTATAGAGGAGGAGACGCGCGCGTCGCGATATATAAATAATGTATAAAGAAAAAAATTGTAAATACGGGAGAGAGAGAGAGAGTCTAGTCATTTTGTGAGATAGAGAGAGAGAGAGAAACTGTGAGCGTGCGCGACAAAACAAGGTGCTTAACCGTAGAGTATTTTTTTTTCCTTCTCTAACGTGGATGATTGACTGACCGATTCGTTACGATTGTACATATTCAGCGCACACATTTATCGTCATATTTCTTGTGATCGTACTAGTCATTTGTAATTATAAAATGTCGAGTGCCTCTGTGCGCGCTGCACGCACGCACGCGTTTGTACATAATATATAAAAGTGTGTTCCACGATCGATCTCAGACTGTTTATTATTATTACCTTTTTTTGTATGTAAATTACAAAATATTTTTTTTAGCTGCCAAATTTGTAAATAACATATCTCCATATGTGTAATTATTATTATTAAACGCACAATCGTTTGTATCATGAAAAACGAGAATCATAATTTTAAATCGTTTTGTTGTTTTTTACTGCTCCGAAGTTTGGATTATACCCTTTTTCTCTGCTGACCTGACACAACCTGATTTTGTATTTAACACTTGTTCACGGACGCCCGCGATCCCCAAGGTGTAGAGGAACAATAAATATTAAATATATTGTATGTGTGTAATCGCAGGTGGAGTAAGTAATTTTCGGCCTCGTTCTCTCAATTTTCCTCCGCGATTCGATCTCGTAATCCAATCTTTAGTGTTTTTTTTTGTATGAAACGCTTGTATGCGTTTGCTTTGAGAGACGAGATCGTATTTACGCATAGCTCGAGAGTCAAAAAAAAAAGAAAAGTCGTGGCCGTCGGGCGTGATCGAGTAAGGATAGCAAGGTTCGATATACAGCGATAACAATAATAATACCTTCTCCGAAGCTCTCTCGCTCGAGATCGAAAAAGGAAGGAATAGAGCAAAAACGTGTCAAAATGAAAGTTGCCGCAGCAACAGCCCTACCTTCTTATATATATAGTGAGAGAGATAATGAAGCGCGACGAATGGCCTGCTGTTCTGGATGTATTTTAAGCTTTCCCATCGAACGCGCGCCAGCGAGGATGAACCGAATGAAAGTTTTTTCTGTCTTTCTTTCTTGCAAAAGACAGCATGCGCTGCAGCGTAGACTGCACAGCATTGACTTTCGCCGAGCGACTCGAACTCTCGATCTCGTAATTCAAGTTCGCGCTCGCTCGAGGGGGCAGTATAGAGAGAAACGTACAAGACGAAGGAGAAGAAGACCAGCTGTTGCCGACGAAGCTTTTTTTCGTTTTTATTGAGGAAGTTGGCAGATTACCCCCTCAAGCTCCCAAAGGGAAAACTACTACCAGGGCCGCCGCGTTGGACTACACGATGTTTTATCGTTGCAACTTTTTCTCTCGAAGCCGCGCTGCCGCTGACTTTATAATCCTTTGTACGTACGTACGCACGTGCGCGAGAGTGAAAACGATTGTTAGCGATACGCGATGTATACATATGTTACATGAAATTTATATTTATACGCAGAGACGCAATGGGTCCGAGTGGGTTGTGCACAGCTGCAGCGAACTTATGTAAAGGGACCTTCGCGCGGACGCGAGTCACACACAAACGCATACACGAGATCGTTACACATATACCCGTGTAACATATATCTATATATACCATAAAATACACCTCGTTGGAAAGTTGTCCGATCCGTGGACGCCGCTCAACGAAGGGAAAGTTCGTAAAAGGTGTATGTACAACACGCGCAGCTATGCGCCGCACGCGTATTATAAATAAAACGAACGCACAGTATTAACGTTATAACAAAAGCCTGGTGAAAAAATGTGTATTATATACATGTGCGTACAATATGCGTTACAAGATTGATGCAGCGCGATTACGTGGGCTACTGCTGTTGTTTGTACTCTATACAATGTTATTATTACGGCGTCCGAAGAAAAAAACACTTGTCGCCTCCTCCTGTCGTCGTTGATGCATAGTTGAAGAGACGACGCGCGATCCACAGCGGCAAAATTCATGCATAATCTTTTCTGCTCTCTGCCTCGGCTGCCTCGCGATTCGTCGTTACCGCTGCTGTCTCACTTGAAGTGCATCTTCGACAGATCAATCTTCTTACCCTTGAACGGCGAGTCGTCGGCGTTCCATGCCTTGAGCAGTTGCTCCTCTTTGCGCTGCTCCATGAAAAAAAGAAAAAGAGAGTATAAGATAAACAGGGGAGTATAGGGTAAAAAGCAAAACGAGCTGTTATAATGTAATGCTGCTGCTGCTGCTGCTGCTGCTGCGCGGGCAACAACGAGAGAGAGAGAGAGAGAGAGAGAGAGAGGATACGCGCGACTCGAGGATAGTAATTTTTCGCCTTGATTGTTGCCGACTCCGGCTGTCTCTACGATCATTCGCCCCCCGGGCATGCCATATCTCTCTCATTGTACTTCGCGGTAGTCTGTTTGTATGTGTGTGTATAATAATAATATAGGTGTACGTGCGGCTACTCATGAGAAAGTCAATTATTGCAGCAGCACGGCGTAACTCTCTGCCACCGCACGTGACAAGGTCGCGAGCCACCGTCGCAGCATAGTAGTCGTTATTATAGCAGCTTCTTTCCTTTTATTCGTTTGTTGTTTTTTTTTAATTCCTCGAGCCGCTAACGATTAGTAGTGTATAGGGACGCGTCGAGTAAACTTGTATACTACCGACCTTGCGCTCGGCATCCTCGCTGGTGGGTAAACCGAGTTCCTTTTGTCGCTGATTCCACATGAGCTCCTCGATCTTCATCTGCTCGCCCTCGGTCATGTCGTCCATCGGCCTCGAGCAGTCGATCTTGCTCAGCTCGATTTTAGGCTCGCTCTCCAGCATGTTCTCCCACCATCTCTCCTGGCCTTTTGACAGATGCAGCTATTTCCGAAATAAAAATTTTTTTTCATTATTGATAATAAAATTCAAGATAAAAGTCTATGTTCTACTACTCACGTTGATGGTCTTGCCGGGCTCGAGACACCAGAATGAATCGTTGTGACGAATATTGAAGCTGAACTTGCCCTCGAAGTGTGTGTCCCACTGGCCGGCATCGGAGCACAGTTTTATCAGCAGGGAATCGGCCTTGATGTCGACCTTGACCTGCTTGGATTTCTTGATGGTCTCGGGCACCTTGACCAGGCAGTCGATGTCGCCGATCGTCTGGCTCCACGAGTAATTGTCGTACGTCGCGCCGTTGTAGCAGTTCGTGAACGGCTTGTCCAGGAGTTTCGATTTTTTTGGCTCGTTTTTCGTAGAGCTGCTGCTGCTGCTGCTGCCGGTTTCGCTTTTTTTCGTTGGCTCCTTCGATTCTTTGTTTTGATCGGCATCGTTTGTGGCCTAAGAAAACGACACATGGACTATAATTTTATACATTACGGTAATATAAAGTTCGAAAAAGTATGCTCTCTTACTTTTTTTGGATTTTGCGATTCCTTCTTTTTGTCTTGCCACTTGCGCGAGATGGTCAAGAGTATCTGTTCGGCGATGCCCGGCGGATAGCCCACACGAGTTTCAGGGGTTGCCTCGACGTAAAAGTCCGTACTGTAAAAGTGAAAAAGAAGATAAGAACATTATCGTGCATTGCAAGTAATGAAATTGAGAATTACTGGCCAGTGTACTCCACAGGCCAGGACGTAAATGGGATTAGCAGCGTACGAGACGCGCGTCGAACGAGTGGCGCGGGAAGCCCGAAACTGCTAGGCTACATGTGTGTACGAGTGTGTGTGTGTGTACGTTTGTAAAGCTGGCCTATAACGCGCATGTTGCTTGCCGACGAGAGAGAGAGAGAAAGAGATGAGCCGTGCGCGCTCGCGGGGAATGGGGATCGCCACGACGACTTTTGTATCAAAATATATTCGCGCAGCCGACGACGACACACGCCAACGTGTAAACCGTAGTCAGTATTTATGAATTAAATAGTCGACGATTGTAAATCGTGACATAAACAAAGAGTACGTGCAGTGTCAAGTACACTGACATCGAGGGGGTGCATCAAAACATCTCTCGAGTGTCATTATCAACTGTGTGATTGGTGTCTTTGTCAATGTGTGTATAGCATAGATCGCAACGTACCGTCTGTAAAGAAAACCGCAGAAAGCATCGAGAAAGCCGGACAAATTCTTCTCGTCGCGCAGAATTTCCATGAACATCTCGTCGTGTCTCTCCTCCATAGTGTTTGACGCGACTTTGAATTAATATGCAGCTCGACAATTCGACCCCGAATCTCGGCGAGTCTTTGAGTTATTACTTGTCGTTTATCGTCGTGGCTTTGATTGTTGTTTATGTGATCGCTGCCACTGTTGCTGGCCGTGCGAAGAAGCCGCTGCGGCCGAGCCGCATCGATAAACAGCGGCGCGTCGAGAATCAGTGAATCAAGGAAGAGGTCCTTTCTGCTATTGTATAGACTCTCTCTTTGTGTACTCGTATACTAAATAGCTTCGACTCACGTGTGTCAGTTGTGCAAGTCAACACTGCGCCTTGTGTGCGAGTTGCAGAAGACAGTATTAACGCGCGGATGAGATACACACAATCGAGTCTTGAGGTTAGGAAGGCGGCGGCGGCAACATATATAATATAGCCAAGTCGCTGAGATAACGCAATATACGTATATTCGCGTCGTGTTGTGTTGTGTGCGAGAAAAGCGCCCCCCTCTCCACAGTCGTCCGTTGGCGCGCTTGGCGCTTGTTTTTGAATATAGTACTACTTATACAGCTATCGTATAAGAGCGCAGGAAGAAAAGAAAAACTCGATAGAACAAGTTTGTCGACGTCGAGCATTATTACAATATATAGATACACGAGAAGTGTGCTTTGCATTACAATAAAGACACAAACGTCAAAAAGTAACGCGCGAGTGTATACATACAATTCAGTGCATCATGTCGGCGAGAAAGCTGCTGTCACTGGTGTTCATCAGGAAGCAGCAGGAAATACTGCTGGGCCTGAAGAAGCGCGGATTCGGCCAGGGCAAGTGGAACGGCTTCGGCGGCAAAGTCGAGCCCAACGAGACGATACTCCAGGGAGCGATACGGTGAGTTTCGATTTCATTCATCATTATCATTACATTTTTAACAATGATGAAAATGAACGCGGTGATCGTGACCTTCGCCGCGAGAGAGACTTTGTACATAGCAGGCACATAATCGCTCTCGGGTACTTTACGCGAACGCAATCGTCGCGCGAAAGATTACGTAATTTTGCCAATGCAAAGACGACGACGACGACTGCATATTTGTGCATTTGTAAGGTGTTAATAAACGGACTTCTTTTTTTCTCTCTCGCGCGCGCGAGCGATAAACTGCATTATATGAAAATCTCACACGTATAAGTACGTGTTTCCTTGATCTTATCTACCGGCATCTCTCTTGCATTGCGTGTCTCATTATCGCGTCGATAATCGTCACCTATATAATGCTGTTGACTCTTAATCGTTCAAATAGCTCTGCTGTGGTGCACGCGCTGTAACATGCACTCTTAAAAGATCAACGGAAAAATCGTTGCGAGATACCAATTAGGCACAAAAAGTTGGAAAAACTACGAAATAAAATAATGTACAAGCGTCGCGACAAACAGTTTCGATAACGCGCGCGCGTGCATAAATGCCATCGATATCCGACATACTTTCTCGCGCTGCTGCTGCACCGCACACAGCTTATTATGTACTATACGCGCCGATTATTATTGAATGCCCGGATTTACTGCTATTCGCGTGCGTGTATCGCGCTACTGCGGTTCGGAATGCAAAATGTGTAATTGGCTGCGAGCTATGCCGCGTGGGGGCCCCAGACAACAATGGAAATATGCGCGCGGACTATAACTCGGCCGCGTGCGAGCGAGCGCGCGTCCGATAATAACCGATTAAAAATGCATATAAGCTTCCCTTCTTTTGTGCGCGCGTTCCGTTGTTAAACTCTCTTTTTTTTTTTGCACGAATATCAGCGAGGTGAAGGAGGAATGCGGCCTGAACGCGATGGACCTGCGCAAGATCGGCCTGCTGGAGTTCGAGTTCGAGGGCGATCCCACGGCTCTAGAGGTGCACGTCTTCGAGACTTACAAATTCAACGGCGACGTCGTCGAGTCCGATGGTGAGTCACATTATATCTTTTTTATGTTTAGAATCGCACGAATGAGAATTCAAAAAAAATCTTACTGAAATTTTTTACAGAGATGCGGCCACAGTGGTTTGACCTGAAGCACATACCCTACGAGAAGATGTGGCCCGACGACGAGATCTGGTTCCCGTACATGCTGCGCGACGAGCCGTTCAAGGGCTACTTCCTGTATCGCGGCATCGACCTCATCGTCAAGCACAGGCTCGAGAGGCTCGATCTCACGATCAAAGATACGTCGAAGGGTTGATAAACCCCAAAAGCAGAAGCAAAAAGCCAACCAAGGTTGGCAATGGTGGTGGTGTTAGGACGACGATGATTATTTTTTTTATTCTTCTTTCCTTGGATTCAAACTTTTATAATCGTGTGCTCTGATTTTGTATAAAGCTTGAGCTTTTTTTCTCAACCCCTCTTAACGATTCTCAAAATGAGTGTGAACGAGAGTATTGAACTAGATTTAATTGTTTATTGTTTTTTTAGTATTATCATTATTATCATGAAAAAAATAAATGAATGTTACGAGCCGCAGTGCTCGCGAGCTGTTTTCCATTGATGAAACACAAGTTACCATTCCATTCAATGGTTTATTCTAAAGTATAAGTATGTTACATGTAAAAAAAATATCGATTGAACGTGAGTTTTTTTTGTAAGGAGAAATCGATCGAGCTTAACTCAAAATGTGATTTAATAAAACTGATTATTATTGAGTTACACAATGATTATTTTCAACGAGTATTACATTACAATATCACCAATTCCTTTTTGCAGGTTTTTCTATTATACATCGTACAAACTTTACGCGTTGAAGCTTAATAAAAATATTTTACTCGAGATCGAGACGGAGAAAGAGAAATAGAGAGAAAGACGGAGAAATGTGGCGCATTTAGGAAAAAAACTGCGCGCGCGCAATCCATACTTCGGATATTATACTCCGTTTACGTAGAGAGAGGAATGTAATCCGAAGCGTCTAAAAAAATACTTCCACTCGATACCTAATATACTCTATCGTTAAAAACTATTTTCTTCTTCTTCTCTGGCGACCGCGCGTCGTGCCGTGTGTGTGTATTAGAATGCAAAAACGAGAATAACCTGTACTCTCATCGCGTACGTCTAAAATCTCAATATCTAATAGCGTTTCGATACTTTCATTATCTATTAGGTGAAAACGAATCGATTCGTTCGAAAGTCGAGTAGTAATATCTGCAAAACTAGTGCTAGTTTCCCTTTGATCTATGTACAATTCTCGTTTTTTTTTTTTTAAATTTCTCATATAGTTACAGTAACCGTACAACCATGAATAAGCGTGAGTTTGTGATCTTACGGACGCACAGCAGATTATTATTATGTACAAAAAGGATAAAAACGCCGATCGCGAGGAGGAGGGAATCGCTGCAGTTCGATGCACAATTGCGCGCGAGGCATTATGTGTTTTATTTATAATTGCGGGTGAAATCTACGCGGCCGACCAGTTCTCCGATCGCCACAGAAGCGCGTACATGTTGTGGGTCATGTCCTCGGCCTCCAAGCTGTCGATCGGATAATCCGTGTAGCGGGAGATCAAGCTTCTGTAGCCCTGGCCGACTGTGGTCATGATGAGCTTCTTGCGATCGGCCGATTTAAACGACAATATCTGTAATGAAAATATAAAATGTCACGAGCTGGTCGAGAAAAACAAAAAAAAAAAAAGAAAACTCGAGTACCAAAAAATGATCACTCACCTGTGAAACCTTGCCCTCGAACGGCCTGAACACGGTGATGGGCCTCAGGGAGTCGCACTCGGCCACGACGATGCAGCCCCAGGTGGTGCCGATGTAGAGCAGATTGGCGTAGGACTCGAGCGCCGTCACCTGGCACTTCTCCGACGTGAGATTCTCCTCGATCGAGATGGACTTGAGGCTCTCGGAGCAGGGCACGAGCTTGGACATGTCGAGCTTGTTGACGATCTGCTTGCTCTCGAGGTCCCACTGATAGACGATGCAGCCCGGATAGGTGTAGCTCAGTACCGAGTTCTCGGCGCTCGTCAAGTACGTGGCGAAGAGATTTTTGCTGGCCGTCTCGCCGCTCACGTGCGCCAACTCCTGTTTCGTCGAAAAAATATTTATGAGCGTGTTTGTTTTTTTACCTTCGATATATTGATCCGATTGAACGAAAAAAAGAAATGTGCGTACCGTCGTGTCGATGAGAGTACTGTCCTTGAGCGTGTAGACGGATATTTGGCCGAAGCTGCGGCCGGCCCAGAGCTCGAGGACGCGTCGGCGCCTCGGCACCACGGCCAGCGAGTACGTCTTGACGTTGCTGCCCGACGAGTCGACCAGGTCGATTTTGCGCGTCTGCGTGAAGCTGTTGGCCACGAGCAGCACCTTGCCGCTGTGCAGCGCCACCGCGAAGTGCTTCAGCTGCTCCAGGTAGACCAGCGCGACGATTTTCGATTCCTGCGACAGAAATTGTTTCCATTCATAATAGACGTGCGTACGGATATTGAAACAAAAATATCCTGTGCATCAATGCGTTATATTAATTTTATGATTTACGAGGCTTGCTGCAGATATTTTGTAGTGTTTAGAAGATTTTTCAATATCTGAAGTATTGTTTTAAAAAATGAAAGAGCCGTTACGCGCTTTGGTCGGGAGCTACATCAAGCAAATATGCCACAAATTTTCGTTTCTAAAGTTAAATTGCACGGATTTCATAAAATAAAAATGCTTAAATTAATTTTAACTTAAAATTTTTGAAATAATTTTTACTGTTGGTTATTAAATTTCCATTTTTGGTTAATAAAATTAAATCGTAGATATTCGATGTTCATTCATGATTTATTCAATTTAAATAAACAGTTGTTTTTCATTATTGTACAAAAACTTTAATGTTGAATAATATGTATATAATTTCTCATTTATTATTATTTATTATTTTCATTCTTTTACACATTATTTTCACTGACATGGTATAAGGTAAAATAATGGCTTGCCGATATCAGTGTCATTATCTTCATTCGTATTCTTGTAGACGTTTATGAACACGAAATCCATAAGAATATTAAAAAATTGCAATTATGCAATAATCTAGATTTGCTCTTAGAGCCAAATACCGTTTAAAATATCTAATTTTAGCTCGACCCCGCCAAGCATATGTTTAACAAATCTTCGCTTTTTAGCTTATAAATAACTTTTACTTCAAAAAAAAACTCCAATGCGCAACGTTGGAGAAATCCTCTCGATAGTACCTCGCACAGATGCTCAATGCACCCTTGCTTAGGCTTAGGAGGTATATAACAGCAGTTACGAAACTTTGGTAGGAACTTTATGTATTCCACAGAAGTAAGTATTTTCTGTGCCTTTTCAGGCGGCAGTCGAATAAAGTCGTAGAGGGACAGACTCGGATTCATCATCAATTTTTTCGCTTTACTCGCAAATTTCTCGTCGTCGTACCAACATTTTTCAAGATCCACAGATTTCTCGAACACTCTGTGCCTAACGAATAAGTTCATGATCGTCGAAGCATCGCTTCGATCCAGCTTGTATCCTCTTTTTTCAAGATACTCGACGACTGCCAGAGCACCAACAGCTATAACTATTTTTGAACTTTCATACAACCAATCATCTGTAGGATTAGATCTCTCGCCAAAATAACTTGCAGTTGGGAAAATGAAATTAGACAAATTGGCACCACGATCCAAAAGCACATCGACGGTATTCGGCACGAGACTCGCTACGGCCCATTGAAGAGGTGTTCGGCCCAATTTATCCACGGCATCGACCTTCACCAACTGATGATTTTTGTCGCTAATCTCGAAGAACAACTTCGTCAACTCATCGTTCGTAAATTGGCCCGTCTGGCAAATAATGTGCAAGGGTGTCGATCCATACCTATTGGCCAAATTCGGGTCGGCGCCTTTTTGCAGCAGCAAACTCGTCACCTCCTTTCGGCCCCAGGCCAGAGCCAAGTGCAGCGGTGGATCAATGGATTCTTGAGGATAATAATTTGGATCCAGTCCAAATTCGAGGAATTTCTCGACGACGTCTTTACAGTCAGCCATGCAGGCCGCATGAAAATGTGTGAGTCCATACTCGTCGGTGTAGTTCACGTCGAATCTGTCGTATATTTTAAAGAGATCCTGAGTGACCATCATCATTTCACAAGCGTTTTTGCGTCTAACTGCATGATGCACTGCAGTAGTACGATATGGCGATGGCTTGCCGTCTTTACCTAGGATCGGCTTGTCCTTATAGCCGGTGCTTGCCACGAACCCGATGCTCAGTCCTGCTCGAAAATTAAGTGCATCATGGTTTTTGTCTTTTGCGAACTCGGTGAGAAGTTGATCAATTTCCCTTGACCGAAATATAACACGAAGATTCGGGAGTTTTCCCTCCCAATCTCTGCAAATTTCAAAGATATCATCGAGGAATTCTTGCCTGTCTATTTCATCCTCCCAATCGGCCTTTTTTCGTAATATCTTTAACTTTTTCAACCACACCCTGCCGAGTTCGGAATCAGTACAGTCGGTGCTACTTTCATCGGGCAGATCGTCGGAACTCGACATCGCTTTATTCCTATGCCACACGTAGGCTGCCGTTGTATAATATACTATTTTCGCGAGAATCACTTGCCACGGTCGACACGATTCTACATATGTTTACTCTGCGTAGCGTGTACTGAATTGAACGGTATACGGCATGAAACTGGCACACATGAGCCGTTCGCACTTGGCACACACTCAAGATGAATTGAGCCGAGCGCCGTGAGTAATACTTTAAACGTATATTCCATAACGCAAAGCAAAGTGAGAAGTTTTGACACGAACTATCGACCGATTCTTGATACCATTTCGGCTATGCTTCACAGGAAAATATTTTATTCGTATAGGGCGATGCAGACCAAACGTTGATAATCAACGTTTCGTCGACTTAAATTCAACCTCGTCCTTTGCAGATCAATTATCAACGCGGAAAAACTGTACTCTATGCATGAAGATTTGGCACAATTAAAAACGCGATATAAACAGGCCGTAATACGAATTTAAGATGCATGTTTGAGAAAGACAAGTTACCGCAACAGAAATGGAACTTCGGGCTCGAGGTCTTTTCCCGATTAGAATGAATATCATCCCTGGATTTTTTCTGTGCGTCTGCAAATTATAATTACTCGTATCATTAAACGATCGAGTACACCGTATTGATGACTCTTATAAAAAATTAGTTACTTCAAATATTTACGAGCTCGCGTGAGTATAGAAGGAAATTATCACACAAATAACTAGAAATCAACGAAAATTTATTCGAAATTCAATGTTTATTTCAATTTATTTATATCCATTACATGAAACGTATACAAAATTAAATTACACCAGAAATTAAAAAATACTGAAAATGTTTTGCACCATCAGGAGCTTTGGTCTGTAGCTGCCAAGCACATGTTATATAAATCTTTGTTCCTCAGCTTCTTCAAGATCGTGTCACAGCAGAGATCCGGCAGTCGAAAGGGCGTCAGCACCAAAAAAAACTCCTGTTGCCAGCGCCGTAAAAATCTTCTAATTAGTTTGTCGAACAGATGCGCAAAACAAATCCGATAAGTCCATGTAGGAGGTAAATAATAAATATCTTGGTAATTTTGGCACGCGAACATACTCGTGAGTTGTTTCACCGCCTTTTCAGGTTGTAACTGGATCAGGTCGTAAAGAGACTGACCTGAACCTATTATTTTATCTTTTGCTTCCATCTTGAGCTCCTTATCATCATACCTTTCAATTGGATGATCTAACCAGCCGTACTCAACGAATAAAGTCATGATCGTTAAGGCGTTGCTCCGATTCAGTTCATATCCTCTTTTCTCCAAAGACTCAATAACGGCCATAGCGCCAGATGCTAGTCTCAGTTGAACGACAAGCGTAATTTCCATGAACTGCTGTTTGCGCAATTCCTGTGTGAAGAAACTCTTAGTTGGGAAAACAAAACATTTCAAATCGGCACCATGATCCAAGAGAAGTTCAACAATATTCGACGCAAGGCTTGCTACGGCCAATTGAAGCGGTGTCCGACCCAACCTGTCCACGGCGTCTACTTGCACGAGCTTCTTTTTCTTACCACAAATATCAAAAAAAATCGTCGCTAAGCAAGAGCCATCGTACCAATACTTGCAAATAATATGCAGAGGTGTGAATCCGTCGTTGTTGGCCAAATTTGGATTGGCGCCATTTCTCAGCAGAGATGTGATCAAGTACACGTGGCCAGCTTTCAGAGCCAAGTGCAATGGAGAATTACCCATTTCGTCCTGGACGTCGACTTGCAACGGCTGATGTTTTTCTTCGCTGAATTTGAACAACATCTTTGCTAAATCAAACTTACGGTTGTCTCTCTGGCAAATTAAGTGCAGCGGAGTCGATCCCGCTGCATTGGCTAAATTCGGGTTCGCGCCGTGTTTCAGCAGCAACGCGGCCACCCGCTTGTGGCTGCCGTCGAGAGCCAAATGCAGCGGCGAATCGATCGACTTTGGCACGAGAAGATTGGGATCAACCTGGCCGAGTTCGAGGAACTTCTGGACCACGTCCTCGCAGCCAAACTGACAGGCTATGTGGAAATGCGACAGTCCGTACTCGTCGGTATAGTTTACGTCGAATCTGTCGTATATTTTAAAAAGGTCTCGAACATTGGTTTGACGGCAGGGGAGCCTGCGTCTAGCTGCGTGATGAATTGGTGTGTTGCGATACTGCGATGGCATGCTGTTTTCATCAAGTCCATCCTTGTAACCGGTGCGAACCACGAACGTGATGAATTTTCCAACTTCTATTAAATGTATTATTTGATGTGAATCCTGATCTCTTTTCTTGTAAGATAGAGAATCCAAAAGAAGACGGTCAATTTCTTCGGGCCGAAAAATGTCTCGAAGATCAGGAAGTCGGTCCACCCAATCGCTGATCAAGGGGATGACTTGCCTTATAAACTCGTACCTGTCTTCATCGATTTCCCAATGAATTTTTTTTCGTAGGCTCTTCAGTTTTTCCAAGTTCGAGAGTTTCTTAGAGTGATTTGCGTCTTCGTTAATGGAATCGGGCTGGTCTTCGCCTTCGTCATGGACCCACGCAACGGATTCGTCGTCGGACATTTTATTATGCACTGCACGCACAACACACAATGGCTTACAATTAACAAAGTTGTTTCTTAGAGTGAATAATTGGCTGCTGATGATGAGATTTTTCTTTGTTCGCACTATGGAGCCTTGAGGTACACGTTCGAGTAACCTGCACGAACACGCAAATGTGCGAAGAGGCAGTAATTCACGTTGCTGCGTGCAAGACGATACAGTGACTACTGGCTGGTAGAGAGCGCGAGCCGCGAACACTGTAGTCGGCGGCACTCGGCAGTCTATGTTAGCGCCGGCCAATCACAGAGCGCGAAAGTAATTCCTATACGATTATACCGCCCGCTCACTCCTCGTAGCTTAGTTGCGGAAGAACCGAAGTCGAATATTATCTTCATAAAAACACTTATTGTATCTTTTTTGACAAATAACAAGCAAAAGTGTCGATTCATGCGTGTAAAGACAAATTAGGTCGGCGATGCTTTTCAGCAGCATTCGAATATTCTCGTTACAACCATAAGCCAGAGACAAGTGAATCGGAGAATCAACTGATTTTTAAGGGAGAGAATTGGGATCATGACCAGTATTGAGAAATTTCCCGACAAAATCGTGACAGTCAAAGTCACAGTCAAAGATGGTGTAATCTTAGACTTCTCGTATTGTTACAAAGATAAAAAAATAAGATTCGCATATTTGGATACTCATTTCATTCATTGGCAAACTATAAAACTTGAATTACGTGAATTTTATAAAATAAAAACGCCCAAAGTCCCTTGATCGGTAGTTAAAATAAATTGAGATTAACATTTTTGAATTAATATTTATTCTTGATTATTAAATTTTCATTTAAAACTCATAAAATCAAATTGTGGATGTTTATTCATAATTTATTTAATTTACTAACAGTTGCTATTTGTTCATTTTTTACGTTGTTTATTATAATTTTTCATCACATATTTTCACTGACATAGTATAACGTAATGATGGCTTGCCATCGTGATGTCATTACCGTCAGGGTCATTATTATAGACGTTTATGAACACAAAGTCGATGAGCACATTAAAGATCGTCATCATTATTGTATTTTTTCATTAGTGAACAATGGAAATGTCCAATTTTGACCTGAGCCCGCCAAGCACATGTTTAACATATCTTCATTCTTGAGATTCAAGACAAACTCCATTGTCCAGCGCTGCAAAAATCCTCTCGATAGTATCTCGCATAGGTACTCAATACACCACTGCTTCTGCTCACGGAGGAAAAAACTGCATTTACGAAACTCTTTTACGAACTTCATGTAATCCATACAAGTGAGTAATGTTTGTGCTCTTTCAGGCGGCAGCCGAATAAAGTCGTGGAGCGACAGACTCGGATTCATCATCAATTTTTTCGCTTCACTCGCAAATTTCTCGTCGTCATACCAACATTTTTCGAGATCCACAGATTTCTCGAACACTTCATGCCTAGCGAATAATTTCATAATCATCAGGGCGTCGCTTCGATCTAGCTTGTATCCTCTTTTTTCGAGGCACTCTACAACGGCCAGAGCACCAGCAGTTATAACCATTTTCCAATCTTCATAAAAAATGTCATGTTCAGGGTTGGACCTCACGCCGAAGTAACTTGCCGTTGGAAAAATGAAATTAGACATATTGGCACCACGATCCAAAAGCACATTGACGGTATTCGGCGCAAGACTCGCTACGGCCCATTGAAGAGGTGTTCGGCCCAACTTATCCAGGGCATCGATCTTCACGAGCTGATGTTTTTCGTCGCTTATCTCGAACAACATCTTCGTCAACTCATCGTCCATAAATTGGCCCGTCTGGCAAACGATGTGCAGAGGTGTCGATCCATACCTATTGACCAAATTTGGGTCGGCGCCTGTTTCCAGCAGCAAACGCGTCACCTCCTTGCGGCCCCAGGTCAAAGCCAAGTGTAGCGGTGGATCGATTGATTCTTGTGGGTAATAATTGGAATCCAGTCCAAATTCGAGGAATTTCTCGACGACGTCTTTACAGCCAGCCATGCAGGCCGCATGAAAATGTGTAAGTCCATACTCGTCGGTGTAGTTCACGTCGAATCTATCGTATATTTCAAAGAGATCCGCAGCGATGGTCTTTACTTCGCAGGCGTTTTTGCGTCTAACCGCATGATGCACTGCAGTAGTACGATATGGCGATGGCTTGCCGTATTTACATAGGTCCGGTTTGTCCTTGTAGCCTGTACGAGCCACGAATCCGATGCCTACTTTTCCGCGAAAATTAAGCGATGAAGAATTTTTTTCAGTCGCAAACACGATCAGAAGTTTATTCATTTCCTTCGGCTGAAAAACATCATGGAGATTCGGAAGTTGTCCCTCCCAATTTCTGAATATGTCAGAGATTCCATCGCCATATTGTTGGTACGTCAATTTGACGTCATGATGTTCGTTTCCTCGAAATCTCTTCAAATTTTCCAAGTTGATTCTGCCGAGTTCGGGATCAGTATAGTCGACGCTTCCATCGCTTTCGTCGTTTTCGTCGCTTTCGACGTGGAAACTTTTAACAGATTCATCTTCGGAACTCGACATCATTAGTACACACTCACGCACAATAAACACTCTTTAATAATTTCTTCAAGATATTAATTTATTTCCGTAAATACTGCTTTCTTCAGTTGATACGATCTTCGTCCGTTATTTTGTTGCGTCGTAATGCGTGGTTATACGTGAACTGAACGACTCACGGCGTGGAACTGCCGAATGCAATAGGCTGCCGTTCTCTTTAATCACACTTCCAAGACATCTCTGCTTTTTGTTCGAGTTTCGACCGAGCGACCTTCAAAAATATGAAAGTACAGCAAACAGCGCGAGCGGCGAGAATAACGAAGCTTCTCACATAGACGCGTTATCGTTGCAAAGGTTATAGTAGGTTGCGCTGGCATTAGCCAGCCAACGGTTTTTCGAATTCCGGCCAATCGTACAGCGCGTGGAAAACCTTGCTTCACTCCTTTTTTGCGGGAATTTCAATAGCGACGAACATCGCTAAAATTTCAAATCTTATATTAATAAAGTCGATGCCTAGTTCGGCTCGAAAATTTAGTAAATAATTATCTTCGTTTTTTGCGAAATTGGTTACAAGTTGATCCATTTTTTGTATCCACTAAAACCCTATGAAAATTGGGAAATTGCTCGTTTCAATCTCAAAATATAAAAAAGATTTCATCACGAAATTCCGGTCAGTATATTTTAAACTCCCAATTGACCTTTCCTCATAATCTCTTTTAACTTTTCTAACTTTTCCAAGTTAATATGGCCGCGTCGCTTCAATTCTTATTTTAGACAAGAAAACTTGAGCACATCGGATTCGTTGCCGGAACTCAATCTCGTTTTTATAACTTGGTAAGATTCAACATTTTGAAATAGCCCCCGTGGACGAGGTCTACGAATTTTTCTGAAATTATAATGTTATAGTACATGGAAAAATAGTCTTATAGCAAGGATTCTAGACTCAGATATCGCCCATACCTTTCAGAATCTGTAGGGACGTCTATTTTCTATTTTTACCATTTTGAAGCTGTATTTTATTTTAAAAATCGGAAAAAATTCATGGAGATACATTTTAAAAATCCGGACAACCTTAAATTTTTTCAGTAAGTATATGGTCAAATCTCAAAATGAAATTCCGTTTCGTTAACAAAAAAAGGTGAAATTTTTTTTTTGCGTGCCTAGCGGCCCTGACCCCCGCAAATTGTTCATAGGACCTGCAGAAGTGAAAAAAAACGCGTGAACATAAAATTTTAAAATAGTTAATTTTTTTTGGGGCACTTTTTTGTTTTAGACGCCGAAAAGTCATCTTTTCACGCAAATACGACTTATTACTCGATTTCCAAGTCGTTGAAAAAGTATCAAAACTCATCTGAAAAATTTAACTGACTACTGTATTCGATAGGAAATTTTCTCAGCTTTCCGATGGTACTATTCAATTTTCCGAAATATCCATTTTTCACCGCGAAAATCGCCATCAAACTTGGAGGGCTAAATATGTCGAAAAATTCAGTACGGAAAAAGTGAAATTTTTGGATAATTGTTGATTTTTCCTTGTGAAAATGAAATTTTTCGGAAAATCGCACTGCGCCATGAGAAAGCTGAGGAAATTTCCTATCGAAAGCATATCTTTATTTATTTTTTGAGCCGAATTACAATCCTATGCAAACGTATTTTGACTCCCCTGTTCTCCGTTTTCAGTTTTCAGAGCGGTCTTGAGGTTTTTAGCGTTACACGACTCACTACAATCGAAATTCGCTCGTAATTAGACTCAAAAAATAAATAAAGATATGCTTTCGATAGGAAATTTCCTCAACTTTCTCATGGCGCAGTGCGATTTTCCGAAAAATTTCATTTTCACAAGGAAAATCAACAATTATCCAAAAATTTTACTTTTTCCGTACTGAATTTTTCGACATATTTAGCCCTCTAAGTTTGATGGCGATTTTCGCGGTGAAAAATGGATATTTCGGAAAATCGAATAGTACCATCGGAAAGCTGAGAAAATTTCCTATCGAATACAGTAGTCAGTTAAATTTTTCAGATGAGTTTTGATACTTTTTCAACGACTTGGAAATCGAGTAATAAGTCGTATTTGCGTGAAAAGATGACTTTTCGGCGTCTAAAACAAAAAAGTGCCCCAAAAAAAATTAACTATTTTAAAATTTCATGTTCACGCGTTTTTTTTCACTTCTGGAGGTCCTATGAACAATTTGCGGGGGTCAGGGCCGCTAGGCACGCAAAAAAAAATTTCTCCTTTTTTTGTTAACGAAACGGAATTTTATTTTGAGATTTGACCATATATGTAATCATTTGAAGATTTGAAGGTTTGTCAGACAATTACTCATTAAACGATTAAGACACCGTTAAGTTCACTTTTATAATAATAGTTGCTTTGAATATTCATGAGCCAGCGCGGGTATAAAAGACCATTATAACACAAAAAACTGAGTAAACTTATTTTGGTTCAAATTCTTTTTTCAATTTATTTGTTTTAAATGACATGCGGCAAAAATTAAAAAACATTACAAGTATAGTCTATAGCTGCCAAGCAAATATTACATAAATCTTCGTTCTTTAGCTTCTGGAAGATCATTTCACAGCAAAGAATCGGTAGCTTGTTGCACGTCAGCTTCAAGAAAAACTCCAATGCCCAGTGTTGAACGAATCTTCTCGATAGTACCTCGCACAAGTACTCAATACATCCTTGCTTAGGCTTATAGGGTGTTAAGTAGCTTTTTCGAAACTTTTGTAAGAACTGCAGGTATTTCATGCAAGTAAGCAGTTTCTGTGCCTTTTCAGGTGGCAGCTGAATAAAGTCGTGGAGCGACAGACTTGGATTCATCATCAATTTTTTCGCTTCACTCGCAAATTTTTCGTCGTCGTACCAACATTTTTCAAGGTCCACAGATTTCTCGAAAACTTCGTGCCTAGCGAATAATTTCATAATCGTCAGGGCGTCGCTTCCATCTAGCTTGTATCCTCTTTTTTCGAGGCACTCTACAACGGCCAGAGCACCAGCAGCTATAACCATTTTAGAATCTTCATTAAAAATGTCACATTCAGGGTTGGACCTTTCGCCGAAGTAACTTGCAGTTGGAAAAATGAAATTAGACAAATTGGCACCACGATCCAAAAGCACATTGACGGTATTCGGCGCAAGACTCGCTACGGCCCATTGAAGAGGTGTTCGGCCCAACTTATCCAGGGCATCGACCTTCACGAGCTGATGTTTTTCGTCGCTTATCTCGAACAACATCTTCGTCAACTCATCGTCCATAAATTGGCCCGTCTGGCAAATAATGTTCAGAGGCGTCGATCCATACCTATTGGCCAAATTCGGGTCGGCGCCTTTTTGCAGCAGCAAACGCGTCACCTCCTTTCGGCCCCAGGTCAAAGCCAAGTGTAGCGGTGGATCAATTGATTCTTGTGGGTAATAATTTGGATCCAGTCCAAATTCGAGGAATTTCTTGACCACATATTCACAGTTGGCTATGCAGGCTGCATGAAAATGTGTGAGCCCATACTCGTCGGTGTAGTTCACGTCGAATCTGTTAAATATTTTAAAGAGATCCTCAGCGAGGAGTTGCATTCTATAGGCACCTTTGCGTCTAACCGCATGATGCACTGCAGTAGTACGACGTTGCGATGGCTTGCCGTTTTTGCGTAAATCCGGTTTGTCCTTATAGCCGGTGCGAGCCACGAAGTCGATGCTCAGTTCTCCTCGGAAATTAAGCGAAAAATTATTCTTTTCAGTCGAAAACTCGATCAGAAGTTTATCCATTTCCTTCGGCTCAAAAACATCATGGAGATTCGGAAGTTGTCCCTCCCAATCTCTGAACATGCTAAAGATTTTATCTTGATATTTTTGAGACATCACTTTAATCTCGCAATTGTTTTTTCCTCGTAATTTCTTCAAATTTTCTAAGTTAATTCGGCCGAGTTCGGGATCAGTGTAGTCGATGCTTCCGTCGCTTTCGTTGTTTTCGACGTGGTAACTTCTATCGGATTCATCTTCGGAACTCGACATCGTTTTTATACACTCACGCACAATAAATACAGTATTTTATGATTCAAGATATTCGTTTATTTCGTGTGAATCACTTGTTGCAGTTGATACGATCTTCGTCTGTTATGTTGCGGCGTCGTAGCCTGTACCGAGCCGAGCTGCACCATAAAACTGACGAATACAAGAGCCGGCCGTTCTCTTATCTCACTCGCTCGCGACTCTCGACTTCTCTGCTTGTCGTTTAACCAAGTGACCTGCACAAACACGCACATCACACAATGCGAGAGTAGAGACTATCAAAGCGGCCGTCGTTTTAGCGAACGTAGTAGGTTGCGCTAGCAGAAGTTAGCGAAAAGTTTTTCGAACGCCGGCCAATCGCACAGCATGCGAAAGGCTCTGCCTCGCTCGTTTTTTCGCGGGAATTCAAATAGCGACGCGTAACGCGCGATAAGGTCAAATCTTATAATCGGTCGAGCTGACTTTATTTTTACACATTAAATGTTTAATAAATGTATAGCTATGTTATATCATACCTTGTTAACGTCGGTCTCGAGGCGAAAATTGCCGACGCAGCCGAAGTTGGTGCTCAGATAGATGTGCAGCTGGCCGGAATTGTCGCCGATCCAGATGTAGCCGTCGACGCAGCACATGGCGTACGGCACGACGGGCGTGTTCATGCGCACGTGCTGCAGCCACAGCCGGTCCGTGCCGAGGAGCATGTCGACCTCGCCGTTGTTGTGCCCGAGCCAGATCTCGTTGGCGCTGCTCGAGTCGTCCAGCTGGCGGCACATCCTCGTGATCGCGGTCACGTGGGTGCGCTCCGTCAGCAGCGTGGCGTCCACCAGGTGCGTGAACTCGGGCGCCGAGGCGATCGACACTATCTGACTGGCCGTGGGCCGATCCTTGGGGTTCTGCGCCCAGCAGATGACCATCAGGTCGAGGGCGTAGCACGGGTGCTGGGTGTCGCTGTAGGTGAGCGGCGGTCGGCCGCCCTCCAGGATGCACTCCTTCACGGCCTCGTGTCCCTCGAACGGCTGGCGCAGCGTCACGAGCTCGTACACGAACATGCCGAAGCTGAACGAGTCCACCTTCTCCGTGTACTCCTCCTCGCCGTTGTAGCGTATGATCTCGGGCGCCATGAAGCCCTCGGTGCCGCCGAAGCCCTTGGCCCCGGACGGCAGCGAGAGCCGCGAGATGCCGTAGTCGGCGACCTTCACGTGGACGGGCCGATGCTGCTGATGCTGATAGTCGTAGACGGACTCCTGGAACGGGGCCGGCATCTGCCAGACGAGCACGTTCTCCGACTTGAGGTCGCGATAGATGACGTGCTGCTGGTGCAGATACTCGATGGCCTTGGCCACCTGCAGAATGATGGCCTGCAGCGTGAACGGATCGAGCTTGGCGCCCGAGCGTCGATAGTTCTTGAGGACGTTGTTGAGGGCACCCTCGGGCGCCAGATCGAGCACCAGGGCCAGCGGACTGATGACTATGCCGATCAACGGCACGATGTTCGGATGCTTGAGGGTCAGCAGTATGTTGAGCTCCTGGCGGGCCGTGCAGTAGGCCTTGCAGGCGTACTGCAGCGGGTCGCGGTCCCACTTGCTCTGGGCCGCTTTGTAGGCGAGCACGGCCGATTGGCGGGAGTTCGGGCCCGGCGGCACGGGCTGCAGCATCTTCATGGCCACGTCGACTCGCTGCAGTCGGCCGGGCAGTCGACAGGTGCCCTTGAACACGAAGCCGAAGGCGCCGCGGCCGAGCATCTTGCCACGCTTGACGTCGTCCGACCGGATGAGGTGGCGCGCGCCCAGATCCATGAACACGATGTCGGGCGCCACCAGCGACAGTGGCACGTCCGAGTGACGCGGACACGCGATCGGCTTGCCGCTGTACGCCGCCAGGATGCACTCCTCGACCATCCAGGAGTAGACGAGGCTGGGCTCGCGCTGAGGCGGCCGCGGACTCTGCGCCGGCTGGGGATAGGCTCGATGGAGCTCGGGGTGGCCCTCGAGCGAGGGCATGCGACTGGAGGCCGAGCTGTCGTGGCCCACTCCGCTGTCGCCCGCGTCCGACTTGTAGCTGTCCTGGCTCTGGCGCTCGCGGCTCTGCTGCGCGTAGTACCTGCTCGGCCGGTCGAGATCGGCCTCGCTCGATTGCTCGGACGACTGATCGTTGCAGCAGCTGGCGCCGCTGTCGCACTGATGATGCTGGTGCTGCTGATAGTTCTGCTGCTGCTGCTGCTCGATCTCGAGCAGCTCCGTGTTGTCGATGAGGCAGCGCGGACAGGGCACCATCCGCGTGACCAGCAGCTTGCCCTCGGACGTGTGCACGAACCTCGTGCCGAGGGTCGGATACCAGTCCTCCAGCAGTATGTCGATGTGATCGACGATCAGCGCCAGCAGCTGTGGTATGCTCTCGGGTTGGGGTTCTACCACAATCGCCTGATAACCGATGGGCTCGTCGTCGTCGTCCTCTTCGTCTCCTTCTTGCCGCGGTATCGGCTGCTTGATCACTAGCGTGTCGCACGGAAAGTAGATCTCGAGTATGGCCGAGCCGGCCATGTCGAGATTGCACCAGACGCCGTCCTGCTTGAGCTTGAACCTGTGCTGCCTGTAGTCGTGCGGACGATTGCGCAGCTGATAGTTGACCTCCTTGAGTCGGAGCAGACTGATGCCGGCGTAGCGCAGCTCGATGCCCGTCTGCCAGAGCGACCACTCGGCGGGCTGCTCGATGAGCGAGGCATAGAGCTTGTCGTCGACAAAGTCCTTGAACGGCGCCAGGAACGTCATGACGATCTCGACGATCGTGTCGTCGGCGAGGATGCGCGTCATCAGGCGCGACCAGAAGCCGCTCGGGAAGTACGACATCAGGAGGAGCCGAGTGATCGAGCAGTCCGCCTGGGGCCTCGAGGTCAGCACGCTCTCGCCACCGCCGTTCGACTGATTATTGTAACTGATCATGGGCGAGTTCTGGCTGTTCTGGCTCATCATCTTGGAGCGCATGTGCCAGCCCCGAGACTTGACCGGTATCCTGATGCTCACGTTGCTGCGCAGCAGCTCCTCCTCCGTGGGCAGCAGCGACGGTATCAGCAGCGTCCTGTAGTCCCAGGTCAGCGCCACCTCGAACTTGTTCAGCAGACTGACGATGTAGCCGTGCGTGTCGGAGCTCGCCACCGTCGACGACTTGAACACGTGCTGTATGTCGTCGAGCTTCATCACCCCCGAACGGGCGAACGGATTGATCTCGCGTATGGTGACGACGTGGGCCAGCATGTCGCACAGCCACTGGGGATCGAGGAAATACAGGTCCTTGAGCGTGGCGTCGTCGTAGTGCAGTATCACGCCGTTCTCGTGCAGGAACAGCGTGGCCTGGTGCAACTCCGCGGGGTCGCGAAACGAGCGCTGCATCCGAGCCAACTCTTGGCCCACCGCGGCGTAGTACTGCTCGGCTCGCAGCACCGGATCGGCGCCCCGGGCTCTCCTCTCCTGAGCCAGCTGCAGCACCACGTCCTCCAGGGCCAGATAGCTCGCCGGCACTCGTTGCTCGAGCAGCAGCTCCTTCGAGCCGGGCGAACGCAGACTGAACACCACGTCGTAGATGAGATTGCAGAGCATCTTGATGTTGTGTCGGGTCTTGCAGCTGATCTCGATGGTCTCCATGACGCGCGGCAGGCCGCACTTCTCCGCGTCCACGACGTTGATGAACTTGTCGCGTATGTACTGCTGCAGCGCCTCGCTCTGCTCGTAGCCCAGATCGTAGTGCGTGCCCACTATGATCACCGGGGAGTTGGGCGCTCGACTCTGTATGTTGACCAGCCACTGGAATATCTCGTTGACGCCCTTGAAGCCGTCGCAGATGCGCCAGAGCACGAGATAGAGGCTGCGTTTGGACAGGAAATACTGATGGGTGACGTAGTACTCGTGCTGACCACCGAAATCCCAGGTGCGAAAGTACACGGGCCCGTGGGCCGAGTGGCCGCGCACCTTCTTCTCGTACTGCCAGTCGCCGATGTCCACGCCCACTGTGGAGATCGTCGTGCCTCGGGCCGTCTTGGAATTGATGTTCTTGTTGCCCATGCGTTTGGCCCAGTGATCGTGGCCCGACCCGGAGCTACCGCCGCGTTTCCTCGCCGACGACGGCACGTCGCCCTCCTGGCGCAGCTGCTCCAGCAGACTGGTCTTGCCGATACCCTGGATTCCCACGATCATGAGCTTCATGCGCGCGTACGGCTTGGCGTCCTCGAGCACGGACTTGAGATAGCCGATCACGTCCATGGTCTTGTACTTCTTCGACTCGATCATGGACTTGAGCGGCTCCTGCAGACGGCAGCCCTGCGTGTTGAGGTTCCAGAGGCGCGACAGCAGGCCCATCTGGGCGGGCAGCTCGACGATGTCCGGATTGCCGCTCACGTTCAGCACCGATAGATTATTAAGCTCGTAGATGTTGGCCGGTATCTCCTGCAAGAGAGGGACAAAAAATCGGTGTGTGAAACGATCTCGAATCGTCATTATTATCATTGGGTGTGTTACCTTGAGTTGATTGTTGCTGACATCGAGCATGCTGACGTTGGGAAAGAGCAGGTACATCTTGGACGAGTGGCTGGATCGCGAGTCCTTGTCAGACTCGTCGTCGATCGGGCAGGGCGTTTCGCCGTCGTCGAGCGACGTCAGCTGTATTCGGGCCAGCGCGTTATTGGCCAATACCAAAGTTCGTAGATTTTCGAGCCTGAGGTGACGTCTGTGCGTGCAAACGGACATTAGCACTATATCCCTGAGCGACGAGCTGGTGCTCGGCCGATTGACGGCCGATGCCGCCGCGGCGGTAGTCGGTGAATGAGGACCAGCCCCGATGCCACCGCTGTTGTTGACGCTATTGGGATTGCTGCTGCTGCTGCTGTTGCTCGTTGCCGCCGGTGCGGGTGGCGAGTAGCAAGCCGTGTTGGCGCGCTCCATGTCGTCGAGGCCGTCGACGATCTGCGGCAGCGACGGCCAGCAGCTTATCTGATTGTTGGACAGATCGAGCTGCTTCAAGCTGGCCGGATACGAGGTGATGTGGCTCATCGATCGCAGCGAGTTGTAGGCCATATTGAGGCGCACCAGGCTGACGGCGAGACAGGGCAGCGCGACCGGCACCTGGGTGAACAGATTGTGCGCGAGATTGAGCGAGGCCAGCTGAGACCTGCTGCTGGCCTGCTGCTCCTGCTCGTCCTGCACCTTCTCCAGCACCTGCACCGACTTGTTCCAGACGAAGGGACGCTCCATCTCGACGTCGCGGGCGTTGGCGATCTTTGAAAAATAGGAATCGAACTCCATGCTCTCGCTCTTGTACAAAATCGGCGGCTGTATGGGCAGCTGCTGCTCCTTTGTGAGGCTTCGATTGCTCGGCGAGCTCGTCATCGTCGTCGCGTCGTGCTGATGGTACTGATTCTGATAGTAAGCGCCCTTGCCGCGTCCGCCCGCCGTGGCGTTCTGATAGATCTGGCTGGGCAGATCGCGCAGCAGATTGAAGCTCGCGTTGAGCTCCTTCAGCTTCGGAGCGCGCCATAGATTGTCGGGCAGGCACTGCAGCTTGTTGTTCGACACGTCCATGATCTCCAGTGCGGGCATTCGCATGAGAAAGTCGGGCAGCTGCTCCAGACGATTATCCTGCAGATAGATCTCCTCGAGCACTGGGCAGAGCTTGTCCTTGGCGTTCCTCGGCTCGGCTTTCAGCACCTCGATCTTGTTCTGGGCGAGATTCAGGGTGCGCAGACTCGGCAGGAAGAACACGGCGTCGGGCACACTGGTGATGGAGTTCTGCGATATGTCGATCCTCGTGATGGCCAGCAGGGCAGCTTCGCCGCTCTTGGCGGCGCTGAGCTTCTTGTTGACGTGCAGCACAGCGTCCATCAGCCACTGGGTCCTGATCTGCGACAGTCGGCAGCCCTGATCGTGCCAGTTGATCATGGTCGGGGTTGCGGGCAATAGGGTGGCGTACGTCGTCGCGGCGCCGAAGCTCGACAGCGCCGCAAAGTTCGAGGTCTGCGACTCCTGGGCCGCCTTCTTGTTGATCTTGTACTCGGCGTCCGGGTGGGCCTTGGTGGCCAGCAGCTTGGCGGTGAGCTGCTCGTCGCCGTTGCGCACGGCGATCCGCAGGGCCGAGCAGTCCGCGTCCTGGGCGCCGTGACGCAGCAGCAGCTCGGCTATCTTGACGTCGCGATTCTCGCAGGCTATCGCCAGAGCCGTCGTCGAGTGTGGCGCGCAGTTGCTGTTGCTGGTTCCGCTGCTACTGTCCGGCGTCGTCGTCGTCGTCGTTGTCGTCGTAGCCGTTGGTGTCGCCGAGCTCTCTGCCGAGTCGGCCGGACGGATCGGTAAATTGGGATTTGCCCCGGCTTGCAGCAGGGCCGCCACGACGTCGGTGTGCCTGGCTTTGACCGCGGCGTGCAGGGCAGTTTCCGCGTTATTGTTGCAGTACATGTCTAAATGCAGCGGGCAGAGTAAATTTTCCTCCTTCTTCTCGGCTCGGCCCATGAAGTTGAGCGTCGACATGAGCCTCTGTATGCCGCTGGATATGCGTCGCTTCGACGCCGGCAGTTGTTGCTGCTGCTGCTGCGAATCCTCGTTGACGTTGCGCGTCTTCACCTTGTAGCTCAGCAGCAGCTCGATGATTTTTATATTACCCAGAGCGCTGGATATGTAGAGGATGTTTTGCTCCGTGACGTCCTGAGTATTGATGTCGAACGGCATCTCGTACTCGATCTCGCCACTAGGATCTTTGTACCTGCGAATTTAGTTAGGGATTGTAACTTTTTGTTTATGATTAATGAAATTTTTGAATATTTCTGTAATTATCTCACCTTTGATACATATTGGGTGGATATTCAAATTTTAACAAAAGCTCCATAACTGCGTAATGCCCATTTATAGCGGCTGCGTGAATGGGTAACCACCTCTCAACGGTCAGAGATTGCACTTGTTTAGGAAACTGTCTGAGTAGCATCTCAACGATATCCAATTTACCATTGTAACACGCTATGTACAGCGGACAATATCTGGTGACAGGATGTATCGTACAATTTGCACCGTTATCTAATAACAATTTCACCATATCACGTTGACCAGTTTCACTGGCTATGAACAAAAGAGTGTTAGCACCGTTGGGTGCCATGTTAAGAATGTATTCTAGATCGGGTAGAGTCTGGCCTTGAATAATTGCCCTAGCTGCACCACAGTCTGCTTGCATACACGCTATTCGTAAGGCTGCATGGGTATCCATACGCATTTGTTCGTACCTAATTTCAAATTGACAAAAAAGTAATGTTTTATGTACTTACATAAAAATAGTTAAATTATTTTCCCATTTTCCCATTTACCTTTCAGCAGCAAATTTGAGGATTTGACAGCACTTGACATTTTCATTTAATTCACAGATTTTTACAGCTGTCAAACCATTACTATCAGTGACTAGTAAATTAGAACTATATTCTAGTAGTTTTTCAATATTTTTTGCATGTCCATGCTCGGCACAGATATGCAGAGGTAGGCGATACTGGCCTCTTGGTCCACAGGGTAAGGAAGCATTAGCACCAGCCTGCAGAAGAACTTCCAGACATCGTGAATTTTCTGTGATCGCAGCCGCATGTAGTGCTGTGCGACCCCACGAATCTTGGCTATCGATATAAGCTGCATGTTCTCCTCGCAGCAGATCTTCCAATAGTTCTGCGTTATCCCATAAAGCTGCTTGATGCAGAAGACGACCTGGGAAGTCTTCATCCACTGGCGTATAGTCCTCCATATTTCAGGAGGCTGAAACGAAATTAATTGTTTAATGAAGCAAACTTAGCAACCCAAGAGTAATAGTACTGAAATAACAAGCTTAAAAGATTTACATTTGTTCAATAATGTTCTCAAATTTCTTTAGTAGACACTTTTATTAGACAGGTTGTAAAATGATAGTTTACTACTAAGAGATCATAATATCTTTTATAATCAATGACATGCTTGTATTACTATTATAATACTTTAATCTATTTAGAAATGTTTAGTATCGTATTACAAAGAAGCTAAAATTACCATAAAAATCTTTACAGTTCTAAACACTTTAACTCACCTTATATCATGTTACTTGAGATCACAAATCTTTTTTATCATCACATTTTTAAAATTTGATTATCACCACCAAAATGCAGTCAGGCCTAAATTTAAGCTAGCGTCATTTTTTTGAGTATCCATTATAAATCTGAAAAATAAATAGTTTCTTGTTATTTTAGATGCGGGGTAGGCTATATCAAATCCATACTAAGCCACGCTTCATATTGGATCATGCAATAAAGTTTTACTTCACAGCAACATTTGTATATAAAAACTTATATGACTGCACTGGACATTATATAAGGAAGATCAAAGAAGCATGAGTGGTCGAGACAAGTTTGACAATTTGCAGGTATGAATCAATGAATTATATAAAAGTTAGTTTCCGTTTTCAAATGTTAATGCTAATTTTACTCAATTCTAATGCTAATACGACATTTGAAATCAGTTATGAAACATCACTGGAATAGAATTAAAAAATTTTCTCATTCATTCATTTTTATTGCTCAAGTGTAAACCACTTTTGACTCAGTCATTTACTCAATCATCATAGCTTAATAAATAAGCTCGACGAATAAGATATGAAAGTAGGTATTCAAGTAAAATTATTTATCTAATCGAAAAATCAATAAAATAAATAAATGATAACTCTTCGTTCGAGATAATATCAATTTATTGTGACGTACTTGAGATTAGCATTAACCTCCACCATTTTCATAAATTTTTTGATGCAAATTTATTGCAGGTACTTTTTAGCAGGCGATTGGTTTACAAAAAAGAACATAAACAATAACAACAACAACTAACAAGTAGCAGCTATACATAACGTGCGTCGTATAGCTGTCATAGTTAAAATTGGAATAAGCGCTAGCAGACGTTAATCGCACAATGACACTGTGATACACTTAGGCACGTTTCACTGAACTATATACGTATGTTCTTCGTTTTTTTAAATAAGATTTAACGAAATTCAATTTGCAGGAGCCTAATGCAAACGATTTTCGCCTGCAAAAATTCATTTACCTTCATGCAAAATTCATAAACTGATATATCCGCGAAATCGCGGTTGCGAATAATATGGCATACTACACGCTCAAGCGTGTGCAGCAATTTGTGCACTCAATGAGCCGTGAAAAAGAATGTGCGACGTTATAAACTTTTACTGATGCACGTACGGCTTTTGCGCGCTTATACGATTATATTATTTTGCCGAGTTATGGAAGGTTCGATCATTTTTTACATTATAAAGAAAAAAAATGACAATTTATTTTCAAAATTATGAAGTATCTTTTTATTATTGTATTTTTGAGTTACAGAACTCGTAAAATTTTTTTATAAAAAAAGTGTGATTTTTTACAAGTTATTAACAATTGCTTTGTTGTGAATCAGTGGTTTTCTTGGTAAAATGTATATTAAAAAAAAATAACCAATTCATCGACGAGTAAAATCATAAAAAAAAACAACGAAAAATTATTCAGCTCGAATCCCATGACAAACGCTTTTAAAAAATTGCTCACGCAGCTGATGACGGAAAATTTATCATTATTTTTGCAAAAATATTTTATTCCTATTTTATATACATAATTTGTTATGTTTGTACACAAAAATCGTCATTAGTCTGGCCTGTTACCCTCGACGATGATGGCTCGCGAGAGATTTCTCGCGGCGGCCAGCCGAAATATTGATACTTTGTCTTGGAATTTCGGATCGTCTCCACGCCGTTGGACGGCTCGCAAGAGTTCGTAAGTGTCTTGCGAGGAAAACACAAGATCGTCGGTTTCCAACAGTGGAATGGCATCGGTTAATAGGATGCTCCAAAAGCTAGAGAAATTATTTATAATGAAATATTAGATGGGATTCCTCTAAAAATTAAACTTTGTACAGCAACACTAAAAGGGGAGTACTTACTATTTTGGGGCGAGATTTGATACTATGAGAGACACCAATAGCCTGGCAGCTTCCCTGAATTCTCCAATACCGTACATTTGATGGAATTCACAGTATTTCCCTAAATTAAAATATGCAGTGAATATTGAACACAATAAAGACAATAATTAAACAATAATTAAAAATTTTTAAATGTACCTAAAAAGGTGAGTCTGTCACTAACAAGCATACAGCTACCAAGATTTTCCAGTAGATCTTTGCATTGAATTTCGGCATGGTCGACGTAATGTCGTAGAAAACGATCTGCGATGTGAGTGGCAAACAATACATCCTGAGATTTTAGAGCCCAAGCCAAGGCATTTCCTAAACGATTTTGCTTTATACACTTTAATCCTTGAATTTTACAGATGCTACTCACTGGAAAAAAATTAAATGTTTTATGCACAAGAATTTAATTAAAGTAAAAATTTTAATTGGCTTTATAATTGATTACATACCAACTTCAGGCATATTATTTTGTTTGGCAACATCAATTATTTTACGAATTCTTGCTTCACTTCCTAAAGGAATTGTCTGTAAGAGCACCTCCAATCTTGCGTGACCCTGTTCTGGACAATGTTCAAGGTAACTTGCACCACATTGCCAGAGTGAATGATGACCCATCATTGTGCTGCCATAATCTAGTATCAGAGATTCATGAAGCATATCTGTAACACTAAAACAGAAGGTTTATATTAATTTTCAATAAAAGTGAGTAATAAATGAAAATTAATGTAATGAAAATAAAAATTAACTTACTTGATTTGATCTTTGTCAACTATGTTTAATCGGCCACAGTGATACAACAAATCAGTTAAATGAGCAGCAAACCATCCATTATCATTCATGTACTGAATTTCTTTTATGACTTGATGCAAGTCACTTTCCATTAAAGCAAGATAAATATTATCTAATACTAGCAGTGATGTTTTTTTAACAGTTTGCCATTTCATACCAATAGTATTTGCATAACGAGCAAGCTCAGGCTGCTTACAGCATGGTGCTGTATACAATAATTTTGCCACCAAAAGTTCATACCATGCTTCTGCATACTTTGAAAATTCCCATAGTTCAGTACCAACAACCAACTGTAAAAATTTGCGACATTACTTTCATGAACAAAACTTATTTTATAACTTCAATTTTTCAATTAATACCTTCATAAGAGATTCTAGCATAGGATCTATACTGAATGCTTTGCTGTCAATACTCTGAGACAAACTCATCTGCCATTGCTTCCATCTAATAGTGAATTCTTTTATTGAGTAGCCTCCATATACATTGAATACAGGCATGTTTCTCAAAGAATTTTCAGCTGCCAAAAAGGCTGAATGATCTGCTTTACTGTGTAAAGTAAGTAGAGCTCGAACAATATCAAGCTTACCATGTAAAGCACAGCCAAATACAGACTCCCAATAGTCTACATTTTCAAGATCTGCTCCAATTTTCTTTCTGGCCAATATTTTCATAGCCATTATTTCTCTTGATGGAAAATGGAATCTAACCCACTCCAAAAGTTGGGGCAACACAACATCACCTGAGTAAAGTGAATCATAAATTATAGATTTGTAAAAAATTCCATTATTTTAAACTTGATTCAATATCTGAATGAAAAGCATACCTTGGATTACATCAACATACAATATTTCTGTCAAATGCCAAACACATTCCAAGTTGTAAAATATAGTTTGTAGATTTTCATAAAGAGCTTTTTTTTCAGGTACACTCTTTTCCGCCAGGTCTTGTAATTCTTCAACACATGCTCTTAAAATTGAACGGTACTGCTTACTGTACTTTAACATTTCTGGCTTACAATTATTAGCTGTTTGAGAAATTTTCAATTTTTGGATTGACAAAAATACTCCATTGCTTTCATTAACTAGTTTGCGTAAAGCTGGATAAAATAAAATTACTTCTGGCCTTAAAAAATGAACTTTTACTTCATTAGAAGCAAATTGACTAATTTGATCTAGAATTAAAATTCAAATTAAAGTAACACCAGAATCAATGTTGATGAATTAAAGAAAGTATTTTTTTTCAATTGACTTATTTATGCAAATATATTACCTGCAGATGTGATGCCAACATGTTTGTGTGGAAAAAAAGCCAATTTATTGGGACCAACCCATGATGCAGCAGCACCTGCTCTTTTGCACAATTCATCTGGTATTGCCTAAATTAAAAAGTTTTATTATTGCATTAATTAGGTTCTCATACAGATTTATTATTCTAAGATTCACAATAACAAAATTCATAACACATTTCGACTTCTGCGATTTTTAAGAGATTAGAACTTTTTCAAATTATATAAACCAATTCATTAGTGAATCAAATTAGCAGTAATTTCAATAAATGCACATTTAAAAAAATTAAACCATTGGTAAACAAATTTTTCTTGATAATGTTTAAAAGCCGGTAATATGAGTTGAGGTTACATGAACGTAAACATAATTTAAATTTCACATACAACTATAGGTGATTTGCTTGTTTCAGTCATGATGAACAATAATTTGGCAGATTTCCTTCTACGTTAAAAAAACTCTAACTCTTATTTCAGAGATTAATTAAAATGCCTAACTTGATAACGATTCACACTTATGCTTTGTGTTCGTTTTGCAATTCACCCCTTCAAAAGGTTAGCTGGAACACACGCGCCGAAAATATTTTTGACGTCTCCATCTACAGTGACAACTTGGTATTTGTATTGTATTGAACATTTTTATGAACATGTTTTAAAAATTAAATTTTGACAGTTTTTAACAATGTATATTTAATGGGTATATTATTCAAGCATAAGTCTTTGATATTAGATTTTATAAATTTCCTTTATTTAAAACAACATTAAACAACAAAGAAAGTATGAAATGCCTGATAAAATAAGATATTGATGATCATAATTTCACCTGGCAAATGTAAAAGTATCAACAGTTATTTGGTACATTTTTTAAACATTTATTTACATGAAATTTTTAGTAAAATTTACATTAAGCTTTTTGAGATGCAATAATTTCTTTTAAATCAGCTGGTTTGTCTTCATCAGATTCATCATCTTCAATGTCACTGAAGTCATTTTCTTCATCGTAATCCTGAATGGATAAACTCTTGGTATCTTTCCTAGTTATGACTCTTCGGCTTGCTCTATAATTATATTCAACAATTTCTGGGTATTTTTCACAAAGCGATTTGTACGCAGTAGTAATTCTATTAATATCTTCAACTGATAAATATGTGGCTTTAACATTAGGATCAACATTAGCCATGTTGAATAGTTCATCTGCCATTGGAATTTGTGATACTTTAGGAAATAGTGTTCTTGCACATTTAATGCAGCGTTTTTGCTTGAAACTAAACATGTGACGCGTAATTTTTTCAAAAAGTTTGAATTCATGCCTTGTTCGTGGTCTTTCTAGTGGAACAAATGTCACAACTCCTACATCTACGTCTGGTTTTGGTACAAATGCTTCTCCAGGTATAATAAATCGTAACTTTGGTGTTGTAAAAGCCTGAGCCATAACAGATAATCTGCATCTATGTGGTTGTTCAACTTCAGCAACTAGACGATCTGCAACTTCTTTTTGAAATGTCAATGTCATTTTCACTCTGCCATGAGCCCATGCTCCTCTTTGTTCGCTCATGGCATGCAGCCATTTGATGATGAGAATGGTTGATATGCTAAATGGTAAATTTCCCACAATGTAAATAGGAGGGCAATCATCTTCCCAGTCTCTGGCATTTTCTGCTGAGAAAAGTGATTTGGTGTCCACTGATAAAATATCATCATAAAAAATATCAACTTTTCCATTAACTGTTTTATATGCATCTTGAAGCATTTCCAATGTAGGCTTGAATCTTTTGTCTTTTTCAACAATTACCAGTTTTTTTGGCAGTCTTCTCAAGATTGATCTTGTAATGGCTCCTGGTCCAGCACCAACTTCCAGAACTTCTGAATTGGGCACTTTACCAACGTACTTCACAATTTTGTTTGTTATATTCTCATCGAGCAGAAAGTTCTGAGATAACTGTTTTACAGCCTGCAGACGATACATCTTGATGATGTTTCTCACTGAGGGTAGAGGAGGTAACCTCAAAGCTGACATTCTTATAAAATAAAATAAAACTACAAATAATTAATAAAAAAAAACTGCTAGGGGGTGAATTAGAATTCGTGCGCTATGAGCAAATTATTAAACGAAAACCTTGGACACTAATCTACTTCTCGACGACGACTTTTTCTGGCTCATTGAAGTCATCCAAAAATGATTCCTGTTTGATAGCTATCATACTGTAAGCGTAGATGGATGCCACCATGCAGCCGAGGCCAACCCCGATGAAGCGGTTCCTCGTGCGAATTCCACGCCACTGAGCTACGCGTTCGTCGTTCTGTTTCTGCACTCGTTTCATGTACTCTCGCTGAATGGCAGAGACTTTGTCCTTTGAAAGATCGACTTTTTTCATCTGGTCTCCATCGGCCATTATTTTAATGTAGTATTTTTATTCTCTCGGCGCAACGATGAAGTATGATTTTCGTGCGTTCACGCAGCTTTTACATGACACAATGTAACAAAGCTGTCAAATTGGACTCAGCAATTCTTGAGCCACTTGTCTCGAAATGTACAAACCTTCGATTTATTTGCAACTGTACGTGCAGACCGTTGGCAGTAGACTAACTTGCAAATTACGGTGCTGCAAAAATAAGTTTTGGGAGAAAACAGTACAACTATTAATGCGATCTTTGGACGACTAATTTTCGATACCCCTACTTACTTTCTTTTCGAAACCCCCAACTGATTATTTATTCGCAAAAATTTTACGCAATGTTCGGTAACGATACGTGCAAACAACGAGAATGGGTATGATAACTTCGAACTCCTCTATTGCCGCATCGTCGTCTGCGCGCGTTTCGCTTTCTCGCGACACACGTGCAGAATCTCGTCGTGGCCCCTGTGTGTCATGCCTCCCTCTGTGTTTTCGAGTTTTTTAAAAATTCGCAAAGTGGTATTTTTTATGTATAATGTAAATGATAAAAAAAGTAATTTTAACTTGATTGTAAGAACTTTTATTCGCCTTATGTGATAATTGTTATAAAATGTTGTCTCTGCATATAAATGTAAGCTATGCAGTTACTTGCACCATTCATTGGGAAAAATGTTTTCATTTGAATTATTTAAAAATTGAAGTTGTAGTTCGTAGTTATAATGTATTAAAAATAATATTTAATTGTTTTTGTACAACCTAATTTACAAGACACTATTTTTTAATAAAAATTCAATTTATTTTTTTGCATCCTTTGAAAACTTCATCCTTTTAGGTTTCTTTGTGAAGAGATCTGTAATAAAAAATTTTAAAACACTATTAGTTCTGCATTCTGTACATAAAGTATAAAGAAAATGAAATTAAGATATTTACCTCTGTCTGGTTTCTCTCCAACTTCTTCCTCATAATACTGAGCATCATCGTCCTCATCAGATTCATGAACTTTTTCAGATTCTTTAGCATACTTCTGCAGAAGAATTTCACTTTCCTTCTTTTTCCTCTTCATGCCCTCCAATGATTTATTTTTGTGCTCTTCTTTCTTAAGTTCTTTGTTCTTCTTATTTTCTTCTTGTTTCTTTGTGGCTAGTGCCTTTGCTTTACGTTTTTTGGCTCGTGCCTTTTCTAGTGCTGCAACTTCTTCGTCTGTCTTATGGATAAATTCATGGAATAGTACTTGACCTTCCAAAAGTCCATCTTCTACTTTTATTAATGACATATTGATTCTTGGTCCAATTTCATACAAACGTATGGCACTTTTACTGTCTTCGTTACATCCTCTGGAAGATAATTTTTGTGGCAATATAACATGATGATCAGGATCATCTTCAGCTTCACTGTCTGAAACAGCAGGCTTTTTTACAAAGTCCTCAAAATCTTTGCATTTGCCAAGATTTGGTATTTTTGCTTGGACTAGCTTCTTAACACTTTTTGTTAAACCAACAGGCACTACCTTGATAGCGTAATGCCTAAAATCTATAGTTTTATCATCTTTGTTATAACTTAGACAGATACATCTTCTGAGATTACTTAAATTTATAGTAGCCAAGTTGATAGCTGGAAACATGTTTTGGAACATGCTTGCCATCAATTTGAATTGCAATCCTTCTCCAGAGAATTGATTTAAAATAACTAAAGGTGAATGTTTGAAAGCCTCTGTAAATACCATTTGCTTTTTCATTGATGAAATCACATCTCGTGCCAACGTGAAATCATTGACTTTGAATGAAAGCGTGGGTCCTCTAGGCATCCTAGCGTAACATAATAAATGGTAAAAAATTGTAAAAACCTTCCTTCAAATCATGAAAATTTTATAAACGAAAAAAGACAACTTACCTTCCAAATTTGAGATACATTCCTCGTTCAGTACAAGAGAAAATAACAATGTGTGAAACATGCAAAGGGCCAGCTACTTGCACAAAATCTTTGAGAAAGTTTCTCTTTCTTTCCTTCAAATCGGTGGCCGTGAAGGGTTCCATAACTCTACGAAAATCTTTCGTAAGTTCAACAACATGTTCGGTAGATAAACCTCTGTGAATAACAAATGAATGCGGTGCTGTCACAAGTGATACATCCTCGACATCTTCCGTTTTTTTATTATTCTTTACACAACGTCCCTACGAAACACAAAAATCATTGTTATTTTTCGTAAAAACAATTACAGGACACGCACAATGTCGATATTTCAATATTTCTATATTACCTTCTTTCTGCGACCCATTTTTTAATTTGTTTTTTAACGATAAACCAGCTTTAATTAAACGAAATCAGCTCTACCACGTGCTACGCGGTATAATAGCCGACAATAACTCGACTTGAAATGTTCTGCTCTGTTCTCACACACTTGTGCATATCTAACCTGAAAATGTCATATTACCTTAGGCTTGCGTCGTACGCAGACGTTGCAATGCGCATTACGTTAAAATGTGGGAAATTCGGATTTTAGAACTATGTCACTGCAGAGCGTAGAGACGGAGATTGAACATAAACTTGACAATTTTACAGTGCATAACAAAAACGTTTTGTTTTAACTTAAAAGTTTTAATAGTGATATCATAATAGTAATTTGATTCATTGTGTAAAGTTAACCATCGACTAAATAGTGTTATCGTAGGAAAAATATGGTATGTTATTGTTGAGTAAATAAATATATAGTAGTCATTTTGAGAATAATATGTTTCTATTGTAATTTTGAATTTGTGAATTTGTTGAATTATATCTTCATTGGTGTATACGATTTAACCGCCTTGAACAGCCAACAGTACCGAAATGTACCCTGCCGAGCTTTTGATAATCTGTAAAAAAAACGGTTATAATTAAAATTTTTTCGAAATTTACGATACGTAATAACTTAGTAAAATTTTGTCTTATTTTATGAATGAATTTTGAATTTTTCGTTAGTTGTTTTTTCACAAAGTTGAATTGAACTACCAAATCGAGGCATATTCCAACCGTTCAAAATTCATTCTGTAACTGTTTTACAGCCCTACGGTGGAAATGCATTTACGAACATTGAGATAAGCGTTGAGCGAGAGGTAGAAAAATTTTCCCGCGGTAAATCTCAGCGGAAATTCCGTCCTGATCATTATTATCACCAATTGTCGAGAATAGCTCGAAGGCAGCAGATGCCAATCGTAGCTGTAGACGGCATCGGCGATTCCCTCGCTCTGTATCGTGTAACGAAGTGCGTTAGTTTACTAAATCACAAAAAAAGGACTCAATTATTTAATCCTGGTATATAATTACGTATTCGGCCAGAAGCTCACTGGCTATGCAGTAGATGAACATGTGAATCATGAGATTGAGAGCGGTTCCGCTGAGGGTGAATATCTGCACGATGGCTGCACCATTGTCGTCGGACTCGAGCGACTGAAGATTTTTTTTATTCGAATATAAAAAGCGAATCAGTCGACATCATATAGAATAATTGAATGGATTTATTGTAAAAAACGAATACGGACGTTGATACTACCGAATATTAGAAAGCAAATGATCAGTGTCAAGCTGACAGTCTGCACGAGTATGATCATATTGAAGGCTTTTTCTACCAAATTCACGAATCTAAAAGATTCAATTTTTGCGATGAGTCGATCGTACGATAATTAAAGTGTTTCGCATCAAATACACGCGAATACCTAATCACGAGAAGGTGATGCTCGACGAAGGCCGCCAATCGTCCACAGAACTCGCCTCCTTTATCACCGGCCATCGTGACGACGGGCAACTCCCGAATCATCCGGCTCAACAGCTGGCACTGGGCGCAGGCGTGAAAGGCCAGGGCGCCGAAAAAGTTGTCGGGCACCGAGAAGCCGATACCGGCGAAACTCGCCGTCAGCACCTGCGACGCGTAAACCACCTCGTAGACGGGCGTCTCGTGAAACTCGAACGGATAGTAGGTCTGGAAGGGCAGAAAAGAGCCGCTGGCGAGATCGTCGGTGACGTTGTTGACGATGCGCACGCTCAGGCCCAGGAAGGGCGTGAACATGAAGCCGACGAAGCAGACGCCCATGATGGCGTAGCCGCTCATGGTGAAGAGCTTGGCGCGTCGGGCTTGGCGGAGCATCACGACTCGAGACGAGTCGCGTTGAGCGCCGCGCCGCCAGTGGTCCGAGGCCAGCTGCAGGATCGGCTCGAAGACTAATTGTCATTTAATTTCGTTCAACGTTGGGAGGAAGATAAATTTTGTTTTTTTTTTTTATTAAAATAGACATAGATACGTTTTCGAGAGTTCCAAAGTAGAAAGAGCTTGATGGTCGAGGTAGCGGCGATGCAAACCGTCGTCAAATTGTCGATCACCAGGGAGAAGTCTTGCCAGACGAGATTGAGAGCGTAAAGTTGCGGCACGATTATGCCGAGTATCAGACCGGCTACCATCAACGGGACGCTCAGCGCGATCAATTTTTTCCACACGGTTTTTGGTGCCTGGTCTTCATCTTCTTCATTTGGCCAGATGCCGATTATCTTCAGACTTAGACGGTTCAGACCGAAAGCCCAGTGAAAACCTAGGTATAACGGTTGTACAGAGTTTTTCGTGATGATCGAATTAACGAAATATTTTTTCATGAATATTAAACTATCTTTACCTGGGTTTTCATCTTTTGACGATCGCGTCAGAGTCATGATTTTTTTACCCAATTTAAAAAAACGTAGTCGAGTTGTAAGTAAAAAGAAAAGCGCATAGATAGTGTATATCGATTACGAATATTATGAAAATTATCATAGTCGTCGTAAAATTGAATCGCGCATAGATAATAGGAAGATTACCCCCAATTCGATAAATTATGCTTATTAAATCTGGTAAAAAGCTCACGGGTAGCGCGCGACGCATAAAATAGGATAAGAAATAGCTCCACGATATGTAAGTTGGAAAAGTAGTTAAGTATTCGTCAAGAAAGGGTAAAACTTTAGTGATAGTGTAACACAGCTTATATACCATAATAATATTGGCATCAAATGCAAGAAGCTTCTTAGTTTGTCGTAATAATTTTATTATCATATATTTCTTAATATCTTACACGTTAATTGATCAATGAGTATACAATGAACTTATTAAAGTAGGTACGAAATTAATTAATCTAATTATTATTCACAATATTTTACTTGTCAGTCGGCGCTTAACGCGTGTAGGCACTACAATAATCGTATAAAAGAATTATCTATAACATTTATTTTTTTCAATTTATTTAATACCAGCGAAGTTTGAAATATCACCTTCCTAAGAAACGGACTATAGCTAGCCAATTTCTCGGAGTAATGATGGATGGCTTTAAAAAATTGTTTTTTCCAAATGGCAAAATGAAAATCTTACAAAAAAAAATTATTAGACCCTAAAATCTCTCATCTCATGAGTAAATCTCGTACTAGCTGGACGCGCCGGAATACTGATTAGTTTTGTGTGGCACGGGTAGTATGGACGGATTGACGTCGAGGCTTCGACTGGCCAGCGGCGTCATGGCGGGTGAGAAACTCGGACTCAGAGCCATCGACGGGAAGTCCGAGACGTCGTAGTCGATCGGCGACTTGGGCACGATCCTACCGGTACCGCTTCCGCTGTTCATCGGCAAATTGTGAGACTTGATGGTGGCCGATGACGACGACGAGGCAGCCGCCGCTGCTGCCGCCCCCGAGGACACATGCACCAGCAGAGACTTGAGCTTGGCCTCGGCCTGCTCGCTCAACTGCTGCTGCTGCAGAAAGGCATTGAGATTGCGCGTGTCGTCCTTCAGTCGGGCTATCTCGCTGAACACGTGGGCCATCGACTGGTACTCCGGGCTCCAGTCGAGCAGGCAGTTCCAATCGTAGAAGACGCTCGACTGCTCCTCGAAGCTGCTGCCGGCGAGCTCGGGCGCGCTCGGGCTCTGCTCGCTCAGCTGCTGCAGCTGCTGCTGGACACCACCGATGTTGGCCTGCAGCGCGTCGATCTTACGCCGACACTCGTACACGCTCGAGTACTTGTCCGACATATCGTCGTCGTCGTCGTCGTCCATATTGACTTCGGCGCCGCCCTGGTGCCCATGCTCTCCGCCGCCGTTGTTGGAGGAGCCCTGCTTGCTACCCGGCGCCAGGGCCGCCTCGACGATGCCCAGCCTCGCCAGATAGTCCTGTATGTTCTGTATCGAGGCGTTGCTCAGATCGTCCACCAGTATCTCGGACTTGTTGTACATGACGATCTCCTCGTCGTCGTCCAAGTCCTCGTCGTCGAGGTCCTCCTCGGCGTTGTCGTCCTCCCCCGAGCCGTGGCCCGACGAGCCCGACTGATTGCTCAGCGACAGCTCCGACAGGAAGATCTCCTCGGGCTGGCTGTACTCGGCGTAATTCGACAGGATGTTGTTGAAGTCCGACGTCTGGGACTGATGATAGGCGTTGGTGATCTGGCTCACTGTCTCGGCCGTGGCGTAATTCACCTCGCTCGCGGCCAACTGACGCTTCGACGACGACACGCTCGGGGCGGCGGCCAAGTTGGCGAACGGGTAAGCCGAAGATTTTGCAAAATTACCGCTACTAGCCGCCGCGGCAGCAGCAGCCGCAGCAGCTGCAGCCTGCACGGCTATGTTCGTCTCGACCTTGAGACTCGGGCCACCGGGGATACCACCACCGGGTGACCTCTTGCCTCGCTGCTGGCCGTAAAAGTGCCGGTACGAGAGCACACCGAGAAAACCGGCGACGAGCATGAGCAAGGTAACCCCGATCCAAACGACGAGCTTCTCGTTGCCCGGCTGCGCCGTCTCGTTGATCACGTCGTCGTAGCCCGTCAAGCCGTGAATCGAGTCAGAGTTCTTGCTCGACGAGCCGGAGCCAGTGCCGCCAGCTACCGAGCTCGTCGTCGCGTAGACGATCTCGACCAGCGTCAGATTGCCCAGGGAATTCACCTCGCCGCTGTCGGCTCGCACCAGCAGCTTCAGCTTGCTACTGCTCTGCGATAACAGAGAAGCCAGCAGCGTACGATTGGGCTTGAATATCAGCGCCCCGGAGGTGGGATCGACGCGGAAGAGCGGATGTCGCGTGACCAGGTGATAGGTGGTGTTGCCGTCGGGACCCGCGTCCGCGTCCTGCGCCATCACGTAGCCCACGATCTTCTCCTTGCGTATCTGCGCGGCGTTCACCACCCTGAAGCGATAGACGCGCTCGCTGAACTGCGGATGGAACTCGTCGCGCGACCTGATCTCCAGCTGCACCTGCGCTTCGGCGTAGTTGTTGTCGCGGTCGGTGGCGCGTATCGCGAAACGATAGCTCTTACGGCGCTCGTAGTCAAACGACTCGCTGCTCGTCACCAGACCCGAGGATGGATCGATCCTGAAGTAACGCTCGTCCGTGTCGCTGTCGGACCCGCTCGAGAAGATGTCCGCTTGCTGCTCCGCGGCCGCCGCCGCTGCCGGGGCGATCGAGTACGTGAACTGGCCGTGAGCGCCCGGGCCGTCGAGATCGATGGCTCGGGCGATCAGAGTCAGCGGCTCGTTCTCGTAGACGACCCGGCGATAAGTCGACGAGGCGAATCTCGGCAGGTTGTCGTTGACGTTGATCAGGAGTATCTGAAGCCGAGCCAGCGAGCAGAGGCTCGCTCGAGGATCCTTGTCGCAGGCCAGCGCCACGAGGTACTGGGACTCAGCCGAGTTTCCACCGATGTCGCAGTCGGGACTGCGCGTGATCGTCACGCTGCCCGTGGACTCGTTGACCCTGAACAGATTCGCGTCGCTGGCGGACATGAGCTCGAAGCCGACCTCGCCGGCCAGGTCGACGTCGTCGTCGCGAACCTCGAGCGTGGCGAGCGTGTTGCCGATAGGAATATCTTCTTTGATCGTAAGATAAGTCTCGTTATTTTTAAAGATCGGCCTATTGTCGTTGACATCCTGCACCTGCACGTGGATATTGATCGAGTTCTCCGAAGCACTGTCGAGGCCATTCTTCAAATTGACAAACAACCTGAGAAGAAAACAAAATTCATGAAATGGACGCAATATAAATTATTCAATACATAAGTACAGCACAGTACCTCTCGTATTTTTCACGATCCAATTTCTCCACCAGCACGACGCTGTCACCGGATACTTGGAAGTATTTACTTCCGTTGCCGCTGATCGTCTGGTACAGCTGCTGCTGTTGCTGCTCGTACGTGCCGTTTCCGTGATGGAATCTGTAAAGACTCGTGCCCAGGGTGGCGTTCTCCTTCAGGCTGACCTTGACGTTCTGATTGACCAGGTGAGCGTCGCCACCCTGCAAACGCACCAGCAGAGTCGCCAAGCCGCTGAGCTGAGGATTGCCGTTGTCGCGAGCGATCACCGTCAGCTCGATCTCATCGTTATTGGTGCTGGTAGAACTGCTACCGAGCAATGAATTTTCAAACGATATAGTCCCGTTGTAGGGATTGATGGCGAATCTCTCGACTGGCTGAAGCAAGTCGTAAGCTATGACGTTGTTGCGATTGGACGAGTCGTTGTCGCTCGCTTCGATGTCCGTGATCGTGTGCAGTTTTTGGTGCTCTGCTCGATTTTTCGATATAAAAAAGAAAACAATTTTAAGGTATCAAGATTGTAAATTTTACTTGATAAACAATAACATTATGAATTGATAAAGATGACTCACGAGAAAGCGTAGCGAGATAGACGAGCTGCTTGAAGCGCGGCGGATTGTCGTTTACGTCGACCACGACGACTTTAAGATCGATGGCCACTTTGTGCTCGCCGTCGCTCGAGGTCACGCGTAGACCATACTCCGACCGAGCCTCGGCGTCCAGCGGTTCGACGATGAAGATTCGACCGCCGTAACGATCGATAGAGAAGCTGGAGCTGGTCGGGACGTTGCTCAGTTCGTACGTGAGTAGAGACGAGCTGTCGACGTCGTTTGCCGTAACCGTGGCCAATATAGCCCCGGGTGCGGCATCTGCAACACGTTCATTGGAAGTTTTTTGAGAATGATAATCAGGAAAATTATTTTAGAAGCAGCGAGCTTCGAGGCTGATTCGCTTGGTAACTGGAAAAATATACAGAGTGCCGCTGCGTTTGGGAGTGACGACAGGACGCGCGTAGAAATGCACATTATATTCATCTGAAAGTACAGGAACTCAAAGTATACCTTATTGGGGATGTAATCATGGAGATAAGACGATTAAAAATTCGATCTCTTGGTTAACACAAAAATTGCAGCACGATTTGCATTCAAAAATCGATTCTTTTTACGTTTTCAGGAGGAAAATTAAAATAAATAACAGTTTCTCAGAGTTTCAATATCTCTTAAATTTTATATGCACGATTATTTTATCCCAATAGAATTATTATTTATTCGAATTATATTTATTTTATTAGAATATTTTCCTTTTAAACTAAATGAGTTGGATATTTTCCTTATGAAGCGAATGAGCTGAAAAAATCAAGTACCAGACTAGTCATTTTTTGACAACTTTTCCTGCGAAAACTCATCCGGGACATCTCATCCTAGACACTTCATCTTGGGAGACTATTCATCCTCAACAAAAATCGAAAAAATCACCACGTGAACAATTTAACAAAATTGAAATTGGTTGGGTGGTTAAACGTTAAATTTAATCTCTCTTGTAGCTGTAAATTTTCCGCTTTAAAAAACGCTGAAAAATAGTTTTACATTTTTTATGTAAAACTAATCTCTGCTTTTGATTGGAAACATAAAAGTAGCAAAACCAACGTTGCTCTTTAAAGTATTTATCTTAAAAGAAAAATTTTTTTTGGATTTTTGTAAAATTTCATTTAGCAACCGTAATACTAAACCTATTAAGAATTGCTTGAACGAGTATTCAATGTAAATTTACATAAGAATTAGCGAAACAGGGTATAGTTGATTTTATCCTATTCTTCTGGTTCTGATGAGGTTCTTAGGGGGTCCCTTTAAAAAGTTTTTTTTTCACCCACATTTTTTATCGATCAAATTCAAGGTCTGAAAAAATACTTAGAACGTGGTTACTTTGATTTTTTAATGATTAAAAAAATGATTAAAATTTTAATCATTGAGAGACAAAGGTATAAAATATTTGAATATGATTTTGGTTTTCTTGTATCTTATTGAGCGATATCACCTAGGGCTCTCACATCTGTGTATATATTTTTTTAAAATTTTTCGTACACCTAACCGTTTTTTCATTATGTTCAATCCTACTCGTGAAAAAATGTACGAATTTCAGAAATGTACATTGATTTTCAAATATTTCGTACAAGAAGAAGTGACCATGGTCTGTGGTTCTGCCCGTAATTGATTAAGGCATCTTTAATGCATATTTATAGCCCGTAATAAAAAAATATTTATTTTAGAATGAACATCATTAAAAATTAAAAAAAAATCAGACGTTTTTGAAATTTGAAACTTTTTTCGAAGCGCTGTAATTGACCGAATCTCCTACAGGGAGCGCTATCTCCCGGCGATGAAAGTGTATACCGTATATCGCATGATTTCTATACTCTCATGAATAATTTGTACGGATGAATCATTTCTCTGTAACGTCTACGCAACGTCGTGTGGTGTGTAATTCTATATGTGCTTCGAACTCTCGCTTACGTGTACGTACTACGTGCGTGTTCGTTCACCGACGTTAATATACAAATGAAAGTATAGGCTAAGTTCCTCGTGGCGTGTAGTATATGCAACTGAGACAGTTAGTGTACGTTGCGACTCCGCTGCGTGAAGAACGAAGAAAGACCGCGTCGACTGCAGCAAGTGATTTTCGCCTCAAAAAAAAAAAAGAAAAAAAAAGTGAATAGTATTTTATATTGTAAGCAACTGTGAATTAACAAGTGAACTACCACAAAATGTATGACCACGAATTTGAGGACAGTGTGTGCGGTGAAGACGTACTCAACCACATCGAAGAAGAAGAAGAAGAACAAGAACAAGAACAAGAATGGCTCGTATATAACTGTAAGAATATATACGATAAAATGGAGAATCTGGAACAATTGAAGAATTTGAGGAAAAATGTTAACTGGCAAAGTCAAAAAGAACGATTCAAACTTCTCTATCACATTTACGAGCTAATCTGCAACTATTCAATAGATCATCATCTCGATCTTCGAGACATCTTTCGGCCCGAAGAAGTTGACTTTCTCCTCATGGATTCTATAAATACTCACAAAGATTATCTACCAACGCTGTTCGTCGGGTTCGTAGCCAAGACCGGTTACAAAGACGCGCCCGAGTGCATCGATAAAACGCTGAGTAGCCGTCGCACCACTGCGGTCCATCGGGCGGCCAGATTCTGGCTACCCAACAAAAACGAGCTGTATCGCGATCTATTTGAAATTTTTAACAGATACGACGTGAACTACGTCGACGAGCGCGGCCTGACGCATTTGCACGTGGCCTGCATGGCGGGCCTCGACGACGTCGTGTGGAATTTCCTGCAGTTAGGCGCCCATCCCAATTGTATTAACCCGGAGACGGGCGATTCACCGCTGAACGTGGCCCTGAAACAACAGCACAAGAACGTGGTCGAACTGCTGCTGAGACACGGCGCCGACCCGAATTTGCCGAACAACAACGGAACGATCCCTTTGCAAATGATTTGCATAAGCGACGATGACGTTTACTTGGTGGACCTGTTTTTCGAGATCTGCAAAGAAAGACATCAGTCGCTACGGGTCAATGTCAAGGACAATTCGGGTCGTAGTCCGCTTCACTATGCCCTGTCTCGTAACCATAAGAGGTTAGCTGGATTGTTGTTAAAAAATGGGGCCGATCCAAACCTAACCGACGCAGAAGGTTTGACGGCTTTGCACACAATTTGCAAAAACACCAGCTGCGACGATGGCTTGATGGAGCTATTCTTCAAAATGAACGAGGGTATGCCTTATAGGGCGGAAGTCGATGCCGTGGACAACTCGGGCCTGACGCCTCTCGAATCGGCGGTAGCAAACCTCTTGCCGAATACGATCGATGTACTTATCGATAACGGTGCGAAGCTGGCCCACTTCGCTTTTCCACATGCGAAACTCTTCGCAGAGAGATTGGAACCGGAGTTGGCCGCTATTTCAATCAATTTCAAGCTGAGACTGGCGTCTGGCCTTCTAGCTGTCGCCGAACGTCTCCAAAAAAAAGGATACGAACTGAAAGACAACGACATCCTGACGATTATGGGATTGTTCGACAAGTTTGGCCTGTTTCAGAAGTCTGAGGATCTTGAAAAGTGTTGGACAGACGACAAGGAATTTGTGGTAAAATCGAAAGTGTTGATGGTAAAATCTGGCCTGTCACTCTATGATCTGATCCAATTACGACCCGAAGAGGCAAAAAAGCGATTATCGTTAATGGAATGCTACAAGTTTGCGACCGTGAGAGAATATTGGTTCCTGCCTGCGAAGCCTAGTCAGGCTTGTGTTGTGCATCTGTGCGAAAAAATAGCGAGAGATAATTTCCGGCGATGGGCACTGGATTCATTCCTGGAGCTGACGCACAACCGACTGCCGATTCTCTGCTGTGAAATGATCTGTGATCAGCTGAATAACGAAGATTTACGCAATATTTGCTTGGCGACTGCGGGACGAAGCTCGTAACAGTCATAAACATATTTGATGTTTTTGTAATGTTTAGGGAATGCGAGTTTTCTCTATTCAAAAGAATAAATGTTCATATGTTTAGAATTTAAGTTTTGGTGTTCAAATTGTGTAATTACATTTTTTTTACCTCATGACCGTATGAAGCAGAGGCGAAAAGAAATCACATATGCTATGTATGACAACGAAGTATAGTTGCATCGACACGTGGGAAAGAAAGATTATGTGCGATAAATCATTTTTATGTAGAAAAATGGTATTTAAAAATTACGATTGTTGTCAAAATTGAAACTACCAATTATTCGTAACATCTAATTTATCAATTTTGGTAAATAAATTTTGGTAAAAAAATTCATCATTTATGACGCGGAAACTTCCTCTTTTGATGGCCTTGGAATTGATCTTGTAGTTACACTACCGAACTGGCACTGTTCTGGATGAAGTCACTTCAGTCACGGCCCATTGATGTGTTTTATTGCCACGTTTTCTCTTACACATTATGTGTTTTTCTATGTATTACATTGCATTAGAATTGGTATTTTTTTCACTTTCGAAATCTATATTGGCTGCAGAATGCTTTTATATATCATGGTAGCAAACGGGTATATACGTTTCTATATAACATGTGTGGCTACGGCTCAGACCCTTGCACGTCACACATGGTAGCAATTGGGTTACATAACCCAATGTATAAAAAGTCTTTTCACAATTTTTTCTCGAAAATTAGTTCGTGGGTAAACGTTATTAAAAAACGATCTGCGCAGGCTAAAAAGCTCCTTCAAGGCTAAAAATTGTATGGTGAAGATGGCTGATGTTATTTTTTATTCTTGTTATAAAATGAACAAGAGGAGCAAAAAAGATGATATGTGGCATGTTGGCCTTGGCGGCTACAGGCCAGAACTAGTGAAAGCAGTTTCTGATGCCAGCGTGTCCATGTCCCATTCATGATATGATGCGTCCCCTCCATTTTCAGGCAACGGTGTTCTGAATCGTGTGAGCAAACTCACGTAACAGCGAGCTTATGAGTATATCCACGCGTTGTGACATGATATGAGACTCACGGCAGCTGCATGCGATTCACGGAGCAGCACCGTGAACTCATGCAAAGACGCGTCATGATAGATTTTTCTCATGAATGAATATTTGTAGTATTTTTTTTGGCTTCAATTTTCTTTTATAATCGCGCGAGTTCGCAGTAATATTTAAAGCAAATCATGAGTTATATGAATTTTTTTTAATCGAAGTCACCATCACGTGCTCGAATGAATATCTTACCTTCTCGGACGAGTATGGTCTGATACTCCGGAAAAGTCGGCCGATTGTCGTTTACGTCCATGACGCGTATGTTGAGGGTCGCGCTGCCAGTCCTCTGGGGACTGCCGCTGTCCGTGGCGATGAGCGTCAGGCTGTAGCGCTCGCGTATCTCGCGATCCAGCACGATGTTGGTGCGCACCACGCCCACACCGGACGACTGCACGACGAAGGCGTTGTCCACGTTGCCGTCGACGATGTTGTAGGTGACCTGGCCGTTGGATTTCTCGTCCTCGTCGATGGCTAGTAGCTGCGCGCAATCGGAAAGGAAAAATTAAACAAATCGTAGTCGCGTTCGTAATATAATTCATTGCTTATTATATACGTACTTTGGCGACGAAGAAATTCTTGGGCTTGCCCTCGGCCACCGTGGCAAAGTACTCGCTTTGCGTGAAAATCGGCGCGTTGTCGTTGGCATCCTTGAGAAACACGTTGAGCTTGGCGTAGGCCTCCCTGACGAGCGGCCCGTCGTCCGGCGTCTTTGCTAAAAGCGTCAGATTGATCGAGCGACCCTTCCACAGCTCGTAGTCCAGCTGGCCGGGGTCGTGCACCCTGATCACCCCGGACTGTCGATCGACCTCGAAACGGCCCTCGTCGTCGCCCGCCCCGATGTAGTACGACACCTGCTGCTTGCGGCCGTTGTACCTGAGCGCCGTCACCTGCAGAATCTCCGTGCGAGCGGGCAGATTTTCTCGGATCTCGATCGTGTAGACGCTGCTCTGGAATTGCAGCGCGGCCGCGTTGGCGTGTAGATGATCCGTAGCGGTAGCGCCACGACCCACGAGTCGAAACTCCACGAGGGCTTGCGTACGTAGAGACGGAGTGCCCTTATCCGCGGCCACGACTTTCAAGCGATACAGTCTCGTCTCGTTTTCGCGCAGCGACTGCGTCGCGCTGATAGAGCCGGATCTCTCGTTGATGATGAATTTTTTCGCGTCGCCGTCGTCCACGTCGTCGTGCACGATAGTGTAAACGATTTGGCCGTTGAGCTCGTCGTCGGCGTCGCGAGCCTCGACTCGTAACACCTCCTGGTTCGCCGGGGTGTCGGCCGGCAGATCGATTTGGTAAAGGTACTCGTTGAATACGGGACGATTGTCGTTGACGTCTTTCACGTAGATGTCGACGCGGCAGAACGTCGATCGCACTGTCGACCTGCCGCTGTCCGTTGCCAGAACTTTGAACGAGTAGTGCTTGCGCTTTTCGTAATCGATAGGTCTGGAAAGCAACGTGCCCAGATTAGGATACGGTTTTGGCGTAAAAAAATTAACAAACAGCAGTATAATTTCTTTATGATTTTTGTTAAATAATATTGAAGTAAAATTAAAACACACGAATATAGTTTTAATTGAATAAAAAAAGAAATTAAATATTTTTTATTTATGTACATAATGAACACTCATTGTTAAACAAAATTAGTACTATTTCTATTACAAACATATGAATAAAAGTTTTCTTATAATTATGATTTTATTGAAATGTAGCTATTTTCTATACAGTTGAATTTTTTTCAGTACCCGGAAGTAAACCCGTTACAAAAATGAGAGCGATCATGAGCTTGGCACCATGCAAATATTGCGTAAATCTTCGTTATTCAGCTGATCAATGATTATATCACAACAGAGAATTGGCAGTCGGTAGTGCGTCAGCTCCATGAAAGAATCGAGAACCCATCGCCGGAAAAAGTTTCTCAATAGTTTCTCGCAGAAATGCCCGGCGCAAGCCTCAACATGCTTTTTGAGGAATGAATCGAAGTAACCAGCTTGGGTGTACTTCTCGTAGACCGAATATGTGACTCGTTTTTCCGCCTGTTTGGTTTTTGAACGGATCAAGTCGTAGAGCGACAAGCTTGGATTCACCATTACTTTTTTCGCTTTGCTCGCGAATTCCTCGTCGTTATACCAAGATTTTTCAAGATTCTCGAATAATCTGTAATTGTCGAAAGATTTCATGATCACCAGGGCGTCGTTTCGCGTCAGTTCATATCCTCGTTTTTCAAGAAGTTCGACGACAATCGTAGCATCGGATGCAAGACTGAATTTAAAATCGTTTTCAATGTCATAATTTTCTGGTTTAAACCCCTCGGCGAAGTTCGTGGGAAAAACAAAGTTGGACAGATCGGCACCGCGATCCAAAAGAACATCGACGGTATACGGCAAAACATTCGCCACGGCCCACTGAAGGGGCGTCCGACCCAACTTGTCTACGGCGTCGATTTGTACGGTCTCGTGGATATCGTCGTTGATTTTAAAAAATAGCTCTGCCATGCCGTCGTCGTCGTCGCAGTAATCGTCTCTGTTGCAAATAACATGAAGAGGTGTGGATCCATGCTCGTTGACCATATTCGGATCGGCGCCGTGTCTCAGCAACGACTCGACCACCTCCTTGTGACCGCGGTACAGAGCCACGTGTAATGGTGGATCGATCGATTCGTGGGAAAAATTATTGGGATCCTGGCCGAGCTCGAGGTAATCCTCCACGACTTCGCTCGTGCCGTACGCGCAAGCTAGGAGAAAACGCGCGTGTCTCAACCTGTAAATTTCAAGCGAGTGAGAAAATTGTAGCGGCAATAAAGTACGACGCGATATGGCTCATTCTTGTAGCCGGCCGCGAGCCACGAAATTGACGAATCGTTCACCTTGGCCATTTTGATCTCCTTACCTGGGAAGCGTTGGTTCCTTCTGCAGAATCCAATTAATTTCCTTTTGAAAAATGCCTCGGATGTTCAGAGATTGGTAGCCCGGATCATTGAGAAAGTCGCAAAAATGACGAAGAAATTCGTATCGCTCTCTTCGGTTTTCCCAGTTGCACTCGTCACGCATTCTCAGCAATCGTTCTAATTTGTTCGATTGTTCGTTGTATGCGCGACCTTCTTCGCGTAAACTCTCATCGTTCGACGCGGACATGGTTTTGCTCACTAATTCGCGATCACTTTGTATTTTTTTTTTTTCATCAAGATCACTCGATGTTGGCGCGCTGTACTTGTTTCGCGTTTGACAGAACCACCGTTATGCACGAACACGCACGCATGTATGCGAGCGAGACGCAGATCGAGTCGCGCGCGACACTGCACAGTACTTGGATCGTCGTGTTTTTTTTGTTTTAACCACGTGCGATCGTTAAACAGCGCCCTCAAACTATTAACTGCAGCAGCCGGTAAATTGACGCGAGGCGAGGACCGAAGGTTCAAAGCGCGTGGAAGGCTTGTCTCCGTAGGATCTTATGTCGCTACGATTACCTCGTATCTCATACTCGATGCACGTAAAGAAATTTAACTCATAAAAAATAACTCGCAATCGAAGAAACTTACCCTGACGTTGTGATGACTCCCGTTAGATTGTCGATATTGAACTCGTAAAAGGTCTCGTCGCTCATCGAGTAGATGACCTTGCCGTTGACGCCGTGATCCGGATCCACCGCCGTGAGCTTCATCACGCTCGTGCCGATCGGCAGATTCTCCGTGACGTGGGCCTCGTAGCTTCTCGTGGCGTTGCACGACGACGAGCTCGTGGCCTTGTTTCGAGAGCACTCGTCGTCGTCGTCGTCGTCGTCAAAAACATCATCGTTTCGCTTAACCGTGTACTCGTTCTCGATGAAGAGGGGCGCGTTGTCGTTGTCGTCGAGCACCGTGACGGTGAGATTGCAGTAGGACTCGAGGCTCGGCGTGCCCTGATCGCTGGCCTTGATAATCAGCACGTATCTGGCGGTCTTCTCGCGATCGAGACTAGAAGCCGTCAACAGGCCGCTTGTCTCGTCGAGCTCGAACTCGTTGTCGTCGTCGCCCGCGTGAATCGTGTAGACGATCGTGGCGTTCTCGGCCTCGTCCGGATCGTGGGCCGTGACCCGGTGCACGGCCATCGGCGCCCCCTCGCCACTGTTCTCCGGCACCACCAGATGATTTCCCGCGCAGGACTCGGCCGCGAAGCTCGGCCTGTTGTCGTTCTCGTCGAGCACGGCCACGCGCAGCGTCGTCGCGTCCACTTGGCGCTTGGAGCGCGCCAACACCGGCACCGAGTACGAGGCTACTCGCTCGCGATCCAGGGCGGCCCTGAGCACGACGCCGCCGTCGCTCAGCACCTCGAATTCGGCGCTGTACTGCCGCTGCTGCTCCGGCACGGAGAAAGTGACGTTCTCGAAGTACGACAGGGTGAACTGCTCGAGATCGGCGATCCTCGTGCCTATTCGCGTCGTCTCGGACACTCGCACGCTCGGCTGAGAGTAAAAGATCTGCGACGACGAGATCTTCTGCGCCTGCCCGTTGCTGATCAGTCGGAGCCTCATGCTGGTCGATCTGCTCGTGGGCGAGCCTTGGTCGCTGGCCACTACGTCGATCTCGAGGCCGCTGTCCGGCAGCGATCTCAGCAGGCTCAAGCTGCCCGTTGTCTCGTTCAGGCTCACGTAGTTTTGCTCGCGCTTGAGGTGATAGGTCACGCGGCCGTTCTCGCCGCTGTCCTCGTCGACGGCGATTATACGCTGGATCTGCGAGCCTTTCTTGGCGTTCACTGGTACGAGCAGCGGTGCCTCGCCGTTTCGCGGCACGACGAAACGCGGATCGTTGTCGTTCTCGTCCAGCAGGCCGATCCTCACCGAGCACCACGAGCTACGACTTCCCGCCTCGGCCTTGACGCGGAAAAAGTACTCGGACACGGTCTCGTAATCCAGACGCTTCTTCAGCGACAGTATGCCCGTGATGGCGTCCAGATGAAAGAGATCGGCCGAGCCCGGCGGATGCTCGTTGCTCATGCTGTATCTCAGCTCGACGTCGCCGTCGTTGTCGGCGTCCTGCGCTCGGAACTGATGGATGCGCGAGCCCAGCGCGGCGCACTCCGACATCTCGATGAACACCGGATCCTCGGGCCAGGCGGGCGCGTTGTCGTCCACGTCGAGGACGACGCAGGTCACCGAGAACAGCACCGAGACTCCACCGCCGGTGGCGGTGAGATCCACCGCCTCGATCTCGAGATTGTACTCGAGGACCTTTTCGTAATCGAGGCTGTCGGTGACGATTATTTTTCCGCTCGGTGATTCGACCTCGAACAGAGTCGAGCTGTCTGCCGGTGTCACGGACAGAATCGTGTAGTTGACGCGATGACCGGCGCTGAAGATGCGCGGCAGACTGCCGATCTGCTCGCCTACGTCGATGTCCTCATACACCTGTAGTGGGACGATCGAGCGAATATCATTATTTTTGCAGTTCGTCAAAAGACACAGCTGATATTATAATATAGTAATTACCTCGAAACGCAATACATAGTTGGAAGAGATGCGTTGCTGATCCGTCAGGGAGATGACTCTGACTCGAAGAGAATCGACGCTCTGTCGTGGTGGATTGCCGAGATCGGTCGCGGCGACCAAGACGTCGTAAGAGTCGCACTCCTCTTGGACCAGCACCTCCCTGAGTCTTATCACGCCGCTGCTCTCGTCGATGCTGAACATTTCGTGGCTTCGAGTCTTATTTTCTATACGTAAAACAAATGTGGTTATTTACAAAGCGAATCAAAATCACATACTTTATCGTTACGACTTACCGGGCTTGATGGAATAAGCGATTCGCCCATTGTCACCGGCGTCGTAATCCACAGCCTGCATCTGCACGACGAACGTGTTGACCGGCTGATACTCTCGCGCGTGCACAGCGAGATCTTTGCGCGTGAGAAAGATCGGCGAGTTGTCGTTGGCGTCGAGCACCCTGATCTCCAGCGGCACCCTGGCCACCAGCCTCGGGCTGCCGTGATCGTGCGCCTCCACCACGTACCTGTACAGCTCGGTGGTCTCGCGATCCAGCTGACTCGCTCTGATCGTGATCTTGCCCGACCTCGGGTCGATCTTCACGTGATCGTCCTGCGGCCTGAGCGAATACTCGAGTCGCGAGTTGTCGGCTTGATCAGCGTCGTGAGCCACCAAATCCAGCAGATACACGTCGGCCTCGGCGTTCTCCACGATCTCGTAGGAGTAGGAGTCGCGCGCGAATCGAGGCGGATTGTCGTTCTCGTCGAGCACCTGGATGCGAAGCTCGACGGTGGCCGTGAGGGGAAACAGGCCGCAATCGCTGGCTTGGATGCGAAATACGTGACTGTCGTTGGCCTCGCGATCGAAGCCACGATTCAGCGTCAGCCAGCCCGTGTCGGGATTGATGTCGAGCGGGCCCGAGTCGTTGTCGTCGTCGAGGATCTGATACTGAAGACGGGCGTTTCTGCCCGAGTCGCTGTCGCTCGCTTGTAGCTTGAATATCTGAAGTACACGCGAATAAATGAATAAAAAAAAATCGATCGTTTATTTTATTTTTATAATCATAATGCAGGACTCACGGGATAAGGCGAGTGGTAATTTTCCTTGATCGTCAAGAATATCCGATCCTGCTCGAAAATCGGACTGTTGTCGTTGACGTCCTGCACCTCGACGTCCAGCTCGAGCTTGGACTGCAGCCCGTCGCCGTCTTGCGCCACCACAACCAGCCGATGTCTCTGTTGTCGCTCGTAATCCAGCCGAGCGATGAGAAATATCTCGCCGGACTCGGCGTCGCAGCCGAACAGCTGCTGCTCCTGCTTGTCCTTGATCGAGTATCGCACGGGGATTCCACTCGGTACTACGTCCCGATCCCGAGCGCTGGCTATGTACAGGGTGCTGTGCAGCGCGTACGATTCGGGCACGGATATCCTCGCCTGGGTCAGCTGGAACTCGGGTGGATTGTCGTTGACGTCGACGACTCGCACCTCGATCTGGCAGTAGCCGACGGAGACGGTGTCGTTGAGACGGACGCTCAGTAGGTAGTGATCGCGGGCCTCGCGATCCAGTGGCCGTTTGGTGCGCAGAGCACCCGTCGAAGTGTCCAGTAGCCAGTCGGCGTTGTCCCGGGGCTGCAGGGAGAACGAGTAGCCGCTACCGCTACTGCCACTGCTGCTGGTAGCGGCGACCTCGACGAAACCGATCTCCGAATCGATCGGCAGATCTTCCCTCGCCTCCACGATCTGCCGCGGCCAACTGCACCGAACGAACGACGAGTTTTTCAGCACCGCGGTGATCCTTACGACGGCCTCGTTCTTGCTCTTCAGGCCGCCGTAGTCTATAGCCACCACGTGAAACTGATAGACCACGTGATTGTTGACGAGGTCCGGCCGATCGAGAAAGATCTCGCCCGTGTCCTTGTCGATGCGAAACACGTCCTGGCCGCCCTGGCTGTTGAGAAAGTAGTACTGCACGCGGCCGAAGTAGCCGGCGTCGGCGTCGTGGGCCGAGCAGCGCACGATCGCCGACCGCTGCTGCTTCTGATTATTTAATGCATTGCTGTTGTTGATTTCGATCGTAACGTTGTACTCGCTGCGCAGGAAAGTCGGATGATTGTTGTTTACGTCGATGATGTTGATGCGGACGAGTGAGTACGCGCTCAAACCACCTGTATAAATTTATAAAAGTATAAAAATTGTAGATGGTTCAGGGTTTTTAGAAATGAGATAAGGAACCTTTGTCAACGGCTGCGATTAGGATTTCCTCGACCTCGGACTTTTCTCGGTCCAAATTGTTCTTCAAGCAAACGTCTCCGCTCACTGGATCGACGACGAACAGATCGTCCGAGCTGGTGCTCTTGAAAATCGTGTAATTGATCATGGAGTTGATACCGCAATCGTAGTCCACAGCTGTCATCTGGATACCATAAACGAAAATGTTTAAATTCATTCTTACATCGTATAACTTTATTAATTCCTACCTTGAAGAAACAATTGCCGATGGGAAAATCTTCGGGTAAAGACACGTTGTAGAAAGGCTTATCGAAAACCGGCTCGTTGTTGTCCGAGTCTCTGATGGATACGCGCACCGTCGCGGTGCTCGCCAGAGACGGTTCCCCGAGATCTCGAGCCTCCACCACTAGCACGGGTGTCGCGTCGACGTTGCAATCGATCGGCGATTTGGTCGTTATCAGGCCCGTCTCCTCGTTGATCTCGAACCAGCTGGAGTTTCCCAGTATCGAGTATCTCACTTGGCCGTTGAGCTCCTCATCGGGATCACGGGCCTGGACGCTCACCAGGGAGCTTCCCGGCTCGGCCGAAGCCAACAGATCGCACTCGTAAATCGGCCGATCGAATTCCGGCGCGTTGTCGTTCTCGTCCGAGACGAGAAGCTGGAAACTCTTGGACGCCTTGAGAGGTGGCTGGCCCGAATCGATGGCCTCGACGACGAGCTCGTACCTGGACTTGGACTCGCGATCCAGCAGCTGGTCCTCCACCACGAGATAGAGCGTGTTCTCGTGGGTCGCCAGGCCGAAGTGATTCTCGCCACCGGTGAGATTGACCGTGGCGTTGAGGTACTCGTGCTGCGAGTCCGGATCGCTGATGCTGATGCGCGCCACCAGCTCGCCGGGCGGTGCGTTCTCGCTGACCTTGGGCGAGGCGTCGTCCGACAGGAAGTGCACGTTGATCACGGGCTCGTTGTCGTTCACGTCCACGACGAAGATCGTGACGAAGGTGCTGGCCTCGAGCGGCTGAGCGCCAAGATCGCGCGCCACTACGACTATCTCGTGACGCTCCTTGGTCTCGAAGTCGAGCGGCTTGCCGAGGCTCACCAGGCCCGTGGCCTCGTCGATCTCGAAGATCTTCTCGCGATCGGACTGACGTCGATTGATCGAGTAGACGACGCGTCCGTTGTCGCCCGAATCGGCGTCCCGGGCCTGCAACTGCAGTATCGGCGTGCCCAGCGTCGCGTTCTCGTACAGCTCCACCACGTAGGCGTTCTTCTCGAAGACGGGCGCGTTGTCGTTCACATCCTGCACGGTGACGTTGACCTGCAGCTGGGAGCTGAGCGGTGGCGAGCCACCGTCGAAGGCCTTGATCAGCAGCTGATAGCTCGAGCGCTGCTCGTGATCCAGCGCGACGCTGTTCTGCAGATCGAGATAGAGTATGCCGTCGTAGCCGCGATGCGCCACCAGCTTGAACGAGTCGCCGTGATTGCCGGCGATGATGTCGTAGCGCTGGGTGCTGTAACGATCGAGGTCCGGATCCTTGGCGGGGGGCAGGGCGCGCTTAGAGCCGCGCGGCAGATTCTCCGGGAACTCGATGTCCACGCGCTCCACGGGGAACTGCGGCGCGTTGTCGTTCTCGTCGAGGATCTTGATGACGACGCGCACGTTCTGGGGCAGCACGAGGAGGCTGTAGAGGGGCCGGGACTCGCGATCCAGCCATGCCTTGGACTTGATCTCGCCGGTGACGTGATCGATGCTGAAGTCGCTGTCGATGGCGCTGCCCGAGACCGGCACTATCAGGTAGGGCTTGTTGACGTCGACGTTGATGAAGCCGATACGGGTGCCGGGCGCGGCGCTCTCCGACACCTCGAGGTAGTAGACCTTTTCAGCCGAGCAGCTGCAGCAGCTTATCGACAGTAGCAGCAGCAGCAGAGCCAAGAGGCTCGATCGACGTTCGGAGTCAAGCATGTTGATATCGCTTAGTTCTCGTCACGTGCCCATTACGGTTTTTTCTTTTTTTTTATCGGATCTCACGATCATACTTTCCAACTTTGGCATCCGATTTTACGCACGCATATGCCTCGAGCGCGCGCGTAATAAACGTGTAGCGTGAACTTGACTCTCGCGTACCATATAGGAGGGGTGCAGCGCACAGGTGAAAAAACGACACACACGTGCACCGTGAAGAGAGATTCATTAGAGAACTGCAGCAGGCCGATTGTCGAACTACGCCGAGGAACGCAGAAAACTATTTTACAAAAATCACATCGGAGCTTCGCAATATTATTATACACCTATATTATACAGGGAGAAAATACAGATTCCCCCTCGAGTACTCCACTACCTGTGTGCGTATTCGCGCTCCCGTAATGCACTTAGCTCGACACTGACATGGCGGCAACTGCTCTGCTCTGCCTGTATAAGAGAGTGCAGGAGCATTATATTATACCTTCCTTGCTCTCCTCCGCAGCAGAGAGTCTTCCTTCTCTCCCTTCCCGCGTCCGTATATATATATACAGAGCTTGTTCCGCGCGCAGAGAGAGAGAGAGAGAGAGAGTAAGGTTGAAAGATATGCAAGGCCCAAAAGTAGGGACTCTCTTCCTCGTCGTCGTATATGTATACCGGATCGCATGTAGCGCGCTTAACTCTTTATACGTGTTTGCGCGGTATGTATAGTGTACAAGAGGGAAGCGAGTGAGAGAGAGGAGGAGGAGATGGAACGAGGGATAAAGAGGAGAGGAGAAGAGAAAGAAAAAAAACGATACTTTGCGTTTGGGCTTCGTTTTTGAGAAAGAGAGAGAAAGAGAGAGAAAGAGGAAGGCTCCGTAAGGAATTTCACGAGGAATAAAATATAACTTTCGATCTAGAGAAATCCAATGTTATTTTTATTTTTTCTTACTTTTAGTGACAAAGTCCTTATTAAAAATCATAATATTTTCTGACAAACAAATTCAATATCGTAGAAATAAAATCATGATTGGCGTAATAAAGACACAATCTCTAGTAAATTATACAGCGTCTCTTGAAGATATTTTTTTTTTGTGCTGTGACATAAATGAAAAATGATGCTGGTTTAGTGAATTTTTCGAAAAACACAACTTTCGTAAATGCATAGATGAGTCTTGCTTTATAATAGTTAATATAATAACATTGTTAGTTAAATGCTCATTGTTTTTTTTTGTTGTATATGTTTAATATCAGCCTTCCTTTTTAATTCAGAAAAATGTTTGACAATTTGATTGATAATACAAACGAAAATCGGATTAGAAAAGTCAGTTTTCACACAGATTTCTATGTATATAATATATGGAATGCATGTTTTTTAAGTAACATAATTTCGAAAAATGAACCAACTGCACGCGAGGCAAAAATCATACGATGAAAAAACGTTATCGCGATTGTTTCCGATTGTCTTATTAATTGCTTACTCTACTGTTTAAATTTGTCGTTACGTTTTTAAATTGTGTATAATCGAGTGAGTTTCATGAGCGGGGAAATTGAGCTGTATCAAGGATGAAAAAATGAATGAATATGGGTTCTATTTAATTTATTGTTGATTTGAAATTTGAAATTATTTCTCACGATCCAAGGCTACACAATTTATAGTTTTTTGATTACGATAATAATTATAAGTCTTATGAAAAAACAGTTACAGTAAGTGTTTGTGATAATGAAAATTCAAAATGTTTCCTGTTGGTTATTTTTCTTAAGCTCAAGTACAATGAAAGTCAAAACTGTTTTACTGCAAGATGAAGATCATGAGAGTTTGCATTACATATGGTTACACGTGTATTATATTTATTAGTAATGATAAAATGGTTTGGCTTGAGTATGCATTTTACACTCAAAAATTACTAAACGATCATCCTTTTTTTTGCATTCTTGTTCCAGCTAGACTGATTATTTCTTGCATAATAATACCATTCTTATCTTCAACTTATATTCATTGGTTTTATTTAGTAAGTTACGAAACGTCCTGATCTTCCACATCTTGAAGCTGTTCTTTATGTTCACCTTCACCTGCGAGAATGAAATAAGAATTAATAAAAGTTCAATATGTAACAAATTTCCAAAAAATTACATGAATGTTTAAAAAATAATGTGATTGAGATTCAATGTCCAGTGGGTCTTTTGGTCTTTAAAATTGTTTTAAAAAAGTTTTAAAAGATGGATAAGAGATTGCAGTCAATTGTCACGTAATTTTGGAGCTTTTGCAATAAGCAAAAAATAGTGCTAATTTTTTAAAATGCATAGATGATTTAGAAAAGTATCTATAGTATTTCTATTACCATCTCCCTGCATGTCAGAAGTCCATAACGTGAGATTATCCCTGAGCAGTTGCATGATCAAAGTGGAATCTTTGTAACTTTCTTCGGACAGAGTATCGAGCTCTGCGATGGCGTCGTCGAACGCGGCCTTCGCCAAGCGGCAAGCTCTATCGGGGCTGTTGAGAATTTCGTAATAAAATACAGAAAAGTTGAGAGCCAGTCCGAGACGGATGGGATGTGTTGGCGGTAGGTCTGTCATGGCGATGTCGCTGGCCGCCTTGTACGCCACGAGCGAGTTCTCCGCAGCCTCCTTTCTATCATTGCCAATTGCAAATTCTGCCAAGTAACGATGGTAATCTCCCTTCCTGCGAAATTACAAGAAAAAAATATCATGTTTACATGTGAAGTATGCGAGTTGAGGAAATTCGAGGCTCAGCGAGGTAAACGGGTAAGGTGCCAAACACTTGTGGAACTGCGATGGCGCTATAGATTCACTAATGGAGCATTGACCGGCTCCTATACGTATAGTTAATACCGCTAATGCGTTTGATATGACAATATGACATTGTGTACTTCCATGTACCGTATATACAACGGATCAGCTGAAACGATCGTGCGTCTTACTCATGGTCGAAACGTTTGATAATGCGCTAATTACTGTGCGAGTGTCGAAATAGGAAATTGACTCATGTGTGTTTCTCAAAAAGGAGCGCGTGATATACACGTGACCAGCAGCTGAGAGCAGAAGCAGCAGCAGGCCTTCAACTTACATTTTATAGTAAAAAACTTTTGATTCTCCGGTGGATGCACAGGGTATCAGGTGTTTTTCCAAAACTCCGAGGATATCTGCGCAAATGTCTCTGAGCTCCTTTTCGACCTGACCCCGGTATTGACGGATCATCTCGAGCTTCTCCTCGGCGCCTTTAGTTTCCTCTTTCTGCTCGATACTGGAGATAATTCGCCAGGACGCTCTCCTCGCACCAATAACATTTTTATATGCTACTGATAGAAGATTGCGCTCTTCGACTGTGAGTTCTATGTCTAGCGACGCAACTTTCTTCATTGCTTCGACCATTTCTGGAAAAAGATAACAAAAAATACGTTAATGCCGTTGGTTATTTTCGACGTTAAAAAAAGTAATGTCGTTACGATATTCTGTAACGTAATTGATATTGACGTGGGTCGTAACCGGGTTTAACGTCATTTGCAATGTATAAAAGTAACATAACTCAATTTGACCAGCTTGGTGCCGGGGCATGTTTAGGTAAAAGGAAAATACCCATCGGCTAGTAAATTGTCATGGAATGTTCTGGAATGTTGAACAATTTGTATTTTAAGAAAAAACCAGTTGATGACTAAAGTTTTACTTTTTTTTACAATTACATTACATTATACTTGAGAGTTTTAAAATGGATATACTCAAAGTTTTTCAAATTGGAAATCATGATGATTCAACGCTAGTGTTCATTAATGAAAAATAGTCAATCATAAGTGGCTAGATAGACTCAAAATAGATTAGATTTTTATTAATTTTTTTATAAAATGCTTTAGTAAAATGGCTATAAGATTATATAGATTATCTATACAATATAAGATAAACACAGCGTCTAACCGCTAGATTTTATCTCTGATATTATCTTTGAGTTTTGGAATTTGAAGAATATATGCTATCAGTTATCAAATCATAAAATAATTACTATATAATGTGAATTATAATTCAAGTATACTTGTAAATATTGAAATTTTGTTAACGAATGAGGCAAAATCAGTTCACAACCTTATTCAGTCACTCAAGACTCCATCATGAGTTTTGCTAATTTTTGTGAGAAAAATGTTAAAAAATCATTATATTGAATTTCCTTGAGCATAATGAACAATCAAAGAAATTCATTTCAATGATAAATCATGACTTGGATGTGTGCAAGTGCCAGCAGAAGCTGTATTAGCCTGTTGGTTTTCATGCCGCTGCTGGAGAAATACATGCATTATACAGAATATATTGCGTTGCAAAAATGTGTAATCATAATAATCATGGGCGTCAATCGTGAGCGTTATCGAAAAAGCTGACGAAAAATGGCTGAGATTTTGTTCATTAACCGGGCCAGAAATATTTTAAATTATTTAGATAAAAACAACATGGCGCGTCATATACGGCTCGTGTACGTAAAATGCAGTCACAGCGTAACTGGACATAATTTGAGCGAAAATCGATCGATTTGTTTTCTCTGGCTTTAAGCGTGACGCACGCGCAGACTCGGCAAATAAAGTACTTTTCAACAATTTCCAGGTTCGCCGCGTAGCAGCAAAAGCGCCTCGCGTGTGCGAATATGATTTTCCATTTACACACATATACGCATATATTTGCCTCGTCTCGCGACTCCCGAGTGTGCGTTACACGACGAGAAGAGAATACAGAGAGACCCCGAGAGTTATTACATGTCGGCTAGGTGCCGCGGCAGCCGAGAGGGGCCCCCGCGGCACCAGCGGAACTACTACGTCGTCTCCAATTTCTCTTTTTTTTTTTTTCACGAAAGCCCCGGAATATAATCGTCAAAATCAACCAGCCACCAGACTAAGAATGTGTGTAATACCATGCGACTTTACCATCGTAACGTTCGGCCTGTTCGGCGAGTTTCGCCTTATAAACATTGTCCTCTCTCTCTGTCATGTTGATGGCTCAGGTCGTCTCGTTGCGAATCCACACAGAAACTTCGTAACAGAACTTGGTTGAAAATCTCGCGCGAGCCCCGTTGGTTTGCGGGATAAATAAACAATAGAACACGTAGTGAATATCGTCCCGAATCAATAAGCGACGCCTTGCTGCGCTGCACGGATACACGGAGAGAGCTATCTAGCGATCTAGCCGAGGTCAAGGAATACACATGTAGCGAACACACAACTTTGAGCGAAGAATTAAGGATGGGCCACGTACGTGAGCGTAGTAACGTAGATGGCGAAACGGCCGTCGTGCAAGCTAAGCTAGCAGAGAGCGGCTGTGGCGGCGGCAGCGGGCAGCGGCGTCGGCGGCTCCGCGCCAGGCCAGGCATAGCATAGCATATAGCATAGGCTGAGGCTAGGCAGCGGCGGCGGCCCCCACGCGGCAAACGCAAAGTAAAGCGGTGACGAGTGCAGAAGCAGCAGCACAGCTGCGACCGGTGGCGCCGGCCGCGAAACGACGATGACGCGACGCGCCAATTCTCGTCGTTTGTTACGCGGGGTCTATATGGGATCTCGTTGCACCGTGGCCGAAGCCAAAGAAGAGATTCGCGCAGATGCTATGATCATTTTACACGCAAGCCGGTTTGGTGCCGGGAAACGAGGAATTTCGTGAAAATGAGAAAATACGGGGTCTCGCTTTCGAGACAGAGAGAGATCGCGGTCATGTCGTAAATAATATCAATTTTATCGAATTGGTAATGGGAATTATTTACCGCACGAGAAACTGCGTCGTCGATGACGTGGCGCCATCTGATCGAGCAGATTATTTCAAAATTTTCATTAATTTTCAATTTTCACACGGGAAATCGGTAATTCGACGATCTCGTGATACAGGTCGTTTTGCCTAGTCATTTCGAATTGTTCTAATTAAAAATAACAACGTAGCAAGATTTCGATGACACGTAAAAGCAGCTGGTTCTTCGGTCCTTTTCCACAATTCAGGCCTTTACGCAGGGTCGGACAGTCATGAAACGACATCCTGTTGATTTGCGAATGAATTATGAAATTGCTCCAATGTATGCCTATACAGTAAAATGTTCAAATAATCCTCATAATTCCATCTACAGACGTTACTTATACATGTATGCACGTCAAATTGTGCATAAAACCCGATGTTATTAATGTGTGAAGCAGTCAATGACCGACACATTATTTTCGTCTATCCGATCTCAATTCAAAATAACATTATTTATTTGTTTTATTGGTAAACAAAAAATAAGCTGATCATTCCAAGCTCAGATATTTTATCAGACTGCCAAGCTGTTTAGCATTAGATCGACCCCAGCTATCATAAAAAAAATTTTCGACGCCGAGTCACTAAAACGGAGCACGCGACTCTCAGCGCACGAGAGTCTTGCTCGAGAAACTGACCTTGCGACTCACAGTCTAACCAATAACTTTTGACATACATAAACATCGCACGTGTTTGACTTTGTTTTCATGCCCTGGACGGCCTGAAAAATTCATGTTTCTTATGATTTAACAATTGAAAGAAAATCTGCAACGTCCAACACAACATTTTAGTCAAACGGAAATATTTTTATTGATTGCATTTTCATCTGAGTCAATTTTTACTAACAGCCAACATGGATTTATTTGATGCTTTTGAAGAAACTGCAGAAGAAAACGACACTAATGATGTTGAAATATTAGACAGGTAACTATTTTAGATGTGTTATTCTTACAGTATAATGAATAATAATGCAAAGGATTTTCAAGGTATTAATACATGTTTTTTTTCAGTTCTGTTGGGCCAGTTAAGAGAGAAAATGAAGAAGCTCCTGAAACTGAAAATTACACCAAAAGAATAAAAGTTGATGATTTATTTGAAAGTTCTAAGTAAGGAAAAATGAATCTTATTTTACATTTTGTCAGCAAATATCAATTATGAGATGTTTCTTACCAATTTTATATTTTATTAGGATTGAAGAGATTGAATCTAGAATCACAGTTCATACCATCCAAACCATAGAATCATGTACGCATGAGGTAGCGATACCATCAGATTATACATACTTACCTCTAGAACAAAAAACAACAAAGCCTGCAAAGGAATATAAATTTGTCCTTGATCCTTTTCAAAAAGAAGCTATTTTGTGTATAGAAAATGATCAATCAGTGCTTGTATCTGCACATACATCCGCTGGAAAAACAGTTGTGGCAGAGTAAGATCATATTTTTAAGTCATATTTAAAATTATTATTAATTCTTTATTAGATAGTCCAATTTATATGAAGTATATTTGTTAATGTAACTCAAACATGTTTTTTAAAACTTTTAGATATGCCATTGCATGTTCTTTGAGAGAAAAACAAAGAGTAATCTACACAACTCCCATAAAGGCATTGAGTAATCAAAAGTACAGGGAATTTTATGAAGAATTCAAAGATGTAGGATTAGTGACTGGTGATGTAACCATCAACCCTACAGCAAGTGTTCTTATTATGACTACAGAAATTCTTCGAAATATGTTGTATAGAGGTTCTGAGGTAAATAATTCATTGATAAATTTTTATTCTACTTGAATTATGAACTAACAAATTACTAAATTAATTTTTCTTTACTTCAGGTCATGAGAGAAGTAGGTTGGGTAATTTTTGATGAAATTCATTACATGCGTGATAAAGAAAGAGGAGTGGTTTGGGAAGAAACATTAATTTTACTACCAGACAATGTTCACTATGTCTTTTTGTCTGCCACTATCCCAAATGCTCGCCAGTTTGTTGAATGGGTAGCATATTTACATCATCAACCGTGCCATGTTGTTTACACTGATTATAGACCAACTCCATTGCAACATTATATTTTTCCAGCGGGTGGCGATGGAATTCATTTGGTTTGTTTTTGAATAATTAATTGATGATAATTTTTTTGGTACAGTCCATAATTATCTATAATCTTAATATCATAGGTCGTGGATGAAGGTGGAAATTTTAAGGAAGAAACTTTCAACAAAGCAATGGCTTGTCTCCAAGGAGATGCAGCAAAAGGTGACACAAAAGGTCGCAAGGGAGGGCTACATAAAACAAACTCTGGACAGACAAATATTTTCAAAATAATCAAGATGATTATGGAGAGAAATTTTGCACCAGTTATCATTTTTTCATTTTCCAAAAAAGACTGTGAGCTGTATGCTATGCAGCTTTCAAAACTAGATCTCAATAGTGCTGAAGAAAAACAATTGGTTGATGAGGTATTCAATAATGCAATGGATGTACTCAGCGAAGATGATCGCAAACTACCGCAGGTTGAAAATGTTCTGCCTTTATTGAGGCGAGGAATTGGCATTCATCACGGTGGACTTTTGCCGATTTTAAAAGAAACAGTTGAAATTTTATTCGGTGAGGGATTGATAAAGGCACTGTTTGCCACAGAAACTTTTGCCATGGGCTTGAACATGCCGGCAAGAACGGTATTATTCACTGCCCCGAGGAAATTCGATGGAAAAGATTTCCGATGGATCACATCAGGTGAATACATTCAAATGTCAGGACGTGCTGGCCGAAGAGGCTTGGACGAGAAAGGTATAGTTATATTAATGATAGATGAGCAAGTCAGTCCTGTTGTTGGTAAAGAAATTGTACAAGGAAAAGCTGATCCTATAAATTCGGCTTTCCATTTGACTTATAACATGGTACTGAATTTGTTAAGGGTTGAAGAAATAAACCCTGAATACATGTTGGAAAGGAGTTTTTACCAATTCCAAAATCAAGCATCTATTCCTGAACTATTAAAAAGTAAGTTGAAAAAAACCCGAAAATATTTTCGATTTTGCAGATAATTACTGTTATATTGCAAATATGAAAACAAATCTTTTTTATGTCTCTAATGAAATCAAATCATTTCTAGATGTCAAAGAATTGGAAAAAGAATACAATGAGGTGCAAATTGAAAATATTGATGTCATGACATCATATCACGATTTACGAGTTCAATTGGATACTCTAAGTGCCGAATTTCGCTCGTACTTGACAATGCCACAATACCTTGTACCTTTCCTTCAACCTGGTCGAATGGTCAAGGTGATTACAATTTTTACGCACAAAAACTATCTGATGCATCAAATTTTTTTGAAAACTCGTTATTAATTCCTCCTTAAAAATAATTTTTTACAGATCAAAAATGACAAATATGAATTCGACTGGGGTATAATACTCAACTTCAAAAAGAAGGGTAACGAAAAAACAGAGACACACTATGTTGTCGATATTTTGTTAAACATAGCGTCGGATTCTACTGACCTGGCACCTGTACCGTGCCCACCTGATTCGAAAGGTGAAATGGAAGTTGTCCCCGTAATGCACACTTTGATTCATCAGATCAGTTCTCTGAGGCTGTATATTCCGGCGGATTTAAGAACATCCGATCAGAGAAGAAGCGTTTTAAAAACGTTATTGGAAGTGAAGAAAAGATTCCCAGATGGTCCTCCGCTTCTTAATCCACTAACAGATATGAAGATCGATAACCCCGCGTTTAGTGACATCGTGAAACGAATCAAAAGTTTGGAAGAACGATTGTTTGTCCATCCAGCTCACAAAGTAAGTTCAAAGCAAAAGAAAATTTTATGATATACATTGAAAGATCAAATTTGATTGAGAGGATAGTGAAGCTAGGATAGAAAAAAGATATCGAACTCTTTTTCACGAAATTTTACCACATATTTTCCGAAAAAGTGCCTTCAAAGCTTTTGGAAAAAACATTCGATTAAATTCTCAGAGTATTTTTTTAAAAATGTTTATTTTATCCCAAAGTTCGGTATCTTCTTGAACATATAAGATTCCATTTTTCTGCAGTACAAAATATCGTTATTCTTTGCGATATTCACCTTTACTCTTTAATATTTTTCGAAAAAAGGTAAAAAAAATTAGTTTAAATAATGAATCATAGAATTTATAAAATTAAGAAAATTTTAGAACACATTGGTCCTTGATGCCGACATAATATTTTTCTAATGACCCAAATGCCTCTGTTTAATGATTTTCTCGAAATTTACGAAACTTTGTATGAAAATATTTCACAAAAATTTTTAAAAACGTGGGAGAAATTTTTCTTTTTTGTATAGGCTACGTTATTCTTTTGATCTTTACGCGTATTTATTTTTACGATTGACTTATACAAATGCTCAAAGATAAAATAATTTTTTTAAACAGGATCCAGAATTATCGGTCTTGTATGAAAAATTCTTGTCCAAAAATGAAATCGCCAAAAAATTAGATGCCTCGAGAGAGAGCCTGAAACAAGCCAAGTCGGTCTTGCAAATGGACGAGCTGAAATCTCGCAAAAGAGTCTTGCGACGTATGGGCTACTGCACACTTGCCGATGTGATAGAAGTGAAGGGGCGCGTGGCATGCGAGCTCAACGGGGCCGATGAGCTCCTCATGACGGAGATGATGTTCAATGGTCTGTTCAATTCATTGACCGTACCCCAAATGACTGCCCTCGTGAGTTGCTTCGTGTGCGACGACAAGTCCAGCGAAATGCCAAAAATGATCGAGGAACTGAGCGGGCCCCTGCGACAAATGCAAGACATCGCAAGAAAAATAGCCAAAATTACGACCGAGTCTAATCTGGATTTAGACGAAGATGCATATGTCGAGCGATTCAAGCCCTACTTGATGGATGTCGTTTATTCTTGGTGCAACGGGGCGACGTTTTTGGAGATCTGCAAAATGACTGATATATTCGAAGGTAATGTTTCACATTGATGGAGCAATTTATTTAAGAGGAACATTTATTAAAATTTATCTTATTGCAGGCTCCATAATTCGTTGCATGAGGCGATTAGAAGAGGTCTTGCGACAATTAGTTCAGGCATCCAAAAACATTGGAAATACTGATTTAGAAGTCAAATTTAGCGAAGCAATTAGATTATTGAAGCGAGATATTGTATTTGCAGCCTCGTTATATTTGTAAATTTAATATAACGTAAATTAATGTAATATAAACAATCAAATTTATTACTAAAAATTGATAACATATATTTTTTAACAAAACTTTTCGTAAGCTTTGTTTGGCCAATTAAAATTTTAAAATTTTTTCCAATCGCTGTTTGAATTGGATTGTTTTTTGTATTGAAAATATCATTAGTTAGATGTGAAAATAAACTCATTTTCAATTTTTATTTCATCTAATTTTTTTTTTCTCATCCTCCAAGCGGTACCCCAACTTTTAAAATGCTACATCCTGTAGGGTCAGGTGTTTCTGTATACGCCGCACCGGGAGAATTCACGGGAGAGGCTGCTGCTGCTGCCGCTGACTGCTCGCCAAAGTCGGCTTTGCCTTTTAATGGGTAAAAAAATTCGTTAATTTTTTTAATTCGTGCTTCCGAGAGAGACCTTCGATTATTGCCTAACAACTAACGAAATTATCCCTGCTCGCGCGGGCTCGTGTTATTTTCGAGAATGATATTTGCATGAGTAAATAAGCATTTTTAGGTGTACGTATACGAGAGACTGCACTTGCAGCTTGGAAGTCCGACAGAGCAGGAAATTACATTCGTATATGAAATCAGAGCGGGGCGTGAAATGCTCGGCGTGTGCGAGCACGAAACAGAAACAGAAACAAAAACGAAAACAAAAAAAAAAAGGAATGAAAAGATGTGTACGTGAAATATGTTTTGAAAATTCCTTGGTCAGATAAAATGATATATTAATATTCTTCCGAAACCTGAGACAATTAACTCAGGTAAACATTAATGATAAGAAAAAGTTATTTGAAATTGTGAATTTTGGCGAAAAAAAATGTAAAAATAACAACAATAAACTCGTTTAATTGAGAGGTCAATTTTCCCGAATTCGTTTGGTAAAAATGTAACAATAACAAACGAATGGAACACCCACTACCTTCTGTCTAGATCGAAATGCACGCGCGCGCGCGCTCTTTCTCTCTCGCAGAGCTCCTCTATATAGAGACGAAATAATTTCCAATTTAATTGTAATTCGATTTTGCGAAAAAGGAAGTCGGCGCGCGCGGCACTTCTGCACTTCGCCGCGTGTGCATAGTAGGCCTTATAAACTTTTGAAAATGAGCAATTTCATAATTCGCAAACTGGACTGGAAAAAAACTCCATAATCTGACGGATTCTGCAGCAGCAGCAGCAGCACATATACGATTTTCGTATATATGTATATATTATTACATGATGCGGAGGCAAAAATGATGGAAATAAAATTAAAATACGCCACTTATTTTCTTGTTGCACTTATCATATACCATCTGGAGAATCTAGCGCCACCTCTTTAAATTCCTGCTATCTCCTATATCTTTGTTTGACGTTCTCTTTCGCTCTCGTACAAGTTATCAACTGAGAGGGTCGACGAAAGCTCCGGACATCGATTCGGTCTTTCATCCCATTACCTGTGACTAGCATTCTCCCTAGTGGTATTTTTCAGAGATGAACATACATCCACACGCGCGCGCGCTCGAGCTTTTGCACTGTGTGTGAAGTCCGCGTGTGTGTGTCTGTGTATTTGTGCGTGCGTTAACACGCGTTTGTGTGTACGCACGCACGCACGCATGCGCTCACATGTGTGCCTTTGCGCTGCTGCTGCTGCACGTATGGGTTTGCGAATAATGGTTCGAGATATTTAAAAAAATTATTTTTAAAATACGAATTGATGCCGTTTAAAGGTTCTCTTACGCTCTTCTTTTTTTTTCATTAAAATTGCGAAGAATAAAGGGTTTCCCTTTTTGAATTTGCGAGGAAAAAAAATGATTCTGAAATTTCATTGTCAGGTGCATGAAAAAAATTAGATGGGGCTCTCTTCGGCCTGCTGCCGCTGCAACGCGTTATTATCTCAAATTTTATGAATGGAAAAAAAAATCATTGAATGAGTCGGCGGCGGAGCGTGAAATGCCGCACGTTTCGCTTTTTAATAGAATAATTGTTACGAATTAATGCGTGGCTCATTATAAAGATTGTAATTATAAAATTATAAGTTTGTTATTTAAAATGTTATCTTCGAGTATATGGATCAGCGTTTTAATTGCTTTCGAATCCGTGGCTAAGACTGTGTGTGAGCTGCAACGGAGTGGTTGAAAAACTGCGATGGAAAATTGTTATTTTACCGAGTAAGGGCTTGAAAAATTATCGAAATTGACGTGTAATTCATTGAATAATGATTTCTGCATCGAAATGAAGTATTCCGACCTATATAACGATATAATAATTTCTTGCATCCCAAATACTAAACGGTTGCATGACGTAAGATTTTAATTGATTTTATCGAGGTAACGTAACATTTTTAAATTATTCCGAGCTCAAGACAATCGATGTGCTTAATTGGTCAAATGGATTCCTAAAGTTCAGCACAACGAGCATTTCTCGAACTTGAAACAACGCGCCAGCGTAATTATAATGCAATTGATCTTTGACAATCGAAAGTTTGTCATAACGCGCAAGAGGCGATGGAAATATTAATTTTTTTCGATACGGCGTGGACGAAAATAAAGGAATTTCGATGATATTGAGTGTTCCTTTAATGGCACATAATCGCTTCCTGTCGCCTTCCTGGTATTTTTACGGTCTTCCCTTCGATGAGCCCTTCGGCTTCTCGCCCGTAGCATGAAAATTTTAAAGAGTCAAGTGGAAGTAACCAATTTCTTTTATTGCAAATGTTTTTTTTTCTGTTTTCGTTTTTTCAATATGCTTTACATCATGTCACGTCGAGCACATGTTAAAAATTATTAGTTTCATGAAAAAGTTGGTATCGGAACAATGAAATAGCGTTGCAGCGTGCTCTTTTTAACAGGGGAATTACTTGACTCGAAAAAGCTGAAGCGCTTCATTTGAAAAAAATAAAAATAATAAAAAAATAACGCGCAAACCACCCCTTGACTAAATCTAAAAATAATTTAATCGAATATTTCGATTTTTTGATGAATAATTCACGAAAAGCCAGCGCAAACAGTTATTACTCTGTTTACATGTACTTTTCAAACCTCGCAACGAAGTATTTTAGAAAAATGGCCTGAATCTCATTGCATTTCTTTCTATGAAATCTAGCGAAACTATGTATCAATATGTTATCATAGTGCATATAGTGAGTATATTATTATTACATGTTATTTGACGTACGTTATAATTAAATTTGTTATAATTGTATGATATAATTGCACATTTTAAAGAGTTGGGCAGTGATAGACAATTTGATTACAAGCATATAAGATCCGGAGTTTGAATGAAAATTACAATTATTGCGATCACACGGACACTTTTATAACATTTTCAGGCCATGCTAGTAAAAAAAGTATTTCATTCGATCAAAAGTTGCGCTGATGTATCATTAAAACGATTAGTTTAAATTTCAATGATTAGCTATTAACTTTGTGTTGAGAAATGTACTTTTTGGTTTGCATACGATGGATTTTTTCGATATTTCTTTGAGATTCAAATTATTTTCGAAAAATTATCGAAAGTTTATGATAGTATCCCTTGTTTTGTTAAAATTATTCATAAATTTTAGCGAAAAGAATAATCAAATGCCTCGATCAAAATTTTGAATTTTCTTTATACCTGAAACATCAATGTGATCAAAATACTTCTCATTCATTTAGTTTCTTCGAATACGTTTTTGAGAATTTTACAAAAGTGAGCAATTTGTATGTATTAAGTTTCAAAATTGTATTATTTCCACTCGATAAATAACAATAGATTAATACTTAAAAGTTTTAGTATGCTACCTTCTAAACTGTTAATAATATTTTCATTGAAATTGATGTAAAAGTGAAGAAAGTTTTTTTCCTTCACGTAGATGAATTTAAATCTATTCAAAAGCATCAAATGAATAAAAAGTATCAAACGAAGTACGTGGAAAAGATTAAGATTTTCAAATCGTGCACTACTTATATAATTTTAACTTTCCTTTGCCACTTGCGGATTTGCAGATGAAGGTACTCGCCATCTAGTGGTGAGAGATGGTTTTAACTGTGGTTGAATTTTCATAAAGATTAGGAACAACTAATCAATAACTAAATCATTTTATTTTTGCATTAAAAATACTAAATTCAGTTGCAGTTTTATGTATTTTTTGTGCACTTTATGTAAAAAATGCATACTTTAATCTTAATATATTTTTTTACATTAAATTTACATTAAATTTCGGTAATTTTTTAGCAGTGTAGATCTGCAGTCAAGAAAATTCACTTCAGGACCTTCACGGTTCTTACGTTGGCATATGCGTAGATTTTATTAACAATAAAATTATACTGATAAAGCTAATAAAATAATAATTACTCGAAGGAAAATCGATGACGTTTGAGTTCAATCCGGGTCAGGCAAAAGTAAGCAAAAAACTATTTTCGTTGTTCAAAAAACTATTCATTATAAATGAATTGCTGTTTTTAAAGTAAACGTAGCAAAATTTTTACTTTTTCATCGATATATTTGTGTACACTAATAGATGAAAATGAAAATTTTAATTTATGTATAGCCGTTTCGCTTCGTTGGTTATCTAATTTGTTTGATAGTATGTTTTATATGCAGCGGGAAGCCTTCGCAATGTTCTCTATATTCTTTTTAGATTACGAAAAATGTTCGAAGTCATCCCGGTACGCTTAGTTAAACCATGAAAAAATAAATTCAAACTCAAGTATTTTCAATTGTAAAGGTACGCCTATGATTTCTTTTTAAGCCATTTTTTTACATATTTAACGGAATTATATTCTATTCTTTTTACAATATCATGTAGAAAATTACTGAAATGTTTTGGTAATTTTTGATCAAGAAGCCACCCTACGTCACCCAATGAATTAAATCTCGATGAGTCGATGGGCATTTAAAAGTTCCTCTTTATATAAAGAATAATAAAATGATTTCGATAAATTTATTCTACTACATTCGGAGTATGCATCGTAGTTTCATAAGAACCATTGAAATGTAGTTTTGGATCTTGAAAGGGATCTGAATTATATTTTTTATACCATCTTGTACTTTTTAACCAAGTATAAATGCTTACTTTTACGATAAGCAAACCGCTCCAGCCACAGCTCTCTCACAAAAATGAATCAAACAACCCGAATACATTCCCATACCTCCTCGCTTTCTTCTAAATTCTCAAACTAAGCTTCGCGCAAATGTGCGATAGACGAAAAAAGCTCGCAGCTCCGCATCGAGCTTGGCGAGCTCTCCAATTCTCCGCTCGCCGAGAGCTTACGTCGCGTTTTAAATTTTTTTGAAAACACAGCCAAGGTTTTTCGTCTACGTCGTTGAAAATTTCGTCGTCGTCGTCCCTCGGTACACGATATATATAATAATATACATCGCGAGGCGTTATAATACACGCTGAGCCGCGGTATAGAGACAAAGCCACGTACAGCAGCAGCGAGGCAATGCAAGTACAATGTTAATGTATTTAGTTAGGACTTTCTTACCGCTTTACTGTAAAATGTGCATGCATCTACCCAGCAGCATTCTATACCTATATACATCGCCGAGGCGAGCGAGCATCTCGCTCGCAGCCATTTCGAGGCAGAAGCTGGCCGAGTTGGCCACGCCCCGAGCCTCGGAGTCGCGGCCAATGGGCGCCTCGCGGCCGCTGCTCCGCGCCTCGGGTTGGCGACCCACACATCGCAGTTTGCGTGCAGTCTCCACACACATACGCACAAGCTCGTATACCCGTACCCATGTTGCAGGATAGGTCGGGGGGATGAAATAAAAAAAAAACAACGCACACAGAAAAGATTTTCACCGCCAACAGAGCCGAGAGCTGCTGCTGCTGCTGCTGCTTCCTGCATACATACAGACGGTAGAGAGCCGAGCCGCGCAGTCGGCGGCCGTCAGTTTGCTGGCGAACTCCTTGCAAACTCGAACCGCTGCTGCTCCGGACGGACGGACGTAAACGTACGGACGTCGTGTGGCGGGTATATATGCGCGCGTGCAGTGTCTGTGTTTAGTGTGCAACGTCGGCGGCGGGCAGCAACACACGCGCGTGGGTGTGCAGCGCGTGTCAGATCATGCACGCGATAACGATAATCGAGCACTACTACTGCTGCTGCTACTGCTACTACGATTACTGCTACTGCGATGACGAGGAGAGAGCCAAAAATCGAAAGCAGTAATGCTTATAAAGTCCATAAAGTGCTACCGATCCAATAGTGTATGCGTAACAGTGCAATCCTGTCCAGTTGTTCATAGTTGATAAATTTATAATCATAATCGTAATCGTACAAGACGAGTGCTATATCATAATTCAGTGTCCGGTGCTGTGTGTCGTGTCGAATATACGAAGAAATTTTTTTTAAAAAAAATTTCTCATAACTCATCTCATATCTCAAATGTGAGCGGCAGTCAAGAGCCGCGCCAATAGCTTAGTTGAAGTGGAGACCTACGCGGCCGCCGAGGCGGCTGTTGACCGCAGGGCCTCAGAGGTCCTCGCGCAGCAGCAGCAGCAGCAGCAGCAGCCACAACAGCAGCCACTGCAGCAAGATAATCGACCCAAGGTTACCACGCTGGAGCTGTCGTACTGCTCGTCGTTGCCTGTCAGTCAAACGCAAATTATAGGTAAGAGAGAGAGACAGAGAGAATCTGTACTACTGCTCTCGCGTGCTTATGCGTGTGTATGATTGCACCCCTTTTGACGCACGACTTTATGATTCAATTAGGCAGGCACAGCAGCTACTCTCAAAGAGCCCCGTGTGTGTAGTGCGTGCAGATTTGTAGTATAGTACTACAAAGCGTTTGTTTTGATTTTTCGGGAGCGTGAAGCCGTTTAGCGCTTGACAAGATGATGTTTTACGGGGTCCCCCTATATAATTTGTCCACTCGTTTAGATTCGACGTATAATTCATTGGCTTCTTTACCTGCGCGTTTCTTTGAATGTATTATATTTTATATGTATATCATTTAATTTCACGATATTGCACGTATTGTAAATCATCGAATATACACACAGGCTCATTTGTAAAAGCTATCGATCAACTTAATTTCTCGCACGAGATGCACACAAGCAAACATAACACATCTGCGGACGGGCACCATAAATAATTCCAATATTTTTCGCGTGCCGTAGTATGAATCATTGGCGCATATACGTGTATACCGCGAGAGGTAAGAAACGCACGAGCGGGGCTAATTTGCTATTATATGGTGTTTTATTATTATTTATTCTCGACGACGTCTTTATGATTCGTTGAGTAAGTTCGCATGCCGCGGAGAGGAGAGGAGAGGAATAAAGTTTCTTGCTTGGATTACGATCTTCGATGGGTGAAAAGAGATAAGTCATCGGGAAAATATGCCGTTCACAACATTCGTACAGCACGTGTGCAAATGCATATCTGCTTGACTCGAAGACGAGCGAGAATTTTTAGCACTGGAAGTAACGTTAAATTAGGTGGTTTTGAGGTTTGAGAAGTTTATTGCTCAGTGTGCACTTTGCAGTCAAGTATATTTTTAAGGTTCTACCGCATTTTGGGTTGTTGAAAGCTCACCGTTTAGTCAATTACCTTACCGAATACATAATATTGAAAATATAATGCTGGGATCGTACCGAGAAAACATATTACATTCGGCTACCTTTATGTAAAAAATGTTGATTTCATTCAACGTCAGCAAGTACCCGAAAAAAGCTGCTTCGAAAAATGTAAAATATTATACCTCATGCTAAAATTAGCTTCATTAACAGAGCCGAGTCATTTTTTATCTGGACGTTATGGAATTATATATTTTTTACGTGTTTCTTCCTCTCGTTCCTCTCACCGATGCGAGCGGCTCGTTTCTATGTTAATATTGTGCACGAAGCGCAGCTTCTTGCACCATGCCCAAAAAAAGTTTCCTGCGCCACGTATTCTCCTACCTGCAGGTAAAATATATATATATCGATTAGAAACGGAATACCGATAAATTATCGGATTATTGATACGAAAAATTGAAAATTATGCATTTTACGCGTGTATCTTGGGTACCTGGCGCGAGCGCCTGAGCTGCATATAATGAGCGTGAAGAATATAATACCTGTGGAATTCGGTGCAGCAGCACCGTGTCGTTTTGAACTATTTTCGGACCGGACTTTTTTACTCCAAATATTTACATATATTCTTCATTCATTTTTGAGTTACGCGCGATATTATGAGAGTAAGATTTTGAGTGAATTTCGTATTCTCTCGTGAAAAGATATTTGTTAAAACGGAGTCAGAGAATGTATTTCATCGAAATTGTTCGAATCACCGTTGATTGACATTTGTCTACAACTCACCCTTTTTTTTCATTCTCGTTACAGGTAGCTGTAATTTGGCAATGCTGCTATCCTGCGCCGGATGCGACAAGCCGATACTCGACAAATTTTTATTCAATGTACTCGACAGGGCCTGGCACGCGGACTGCGTGCGCTGCTGCGAATGCCGAACGCCGCTGCAAGAGAAATGCTTCTCCAGGGAGGCCAAGCTCTTTTGCCGAAATGACTTCTTCAAGTAAGTTTTTCAATTGGTTTTCGTCGGTACGAGATCGAAATCGATTTCAATCGTCATAAATCAGATAATTTTGTAACAACAATTCACCGCGTGTATATTGCATTATCATTCTGCGGGAGAATGTAAAAACAAGCGATAGTAAAACGGAAAAGCGACTGATAACTGAACTTTATCGAGCTGCAACTATTTTTCTCTCGATACTTTGTAACGTTTATCTGATTATCTGTGAGCACTTGTGTCAAGTACCATAGATACCGGGCACACGCATCGATAGTGTCGATTTTTTACTCGAAAAAAATTGTTGACGTTAATAGTTCGGGCGCTTGATTAATTTTCCTCCCGCGAGCGCGTGGCGGTAGCGGCGGCTTTTCACTCGTCCGACGGCCGAAAGCTCGCGAGTAATTAACCTAATGATTTTTGCGACCGCTGTTGTTTCGCGAACTTTATTCAATGGATCGTCCACTTATGAATCAATTAATGTTTCGATCTTTCTATCGATGACATATCGGTGGGATCAGCAATAGTACCAACTGAAATACCTAAATTTATACTAGAAAAAAAAGTAAAACAATGCCATGAAATGCCATTTGATAGGGTCTTGCCTTTTTTTTATCTCTGTTGCATCAACTACACGTTTTTTTTTTCATTCAACTAATTGCAGACGATACGGGACAAAATGCGGTGGGTGTTCACAAGGCATCAATCCATCGGATCTCGTGCGGAAGGCCCGGGACAAAGTGTTTCATTTGAACTGTTTCACTTGTCTCGTGTGCCGAAAGCAGATGAGCACCGGCGAGGAATTATACGTTTTAGATAATAATATATTCGTTTGCAAAGAGGACTACTTGTCTGGAAAATCGGTGTCTATTACCAATTTCATGCATAATCGCCATAGTAAGTATCAATTAGCAACATTTTTTTCACACAACTCATTGAATTTTCCCAACGCCGAAGTCAAAGCTCCTCTTTAACGCGATTAGGTAAATTTTTAACAGCCCTATTTATTTAAATCATTGAATTTCCCCGCAATTTCTGTAGCTCGTATACACGCGTTAATATTATGTTAATTTTTACAAATAGCTTCATTATTGACCATTAGCCACAGCGTAAATACTTAATAAGTTACTTTGCATAACATGTTTGAACCCAACTACACACAGATTTCAATCGTTCAAGTAAAAAAAGAAAAAAACAATTTTAAAACGTTCTCCGAATGGAACGAGATGTATCTGGTGATAATTTTTTTTCATAGACCAGCTCGATAGCCCAATTTGTCAATGTTCTGTCAAATTTGTATAAAGTTCGAATCAGCGCGTACCAGTAGTACTGCTATACACTGTGCGGACTAAAGCGTGGAAATTGCTGCGCTGTTTTCGACGGTAGCCGACGGAAGTGCTCGTTTCTACCTCAATCATAATTAGCAATTGTGAACGGAAAGTTTTGCATGTTTTGGAGCACCGCTGATTGTTTCGAAAAGTTTTTTTATCAAATTATACCGATTGAAGGATCAAGGGTAAATTTATGATATCCTCGATCTTTTAAATTCGCTCGAGTATATAGTTTCGAGAGGTCGATTCTATACACAGGCGCCGATTAAGTTCATCAAACTAAAAGCGCATCATAAGTGGTTCTCGAATCGAGCGAGCAGTTTTCAAGTACCCGTTGTTGTAAATAATCGTCGTGCGTCTATTTCTCGTCCAAATCGGATCTCGTCAAACGCGCGATCCTGCAAAAACACGAAAATTATTTCAAACATACTTAATTCGCAATTTCACATGAAATTATGGCGAATCTCTTCTTCTTTTTTTTACCTTCAACCTCGCATAATCGATTAGACCCTATCTCCTTTTGACTGACGTAGCGCATTTCGTTCTTAGTCTTCTTCTTCTTTTTTTCTGCTTGTATATTTCTTATACAGCTATTCGGTAGGATTATAAGGTGTATCGTCTACTACTACCACTACTACGTAGCCTTGAAGTAAAACCACAATTCCCGCAGTCAAATGACCTTAGTCTTCATAAAATTGATGCGCCGCGCGGCGCACGTATATAGACACCCATATAGTCGTGTCGGCGCAGTCTGAGTTTCCAGTCGGTCATGCTTGCTACTACTACTACTACAACATCATGACTACAACTATGGGCTGCTGCTGCTGCTGCCCGTAAAATCAGGCGTGTGGCAGGCTATCTGCTGCGCTTATAACTGCTGCTGCTGCGCGCCTATTGTAGAACATCTGTCGACGCGCGCGAAATAGTGGGCGAATTTTTTTTTTATGACGCGCTTCACAGGAGATGATGTACGAGCCGCGCTCCGACCTGTTTTGTTTTCTGCCGAACGCGCCGTTTCGTTCGGCTCTTTCGCTCGCTCTCTCGCTCGCTCGTTTCTTTCTCTCTTGTGTTTTATCGTTACTTATTTGATAAAAAAAAATTAGAAGAAATTAGCCTTCGGTGAAGCTAAAAAGAACCTGCTACGAGAGAGAGAGAGACTTTGAAAAATTCGAACAAATATCCATATCGTCCAAACTATATAGATCCCCGTGTAGACAACAATTGCCCTTTGCCCCGTGGAATTGTTTGTACATCAAATATTAAAAATTTGTACAACAGCTTTGTTTCTGCTACTATAACCGTGCACACACACGCACGAACATGTGTATATAGCCGGCTATGTGCTGTATGTGTATACACGCGTGCTTTTGAAAGCGTCCTTAAAGTCCCTATTCATTTTTGCCGCAGGCGGCCAACAGTACATTTTCGAATTTTGTTGGTCGTGTTTTATCCCATCGGCAATAGGGAGCCGTAAATCATTAATATGATAGAGAGTAGGAGGAGTTTTGACCTCTCGGAACTCACGCATAATCCTTGCGCTCTGCTCTCTTTCTCATTCATTCTCTCTGTGTTTCTCGTCTAGAAAAATTCCATAAGAAAAGCTTCTTTTATTTTTATTTTTTTTTTTTTTTTTTTTTTTTTTTTTTTTTTTTTTATTTCTCTGCTCCCGTCATATAGGTAACAACAGAATATAACAATAATTATTACCTATCACGTGCTGCAACGTTCGAAATGTATCATTTGCAGATAGTGATGTCATTTGCTCGGGTTCAGAGGACGAGGACGAGGAAGGAAGCGGCCTGGCCAATCAGCATTCGGAAAACATCGGTATCTCGCACGTCGAGGTGCACAACATGAACTCGATCGATCGGGTTATTTGTGCGGGAAACGACATGAGTCTCGGCGATCCTTGCAAGCAGGAAGATTCCGAAGATCAAGGTGAGCGTTACATTATTATAGAACGTCGTAGTTCGTGATGTAACTCGAGCTCGATGTTTTTACAATAATAAAAAAAAAAAAAAAACAGAGTATCCGTCTAGCAATCATTTTTTTTTTTTTTACTTCACTATCGAATCTTCAAGGCAACTATTTAATACGAGCCTCAAAAAATACTCTCGACGATCGCGCGTATAATTTCATAAAATTGCGCGACGATTAGAAACTAAAATTAGACGGTGTTGTTTCTTTCTGTCTCTCTCCTGGTCAGGTTCCTTGGACGACGATCCCGAGTCCCACGACGGCCAGATGGAAAACAAGAGTCCGGACGGCGCGGTCGGCAGCGGGGACGGCGGCGCGGGCTCAAAGCGCCGAGGGCCCCGCACCACTATTAAGGCTAAACAATTAGAAATATTAAAGACTGCTTTCTCGCAAACGCCGAAGCCCACCAGACACATACGCGAGCAGCTTGCCAAGGAGACGGGTCTGCCTATGCGGGTCATACAGGTTGGTGCGGCCTCATTATCATCGTTATTTTATTTTGTTTATCTCATTTCGTGTTGTAATTCCCGGAACTTTTCGCTTCTATTTCTAATCTATTTCTAATTCAAACTTTTCGACTTTGCTCTCTGTCGCAGGTTTGGTTCCAAAATAAGCGCAGCAAGGAGCGCCGACTGAAGCAACTGACATCGATGGGCCGAAGCCCGTTCTTCGGGGGATCGCGCAAGATTCGCGGCTTCCCACTGAATCTCAATCACGGCGGGCTGGCGAACGAGGACGGCCCGCCGCCCGGCTTCTCCTACTTCGCCGACAAATTCGACTTCGGCTACGGCAATCCGGTGCCTTTTCATCACGAGTTTTTCCCCGGGCATCCGCCGCCCGGCGCGACGCACGGATCGCCGTTCGTGGGCCCTAGCAATACCTGTGAGTACATGGTCGAGGCTGACAAATAATTTTTTACGAAACGGGGGCTGTACTAGTGCAAGCAAAAAAAAAATTATATATCGATCGCACGCGTCACTAGACACGAGATAAGAGCCTGTTCGGCTCTCGAAAGCTCAAGATGATATAGTTTCCTTCTAAAAATACGTATATAATAAAGTGCGCGTATGTCTCGGGCTCTATACATAATGCCATACATAAATACACTTGGCTCTCTTGCTCGTGTATAATATAAGCCGCGTCGAGGCACACACACTGCAGACTTCGAGGTCTGTACGCGAATTAACTGGACCCCAAGTGGAGCGTGATCCACGCCCTCTCATATGTGTCATTATATTTCTCTAGACCACCTATCTTATCTAATTCGAAGTTTTTCGAATACTTTTGCGCATATGTGCCTCGGACGCGTATATTATACATATGTATACCGTACCACTCGACTGTGAACGATTTCATTCGATATGTATCTGCAATATATTTGTTTCGAGATGAAAATTCGTAACAAGCTTATATTCGTATTTTGTTTTTTGATTTCGAGTCGCATAAATTTATCAATCGATTTAAAGCTGAAAATTATAAATCTTTTGAATAAGTAATTAGTAATTGGTTGTCAGGAGTACAAGATAATAATCTACTTTCATTACTGTTGCAGGATCGATCATGAATCAACAATACTAAAGAGGAATTTCAACGCATCAAACTGGCTGAATCTTTTTAAACAAAATATACTTCGATGTTATACTTCGCCTAAGGATTATCATAATATATGAAAAATGTGGGGGAAGCTATGTGAAAACAAAAAAAAACGATAAAATATTACAAACTTTTCAAATGCTGGTTCGGGCATACGATCATTCAAAATAATCATAAATTACTTAGGAAAAAAATGTTATGATTTTTTTTAAATCTTATAGAAAATAAATGTTTTGTAATCGATCTTTATGAGCTAAAAGAAAAAAAGAAAAACGTCATAACCACACTAAGCTATAAATTGTAAATTGAAATTGTAAATAATAACTTATGGTGTAGAATGTAATACTCGTACAATTAAATATGAGCTTATAAGTTAACATATAAATGAACGTTGAATATATACCACTCTTTTTTTTTATTTTTATTCAAAAACTAATACAATTATTTTTTCCTTGTTACAACGACGCTATATATACCATTGGTAAGTTTGTGTGTACTTGACTCAATTGTAGTTAAAGTACGAGAGCGATCGTGTTTTCTTTTACACATGATACCAAAATACTTGTCTGGAATCCTCCAGGGTGTGGGTGGTTGGCGCGGATTGTTCATGCAGGACTGCGCACGGAGCCGTTTATACAGCGGAGAGAAAATCGGGGGTGACACGCTCGCAGCAGCGCAGGCAGCAGCTCCACAGAGAGAGATAATATTATCTTTATGGACGCCAAGCCATCTCTCTGCGCCCCGTCAGCTCTACTGATCAATGTGTATTGATATACGACGCTCGAGCAGCAGCAGCAGCAGCAGCAGCAGCGCATGGCATTGTTTAGGACTCACGAGGCAGGATAAGAAATTGTGACGGGGGTCGTTCGACGAAAGAGAGAGAAAGAAAGAGCGGGAGAGAAGCTTAGCGCGTAGATAAGGGACGAAAAAGTGAGGTTAGGAGTTCGCAAGGGGATGTACGGGTTACTGGAGAGGGAGAGCGTATCAGCCTGTTGGTCGCGAGCTGATAAGGTTTTCTGTGCGATGAAATGCGGGGGTGAGAATTCGGGGGCAAAAGTTTGGGATAATAAAAAATGCGATAAGAAAAAGGATTTGAATAATTTGTGGGAGTGGAAGGAAATGTTTAAAAAAAATTCGTATCTACATTTATAATTTGTAACTCCAAATAACTAATTTTAAAAAATTTCTAAAAAATGATTTTTAGTTCTAAAAAAAAATTTAATAACAAAAAAATAATTATAAAACGAAAAAATTTTTTTATTGATTTTAAAAATAATTTTTTACTCGACGAATTAATTATTTGATAATTTTTAAAATAATTTTTATAAACTTTGACGTAGCAAAAACGTCGATATTCTCCAGTATGTAAGCTGCCCGAGTCCCACCGTGTATACGATTGCCAAATATCTATTTCGCATGTGAAGAAAACGCGCAAAGGAACACCATGGTCCGCTTGAAACGTCAACCCTCCTTGGTATACCCATATGATGCCTACCAGATAGATGTAGGCTTCAAAATTTACGTGCTCGTACCGCGTATAGCCCTTCGCTCTTAATTCTTATCATTGAACAATTACTTATCGAGGCCCTTTAAAGATAAATTTTATGAAATATGCGTAATTTATTCCAAAAATATCGATCCGGAAAAAAAATTTGTTGCAAGCTGTTAAAAAAATTTTTTTCTTTAAATTTTTGGCATGGTATTGAAACAGATTATATTTTTTAAACAAAATTTCGTTCCACACTTTCATTTTTTTATTATATTTTGAAAATTGATTTTTTTTCTAGAGGCGCAGCGCAATATTCTCCATCGTAAAGCTCTGCAAGTTTTTTTTACGAGAGCATGCAGTTGCATCATTAATGAGATATTCTTCGTTTACACCCCTCATTATTTTTTAAACAATTGATAGCTATTTAGTTTGTACATCATATTTTTTTAAATACTTTCATTTCATCACTTTTATATTATTTTATAAATTATTTAAAAAATACAAGATAACGAAAAAAGCAATAAAATAAAATTACAACAATATCGAATTGTTTACTTTATATTGCTCGATCAAGTAGCCGGCGCGCGATCAGCCTGTACAGCATGTATAACACGGTCGATCATGTGCTCTCCCCAAACGCTGTTACTTTTATGATAATTGCTCTCCTATGCGTGGCATAAGCGCCCGTCGAGCGACGCATGTGCGTGTCTGTGGCGTGTGGCCGGTCTGACGCCGACGTGTTTGTTGCGTGTGGTGTGTATGTAGCTATAGTAGAGCTATACAACCCATGTATACCACGTAGTGTACACGACGGCGACGGCGCGGGAGAAATAGTCTTCCGCATATGCAGGCGTGCACGAAAAAACAAATCCCGTAAGGCGTCGTCGTCGCTCCTCCACGTAGTCGTCGTCGTCGTCGTCGTCGTCGGGGCAATTGGGGTTCGAAGAATTTCCTATGTGTTTGTGCACTGCTGCCGTATATCGGTGCAGCTCAATGTCAATGTTGCATTTAACCCAACGATGCGGAGATGATCCCCCTCGAACGCAGGCATACACAGCACACACATGAGGCACAAACGTGCGCGCACGCGAGGCATGGCCCGGACAGACGTGTGCAGAGACGCGCGTATATAGTAGTGCTTGCGGGGTATATAAGCGCCGCGGGAGAAGTGGGACAGCCAACAAAAAGAAAAATTAATGTTACGGAAAACTACGTGCGGTGCATTACAGGGCGAAATTTCACCCTTTAAAAGCCGATTATAATTTTTTGGGAGCTTTTCGAGCGCGTCGACGGTGGCGCGTATACATTGCGCCGCTATATCGTTGCTAATCGAGTAAAATTAAACCAAGTTGAAACGTCTCGACCTTGTTCTCCGGTAAATCATTCGAGTGGTCGGAATGGAACAAAAATAATAATAATGATAATGTGCAACAATAAACTGTTATGCACCCACGGCAACGACCATAAACTATCTCAAGTGTGAACTCGAGACATGTGTGTTGTTTTTTTTTCAGTACGTCATAAAAATCTCAAAGAATTATATTGCGGGCGCGATGATGCACGTTGCTTCACTTTTCGAAGTTGTTTCTTTTTTTCTTCTTCGGCTTTTTTTCTTTCGCTTCGTTTTATTTTATTATCTACGGTGCGTAAAGTTTACGGTCTGCGAAATAATGACGCTAAACTATATGTGCTTGAATGTTTCGCTGATAGATAGCAGCAACAGATCTGAAATAGTTGTAGAGAGTTGAAGATTAACTCGTTTAGAGTCAATGAACGGTAAAACGAATATTTTTTAACAATTTACTGTTCGAAATGATAAGAAAAATATTTACATATCTGAATACTTTACCTTGGACAAAAAAATACTTTCATTTATCGAGTGAAATATTATTTTATAAACTGCAACAATTTTTTCAACGAGGATCCTCTTTTTTGTACCCAACATAAGCCTAGCTATAAAAATTTTTAGCTTGCGAGATTAATTCATAAGTCTCTATTTATCTTCAATCTCGGAATTATTGCTCGAGTCGAGTTGGGGTGATTTTAGTATCAGTGAGCTTTACATAAGTTATACCTTATACCCATTCATGAATTATTCTTGAAGCATAAGCCGAATATTCATAATAAGTAAGCTCAAATAAAAACATTCACCCACCATTGTAATGTTTTCATTTTTTTTACATAATATAACCGTTTTCTAATAATCTAATCATGCGAATTGCGTGGAGTCAAAATATGTAATCCGAATTCGAAGCATCGATTATCGCGTAATAACAAAAAATAAAAAATAAGATGAATCATCGTATTACAGATACCGAAAAATTTCGAATGTTACGTATGCGCGCATTATAAATATGTACACACGCGTTTATACTAATACATTATCACGCTGAAATGTTATCGTCATGACTCGCGAGGCTAGTTTGCCTTTCGATAAAATGTTGTCGTCGGAGGAGAAGGGGAGAGAGACGCTGCTGCTGCTGCTACTTGGCACTTGTCGATGGAAAACAGACTCACAGCCAGTATACCTGGCTCTACAACTTTCAAGCAAAATTGTCTCGTTTAGTTGAAAAAAAAATAAACGAGCATCGCCCGCCGACAGGTACGAGACACTTTAACGTTTTTATTACATTTGTCCAAAAAAAAATTTGTCGTGCGTTTGAAAATTTAATTGTAACGTTGCGAACTTGAACAAATTCAAAATAAATAAAAATCAAGTGTTTAACTGATAATATCAATATTATATTCTAATAATTATGTAATAGCTTGTTATGATAAACGCGTGAACGATTCATAGCCGCGTGTGGTTACCGATTGTTGTATGTTCTCGTTTATTAAAAAAATTAATAGTATCATAGAAATTTATCTTATTTCGTTTTCTCCCATAAAAATTATTTTCAAAAATATTTCACCGCTTCCGACAGCTCCGATCTGACGAAGTAATAATTGTTGCAAAAAAAAGCTCAAATTTTTAGTTAAAAATCTTCACTGCACACACTTGCAAGCCTCGATTTAAACAGCAGATAACCCCCAGCAAAGATATAATTCCCATCGTAGCTCGGTTATACGTAGTCGAAAGCAAATCGACGTCGTCGTCGCGGCCGCGGAGCAGTGTTTATAAACTCGATTCAATTTACATATTTCATCATTCCGCGACTAGAAGTTACACTATACGCGCGTGTGCCAATTGTGTAAAACGATCGCGTGAATTTTCCAAGTCTCTATATAATAATAAGTTTCTATTAGTTTTTTTTTTTTAGTAAAATAAAAAAACAACAAGACGACAAGATGAAGCTCGACGTGAAAAGTGTATTTATCAGTGATCGCGTGGGCCCGGGATGCGAGGCTCTATTCAAGGAACACGGCGTCGAGGTGACGACCAAGTATGGATTGCCAAAAGACGAATTGATCAATGAGCTCAAGGTGAGGAGTTTTTTTTTGTAACGCGATGCAAGTATGTAATTATTATTATAAAAATTACTGACCGTAATTTTTTTACTTTACCTTCGTGCGTTACGCAGAAACACGACGCCGTCGTCGTCAGATCGGAGACGAAGATCACGGCCGACATCATCGAGGCCGTGCCGAATCTGAAGATGGTCGGCCGAGCCGGCACAGGCACCGACAACATCGACTTGACCGCAGCCACCAATAACGGCGTCGTCGTCCTCAAGTAAGTCTAGAAAAAAAATTCAATACTATTTTGTCTTCAAATAGCGAGACGTTTTAATCTATCACTCGTTCGAATGCGCAGCACTCCCGGCGGCAACAGCATCAGCGCGTGCGAGCTCACCTGCGGCATGATCTACGCCCTGTCGCGCAACATCGTCCCCGCCGGCCAGTCCATGAAGGAGGGCCGCTGGGACCGCAAGCTCTACTCGGGCTTCGAGCTCTACGGCAAGACCCTCGGCGTGGTCGGTTTCGGCCGGATCGGTCGCGAGGTCGCCCAGCGCATGCTCGCCTGCGGCATGAAGGTCGTCGCCTACGATCCCTTCCTCACCCGCGACGAGGCCAAGAGACTCGGCGTCGAGTTCGGCCACATCGACGACATCTGGAGGCTCTCCGACATGATCACCTTCCACACGCCCCTCATGCCCGAGACGAAGAATCTCCTGAACAAGGACACCCTGGCGCGCTGCAAGAAGGGCGTCTACGTGGTCAACGTCGCCCGGGGCGGTATCGTCGACGAGCAGGCCCTCCTCGACTCACTCAAGGCCGGCCACTGCGGCGGAGCCGCTCTGGACGTGTTCAGCGAGGAGCCGATCAAGAGCGACTACCTGCTGGAGCTCGTCAAGCACTCGCGCGTCGTCGCCACTCCGCATCTGGGCGCCAGCACGGCCGAGGCCCAGGAGCGCGTCGCCGTCGAGATTGCCGAGCAAATGCTCGTGCTCGGCGGCCACACCAATCGCTATCCCCTCACGGGGGTCGTCAACGCTCCGAGCATCAGAGCGGCTCGCAATCCCGAGCTGGCGCCCCGCCTCGACTTGGCCGTCAAACTCGGCGAGCTCCTCGGCCGCATGCTCCCTACCATCGGCGAGGTCGACTTCGCCGTGACCCACTACCACGGCAAGCCCAGCAGCCAGGACGGCAACTGCGCCGCGGCTCTGCTTCAGGGTGTGCTGCAGTCCCGAGCCGAGACCGTGGCCAGCATCGGCGTGACCCCCAACCTGATCAACTCCGTCAAATTGGGCGAGAAGCTGAAGCTGAAGGTGCGCGAGGCCGACTGCGACAAGCAGGGCCTCGAGCACGAGTACGCCGTGGAGGTCAGAGCCGGCGAGCTCAGCGTCAAGGGCACTTGCGACAAAGCCACCAAGCTCAATTTCCTGCTGAACGTCAACGGCGCGGACGCGGCCAAGCCCATACCGATGGCCGACCAAGTGTCGCTGTACAAGATCGGTAAGGCCGAGGATCTGGCCCAGGTGGTGCAGGCCGTGATCAAGACAGAGGCCAAGATCAGTTCGATCGACAATCTGGCGGACAAGTTCGTGCTGGTGCAGACCAAGGATCCGGTCGACTTGGCCAAGGTGCAGCTGCCAGCGGGCGTGCACAAGTATTGATCAAAACGCGAATCGAGTATTAATATTAAGTTTTCGATTGTAAACGATTTACGGAAATAATTTTATAATGAATAATAAGATATATTTTAACGTTTTTTTTTGTACTGTTGTTTGAGAATTTATTATAAATGTCTATTGTGTATCGTTGTTGATAATAATTGCTAGACGATGAGAAATATAGGATGCGCTGCGAGCTGTTTTTTTTTCTTATAAACGTTTTTTCGTTCGTGTCATTGTACCCCCTAGTCTGGAAGAGATACGCGAAACAAGCTGGGAGAGATGTGTAATTTTTTATACTCTTTGTTACGTTTTTTTTTATTTTAACGATTGATGACAATGTATTGACACGAGAAGTGATAAATATTGTTTATTCAATTAATCTTCGGGTACAGAGTCCAAAAAATGATTTGTGCGTATCGCAAAAATTTCTCGATCGTACGTTTCATTACGTGGGTAAACACACACGCGCATTATACGCACACCGGCATGCCGCGCGTGTAGTGGTGTCAAAAGCCACGTCTCAAACTCTCACGTGGAATACAGAGAGAGAGAGAGCAGAGCACATGATTATGATTATACATTCGCGAATGATTTCGAGTACACTTTTTGAAGATTAGAAGGCAAAAATCGATAATTGACGAGTGGCCTGATATTACGATTTTCAGCTCAAGTATTCGTTATTTAAACGATCGCGTGTTGTACTTTTAATAATTATCAGCAAACACGTGTCCTGTACGCAATAGCCGTTTGATTTCCACATTGACAAGAAGCGCCAACTGGCTTTCGAACTAGGCAAACTTTTACCTACTCCGCGAGTACAACAGTACGCCACACCACGTCACACACACGCACACTTTCGCACGCTCGGCGTATACGTATGAATGGATCCCGCCCGTGGCACACTACCACTACTTATTGCTGGGGATATAGGAACGTCTGCTGCGCAGAGTGTGTCGCGATCGAGCTGTGCGCGCGGCTTATGTGTGTATAGATATACAGGCTCTCCGCTGCTGGCTTTAGTTGTTCTGCACGACATCCAACGACGACGACGAGACTTGACTCATTCGAAATATAAGAGGGCCAACAATTGCTGCTCTGTGGTTTTTATTTTATTGTACAGAAATTCGCACGCGATAATCAATCATCATGCTACCACGTATGTTCAAATCCACCCTCACCATCGCCCAGACCGGGGCCAAGCAATTGTCCACCACATCCCAGGTAATAATATAGATATATAAGCGCATAGTGGTAGCACTTGTGTATTACATACGATACGAATTTTTCGTACGTGTGTGAGAAAAATCTCGAATCGAGCGCGTGCTTCGTTACATAAAAAATTGATCGCGATGCTTTTTGGATGCTCCACAAGATAAATGATTGATAAAGAATGGCTTTGCTCTGTTCTATCGTTGAAGGAATATTATCGAATTATTGTTGCAAAATTTCGCATCCTGCTGGGTTAGTTATGTAATCTGACCTCGATCAGATTAATGCTACCTTTGAACAGAATCACTTTTCATGAATTAATCTTCAGGTAGAATGAATTTAATTTGACTGTTTAACAATTTTTCTGTATGGTTCAAGAATTCATAGTCCAGCGATATGCAAACTTATGCTATCATAAAGGGTTTTAATTTATTAATTCTGTATTTGCTTTTGTTTTCAATAGAAGAACGTTAGACATTTACTTAAAATGTAGAAATATTACTCTAATTGCTCTGATCATGTAAATAATTAATTTATTACTTTGTTTCAGCAAAATGCTAAAGTAGCTGTTATGGGAGCCAGTGGCGGCATTGGCCAGCCACTCTCTCTGCTCCTTAAAGAGTCTCCATTAGTTACCGAATTGTCTCTGTATGATATTGTTAATACTCCTGGAGTAGCAGCTGATCTTTCACATATTAACACTGGATCCAAAGTTAAGGGATACGCTGGACCAGACCAACTTCATGAGTCGTTGAAAGGAGTTCAGGTTTGTTGATATTAATTTTTTAATTTTTAATACAATAACATTCTTTAAAATGTTTGAATCATCTAAATTATTTATAAATTGTATATTCTTTTTATACTCAAACCTTGAAAGTCATTGAATAGCCTAGGCTTATATAAAGTAAATAATAATGATGTTTCACAATCTTATGATAAAAATTAAAGTTTAAATGATAACTTGAATGAGATTTAAAAAAAAGATTTATGTTATTCACATAATTAGGTACATTACTTAAACTAAATTATAACAAAATTATACCTTTATTTTTAGGTTGTTGTCATTCCCGCTGGTGTACCAAGAAAGCCAGGCATGACCCGTGATGACTTGTTCAACACAAATGCATCCATTGTTAGAGATCTTGCCCAAGCTGTTGCTGAAGTTTCACCAAAAGCCTTCATTGCAATCATCTCAAATCCAGTCAATAGCACAGTGCCAATTGCCAGCGAAGTCTTACACAAAGCTGGAGTCTATGACCCCAACAGGATATTTGGAGTGACAACTTTGGATGTTGTCCGAGCAAATGCTTTCGTTGGAGAGGCTAAGGTACATATCAAAATAACTTCTTATATAACAATCAAAATTATTATTAAAAATTCAATTGATTTCTTTCAAATCATTTATAAGCATTTGAAAGCATGATGTGAAATTGATATGATTAATTATACCAAGAGAAAAAGAAAAGTTTAAATGCGCTGGCTAAGTAGAAATTCGATTAAACGTAACTTTCGTTTAATTTTAATGCAACAATCAATGGTTAAAAATGAGTAGCTATTATGAATCTAACGCCCTCTTCGGTTTTTTACTCATAATAATAATTTCCTCGCGTTAAACCGGTTCGCGTGAGTTTTATTTTTTCTCTTCTCATCATTTTTTCCTTTTCTCTTATAAGTTAATATCGACCGAAGAGAATCGCTTAATGAATCTCGGCTGGCAGATACGAGAGCGCAGCAGTGCACAGTGCATATGGGGCTGCAGTAACAAAATGTGTGCGGGGTTGCATACTTTCGGCACACCCTGTATACTCGACTCACGTGTCGCTGGCACACGCAGCATCTCTCGCTTTGCTCGCCGCGCAGTGCGTATACGTATCGGGGGAGATGCATAAAAAATGATGACCAAACAAATGTTGAGCGCGCGCGCGCGCGCCCATGTACACTGCGAATAATAAATGTTATCGTACTTGCTCCGGCTTCCATCTATATATAGACGATTTTACTCAGCGTGTATACTGATCTTTGATCGTTCCTTTTTTCTTTACTTTATTTTTTTCTCCTCTCTTCTTTTGCAGGGACTCGACCCACAAAAAGTCAATATTCCAGTTATCGGAGGCCACAGCGGTATCACCATCATCCCGTTGATGTCCCAGGCGAGCCCATCTGTGTCGTTCCCGCAAGATCAATTAAAAGCCCTCACAGAAAGAATCCAAGAAGCCGGAACGGAAGTAGTTAAAGCCAAAGCCGGTACCGGATCAGCCACTCTGTCTATGGCCTACGCCGGAGCCCGCTTTGCATTCTCCCTAATTAAGGCCCTCAACGGAGAGTCGAACGTCGTCGAGTGCTCGTACGTTAGGTCCAATGTCACCGAAGCCAAATACTTCTCTACTCCAATTCTGCTGGGCGTAAGTTCAATGACTGATTAATTTTTTTGAGAGCAAAAAAATTTTCTGAAAAATGTTAACTAACTGATTTTTCCTTTTATTCGACAGAAAAACGGCGTAGAAAAGAATTTGGGTCTTGGAAAATTGAGCGAATTCGAATCGAAACTTTTGGAAGCCGCTATTCCAGAATTGAAGAAGAACATCCAGAAGGGAGAGGACTTCGTTAACAAGAAGTAGACGATGATTTCGTGAAATATTACGAAGTTATGAATTGCATTAATTATTAAAGATGTTAATTGATGAAGTTGAAATTTGAAATAATGTAATTGAAGAATTTAAAGAAAAAATTTCTAGAATATTTTCAAAACAAATTTCAAACGCATCGTAGGAAATCATGAACGATGAGAAAAATATAAATAATCACATAGTGTATCATTGCCTTATTATTAGCGCTCTGCGCTGTGTACGTAAACGTAAAATTTCTCGTTTGACATTCAAAATCGTCTTCCACGGTCACGTGTTATTGCGCAAATGCGTATATTATGTATCAGGTGCTCGATTCCGTTACCTCGCTGTGTTAAAGACCAATCGTTAATTCGCATTTAAATATTTTCTCAACCGTCAGTGACAAAACTTGATTTCAAACTTTCACGCTAGAAAAAAAAATTATTCGTTTACCAGAGAATAAATGTGAAGTAGCTTTATTTTATTTTAAGTATTAAGATCACACGGAGCAAAATAATTTTTTTCTTCAATCTATTATTGTATTCTATATTAAGAAGTATATCGGATTCGTCATTTTACGATGTGTTGCTCGGTCTAGGGCTATACGACGCTAATGGATGTCTAAACGACAGGTCCGAAGTCTTAATAACGCAGGGCAGCTCACGAACACAACTATACTCTCCTATAAAAACGTTCGGGTGCTTTCGAATTCGCATAATGCAAAACTCGTATTATGATATCACCATAACGTTCCTTAAAGGTGCGCGCCCAGTCTTGCGCGTTCCGTGAAATTTTTTTTAAACCCGATCGCTTATCGCTGATTCGTCGAATTTCGCGGGATATCGTTGCGATATCGACAGTTTTCCAAGAACTTGCTGCGTGGCCTTCTTTTTTTGCGATTTTTCAACGTGTCCACCTTTGCTTAGTTCGTCGAGCGTGCAATTGAAAGGGAACGTGTTTCGCGCTCAATCGGTACGTAAGTAAGAACGGAGTCGAAATTTTATCTCATCGAGTGCAAGTAACGTTACTTTCTTTCTTTTTCCAAAAAAAAAATTCGTAGTTATTTTTATCACTAAATTTTCTTACCCCTTTTGAATGATATTGAAAATTGCTAAATAAAATCTGAAATGCCTGCTGCTTTCAATTATAATTCGTTGAGATTCTCAGTATTCGATTTAAAAGTCGTTGATCAAATTTTATTTGTAAACAAACATTCGCACGTTTTGCTAACGAATTTGCTCCGAAATTGTCAATAAACTCATCGACGAGCGCGGAGCAGATCTTTCAAACCCAGCATCCGAATTCGCGTTTCGCACGAAGCGACGAATAGCGCCCCGTTTTGGCGCTTAGCATCACAAAATGGCGTATTATACATCCAATAGTTTTGCTTAGAGGCTATATTTCATATGTGGCTTTATATTACATCTCGCCAACTCGCGATCTCGACATCGATTTTCTTTCGAAAAGATAGAAAGAAAATACGAGGAAAAAAAATTTCTGACGTTCCACGTCGATCCGACTGCTCGACGCACCACTACGTCACGCCATACGAGACGGTGAAGCAGCAGCAAAGCAAAGCAATACACATGCTGCGCGCCACGGCTCATTGTGTATAGCCTCTCTTTCTTTCTCTCTCTCTCTCTATTCCCTTTCTAACAGCTCAGCACTCTGAGCATTGGCCTTAAAATCCTTCGTCTCTGCTCGTGTCTGTGTCTGCGGCTATAAGCTATATACACACACATCGTGTCTGTGCTGCTGCTGTTGCTGTCGCCTGTGACTGTGGCAGTCTCGCTCTCTCGCCAGCAGCTAAAGTAGTGCTAGTGTCTGTAATTCTCGAACATATAGTGGAGTGCTGCGCTGCCTTGCCTGCCTGCTGGCTGGCGCTCTCTCGGTCGCCTCGTAATATACTATAGTGCACGCACGAACTTGTTACGCATATCTTGTATGTAGAAAAGATTATATTTATATATGTCTCTCTCTCCAGCGACACATAGGCGCGAGAGAGCCCCGGAGTCGATTTGGTGTATTTAATTGTAATTATTATTGTCCGCGAGAGCACGGAGCGTCGTCTATTTAAATCGAAATTCGGAGTCGTGTTGTTTTTTTTTCGTTTCGTGGGGCTCTCGAAGACATATAGAGGAACTTGAGGCTAGTGTATAATCCGAGTATCCGAGGGAGAGATGCTTTCTGCTGCCCAATCGCACAGGTCTCGCCAGAAAACAGTTACCGAGAAATCATTGCAAAGAATGTTTTTGTATTGTAGCCTGACTTAAATTCGCTGCATCTATACACTCGTAGTGCTTTTTACACGTATATCTCCTCTATACAACACTTGCCTGTGTGCCGAGTTTTGCTGTGTACATTGGCCTGACTGGGCACCTTTCTCTAAACAAGTTCGCGGTGATTAAGGACTATTTACGTTGTCTTCAGGCGGATCACAAAACTACTATTTACCTCTTATATTTCTCTCTTCCAAAATCTCGTAAGACACAATGGAACTGCGCGTTGGAAACAAATACAGGCTCGGTCGCAAGATTGGCAGCGGATCCTTTGGAGACATATACTTAGGTATGGAGAAGAAAGGGTTATTCTTTGTGTTTTGTGGCAAGTCATACACTTGCCCTTTCCAGTCGTTGATTCACGTTTATTGATTATGTGTTGCAGGAACCAATATTTCGTCCGGAGAGGAAGTTGCAATAAAACTAGAATGTATAAAGACAAGGCATCCTCAGCTTCATCTAGAATCAAAATTTTACAGAATGATGCATGGGGGTGGTGAGTATGAACATATATAGTTACAACTGTATAAGTCATTTCCCTTTAACTCAGTATGGATCTCAAAGAATTTGTTGATCAGCATTTTGAGCTGCGATGTAAACTTCCAAAGGTGCTTGCGTCATGAGAGGATTGCAAGTAGAACGATTCATGAGTTCAGTCGTTCTGTCAAGTTTTCACAAGTCCAATCCATATTCTCTTTTCAGATGTAATTTTCTGTTTCTAATTGAATTGATAATTGGATTAATTGCTTTTCAAAATTTGTCATATAAATTATTTAAATCTCTTTGTAAAATGAAAAATACTTTGAAACCGATCCAGATGCACCGCTTACTATTTAAAAATTGACATTTTATCATTGCTACAAAAATTTCTGATATAGTGATGATAGATAGCAACTATGCAAGAACAATTTCTCATACTTTATATTTAATTTATAGTTGGAATACCATCCATAAAATGGTGTGGTTCTGAAGGTGACTACAATGTCATGGTCATGGAATTATTGGGTCCATCATTAGAAGATCTCTTTAACTTTTGTTCAAGACGTTTCTCCCTTAAAACAGTTCTATTACTTGCAGACCAATTAGTGAGTACATCCTTTATCTCAATGTACAATTTAAAATTTTTATAACTTTATTCATTAAAACTAATGTTTATTGGATTTTGAATATACCAACAAAATTTTTTTAGTATTTGCATGAAAAAACAATTTAATAATGTTAATGTTTGATTGAGATAATCCATGTATCTTATCCCAGGGTTGATAATTTACTTATTTATTTTCAACAACTTTGATATTCTTAACAACTTATGGTCATTATTACAAGATTAGGACCTATTACAAAACTGAATTATTATTTATATATTTTAATTAATAATTATAAATTCCAATAGTGGTAATCTTATCAGGAACCCACTATTAGTTATGCACATTTAGTTCAGCCAGAATATCTTGGATAACTTTTACTTTATGAATAACAAATAACTCATTTTTTGTTTTGTGTTAAATGTTTAAATTGAAGGTTTTCTAATAAAATATTTTAAAAATTCTGATACAAATTGTAATTATAACAAAGGAAATCTATTAAGCAGATACTCAATGTATCTGTTAATTGCACTTCTTTCATAATTTAAAAATACCCTTAAAAAATTTTTTGCAGATAAGCCGAATTGATTACATACATAGCCGCAATTTTATCCACCGAGATATCAAGCCAGATAACTTTCTCATGGGACTGGGAAAAAAGGGTAATTTAGTATATATAATTGATTTCGGTCTGGCCAAAAAATACCGCGATCACCGAACTGCCAAACATATTCCATATCGAGAAAATAAAAATTTAACGGGAACAGCAAGGTAATAATAATTTGAACAGATAAAAATAATCAATTGATTGTTTGCAAAATTTCATAATTATCTTTGAATGAATTACAGATACGCTAGTGTAAATACTCATTTAGGAGTAGAACAGTCTCGCCGAGACGATCTTGAATCATTAGGATACGTTCTAATGTACTTCAACCGTGGAAGTTTGCCCTGGCAAGGTCTAAAAGCCGCGACTAAAAGACAAAAGTATGAACGTATATCAGAAAAGAAAATGTCCACTCCTATTGAAGATCTATGTAAAGGATATCCAGGTAAGAGATGACTTTCTTGTTTTTTTATATTGAGATTTGCTAAAAATTTTTAATACTACCGAATCATTTTCAGCCGAATTTGCACACTATTTAAAATACTGTAAGGAATTACGCTTCGAGGATAAGCCAGATTATTCTCATCTCAGATATGCATTCAGAACATTATTCCATAGCCAAGGATTTACATATGATTATGTTTTTGACTGGAATATGCTGAAGTTTGGAGGTACAAAACAATCTGCTTTAACAGTGAGTGGACAGGCACCGGGTGTTGTATTTTCCCACTCGGTTAACAATCCAATGACTCAAGTAGCCAAGAATGACCAAGAACATCGCTCTAGGTTAGTAATTTTTTATACAAAGTTTTAAAGTATAATAATAACACATAAAATCGATTCAATATCCTAATGATAATTTTGATTTTCAGCGGTGGGCGCAGCAGACCAGGAACGAGAGGCCATCGAGAAGCGGACGCGACGCGGTAGCACGTTTAATAAGTGGACAATACAATATCCAAATTGAACTAAATATACAGTAATGATGTTCTATGGTAATTTACCATTAAACTTATCATCACAATAGATTTACAACTACGAATATAAGTATAAGCTTTTATATTGTACTGCATAATTAAACACTAATGACGTAGCACTATGACATGATACTTATATGCTTCATTTATATTAAAATTTTAATAAAAGAATGAACTGGAAACCGAACGTAATTATTTTTATTTATCAAAAAATACTTACCACTATTAATTGCGATATATCGATAAAAAAATGTTTATGCTTAATTTTTTAAGTATCAAAAACAATAAAAACGAAACAGGTATAAAATAAGAAAATACTTATTTATAAATAGAAACTTCTATCATTATGAAATATTCATCTTAAAAATTGAAGTAATTTCCCTTCAAAAAATGTGAATTTCAATGAATACCAAAGACCTATAATAATTTTTCAAATTTTTTTTAACCAGTAGAGCGACTTATGGTAATGATTTTTTTTAAATTCCCGTATAATCGATTGTCATTTAATAATATTATGAAACTTTGATTGTTGAGTCATCATATATCAAATAAAACATCCTTCTCAAGAAAAATTAATTTATAAATAGCATCAATTTAATGGGATAATTTACAGTCGAAACAATCTTGAAACGGTAATTAAAAAAAAAAAAAACCTCGCGCATTTCCACAATATTTGGTTTATGAACCTTATACAGTGTAAAACGGATTGAGGGAACTTTTCAAATATATGAATTGAATGAGTAAATAAAGAACTTACTCCGTACTAATAGGCTTAGCTATTTTTATCAAGTAAGATGGATCTATATTTACATACTTAGATCATTCCACTCTCGAGAAAGATTATGAGTCTGTGCATTGCAAATCCATTGCAAAATTGTGTAAAGATATCATGAAAATATATTAATTAAGCGACTCAATTTTTAAACATTTAAAATACATATTAAAAATGTAAGAAAACAAAGTTCTGTGCTGAGTTGTGATTCCAAAATGACGTTCGTATTTTTGAGTTTATTTTTTTTAAAGTTGCGATGGAGCTTTCGGACCACGATGAATTGAGTTAAATAAACAAAATGGTAATAATAACTCACCATTTATTTTGAAAAGTACAATAAAATAATTAGATTTCCAAATTTAGTTTCAGGTTATGACTCGTTAGTAAATAACTTATTCATTTTACAATTCGTGAGTGCATTATTTATTTTTTACGAAAAATTGTCATCTTAAATTTTTGATAATTTAAATATTTTCATTGTGGTGAATTTATTCACAGATGAATATAACAACATGTGCAGAAGAATCGTATTACTTTTTATTTTAATATTTCATTGTCTGTGTTTTGTTCAATGTAAAAGGATCATTGTTGGTATGTATTATTACTATTTTTTCGAAAAAAAAATCTGACAAGCGCATCGCGACGATATTCAATTTTTCTACTTTGCTTCATTTTATCGAATTTCTAAAAAAAATCCAGGATACGTCTCGGAGAAGGAAAATTCCGTGAAAAATGTCACTGCACCAGGTTCATCGGACCCCGAAATGGAAAATCCATTGGAGCGGCTCAATTGGGCCCTCAAGTCCTATCAGGTATCCGACAACGTTTTGGATATTTTATCGACGAGTGAGTGACGTAAATATTTACATCAAAATTCGAATCCAGTCACATAATACCTATACATCTTTTTTTTTACGATCGTTGCGTAAATATCGCTTTGCATAATCGCGGTCTCTCCCTCCTCAAAAAAAAGTCGAAATAAAGGAGTAAAAAAAACGGCGTGCTTTCATTCAATTTTTTTTTTGTGCTTCATTGCAGTCTGCAGCGCACTGGAAGGCGGCGCCGTGACAATCGTCGGCAATCTCAAAGAGGTGAACGCTTTTTACGTGCAGAACATATGCGACTCGATGGAAATACCCTACGTATCCGTGAACTCGGACACGCTTCGCGATTACAGCAACGCCTTGAACCTTTATCCGGACCTCGGCGTCCTTGGACAGGTAAATCGCAGAGGCGCAACTATTATTAGTTTTTTCAAATGTGTGCAATATTAATACGCGTAAGCTGCCGCCGCCGCGCGCAAAAGCCGAGGATGCGGATCGACGCCGAGCTTCTGCATGAATAAATTAACGATTGAACTTTCGATTGCGCATTTAATGTGGGTCATATGTGTGCGTATACGCAAGGCGCGCACAAACAAAGAGATAATAGAGCAGCAGCTCAGCGAGGGAGAAGAAAAAAAGATCTCCGATTGCGTTTCCCATGGAACTTCAACTCCATTTATCCGAGTATATTATAAGCAAAAAAAAGAGAGAGAGATAGAAACGTATATAGAAACGCGAGGATTTTGGAGGGGAAGAGGCCAGGTGAAAGTGAGCTCTGCGAGGGTGCAGGTGTCAGATATACTCAAACACACCTACACACCTACACATAGACATTGGTATATTATATAGAAAAACGTCAGTGTGTGCGTAGGTAGGTGGGTACAGGTCGTTGCCTACATACATACGCATTAAAATCGGAGAGACAGAGAGACAGGGAGGGAGAGGGGGAGAGTATCGACGAATTGCGTGTGCTACGCAACGTGACCGAGCCGAGAGACTCGTGAATTACACACGTGCTATATACACGCATATAATAATCGTGATATATTCTACGATCTCATATAGCTGAGCCTACATAATGCAGCCTCATAATACAATGCTCCGAATAAAACTCGTACTCGAGGAAGCGGAAACAAAGGGGGGTTGCGATACTTTTCGCACTAGTCGCTTAATATGAATTTTTCTCTACTCCTTTCGGGGGTCAGTTCTTCAACGAGCTGATCGACTCGATGGAATGGAAGACCTACTCGATACTGTACGACTGCACCGAGAGCTTGGCCAACTTCAAATTCAACCAGCTCTGGGAGAAGGACGAGCCCTTGGTGACGTTTCGCCTGCTCTCGACGACTCAGGACAATCGAGGAATTCTGAGGAAGATCAAGGAGTCCGGGGAGAAAAATTTCCTGATCATTTGTAAGCCCGAGGCTTTGAAGAGTATCTTGCACCAGTCGCTGGAAGTTGGAATTCTGGCTGATCATTATAATTTCATCATCACGTCGTTGGTACGTATTCTTTTTATCAAAGAAATCTTACTCGATAGACAATTTCAAAGGTACTTTCCGATTGATAGGATTTCCAATCCGAGGATCTGAGCGAGTATTACTTCTCCGGCGTCAACATGACCGGCATCAGGCTGATCAACGTCGATCGGCTGAGTGGAACTTACCAAGTCGATCTCGCCCCGCTCGAGAACTACACGACCACGGAGTATCTGATCAACGACGCCGTTCTCTCGTTCGCCAATGGCTTCCGTCGGCTCAAGTACAGCACTTCCGGTCTGCAAAAATCCATTTCTTGCAACATGAGCAATAACTGGGAGTACGGCATTAGTTTGAGCAATTTCATGAAATCCGTAAGTTATTATCTCGAGAGAAGATGTCGATGCGAGTTTGTTCCGCGACGTACGAACATAAATGGGTTCTGTAGGTTCAAACGACGGGATTGACCGGTCTCATTCAGTACGACGGCATCGGAATTAGAAACAATTTCGAAGTGGAGATACTGACGCTGACGCGCTCGGGCTTGGCCAAGGTCGGAAACTGGAACTCGTCGAGAAAAATCGAGTGGATTCAATTGAACACAGGAAATCCCGACGCCGAGGTATCGTCGTTGCAGAACAAGACCTTCCGAGTACTCATTGCCATGGTAATTTTATCATCTCAACATCACCGACGATCCTTCGATATAGAGACGATAAAATTTTCATTCGAGCGATCTTTCTCTGTGCTATCAAAAAAAAAAAAAAAGTCGCCACCGTACGGAATGCTGCGCGAGACGGTATCCAAGATGTCGGGCAACGATCAGTACGAGGGCTTCGGCGTCGACATCATCCACGAGATCAGCAAGATGCTGGGCTTCAATTACACTTTCTTCGTTCAGACGGACAACGTTTACGGCTCGCTCAATCCCGCCACAGGCGAGTGGAACGGGATGTTGAGAAAGATCATGGACGACGTAAGAGGATCGTTATTTTTCTGCGTGTCAAACTTTCAAATACCAGCATTTTGTTTTAACTTCTTTTTTTGCAGGAAGCGGATTTGGCCATTACCGATCTGACGATCACGGCCGAGAGGGAGACAGCCGTCGATTTTACCATGCCCTTCATGAATTTGGGTAACTTATCATTTTGGGCTTCTCCGATTCTCCCTTCGTTTGTCGCTCACACATTCCGAAAACAATTATCAGAGCTTCCACTAATTTTGGAGAAATTTAGAAAATATTTTTTGATTTAAATTAAGTTAGTAATGTATGTTTGATTAATTCAGGCTTGCATATCATTAGGTAATATTTATCTAAAATCTAGTAATCAACTAATCGTTCACCCCATTCACGGCTCCAAACAATGTGTGGAAAAAATCTGTTCTGATAATTCAATGAAGGGCTACAAACTAAGTAGCCAAAAAATGAACAGACGGTAATTATTAGTAAGTAGTACGCGAAATTTGGTTGAACAATAAAAAATTACAACGAAAGTGAACAAAAATGTAATGGTAGCTGATAGGGGGCACAATGTTTATTGAAATTTTAGAAAAACACATGTATGAGTAACTATACATATTTACAATTGTCAATTATATTTTTTTCTTGTGTCATGGTGGTATCTTTGGTGCCAAGATAAAGCCCATTTTTGTCCAAATTTCTTCTCGCATTTATTGTATGCATAATCTTAACAACCCTTGTGGACTGTCTTTTGATGTCTAATCAATTTAGATTTTTGTCCTAATTTCCTCTCGCATTTTTCGCATGCAAAATCTTTGCGATTTTAGTGCATTGTATTCCAGTGGACTGTCAAATTTGATTTTTTTCCAAATTTCTTCTCGCATTTATTGCATGCGTAATCTTTACGACCCTCATGGACTGTTTTTTGATGTTGCATCAAAGTACCTCGTTCACCAAATTTCTTTTGGCATTTGTCACATGTGAAATCTTTGCAACCTTCGTGGACTGTTTTTCTGTGTCTAGTCAAAGTGCCTTGATCCCCAAATTTTTTCTCGCACTTGTCGCATGAGTAATCTTTCCGACCTTCGTGAACTGTTTTTTGGTGCCTGATCAAAGCGCTTGGAGCTCCAAACATCTTCTCGCATTTGTCGCATACAAAATCTTTGCAACCTTCGTGAACTGTTTTTTTATGTAAAAGCAAATAATGTTTGTTTCCAAATTTCTTCTCGCAATGTTGGCATGCTTCATTTTTCTGACCTTCGTGTACTGTTTTTTGGTGTCTTAAAAAATTTCTTCGATCTCCAAATTTCTTCTCGCATTTGTTGCATGCAAAATCTTTGCGACCTTCGTGGACTGTCTTTTGATGTTGCATCAAAGTACCTCGTTCCCCAAATTTTTTTTCGCACTTGTCACATGCGTAATCTTTGCGACCTTCGTGGATTGTTTTTTGGTGATGGAGCAAACTCTGTTTTTTTGTAAATTTTTTTTCGCAATTGTCGCATACGTAATCTTTCCGACCTTCATGGACTATTTTTTGGTGTCTAGTCAAATAACATTGTTTTCCAAATTTTTTCTCGCAATTGTCACATGAGTAATCTTTGCAACCGCCGTGTACTATCTTTTGGTGGTAGAGTAGACTCGCTTTTTGTGTACATTTTTTCTCACACTTATCGCATGCGTAATTTTTGCGACCTTCGTGAACTGTCTCTTGGTGTCGAATCAATTTTGATTTTACTCCGAATTTCTGCTCGCACTTATCGCATGGGTAATCTTTGCGATCATCGTGTACAGTCCTTTGGTGGGAAAGCAAATGGGATTTATATCCAAATTTCTTCTCGCAATTGTCGCATATATAATCTTTGCGACCTTCGTGGGCTACCCTTTGGTGCTTAAACAAATGCTCCTTTCGTCCAAATTTCTTCTCGCACTTGTCGCATCCATAATCTTTGAGACCATCATGGATTATCTTTTTGTGGATTAGCAAATTCCTCTTTCGTGTAAATTTCTTCTCGCACTTGTCGCATACGTAATTTTTGCGACCATCGTGTACTGTCCTTTGGTGAAAAAGCAAATGGGATTTATATCCATATTTCTTGTCGCACTTGTCGCACGCGTAATCTTTGCGATTTTCGTGGACGTTTATTTGATGCTTAAACAAATGCTCCTTTCGTCCAAATTTCTTCTCGCAATTGTCGCATCCATAATCTTTGTGGCCGTCATGGACTGTCTTTTGGTGTATGAGCAAACTCTTTTTTTGTGTAAATTTCTTCTCGCACTTGTCGCATACAAAATCTTTGCGACCTTCATGGACTACCTTTTGGTGTATGATCCAAGTTCTGCGAGCCCAAAATTTCTTCTCGCATTTATCACATGAATAATTTTCCCGACCTTCGTGTACTATCTTTTGGTGGATGTGCAAATCTGTTTTTTGTCCAAATTTCTTCTCGCATTTATTGCATGCATAATCTTTACGACCTTCATGTACAATTTTTCGGTGTATGAGCAAATCGTTTTTTTGTCCATATTTCTTGTCGCACTGGTCGCATGCGAAATCTTTGCAACCTTCGTGTACTGTTTTTTTATGTCTGATCAAATTGCTTCGATCTCCAAATTTTCTCTCGCATTTTTCGCATGAGTAATCTTTCCGACCTTCATGGACTGTTTTTTTGTGTTTGATCAAATCTGATTTTTTTCTAACTTTCTTCTCGCGACTATCACAAGTGGAATCTTTACGATCGTCGTGTACTTTCTTTATGTGTAAAAGCAATCTATGTTTAGTATCAAATCTTTTCGCGCACATTTCACATAAGTAATTTTTGAAAACTTCGTGAAATATTTTTTTGTGTTTGAGAAAAGTTGATTTGTTTTCAAATTTCCTCTCGCACTTGTCGCACATGAAATCTTCGCGATCTTTGTGTAATAATTTCTGGTGCGTAAACAAACTCGATTTTTTTACAAATTTTTTCTCGCACATATCGCATGCAAAATCTTTGTGACTCTTGTGTTCTGATATTTGATGTCTACTTAAATGACTTCGGAACTCGAATTTCTTTTCACACTTGTCGCATTCGTAATTTTTTTGTTGATTGTGAATTGTGTCTCGGTGTGTTATCATGATTGATTCTAGTTCAAATACCTCCTGACAAATATCACAAACATATTTTTTATCATCTGAAACAACAATGTCATGTTTACTTGAATTATCTTTAGAGACAACTTCCTCGGATTTCTTCTCACCTTTATCCATTTTGGTGCCTGAATCAAACGATTAATCTTTCTATTTAGTACCGCGGATACTGAATGAGTAAAATTTATCTTTTAGTATTAGGGCTTTCTTCATCGGGGAAGATAACATTCAAACTCATTTGTTTTTAATGTAAACATGAGCAGTGTGTCGAGGAAATGTGTCAAAATCATCTATGTTTACGATCATAATGTTTACAATTTAGTTACCGATTTATCTGCTTATACATTGTTCTTATAACATTTGAAACAACTTAAAAGTCTAACATGGCGACGATTTTATTAAGAAATCTTTAAATCTTCAAAAATTAAGTACTTTCAAAAAAAATATGACAAACGACTTCAAGTTCACACGCAAACGTTGAAAATCTGCCGTCCCCATGCCATGTCGAGATTGGCGTGCTCCACACCTCGTCACTGTTCGAACTCAACTCCTTTTTTTTTACGCGCATAGGTATCAGCATACTGTACCAGAAGCCCAAAGCAGCTCCACCGAGTCTCATGTCGTTTCTGTTGCCTTTCTCGGCCAAGGTCTGGCTCTACCTGATCGGCGTGTACGTCGTCATGTCGGCCCTGTTCTTCACGACCGGCCGCATGTGCCCCGACGAGTGGAACAACAACAATCCCTGCATCGAGAATCCCGAGTCCCTCGAGAATCAGTTCACGGTCAAGAACTCCCTCTGGTTCACTCTTGGGGCTATTATGCAGCAGGGTTCCGAGATTGCTCCCATGTAAGACCTCATTGAAAGAATCATCTTTTATTTGAGTCAACGTTAAACTCGCTCCCCATTTTTTTTTTCTTTTTCAAGTGGAAACTCCACGAGGATGCTGGCCGGCTGCTGGTACTTCTTCTGCCTGATCATGGTCTCGTCTTACACGGCCAACTTGGCCGCTTTTCTGACCGTCGAGACGGTCGAGCGGCCGATCAAGAACGCCGACGACCTGGCCAATCAGGACGTGATCAAGTACGGCGCCAAAAAAGGCGGCTCGACCCTGGGCTTCTTCAAGGACTCGAACTCGTCGACCTATGCCAAGATGTACGAGTACATGGTGAACAATCCGAGCGTGCTGACGTCCAGCAACGACGAGGGCAAGTTCAAGGTCATGAGCGACAATTACGCTTTTCTGATGGAGTCGTCGTCGATCGAGTACATCTCCGAGCGCGAGTGCAATCTCACGCAGATCGGCGGTTTGCTGGACCAGAAGGGTTACGGCATAGCGATGAAAAAAAGTAAATTTTTTTGGCTTTTCACGCGCATCGAAAGCGTTTTGTCGAACGCGTTGAATGATCGAATGCAAATTGTTTGTCGATTCAGACGCTTCGTACAGAAACGAGCTGAGTAGAGCAGTCTTGAAATTGCAAGAGATGGGCGTACTTACCTCGTTGAAGAACAAGTGGTGGAAGGAAAAGGGTGGCGGAGGCAGATGCTCGGTAGGGACGACTGTTCTTTTTTAAACTTCAAAACTTTCAATTTCTACCTGTACGGCTCCTACCTTGCAGGAAGACGGAGGCAGCGGTCAAGCCGAGGAGTTGGGTCTGGCCAACGTCGGAGGTGTGTTTCTCGTCCTCATCGTCGGCACCGTCATGTCCTTCTTCGGCACGATCTTTGAATTTTTGTTCTCCATATTTTTCGAACGAACCGATCCCAACGTACGTTGTTATACTAGCAATTGAGTTTTGCAAAGCTCATAATCTAACTACTTTTTACTTACGATATACTCTTTATTTGCTTGCATATATAGATAAGCGCAAAGAAAAAGCTGCAGGAGGAGGTCAAAATCATCGTCAAGTTTGGCGTGATGACCAAAGCGACGAAACCTGAAGAGGGCGAAGAACACGAGGACGAGGAGGAAAATATCTGATAAAAGCTATTGCGCCTTGTGCGAAGTTTCAGATTTACGCATTGTTTATTGTTGATAGTTACAAGAAGAAACATAACTGTAAATCTTAATTGTTATCCTCAGTTTTTACGTTTTACGCGATATAATTGTATGTAAGAGATGACATGTACAATATTTGTTTAAATTTAAAGATAAATATAACAACAGGACTAATAACGAACTATAGTTTTTTTTTGTTAATAGAAGTCTACGTTATTTTGCTCGGGACGTTTATCTGCGACTTATTTTTCTTTCAACTAATCGTCCGCGCCGCAAAAAATAGAGATTTATAATCTGATCAATATTTTCTGAAATATTTGGCATTATATATAATAATATTGATGTATTTTATTTTATAATATATAATATACTATATATATTGCTTTTAGAAATGAATTATTTGCGCCCGCAAATAGATCCGTATGTAAGTGTGTGTTAGGTGTCTGTGATAATGTCGATCAATTAATGGTCGGTGGTTTTGTTTAAAATTTTTCTTAATTGAATCGAAAAATTGAATTAATTTTACGAGACAAAGAAAAAAACGAGACTCGACGCGTAATTGTCTTTTTTTTTACTTCTCTTTTTTTTTAGTTAAAATGTCTAGTAATCTTAATTATCGTAATAATTTGAAAATCTTCAAGTTTCGTAACCGCCACTACTTAAGCCAGCTTTGGGTTCTACGCGCGTCAGCTTGACGAAGCAATCCTCTAAGAACTGTATCATCGACAGGTACAGGTGCTCCTTGACGCCGGAAAGACTGTGATCTATGTCTGGATATATCTACGAGAGAAAAAATGTGGAAATTTGAGAATCACTGACTCACGATGATAATTGAAATAAGGTGACGTACCTGCTGCCTAAATAAAATGCCACTGTCGGTCAAGTGGCGAGAGAGAACTAATGATTGCTGAAATTGTACGTTGCTATCTGCTGTGCCGTGAATGAGGAAAAACTTTTTACCCTTTAAATCCTTGACTTTTCTCGTAAGATCGGCCTCGAGGTAGCCCTGATAATTCGACGATACGTTCGGATAACCCATGTACTTTTCCGCGTAAGCCGAATCTGTAGTACAAAATTTTGAAATTCAAAACGTGTACTTATTATTATTATAATTTTTTTATTATAAAATCATACCGTGCAGATCCCAGGAGACGATGGGCGCCACGCTGATGCCGCAGGCGAAGACGTCCTGATCGGGCCTGAAGAGAGCGTGGGCCGCGACGAATCCGCCGTAGCTCCAACCCCAGATGGCGACTCGACGCTTGTCGACGAAGTGCAGCGAGTCGCGCAGGTACTCGGTGACCTCGAGCTGGTCCGCGACCTCGACGCTGCCCGCCCGATGATAGACCTCCTGGGTCATGCGACAGCCCTGGCCGCCGCTGCCCCGGGCGTCGATCTGCGCCACGATCATGTTCATTTTGCCGGACAGGTAAGAGTTGTAATCGAGCTTAAAAATATCAGTCACTAATTGCGATCCGGGTGCGCCGTAACTGCGGGTGGAGGAGAAACGAGAGAAAAATTATGATCGATCGTTGAAGCGAAAATGAAAATTTTGTAAGACTATACTTACGCTTGAACTACGAGTGGATAGCGCGTGATCTCCTCGTCTCGCAGAGTCGGTGGTAAGTACAATTTAACTTGCGCCGAGTAGCCGCCACTTATTTGAACGGGGAATTTCTTGATTTGCGGAAGAGCTATATTTGACATTTTTTCCTGTGCGTCGCAATTAACATTTTTTCATTTAAATCGTTGTTCACCAAAAAATGCGTAGAAATGAGATACAGAGTAAAAATATTACCTCCAGTTCAGAATTACTTTCTAACATCAACAGAAAACGAGGCTTCGGTAATTCTGTCCTATAGAGTGCTACTAACGGGACACCTGGACCCAGACATTCCAATACGAAGTAATGTAGATTTGGTGAAAAAATAGTGTTATAGTATTGGCACGTTCGTACAGCTCCTGTATGCAATTGAAAAAGAAGCGTGTCGGTTTTAATCAGGAAATCATTCGTTCTCGACATGCTGATGCGTTGATTTCGGAAAATAATTTATATCTACGACTTTCGACGCTCTAAACTGTTACGATTTTCATATGCTTATGGAGCTTTTGCCTAAATAGCAGCTATCAGCTAATATCGTAATGAATTTCTAAGTATGACGTTATCGGTTAGTTATCATGTTAGGATTCTAATGTTGTTACCTAGACGTTTTCTCATTGTGTTATGAGAGGTTTTACATCGCTACGAATTCTCGTCGGTTTTGGAATCTTTACTATTGATGTATGCAATTACGTTATTTATCATGTGCATATGTTTGTGTGAGAAAGATTATTTCTATAGGATTTATGGCGCTGAAGCGTTTTTGGAGTTTACGTTACGATGGGAACTGTGAAAAGCTCTGAACTAATTTCTTCGTTTTCTGAGTTTTTGACATTTTTACGATTGTTTTGAATTAATATACTCTTGGTGCTTATGCTTTTTCGAATAATCGACCGTTTTCTATAATACATTACACTATAGTGCAACCACTTGGCCCTATTTTAACGTTAATAAAAAAAAAATTCAACGATTTGTCGTGCCCATTCTGCGAGTGTGCTCATAGTTAGTGTTTAGCAGTTCGGCCGAGCAATTAAAAACAAAAATGAAAGAAAGTTTTGCCTCGTTACTTTTGCAATTTAATTGAAATAAATGTTGTACAAACTCGTTACCATTCTGGGCTATAGCAGCGAGATCGTGTCTGTGTGTTTGTGTAACACCCCGAAACTCGAATATTAGGAATTTCCTGATTTATCGTTTGTTTTTTTTTCGATCGTAGCCTTCATTTATCGTGTCTCGTCCGATGTAATTCTATTGATCGTAGATACATTAAAAATATTTTCATTTTGAAAATGAACAATAAATAAATAAAAAAAGAATCGAAGCTATGAAGCTCGACTCCGTAAAATAGCTGTAAAAAAACTTACGTAGCTGATTATGTTTGACATTATCTTTCTTGCTGCTTCCGCTGCTCTTAGTCGTGTTCGTCGCGTTGGTCGTCGTCGTCCTGTCCGCGTCGGGGTTGCGATTCTTATTAGGTTCTCTACTGTACTCGTTAGCGAGCTTATTATCATCGGGAATGATTAATCCCGATATTTTTGAAGGCACATAATCTACAAATGGATAGTGGCTTTTGGCATTGATCAACGTACTGCAACTAATACACGTTATAGTATCGTCTTGATTGTTATTATTATTGTTAGACCGTATCACAGAACTGATACGATAGAGATGACGCTGGGAGGGATGAAGCGCCGGAGTTCCCATGAAGTAACTGCGCAGCAACGACGAGAAAAGCGAATTATAGAAAAATCGGTATAAATTGTAAAAAAAAAACAAAAAACAATCGTCACTTACATGGTATTGTTGGCGTAATCCCAACCGAGGATCTTGGTGACCTCGAGCTGGCCGTGCGTGAGCGGAAAGACCTGCTTCTTGGTCACGTCGACGATCACAATGTGTCGGAAGTTGCCGTGGGCGCCCTGCTTCACGGGCGCTATGGTGATGTAGTGCGAGCCGTTGAGGGTGAAGATGGGCGGCTCGCTGGGGCTGTCGAGCCAGGCGCCGTGCTCGTCGCCCTGTATCTGCTGCACCTCCTGGCACTTCCACAGCGGATTCTTGCAGATGGATATCACAGAGAGATTTTGCAGCCGATTCATCCACGTGATGCAGATCTCGTTCGGCGATATCCACGTGGCGCCGGTCAGGTAATGATCCCTGCGAATTTTAAAAATCGTTATACATATTTGCAAAGCAAATTTGGGAGAAGATCGAGGAGACGACGGCTCACGTTGCTTCGATGATCGGCGGTGGCTTCACGGATTTGACATTGATGTTGTTGGGATCGGCCAGATCGGCGACGAACAGCGAGACCGTCGGATTCGGCGTTTCCGGCTTGGGATAGCGCAACGATCGTATCTCCGGATAGACCAAGTGGCCGCCGTCGCCGTACCAGGTGTTGTGCTGCTCCTTGACCAGCGAGTCGTTGAAGCTGGCGTAGAGCAGCACCTGCGAGTCCTTCGACATCCAGATCGCGTCGCTGCTGTGCAGGATCTCCTCTGCGAATTCGTTCTCCGAGTTAGGTATTTTTCGAAGACAAAGTGGAAACGAATTCGCGATTCGTGTACACGTTGAACGATAAAACAGCGATAAAAGGTGAAAAAAATATAACAACCGAACTTCGATGAAGGTGCACCGAGGAAAGGATCTATCTACAGAGATAATCTACGTTCTGGCGAATGATTTTTCTCGGAAGATAATCGCCGGTTACGTGTGTGTGCTGAGTGTCGAAGAGCCTTTTCAAAACCTGCACAGATTGGAGCTGCGAACTTTATCCGTATACGTATAAATTTTCGGAAAGCCTGTGTAATATAAAATGAGATGCTTGTGACGAAAAAAAAAGAAAATAAATAAATAAACAGGAAAAATTGACTCAATAATAGTAAATCTCCACACATCGTGCGGTAATCTCCCCTGCTGAGAGAGAGAGATCGAAGGGCGAAAAATTGTATACGACACAATCCAATATATTATATAGACTTACCCTCGTAAAGCCAATCGGTCAGACCGTTGGATATTATTCCGGGCACGGCGTTATTGGTAACGCGATAGCTCGTGCTCGAGTGCGGATCGAGCTTGTAGTAGATGTCGTAATCGTGAACGATGATCAGCTTGTGGCCGCGGGGCGTCCAGCGGGCCGACAGCAGATACGGCTGGCCGCCGCCGCCGGGCCCGTTCTCCTGGATCTTTATGGCGACGGTCGCCCCGGAAGCCAGATCGTAGACGGTGTACTGGGCCAGGTAAGAGTAGCGAAACAACTGCTTCATATTGTGCGCGATCAGCAGAAACTTCTGATCCGGCGACAGCGAGAATTTCGCCGGAGTGAACCGCTTGAATACGTTGTCGTGCACCAGATTGATGGAGCTGAAGTTGGAGCTCGAGACGTCGAGCAGCGACACGCCGCCCCACGTGTCGCGGTAGCATATTTGCCGGTGATTCACCCACGTACCGTTGAAGAGGAGAGGCGTCAACTCTCCGTAAAGTACCTGATCCAGGGAGAGGATTATGGTTTCCATGAAATTCAACATTTTTTTTTTTCATATACAGCGGCACTCACATCCGATAATTTCAATCGTTGACCTTTGATCCTCGAGCTCTCGTCCGGAGGTGTGAGCAGCGCGACCGACGTTACGATCAGTGCCAGCACCGCTATGATGACCAGCAGAGCTATCAGTATACCCCGCCAGTTTCTCTGATTCGGATTCGTCGACACCAGCTCCTATTCGTTGATTTTCATGGAGAAAATAATGGAAAAAAAATTGTATTGATCACGACAGAACAAAAGTCCATAAAGCTGCCTGCCTGCTGCACGCGCGAACGGCGCGATAAAGCAAAACGCGGAATAATGAGATGCAAATAAAAGAGAGAGAGAGAGAGCGAGCGAGCGAGCGGGGAAAATGTGTTAAGATTGCTTGAAACGACCCCCTTTTACTATGCTGTACTATATGCCTGCTGCCCTCAGGATATAGAAGCGCGAGAATGACCTAGCGGATTAAGGCAAGCATGAGCGCCTAGTTTATTAATATAAAACCAGCGCAGTTATAATAACGTCATGCTCGTATTGCATTTCTCTCTCATAGGTATACGTGTATCGCGTTGTGTACGGAGTGGACGAATCAATTGTATATTATGCGGAGAGACATCCCACGTGCGATCCGCCTCGCTGCGCTGCTGCTGCTGCACATGTATCATTCGAGTGTGGCGATATTTACGCCGAAAATTTCGCAAAATGTTTCTCTCGTTCAAAATTTCATGCGAGAACCGCGCAACCGAATATTTTATCTATTTATAAGCGTACAAACACGGCAATTGCGCTAAAAGCTCCGCGGCTAAAGCTCGCAAAATTCTATCGATCTCTCGCGTGGCGCGGAACAAACACGAAAAAAAAAAAAAAAGAAACGAGTTCACAAGGCCACCCACGCACTGCTGCTCGACTAGACTCGCATGCATAATATTATGATATTTGCGCGCACTCGCGGATGCGTCGAGCGAGTATAGTCTCATAGGTCGATGATGCGAGATTACGTTACCTCATCGTCGTAAAGATTATCGTCTGCCATTGGGCGATGTTGTTGCGGTCCGACTTGCTTCTTCCTTCTTAGCTCGACTTAACTTATAAGCGCGGCCAATACGCAAAAATCTACACATCGAGCTGCTGCTGCTGAAATCTCGCTCTCGGCTCGTCCGCGATTATTGCAACGCTCGATGATGACAACATCGTGTACTACTACTGCTGCTGCTATGTGCATCTAGCTGCTCGGCAACTTGACTCGAAACTCCGACAAAAAAATTAATAATGCGTTTTGGAGCGCAGCACGACGACGATTTTCTTCTCACCCACCACCACACCACCACCACCGACAGTCGTAGTGGTGTGTGTTGCGCGAAAACTGCGATGTGCGCGGAACTGTATGTGCATACAGAGAGAGAGAGAGAGAGAGAGAGAAGCGAGAACTCCCCCCGAGAGAGAAGGAGAGAGATGACGAGGGAGTCTGCGCGATTCGCTTAAGCGAAATATGTTACCCTCGTCGACTCGGCGGTGCACATCACGGCACACGGTTGATGATGTGCGTTGCTAACTACCTACCTATTATTTATTTATTTATTTACATTTGCGTCATGCAGGTGAAACGATCGAGGATGCGGCGGCCTGCACAAGCATCGACACGTGTACGGCAGCCCAATGATTTTTCGCGTCAATTTTACGATTTCAATAACTCGAGCGATATAATCCCGTGTGCAGGAAAAGCGCAGGAGCACACGAGCTTTTCATGCTGCAGCTGCCACCTATATCTATATAGGCGAGCTTTTGTATCTCTATACGTGTATCGCGAACTTTTCGGAGTTATAGGTATATAGGATTCGATAGTTGCAGTTTAACAGTTTTGGCCCGCGCGAACGTCATACGTATACGAGAGATGACCTTTTGACTTCTATCGACGATGGTTCGTCCGATTATGATTTTTTTATTCGCTCAATCGAAGGGCAATTCGTAATTTATGAATGGAAATGCGCGTTGAAATGACTTTGACGAGTTATTGAGGGCCAAATTTAGAAAGGGATTAAAATCTACCTCTAATTAGAATTCAATTTTGCTTTAATTTTTCAATAATTATACCTAAGCTCTGAATGACCCGAAAAGCTTACGCAAAGCGATAAATAAAAGTATTTTAATTCACGAAAGAAAAAATATATTTGAATTAAAGACAATTCAATCGAGACGTAAGCCCAGCAATATACTGGACAAATGACGAGTTGTCAGAGTCATACCAATAATAGTAGCTCTGAGTCCGCGTAATCCCACCGCAAATAACATATGCGCTCAAATAAGAAAAAACCCCCTGCGCCCCATTTGTATTCATTTCAAAAGGCATCCGCCGAGGTAAATTGTCTTTCGCTCGCTGGCCCGAGTCGAGTCGGTTCTGTGGATCTTTGTGTTGCTATTGATTTCGCCGCCGCTGCCGCGCGAAGTTATACTTGCGGTTTATATAGACACCCTCGTGCAGTCGAGCGGACGAGTTTGTGCTTTTATCGGATAAGGGTAAAAAAGGCGAAAAGCAGCCCGGGATTCAGATATGAAATTACGATGTTTTTGTTCGGTAATTTTGACGATGAGCGCGGTATCGGCGACCGCGGCGAGTGGTTTGGACTTCAATCGGTTTGGTATATATAATGATCGTTGTGTAGAGAAAAGCTTTTGTGGTATTTTTGAATCGTGAGAATAAATTTTGCAAAAATTTTAATGATCGTTTTGTTAAATGCAGATAAAAAAATGAACGCGCTGGTGCGTTCGTTGAAGTTCATGGCCGAGAGACCGGGTCAAATGAACGTGGATACCATTTTGGGAGTTACTTTTGTCGAAGGTGAGCACAATCTCGAAAGTAAGATCAAATATAATTTTCAATGTATCCTTCGTTTTTCATAAATTGCGATACATTTCGTTTTAGCGAACATAAAGGCGGCCCTCGCGCACAAAAATCTCCTGTACATCGATAATCACGGAAGGTCGATGCTGAAGGAGATACTAAAATTGGCGACGCACACGAGAAAACATCTTCTACGATCGTTAGCTCTGAACGAAGACATAAAGCAGGGTAAAATATAGAATTTATTATCATCCATAGCGCACTTAAAAGTAAATTGCATTATTTTATATACGCTTACGCGCGCATAATATAGAAATGCCGTGATGCGCATCGCGACTTTACGATCCAATAAAGATTCCTGCCACCGAGAGAGAGAGAGAGGAGCTTACATTTTCCCCTCAAAATTATCTCTTTTTAAGTTATCAACGCCATCAACGATCCGGATTTATGGATCGAGCCCGTCGTCTGGAGAAACATGGAGAACAACGACGCGCACCGCTCGACCAACGATAAAAAGAATCATTCCACTCGGGCGTTGCAGGATCACTCCCAGAGCCGTACGAGCGATCGTTGCATCGTCCGAGTGATCCAAAGCTGCGAGATCGATGACGTTTGCCGAGATTTCGCTCTGCGAGACCTCGACTCGGCGCAGGCATACACCTCGACGCACAAGCTCTTGCTGATCAAGCTCGCGTCCGCGGTAATAATAAGCTCTTTTATTTTATTCTATTTTCGAGTCGAACTGGGCATCGAAAAATATTTTCCTCTTTCTTTTTTTTTTTTGTAGCTTCGATGCGACGCAGAGATTTCCGATGTCTCGCCGTTCGTAACTTACGCCCTGTGTGCCTCGATGATGCGAGAATTGACGAGCTACGAAGCTGCCGGATTTCCGAATGTCAGCAAGGATCTGGCCACGGAGCAAAGTAACGTATTCTCGATTGAGCTAAATATTCATTCGTGTCAACTTCGTGTCACGCGTGTAATCGTAAAAAATTAATTCTCTCAGTACTCTTGTGCGGCATGGAAGGATACTTGAATTTTCTCGGCAGACACTACGAACAGCTGTTATTGGATTGGCAACACCCGAGCGGATGTTACAGTGGTGTCAAGTAAATTATTTTTGCCTAATTATATTTTCAATAACTTGGTATCGAGTAAATCTCATCTTTTCCTTTTTCAGGTATTCGCTGGATGCAACTTTGAAGCGGAGATATTATCGACGATCCGGAAGCTTCGTGGATTACGGATGCGTTAATCACGCCACAGGCCTCGGAGCTGCCGCACTTGCACTCATGATTCGTAAAGACATCGAGACGTTTTCATCATAAATATTAAGTTAATGTCAATGAATAAATGAATTCGAAAATTACTTACGAATCCTGTGGTATTTTATATAACACAAAGTTGATATTCAAAGCTGGATATCGTTTTGGGGATCAGGATACCTTGGAGTGTGAAGGATTCCAACGAAAAAATCGTTTAATTTGCAGTATTATTATATTTCGAGTTTTTCTTTTTAATTCCAGTTCTTTTATCTTAAGTTAAGTTTAAACAGATGAACATGATTTCATCAAGTGACAAAAAAATATTAACAATACTAAACACTGGAAATATTAGCAAGACCGTTTCGATATACGCTTAATCGTTTATAGAAGTATGTATTTTTTTTTATTATCAGGTAACATAATAATTATTACCGATAGAGATATACTTAAAGGTATACATATTTGTATATAGGTACAATACACATACGTTAATACATGTATATATATTGTATATTACACACAATATAATATGTATAGAAATTCATTAATTTACAACTTATACTGCAGTAATTACTTCTTAAAATTAAGATGAATCATTCTTATCATTTTTTTGTTTTCTTAATTGCTCCCAGTCCAGTAACTTGAAGTGTAAGAATTTTTGAGTGGTACTTTGTTTTGTGGATTGTTGTTGGATCTCTGTACAGTATTGCTACCACTGTCTTGGTGCAATGCTTGATGAAGTTGATGTGGTACAGTCGGAATGAACATGTGCGTTGCGTTGTATCCCCCGATTACTCCAGCAGTTTGATTATTTGTCATTCCAAATGGCGGTGGCGTAGCTGAGTGAAAATTTTGCTTTTCGTATGTCTACAATTTTTAATCGTTACATTTAGCATTCATTTTCGTCACAGTGAGCCTATTTAAATATCATTTATGATCATTTAATTCCCAACGAACCTTATTTAATTGAGTATGTCCTTTAGAATAAATTGTAGGACTAATATCACTTGGGTTAATAGTATTTGGACTGCAAGTCGCTGGAATATTTTTTCCAGTTTGGCTATACCCAGAACTGCTATTTTTGTAATCAGCTGCTGAACCAGCATTGGTCATAGCATCATAATTAGATCCAGTATTATAACCAGAGCTGTAATTTCCTGATTTCGATGGGTAAGTACTACTGTTGGATCCAGTTCCAGCAGTTGTAGGCATTTGCTATTGAAAGGACATTTATTAGTTAAACGGGGTTTTGTATGAAGATGAATTCAACCTTTATTGAAAATTTGGATGTATTATACATACTGGATACAAAGTTGGGGCGGTATTGTACGGGAATCCGCTTGCAGGCATGATACTTCCTCCGTAAAAGTACGCATAGCCTGGTGGAATCGGATTCATAAGTGGTTGCTGATGCTGCTGCTGCTGCTGTGATGTGTTCTGAAAATATAGAATTATTGTATTTATTCATTCAAGATTAATCTAAGAAACTACCAACTAAAGAAAAAACTATAATAATTGTAAGCATCAAACACACTTGTTGTGAAACAGTTGAAGAAACTGGAGATGAGTTTCCATCTGTTCTTGTAAATCGAGCATCATTCATGCTACTAAATTGGCCTTGCACATTTTGAACGGTTGATACCGAATCATTTCTACTATTGCCAAGACTTGTGACAGGACCTGATGTTTGGTATCCCAACGTGGCATCGTAATGATATGCACTGTTGGGCTAAAATTTAAAGGGTCACGTGTAAAACTATCGTAATAGTTATTTTAAAACTAAACATTAATAAGGAGTCATTAATTAAGGCTCATTAAGAATGTTTCAATTACTTATATACTAGATTCGTAATTAATGAAACCTACCATATGATTCAGTCTTTGCTGCAGCATTTGCAACTCTTCATAAGTGTAGACTGCTGGCTGCTGCTGGAATGTTGCATAAGCAGGTATGGTCTGTCCGACTACGTACTGATGACCCAAGATGGGTGTAACATTTCCTGTAGATCCACTTCCAGTGGAACTGTTGGAGTTATTACCGGATCCGAGACCAACAGTTGTAGATTTAGGCATTGCTGTAACAAAAATGTTTAAAAATTTTAAATCGTACAATTTGAATTATTAGCTATAGGGCGTTTTCAGATTGTCACGAAATGGTCACTTTACTGATTTGCCTGGAGGAACAACAAACAAGGTACTGCGGGTTAAGTAAATGAGAGACCTTGTTTGTTGTTCCTCCAGGCAAATCAGTAAAGTGACCATTTCGTGACAATCTGAAAAAGCCCTATTGCAAACTATACAATAACGCACCGCCTCCTATGGTCCCAATGTATTTTTCCATAAGAAGTGAAGCAGACGAGTAAACCGTCAATTTACTCATCTGTCTCAGTTCTTATGGGAAAATAAGTTGGGAACATTGAGTTATTGTGGTATTGTTTACTAACAAATTGACAAAATTTGTTTTTAGATTTGTTTTAGAGATGAAATGTGAGCATGTATTAGAAGTAATTCTTACCGTTTGTTGCAGTAGTCTTTGACAGGGTATTTACAGAGGAAGAAGCACTAATCCCCATGGTATTCGAAGTCGATACCGACACAGCGCTAGAATGAGATGAATCACCATCGAATTTGGAATTCACACTTGAAAGACCTTTGTTATCATTTTGCTCTTGCGCTGTATAAGTTGAGTAAGGCTTGGAATACACCGATTGCACTGAATTGGAGTACGATGCTGGACCGTGGTTCATCGACATTGCGTACGTAGTTGTCGTTGGTTGATACGACTGAGCAGATTGAAACGATGTGGAGCTTGGATAACCAGTACTCATGAATGGTAGATTATTGCTCGAGGTACTAGTAGATGTGGATTGTGCTTGGTACTGAGATACAGACGCGGGGAATCCGCTAGATTGATACTCCTAAAATAAACAAAGTTCGAGTTAATATAATTGGAATACTTAAAGAATTAAGTGATTCGTTTTTTCAAATATCGATAAATACCTGCTTATTTGAGGCAGCTTGATTGTAAATGGCAGCGGTTGATGTAGGGGCCGTTTGACTGAATGTAGTTACATAGGACTGAGCATAAGATGAATTGTAATTAGTCAGAGAAGTTGAATTAATTGAACGGAAGTTCTTTGTCTCTTGCTTGGCCGAACCACCAAATGTTTCTTCCATAGGTTGTGGCTTAGGCGTAAAATTGCTGTAGTTGTTTCCAGAAGTTGGCATTTGATAAGACTTGGCTGACTGCTGATAATTCGTATTTGGTTTATAGTCTACAGTACTCATTGAACTTGAATTAATATTCTGATTGGGCATCTCAATATTTTGAGTTGAAGTCGGCGGTTTCATCAGGGAACCTTGCGAGTTGATGTGTACTTCATTAGGTACAGATATATCTTTTGTAACCTGATATTGTGAAATTAGTAATTAGCCATTTTATCTAAGAAGTATTTTATCAAACAAAGAATATAGTTTTACTTACAATTTTTGGCGAAGTACCAAAATTCGTAGCACATGCTGGCTGCATAGGTTCCGTGGTGAAGGAACACAAATTCTTCAGAGTATTTTTAACCGATGCATGATCACCCGAAGACGTACTAGACTTGATACTGGATGTATCAACCTTATCTTGAGGAGGAGAAGCATCTAAAATACTGGAATCTGTTCCGAACTCCAAAGCACCAAATTGGACGTCTAGAAGGCCAATATTACTATTCAAAGTATCACCAGGCATTTCAACCGCAGATGAAGGAATCTTTGACGGTGGCGGTTTTCGTGGACGAGGTTTGATACTCGCGGCTGTCTTTTGAGGCTAAAAGGTGTGAAAATAAAATCTAATAATTTACTTTATTTAATACAAAAATAAAAGCATAAAATATTCTAATTTACCATTTCTAATGTCTTTACAGCTGCTGGCTCTTCTGTTTCATTTGGTTTAGGAGGAGTTTCTACAAATGTACTTGGTATGAACACCTTTGAATCTGCTAAAGACCCAGTGTACTCTTCAGCATCCCAATCTTCAACAACTTCAGGAGTCTTCCATGAATCTATAAATTAAAAAAGCAATTTAAATTGCAATCATTCTGTAAGTGATGAAATTATCATTTTTTGTAAGTATTAACTGACTGTTCTTACTTGTTGGGGGTTCAGTACTTTTCTCTGGTTTTTCCTCTTCAACACCGGTCCATGTTTCAATACGATTGGAAAAGACTTGAGAGTTCGATTGTGAACGTGATCCTCTGTTTCCGTAGCTTCGGTTGGCGAAGTTACGACCACCGCCGCGGCCTCCACGACTGGCTTTTCCAGAAAATCGTCCACGAACCCCGTGATTCGAGTTTCCCTCGTTCGTGGTATCGACATTCTTTTCATTTTCTTTATTTTCTTGTCGGCGCCCTAAATACATTAGTAGCAGAATTTAAAAAACAGCCCTACATTTAAAACAAGAAAGTGATTTTAATCGACATGATTTCTCGATGTCGTGGATTAAAAAGCAAGTTTTTAAGCCAAAAAAAATCATTCTCGATTACGACTAATTTCAATGTAAAATCGATAAAACCCGCTGGAATACTTACAGCCTCTGTTGCCGTGATTGGCTCGTCCACCTCGACCACGAGCAGAACTATCAGCCTGATACTGGTGCTTGTAATCGCTGCCAGTATGATTGTCCAGAGGAGCGTCGTCGCTGGTCTGTTTTGCACCTGCGGCTGGGCGAGCTTTTTTCTTCTTTATCTCCCATTCGGGGCTGACGCCCTCGAGGAGGTCGTTGACAGCGCGATCAAGGTCGCCGTCCGCGACGTGCAGGGCCATTACGACCTCGTCCTCGGACTTAAGGGTCAAGTCCATCACGGCTTTGACATTTTCCGGCAGCGGCTCGCTTCTGGCGTTTGCACTTTTGTCCGTGGCGGCAGAATGAGCCGAGTGGTCAGCCTTTTTCTATAAGAAAAAAGAAAATTGGAATATAAGTATAGGTTTCGGGGTACGTATCGTATCGAGTAATACGACTCCTCGTCGTATTAAATTTTTTGGGAAGAGAGTCGGTAAAAAAAATTGCAGTGAGGTCAGTATAGTTCGCGTGGAGTTGTATAAAAACACTGTCTGTGTTGTCTACGGCGTAAAAAAGAAAATAAACACGAATATTTGTATCTGTTCTAGTTACAAGTTGACTTTAAAACGTCCTCCATATTCGCGAATAAAAAAAGACAATTGTGATGCAATAAAATTTAGGTTTACTTTACATTTACCGCACGCGAGTCTTGAGATTCAGTAGCACTAGATAAATCATTTCATTAGTTTCCTATATAGATTACGTTAATAGCTGATTCTTGCGTCAGACGCATTACGAATTTCGTAGAATGGGAAGATGTTTTTGGTACTCGAAATAGAAAAAAAATAATACATTACCTCTGATTTATCACCGCTCATGTTGTCCGATGCCTTTGCTTTCCGATCATGCTTTTTGTTAGACTTTTTGCTTGTATTTTTCCAAGATGTAGATTCTGTTTCTACACTCATTTTGTGAATTTGATAGGTCTCAATTGATCTGCAACTCTAAACAAGTAGAAAAAAAATGTTATTTGATTGATGTCAATAAACTTTATCAGTTTTGAATGATTATTTATCGAAATTATGTAGATGTAGAATATTTTTATGAGAGAATTACGTATTTACGTTTTAATTTGAAAAATTCCGCGAAATTTTTAATTTTTTTTAACCGAAAATTTGTAATTGCTGAGAAAAACTGAGCGTCATTTTTTGTAAGTTTTTCGAATAATTTCACAGAATGAGATGAAAATCGGTAGTTATAAAATTTTCACATTTACTCAACATTAATGAAGTAAATCTATTGAAAAAAATTCGCATTCTTGTTAAAATTGTCACTTTTACCACCAATGATTTTTTATTTTAATTTCATAATGAGCATTACTTTCGATTCTACTTTCCCCGAAATTCAAATAAACTGGAAAAAATATAAATTTTCTCGCGGTGACCCTCGTACATGCCGGTTTTTTTTCGTTAAAAATTTTTTTTTCAATAAAACTAAACAACAGTTTTATAATTAACAATCTAAGAAATTCGCAATGTCTAAATTAATGCAATGTTCTACAAAAAATTATTTTAAAAATGAATCATTGCCAAGGTTAGGTTATAAACACTATGTTAATAGCCACCATTTTGAGATTTGTAATTCAGTTACCTAACCATATATTTATATTAAAAAAAAAGTTTAACCTAAGAAAAAGTTTACTTTGAAACATTAGTTTACCAAAAACTTCCAATTTCAGAAGTGATAAAATACTGTCAGAAATATTATACTTGGATTAAAGCAGACAATTCCTATAACGTAAGACAACTGAGATTGTAGTGAATCATTAGATATTTATAACAGCTTTCTGAAATAATCCCAAAATCAAATTGTCAACTAGCTTTTTGTCTAAAGTCAGAATATGAATCTTAGTAATATTGCAACAATAAAACAGTAAAATCAGAAGTTGTTTACGTTACTTCAAGTATGAAGTGAAACCCTAAAGTTGTTTACAAAACTTGTTGGTGAAAACAAATATGATGATTGTGTATTCACTGCAATGATAGATTAATTATACAAGTTTCAGATGATGAATTTCTCCAGCAAATATGATAGAATGGCTTGCGCGATGAGATTTAACTTTCTTGAAAGATTAGAGAATTGTAATTCAACGATTGTCACATTCACCCATGTGCTTTAAATTTATGATGTTACAAGAGTGTACTGTGGTGTTATTTACTTGAAACTAATGAAAAATCAATACTTAATACAATGTTAGCTCATTTCTTTACTTGAAGCAGTTCCAGTTGAAAATGAAAAACAGAAGTTATGTCGAGTTAGCTCTTATAAATCAGATTGATAACTTCTTACTTTTGATATTTATTATCTTACCGCCAAGATAAAGATCAATTTGCTACAATTATTGCTTGATCTTTGACGATAAGTTTAACAAACTGAGGAAATCTGACAGCTACCAGAAGCAAAAAGTAAGAAATTGTTTTCACAGAACCCACACTGTATAGTACAGGAAGATGAAAACATAACAAGCTTTGTTGATTCAACCAAATCATGTGCCACATGCACTTTCCTTATAACCCTAATTGATAGTACTAATTTTAATTATGTCCTAAAATAATCAAAAACCATTGTTAGATCCCGCACTTGGTAGCTTGTGGTTTTGTTCTGCAATGATGCATCAAACGATGGAGAGGTTAAAAATCGTAAGGCCAAGTCGTGGCACGAGATATACGAGTCATAATTGCTACCTTTTCAAAATATTTATACTGGTTGAAACACGCACGACTAGTCAATTTCGGATTCGAACTCGACGATTGCGGGCGGTTTCGTCGCGAAAACGGCAATAAACAATCGTTAAACGGTAAAATGGTTTCGAGATAGGCGCACTCCCCGTGCATAGGCACCAACGTTAAGTGAACTCCCTCGTTTTTTTACTCTGTGTTTCTCAGAATGCTCCCTGGGTTTCATAGACAAAAGACAGACTCTTACTCACGTGTTTTGACGAGATCAATCGGCACTGACTGCAACTCGCTGATTATTTTTAATAAAACGCGACTAATTATTAATCTCAATTATCCGCAAATAGCATGTCAACATGAAAAACTATACATATAAATTGAAAGCTGAAAGGATGTTTTAAAGGTTGTATACAATACAAAGAACGAGGCGCAACGTGTCCGATTCCCTGTTCCGTATATTACCAAGTCTGCGGTGATAGGGGGCGCTTTGAGGCTCGTCTTTCAATGATGGTCTGGTGGTGTCGAGCGCTCAGCTCTTGGAGAATGTTAGTGATGGGCACTGCATCGGATGCCTGCCTGTTCACTACTGCGACTTTGTAACTCGTCGTACGGGGGCAATTAGCTTCTCCGCCGTGTTACTGCGAGTGCGAGAGCCGGAAACGCGTGGAAATATTAGTGTGCGTGGCGTAGCGCATTACGCATCCCGCACGGCCAGGGGGACAAGTTTGAAGACGCGAGATTCGAGACGAGTCGTAATTAAACGTCGTATCTTAAAAATTCCTTTGTGACATTGAACCAATTCGATTGTTGCATTCGTTCGTTGCATGGAGGATAGCCGTAACTATTTTTCGAATTATCGATTATCCACAAGAGTAACGAATTATATTTTCAAAAACAATCGTTAATTTTTTTCTTGGTGAGAAAGCAATCCTCAAAATGACACGTAAAAAACGAATGGGATGTCTGGTCACGCGTACATTTCATTGACCCTTGCCGAGGTGGTAGTTGATTTGCTTTTTTTATGAATTTCTTTGAATGCATTTCTCGCATGAGGACTGAAGGAAAAAAATAAAAAGGATGCGTGAATATTTGACACGAGATGGCGTGCTTCGGATCAAAGTCCTTTTATTATAAATGCGCTTGGACATTTGATTCTAATTGTTCATTGCTTGATTCGACGTTCGATAGGAAAATCTAATAAATATTTCAGGATATCAGGAAAATCTCCAGAATACTGACATATAATAGATATTTTAAATTATCTTCAAATATGAGTTGAAATCGAAATACCTCCTGTTACCAGTAATTTTCAAAAGACTGATTTTACGTAGTTTGGATGAATTGTTGTTTTTATTCATACAATGATCGTAATAGTAGGCTTTAATAAAATTCGATTTTAAAAAATCACGTAATTCGATTTGTTAGTTATTTTATGAATCCATATAAAAATTTTACACATTTTTATCGTGAAAACGAATCATAAATTTTCTATCCAAAAAATATTATTACTCATTACTAATATTATTATTTTAATTTTTAAAAAAATTCCCAATTAAATACCTTAAAAAAAAAATTCTTGTAGTACGTCCATACAGTAACGTGTATAATGATACAGAATGTAAAAATCAATTTCTTTATCTTGATCGGGAAATGATCATTAAGTTTTAATTACCATTACCAGTAATATTATAAAAATGATTGTAAACGAAATTCGACGAACGATGATCATTATAATTGGGATTTAAAAAATGTTTTCAAAAAGTAATGGGATGAAAGAAGGATAATCGCAGAAATTTAAATCAAATGATTTTACAAATACAATTAAAAATTTAATTGAAGTGTTATGCCCATTATACTTCATAAAGCATACGATGTGCAAGCGATACGCGTAGCTTAGCGTCGGGCTCGCAACGGCGCTGTTGTCGCATGCAGGCCGCAGTAGCGCGAGGCATGAGCGCGGCCAGCATACGAGGGCAGACAGATTGGAGCAGCAAGCCTGAGCGCACGCTGGCTTCTCGACACACCAAGATTGAATAAACTGTTAACTCTTTACTTTAATTTAATTCAACCCACTGTGTACTTTATTTTCAAGCTCTCCTATCCTGACGATTATAACAGAAGTTAGTTAGATTAATTTTCAACCTCGTTTATTTTACGCACTCACAATACTTCAGAAAAAAAGTTTTTCAAACTCGAATTCTTTTTTTCGAAAATATCAATTTCAATATCCTTCGTTCGAACAAAGACGTCAAGACTTAATATGAGATAAGATAAATCCAGTCAAAACAACTCACACACTTTCCAAAAAAAAAGTAACACCTCAGAATTTTTTGTTGCACTATTATACATAGGTCTAAAAATCATCAATCCGTCACGCAGCGCGTATACTCAACAAAGGATTTCGGGATTATCGCGGGTCACCTTTTAATTCGCAATTCGCAGGCGGCGCAAAGCGTTCCTGCACCGTGGCACCACGAAGGATTGCTCATATAATGACAATGACAGGTAGCAGAACTCGAAATGAAAGGCACACAAGTCAACTGTATACATGTATATATCGCACAAATACATGTATAGTCCGTGTACTCTGTGCTATAGGGCAATGCACACGTTCGACTCCGATCTCTCGCTCGCTCGCTCGCTCTCTCTCACTGTACCTATATCTCTCTCCTGCTGTATCACAGCTCTCGCGTCGACTATCGCCTTTGTGAAAGAGCCTGAAAACTAGTTAAGCACTGTGCGCTCTTATACACGGAAGACGCCGTTTTCAGTCTTAATCTCTGCCAATGGTTTAATTGTTTATCGACGAGCATCGCCGTCAGCTCCTCAGAGCTGGTTTTCGCGTCAACGATCGAGACAGGACCTGGTCTCGCTTCGACTCCGGGTACGGTGTGTCGTCGCTGATTATACGAGCTGTTCGGCTGTGTGTTTTCGCTGGCAAAAATACGACGACGACGACGACGATCCGCGAAGTGAAACAGCACCAGACGTGTATATATACTCAGCGCGGACTCGTGTATATAGTGTGCCATGTACCGTAGGATATCCACACGTACCACGATATCCTCGCAAGTTGATGCCGAATAAAGATCATGTAGCAATGATGGATGAAAAAATGTCTCCGTCGAGTCGAGAAATACTATGCACAGGTAAATGCCTCGGCGCAATTGTGCGCCTCCTTCGGCTGAGAGATAATCGCTGCATTTAACATGAAGAGAGTATCGATACAGACCTTGAAATCACAGACTGTAGCAATTTTTTTCCTTTGTATATCTCGGCCGATGCTCGACGTTTCTGCCTCTGTTATCCTTTTTAGCGGCATTAAATGTTGATGTAGATGTTAAATTGCATCGTCGATGATTTCGAAACATGATTTAATTACGAAAAATGATGATTTAGTCATTGGGGAAAGTACAGTTATCTGAATACTTCCTATCATCTGTGTGATACATATGACATCTATGAATACGAGGTGTTCTTAATCAATTGTAAAGAAGTCTTTTCAAGTATACTTATGTTCAATGCAGTGATGAATCTCAATGATGATGCATATTTTTAAGCTCCTTTAGAATATTATTGTGAAAGTTAATCTTTCTTTAATATCTTCATGTACAACTGGCTTAAAATCATTGAGTGTAAATGTGTCACCAAATAGTGGGCAGAACTTATCCTTGAGGTTTTAGGTTACTGATTTTTGCAATGTGTTAAAACATCAGAAATGTTGAATAATTTATGTTTAATGAGAATTCAAGTTATTTCAAAGTAATTTTTAGTATAAATCATCTCCAATAATGATAGTGCAATGCAATGCATTAGAAAACATATTTTTGATAAGCAAAAAAAAATTTCTTTAAAAAAGACTATATTATTCATTTTAATAAAAAATTTAATGGTAAATTTATCAAATATTGCTTTAGTAGTTATCAATTAAAACTTGAGTCATTTTTCAACTATAATTTTGCATTTAAAAATTCATAGTTATTGATAGATAAAAGTGTCTTTACATTGTGTCCTTAAAAGCTAAAATGATTTTCAGGCTTTTTCACCAACGATGGGTATCCTAATCAAAAATAAATTAACTATAGATTTTGGAATTAGTCAACATTTTTCAAACAGAGCCTATCTTCTACAACATCTTTATAGAAAAGAGCATAAACATGTTTTTAGAGCAATTTCAAAGTATGTATTCAATTTGCCATATTAGATTAGTTAATAGTTGTCAGTATAAAGTAGTATAGGAATCAAAAGTACCATATCAGTGTATAAATTTTCTGTTACGAATACTGTAATGGTATCTTTGACTTCAAAAATGATAATAATCACTGAATCAATTAGAAGTTTAATGCACATGTAAATCAACATTCTGATTAATACTAAAAAGCAATCAATAACAGCAATTAAACATAGCATTTAATGTTATGAACAGTTTTTCCAAATGAGCATAGGGGGCAATTAAAAATTTTAAAAATTGCCAAGACAGTTGGGAAATACAATTTTTGATCTTATATTCAATACTTTACTACTACTATTTATTATACTACTATTAATTAATTAGCTAAGGGAGAAACATTAATCACTACAATTTTATTATTTTTTATCATTTGCCATACTGTGCATAATCGCGTCGTTTCATTAATTAGTAAAAATAAAAATTATAATTATGAAAGAATCACGCTAAAATAAGTACTTTTATCGCGACGATAATCGAAAGGATTTATCTTTTCTGTTTATCTAAAACTAATTCAATCCAATTACTGATTCTAAAAATTTACGTAATTTCATTCGATTTCATATCAAGTTATGTTATTTATAAATTTCTAATAACAATTTAATTTTTCAGCTATCATCAGTGAACAAAATAAATCATGGCGCTCAAAAGAAATAGACTCAATGAGCTCGTGATTTGTCTTATTTTTACAACAATATTTATGGACAATTGCTCTACCTTCGCTCGTAATTTAGGTGAGTACACTTTGATTTATCTAAAAAAAAAAAAAAAATAATCGCGATCCAATTAATTTCAATTTGTCATTCGAATTTTCAGAGCGATACGACACAGCTTACGAATGCGAAGGGAGAACTTTAAAAATTGAGTGCCCTCCAAATGAAGTCATTCGCTTAATTCGCGCGAATTATGGAAGATTTTCCATAACTATATGCAACGAGCATGGAGATACCGATTGGAGCGTCAATTGCATGTCTCCGAGATCATTCCGCGTGCTATATAACAAGTGAGTATTGTTTATTTATTAAATAATTAGTATGAGAACAAAATAACATTTTTAATGCATTCAAAAGGACAAAAATACTTCGTTATTTCATAATTTAATTTAATTTTTAGATGCAACTCTAAACAAAATTGCAGTATTATAGCATCAACTTCACAGTTTGGGGATCCTTGCCCTAACACTCTGAAGTATCTTGAAGCACATTATCAGTGTGCACCTGGTATGTATCCAATCATTCTATTTTTATCTTTATATTCTGAGCAAAGCCAGGATTAACATTGAAATGAACTTTTAAAAGTTGAAAAATCAACTTTAAACACTTTTTCAGCCATGACAACCACAATCCGACCAAGTCAATCGTGGTTCATAAATCCACAATCATCTATTTTAGATGTTGATCCATATCCTACAAAAACTACGGTATCAACTTGGACAGCTGAAACTTCTACTATGATGACACACTCTGAGAGATCATCTATTGTGCTTCAGCCAACCACGACTATACCAAGGTCAGCTGAGAACATGTTCTTAATACAAATCAATTTTATATTTTTTCATGTGAATTGAGACTAAAAGTTCATAAATTAATTATAGATTGTATAAAAAAGACTATCAAACTATAACTACATATGAGAAAGGTACGAATGTGATGGAACTAGAAGAGAAAACAGAAGAACCTAAAATTATATCTGAAGTTGATGAATCGCAAATATCAACTTTGCTGCAAGCAGTTTCTTCTCCTCCTCATAATAGGCAGCATTTGTTTCCCGTGACATCGAAAACGTTAGGGAAATCGAATGCGTCAACACTGAAATGTATGTATTAATGAATTACATCATTCTCTTTTATCTCTTATTAACATTTGTTTTTTTCTCTCTTTTAGGCAACCTAACGATTTGGTTATTTTGTATTTCAATTATATACCACCATCGGTGGCAATATCACTAAGCAGACTGTTATTTATCATAGTATCAAATAAAATGAAGAAAACTCAAGATTCAGGGGGCAGGAATTGATTGCTACATTTACTGTAAAAAAGTTATTTTCAAATTACTAGATAATATTTCCAGCAATTTCTCAGTATTATAACTTAAACATCTTTTGTAACAATTTTTTGATCGCTGTGCATTTAGTTATCAAGTATTTATTAAAATGAGCGCGTACGAATGTATGAATGAATGTTTGAGAATGACTGATGATATTATGCAGCCCGGGTAAAAGGTCAAAGTGATTTTAGGTTTAAAATACAAAAGAGTTTGAACTGATCAATTATCTTAACATCAAAGATAATCCTGTAGAAATCAGAAACTGAAAATTTAACTTTTGTCTTGTAGGATACTTTGAATTACTAGAAGTAAAGTTTTATAATCACACTTTATAAATGTATCGTACACATAATAAGGGGCTATTATAAGAAATATTTAAAACTGACGTAAATATAAAAAAAGTATTTGAATTATTATAGTTCTTAGATCTATGTCTAGTTCAGTATATAAGCACTTTTAACTTTTTAGAATAACTTCATTTACAACCTTAAAGGTCCTTCAAAAGCGTCTTTTTATTGTAAATGACTATATTGTACATGTTTATATGAATGAGTATCTGCAACAAGAATTTTGTAAATGTTAGTAATTTATTTAAATTTGAAATAATGTGACCGTAGAGTAATATATATCAAAGTTGTTGACAACAACAGATAAACAAAATTTACTTTATTATATGAATTATTGGTCAAGTTATATCAAGTTACTAAAACTTAGAATCAAAATTGTAAAAATATATTTTTTTATCAGGAATGATAAATTTTTTTTGTTAGACATTTGTTAATTAACTAACAGATGTTTAACTCAAGGTACATACTATTTATAAGTAAATAGAGCAATTTTTTTTACTATCTATTCAATTTTATACACTTTAATGACTACGAATACTGATAAAAAGCCAGAATTTCTATTATTCAACCATGACTTGTTATAAGTATATGAAATAAACTGTTGTATAAATAAAAAAAAATTAATCATAAATCCTTCATTTCATTTTTATTTTCATTTATCGAAGCCGAAATCTTCGTCAGGAAGATGTCTTGAAGATAAGATGCAGCTCATATAAGTACTGCATATAGGGCACATAAAAAAAAATGGCATATGCTTGGGCAGGGGTAAAAAGGAAAGTCCAGCTCTATACTCCGTTGTGCAATTCGCATTCTTGCGGCTATGAGCTGTCCTGGCACTGACAGTGCTCTCCACAATTGAAAATACGCCATGTTCCCCATGATTCGTTTGCCACATACACAAACACATCGTCCGCATCACGCATTCCGACTCCAATGAATTTTCAATTGCAGAAGTCTTTGCAGGTTAAGTAAAACATTGCAGACGAACGCCAACGAATGATAATATACTGTGTCGGCGATCGACTCGGTGAATATATTTTCTTCTGCAAAAAGGGTTGATAAAGATCAAGATGCCTCTTAAGTATATCGGAAAAACCACAGATTTCAAAGGAAAATCGCTATGGGAAATTTTGGGAAATTTGAAAAACTTCGGCGAAGGTAGATTAATTCTTAGGAATAGGTTTCAACGGTATCCTGAACCTTGTTACTTTAAAGTTCTCAAAGTGGAAGCTTTGCCAAATTATAAAGTTTCATCTTATGTAAGTAAACATTATTCTGTCTTTACATAAATTTGTTCGTTTGTCTAATCATTAATTCTTTGTTGCAGGAAAAAAGAAAGTGCATTGCTCTAGTCCAAAATACCTTCCGTGGTAACACAGACCCAAATCCAATCCAAAAAGAATCATCTACGTACAAAGCTGATTACACTCTAGTACCAAAACACGAGGAGCATAAATATTTGAATTCGAAACTTGTTCATGAGAAAAGAAAAGAATTGCCATTCTCGATTTCACTTCCACCTCTTCTTAAAGAGACTTATAAAACTAAAGATAATGATGATCATTCAAACTTAGAAATGACAGTATTTTATAACGCAACAGTGAGGAGAGTTTTCCCTGAAATAAAGAGAATAGAAGGATATGCGTACAGAGTGAAAGAAATACAGAAAAAAAATAGTGCATGAAATTAAATAAATGATTTTTAAATATTTGAATTTCTTATGACTTTTTTTAATGTTTATTTCTGGTCTATTCAGCACATATTTTCTTTATCGTTTAAAGATTAAATATTAGAATGGCAAAACTTGTATTACAACCTATAGTTCTCTTTTAATACAATGTGTTTTCATTCATGTTAGACATGTTATATATGAGTTAAGAAAAAAAAACGATCCGATGATGCATTGTTAGAAAAATTGTTGAGATTATAAATGAATTATAGTTACTAATTTTTCAAATAAATTATATTGTTTGAAATAAAAAATAAGAATGTACATAATAAAAATATCAAATAAATATAACAAATTGTTCATCAATTAAAACCATTTAGGTACTCAATTATTCACAAGTAGCTTTGAGTACTTGTTCTATATAAGTTTTTATTAAAATTTATTGAAATGTATTAAAAATTATAATTAGTATTGAGTAAAAGGAAAAGTCGCTTATTGCATTATTTTAAATTTTCACAGAGAAAAATGAAAATTAAAGTCGTAAATATCATTGTTAACTCATACCACTCTTATACTTTCGAGTACAGAATTAATTTTTTTCAAAATTATTGATAATTTTGATATCTTTTGCGTAAAATGACTCGTTGTGACTCTGACCGCGCGAATTTCATTCCGTGTTACTGATTTCTTAAACGTTCGTGCGCGGCGCTCGCACCTTAGGGTCCGTTCATTTTGTGATTATTAAAACCTAGCCTGTGAAGCTTTGCAGCGATGCAACGTGGTACAGCTGTAGCCTAGTAAATTTAAGATATTTAAACAAACTAAGTGAAAAAGACAAACTTGCAACCATGTATAACGACGATTACGATCAGGTAAGTGTCGAAGACACGTGCATAACTTTGATCTTGCCTTATTTACATAAATATTCTTAACAGTACGACGCCTACGATGATTATGGTGCGGTCGAAGAGACTGCCGAGTTCTCCAGGAACTACCGGCAAATACCAGATTATGTTAAAAAAATCCTGGTTCATCTCCATACATGCATCAACGAAGGTATGATCTTTGAGATCCAGAATTTCTATGAGAATTCCTTCCCAAAGCTGTCGGAGATGTTTGACAAGTCTCCATGGCCCAATGACCAAGCCATCAGGCACCTTGTTGATGAAGATCATGTTTTCTTAATTCTGTACATGGAACTGTACTATCGTCACATCTATGCCAGATTACAGCCCAATTTGGAGCAACGCTTCAATTCTTTCTACAATTATTGTGAAATTTTCAACTACATCTTGAATTCTGAAGAGCCTGTTCCATTGGAATTGCCCGATCAATGGTTGTGGGAACTCATTGATGAATTTGTATATCAATTTCAATCATTCACTCAGTATAAGGCCCAAGTATCTTCAAAGACATCGGAGGAAATCAATACTTTGGCAACCAACAGTAAAGTTTGGGATGTTTTGTGCATCTTGAACGTATTGCACTATTTGATCGATAAGTCTAGAATTAAGCAACAGTTGGAAGAATACGCCAATGGAGGTAACCCAGATCATGTTGCTGGAGTATTCGGTAGACACTCATTGTACAAAATGATGGGATATTTCTCGTTGGTTGGACTTCTCAGAGTCCACTCTCTACTTGGTGATTACTACCAAGCTATTAAGGTCAGCATAATTATTGATCAAACATTCTATTGATAACTTTCAAAATTTAATGCTTATTTATTTTTTTATTATTTGCTTATATTGTATATAATTTTAAAAACAACATTATGTATTTAAGTAATGTCTTGGTTTTGCTTTAAATATATTCATGACATACAATAATATTCTTTACAGGTCATGGAAAATATTGAGCTTTACAAAAAGATTGCTTACTCTCATGTACCTGGATGCCAAATATCCACTGCCTACTATGTTGGATTCTCCTACATGATGATGAGAAGATACGCTGATGCTATCAGAACTTTCTCTACCATTTTGCTGTATGTTCAGCGCACAAAACAACTGTTTGCTTCAAGGAGTTACCAGAATGATCAAATCAACAAGCAAACAGAGCAAATGTATCATTTACTTGCAATTTGCTTGGTGCTACACCCACAGTGCATCGATGATGGACTTCAGCAGACTTTGAGGGACAAGAGCTATCATGAAAAAATGTACAAAATGCAATGCGGAGCCATGGAAGAATTTGAATCTTGCTTCCAATTCGCTTGCCCCAAATTCCTCTGTCTGCATCCACCAAATCCAGATAACCCCAATGAGGACTATGCTCGTGATGCTATCAAACATCAGACACAAATCTTCATGGAGGAGGTCATGCAACAGAAGATGTTGCCAACCATTCGATCATACTTGAAATTGTACACTACTCTTCCTTTAAGCAAACTCGCTACATTCTTGGACAGTACTCAACACGGTGATGCAGACAACTTGAGCGATTTAGTTTCCAAGCTCACCATCTGGCTTTTGTGCTTCAAGCACAAAATGAAGAACGTTGTTTGGGTTAAAGGAACCTCAAGCCTCCAAGGCAAATTCGTTTCAGGATCCGAGGTAAATATATGACCATTGAATATTATCTTAAAATTTTTGAGAAGCAACAAGATTTATAATTTTTCAACTCTTTTCCAGCTTGATTTCTACATTGACGATAACATGATCCACATAGCCGACACCAAAGTGTCGCATCGTTACGGCGACTTCTTCATTAGGAAAATTTTGAAATTCGAGGATCTGAATCGCAAATTACATGCAATTAAATTGTAAAAAAAATAACAAACCTCAACAACACAATTATTATAATAAAAATGATTTTTAACTTATTTTAAATGTTTGGTTTTAAAAGCGCTATAATTTCTAAGAAAATCATACTTTTATTATTTTGATAAAATTACAATAAACACAAGTTTGAGAGAAAAAAAAAGTAAGGAATTCTATGTACGAAACCAGAAAAAAGTTATTAACAATTGGAAATTTGATGCTGTCTCGATGAAAAAGCTCTAAACGATCATCCTATTTCTCCTCGTTTTCTCCCTCGTCTTCGTCGAACTCTCCCTCCTCGTCGGCCGAGGCCTCTTGGTACTGCAGATACTCCGAGACGAGATCGTTCATGTTGCTCTCGGCCTCGGTGAACTCCATGTCGTCCATTCCTGCCGTACATCGAAGAGTCGAGTTAACGAATATTCGTAGAAATGATTTTACCAGTGGAAGCAAAAAATGTTGGGACGACTCACCCTCGCCCGTGTACCAATGCAGGAAAGCCTTCCTCCTGAACATGGCGGTGAACTGCTCGCTCACGCGCTTGAACAGCTCCTGTATGGCCGTGGAGTTGCCGATGAAGGTGGCGGACATCTTCAAGCCGCGCGGCGGTATGTCGCACACGGCCGTCTTCACGTTGCTCGGTATCCACTCGACGAAGTACGAGCTGTTCTTGTTCTGTATGTTGAGCATCTGCTCGTCGACCTCCTTCATGGACATGCGACCGCGGAAGACGGCGGCCACGGTCAAGTAGCGTCCGTTGCGCGGATCGCAGGCGGCCATCATGTTCTTGGCGTCGAACATCTGCTGGGTGAGCTCGGGCACGGTCAGCGAGCGATACTGCTGCGATCCTCTCGAGGTCAGCGGAGCGAAGCCGGGTATGAAGAAGTGAAGCCGGGGGAACGGCACCATGTTGACGGCCAGTTTGCGGAGATCGGCGTTCAGCTGGCCGGGGAATCGCAGACAGGTGGTGACGCCGCTCAGGGTGGCGCACACCAGATGATTGAGATCGCCGTAAGTCGGCGTGGTGAGCTTGAGGGTGCGGAAGCAGATGTCGTACAGCGCCTCGTTGTCGATGCAGTAGGACTCGTCGGTGTTCTCGACGAGCTGATGCACCGACAGTGTGCAGTTGTAGGGCTCGACCACGGTGTCGGAGACTTTGGGCGAGGGCACGACGCTGAACGTCATCATTATGCGATCGGGATACTCCTCGCGGATTTTGGAGATGAGGAGTGTGCCCATGCCGGCACCGGTGCCACCGCCCAGCGAGTGTGTCAACTGGAAGCCCTGCGCGAGAGAAAATATCGTTTAGCTTGCCGATTTTTTTCGATGAAATATATCACGGGCATACCTGTAGGCAATCGCAGCTCTCGGCCTCCTTCCGCACGACGTCGAGGACCGAGTCGACGAGCTCGGCGCCCTCGGTGTAGTGGCCCTTGGCCCAGTTGTTGCCCGCGCCCGACTGGCCGAACACGAAGTTGTCCGGTCGGAAGATCTGGCCGAACGGTCCGGATCTGACGGCGTCCATGGTGCCGGGCTCGAGATCGACGAGGATCGCCCGGGGCACGTATTTACCGCCCGTCGCCTCGTTGTAGTAGACGTTGATGCGCTCCAGCTGGAGATCGGAGTCTCCGTGGTAGGCGCCGGTCGGGTCGATGCCATGCTCGTCGGATATCACCTCCCAGAACTGCGAGGCAAGAGAACAAAAAGATCGGTACGAGATACCGATTCTCGAGCGTTGTTGCGCGGAAAATTTTTTAGTTGAAATTTGAAGTGGAAACAAAAAGGCGGCTTACTTTTGCACCAATCTGGTTGCCACATTGTCCGGCTTGAAGATGCACGATCTCCCTCATGGTTTATGGAATTGTGTGATTACTCGATTACAATTCTAACTAAATTTTCCTAACGGCCTATCGGTTGCCTTTCCTCCTCGTTGTTTTTTTTTTATTACGAAAAAATGTCAACACTACTGCGGCTCTTTAAACTTTTTCTTTTTATCTATTCAAAAATCCGACGATGGAGTTCTATCCGGCGATCTTATAGTGCGTCCGCTGCAACCGATCTTCAACAGCACTAACGCTGATTGGCTCTTTGTTAACAACGATCCGTCGCCTCGACAACGGCCTGCCGATCTTTTTCAATTGCATAAATCGATAAATAAATGACTATTCAAAAGTTCGATCGGGCTCGCGTCGTGACTGTATATCTTTTTCGAAAAATTTTAGATTAATTATGGTAAACATGTAAAAGAGTGAAATAATTTCTCGTATTGTAAATATATTTACTAAAAAAATAAGAAAATTTCCTATTGAATTTATTTGTTTGACCATTTTTTACTGGTACTGAGTAAACCACTACATCACGTTACAAATATAGCAATTTTCATTGAGTGTTAGGAAACTAGCAGGTCTACACATAACATTGACAATAAAAAATCTTTAATGAAAACATCATTTCGTGGAATAAGTTACGACAAAATTGTCATAGTAGACTCGCATGAGTAATAAAAGTCAATAATTCATTCAGCCGAGAAATTTAAAATACACTAGGTATATAATAAATCACGGTAGAAAGATAGCTCCGAAATCGATTCATTCATTCATTCTTTGTTCTTTTTCGCGCACGTCCGTGTGTGCGTGTAGGTGCTTCAGTCTGCTCCGCTCTCGACGTCGCGACACGGCTTACGTTCTATTTATCTCTACTCACACAGAGACAAGCATCGTAGAAGTGTGTGAGTGCGTAGGAGTGCGCGGCACCGCCGCGCGCCGCAGACACGACTACAACAGACCCCCGAGTGTGTATAGTGGGTGCAAGCGAGAGAGAGAAAGAGACGGATGGACCGTCCCTTATGTTCCTTTTTACGCGTAGCGCGATGATGTCATATCGCAACGCTTCTTTGCCATTGGTTTAGAAGCCAAAATACAACGCACTGTCAATACGGAGTCACCGACGACGTATATATGTTATACAGCGCGCTCGCTCATACGCATACATTCGTGCGAACGAGAGAGAAAGAGAGAGGAGATAAAACGGAGCGAGCGAATGACTCGTTCACGGCGTCTATATATCTGTGTTTACTGCTGAAGCTTTTTCAGCTATACATTTGTTTGTATACACGCAGCGCAGCGCACGAATTTCCCTCCGCATCTGCTGCTGCTGCTGCTGTCTCGTCGCGCGCGGAGTTTATTGAACGCGCGGCGCGGACCGCCGAGTTCTCTGTGTGCGTGTGTGCAGTACTGTGTGCTACACAACACAGTAGCTTTACAACACTGAGTGCACCGCGCTCGCTTTAATACTCCAGTGCCGAGTATATACACAACACATCGATTCTCATCCACGCGAAGTAGAAGAGGCTGTGCAGCAGCGGCAGCAGCTGCACAACGCGTTTTTATAACTTCGTGTGTGCGTGTATCTATTAGTGTATAGCTCTGCTCGCGTATCATCCGCCGCCACCGCGCCGACGACGACAGTTCCAGTTTCGAGGAACACGTAGTACATTATATATCGCGATCTCCTCCAAAATATGCAGTTTCGATGGACGCGTCATTGTAAGATGTTGTCTTCTGCCAGTACAAGTTGTGCGTGCTGCTGCTGCTACGTTATACGCCGAGTTTAAAGGGGGAAAATAAAGTTCTCTCTCGGATTCTTGTATACATTGATAAAACTCGATATATCTTCTCTCTTTCGCGACGACGACGACTATATTACATGCGTGTGTGCGTAGAGGGTTAAATGGTGCGTAAGTGAGAAGGAAGAGAAAGAAAAAGAGCTGATCCCCCAGCTTCTGCACGAGCTAATTGTCGAGAGCCTTCGTCCAAATATGACAGATTTTATTTGTAAAATGACGGGGCAATCTAGCTTTTCAAAGGTAATTCGATACAGTATCGAAAACAACAATTCGATATTATTTGTTTGGGAGGAAGGAAAAGAATAGTAATGAGTTCTTTGTTCTTGATTCAATAGAGTTCTATCGTCTCTTTGCAACTCGATCGTTTCGTTTTATTTTTCTTTGTGGTTTAGTTTTCAACTGATTAAAATGCTTTAATAAATCGGAGCTTACATTATCAATGGCAAAATGTCAAATTTTATTCTTTGATTTGAGTGCATCTCAGTGTTTAATCTAAACCTAATTTCAAATGATTAATAGGCATCTGATGATATCAGTTAGATAAAAATACTTTAACGTACTATTTGTTATAATCAGCTATGTATGACTCAATGTATTTGGAATGACAATGATAGACAGTCATCACATGTTTTTTTTTTTACTTTTTTTAACATATCTTTTAGGATTTTAGTAAAATTTATAGATTGGTGATTATATTTCCCTATGATTTTATCATTTCTTCATGGAATGTGTTGTTCAATAAATAATATACTTCACATTGTTTTTAATGTGTTTCTTATAAAGCTAATTTAAAAGACTTATATACAACTTAATATTACTTATATGCTGATTAATAACTATAGTAATGTGAATCCTAGCTTAAGTTTACCTTAAATCATTCAAAGATATTTGTTATGATTTTTTCAATATGACCAAAAATATCCAAGTTGTTTTGAATAATGAATTTGATGAATTCTGTAAATTTTATGGATTTAAATTTTACTTTGGTTTGACATGTTTATTGGTACCTTAAACATTTATTGTCAATTGATGGTGTTTGCATTTACAAATTTGTATTTAGTCCTGATTTTCAAATTATACAAATAAGAGTGATTAATACAATTTTCATCTAAAACATAATAGAGTTATTTATAAGTTCCTGTATTTTATCTGTTACAGATTGACTTTAATAAAAGAACTAGTTCTACTGATGATGATTCCAGTGAAGATGACAAACTTCCTGAACCACAAGATCCTGAGAACGATCCAGATTTGTTCTTCGATATCGGTGCTAGAGAACACAATCCACAATCAGAAGACACAGTTGATGATGTTTGTTTGACTGCCCCACCTGAAAATCAGTAAATATATGATATTTTTAAAATGAAAAACTTGTCTAACATTTAGGATAAAATTATGTGTAACTGAGTAATTCATTTTCTTTTTCATTTTAAGTTTCTCACAAATTTAATATCCACATGTTAGGTACTGCGTTATTTATCATTACTCGATTTTTCATACATAAAATACTTCTTATACATTTACATAAAGTCTAAAAAAATTGTATCGCTCATTTAAAAAAAAAACCATTCAAAATGTCACCTTCACATATGAATGAGTTAATTATACTAACGAAATAAAATCAAACTCAATTCTTTTTCTTAAATTCCTCAATGAAAACAAATTTGAATAGTTCCAGGAAAGATGAGAATGAAAAGAAAAGGTACGTTTTAAAGTTTCGCCGATAGCCAAAGAAGATACTTGGACGTCCCTTCAAATTTTCTCTTTCTGGACCGAATACCGGGGACCCAATGAAGAAGCTCGTACCGAGTTAACTTTCATTTTTATCATTTTTCATAACGCAGTACACAAATAACTCAATAATCTATTTTATTTACGAAAATAACGTGGAATATTTATTTTGTTTTCTTGATCATGTAATTAAAACACAATTTATTGTTTTCTTACGTGTTGCATGCTGAGAAAATTCAAATCTAATCTTTATCTCTAAAACTATCTTTAATATAATATTCTCACAAAAAAAACTTATAAACGTAAAACGAAAAATAATCCAAAGAAGCGGGATACGATTAAACCGTAAAAATCAAATTCATAATTCAATATTACATCTGAAATCGACGTAAAAAAATAACCGTTGATTAATAACACGTAAAATTGTTAGTTTAGGTCGTTGGTTTATTGCGTTTATTTGAAAACTTTCATCGCATCAAAATCAAATAATTCACATTGCAAGATAGAATTTAAATAACGCACATTTCTTTAGATGGTATCACGGGCGACTAGATCGCTTCACTGCGGAGGAGCGACTATGGGACGCCAGCAAAATCGGAAGCTACCTGGTGCGAGAGAGCGATCGAAAACCAGGCAGCTATGTGCTCTCTTATTTAGGCAGAACGGGAATAAATCATTTTCGCGTGGCTGCCGTTTGTGGAGATTATTACATAGGTAAATTAATATTCTTATGTCTCGATATCAATTTTGACAGCGTACATAAAATTAATATACCCATGTTAAAATTGAATTTTTCAGGAGGACGTCAATTCAATAGTTTAACCGATCTAGTGGCGTACTACACGAATTGCTCGGATCTGCTGAAACGCGAGCGGCTCTTGTATCCGTCGCCACCGCCGGAACCCGTCAACGACAAGAAACGCATGGTCGCCATATTGCCCTACACCAAGATGCCCGACACCGACGAGCTGAGCTTCAAAAAGGGCGACATCTTCTTCGTGCACAACGACATGGGCGAGGGTTGGCTCTGGGTCACGGCCCACAGGACCGGCGAGCAGGGCCTGATATTCTGCGAGCTCGTCGAGGATCTCGACGACTCGATCGATCCCAACACGGTGTTCTCGTGGTTTCATCCGAACGTCACTAAGAGCGAGGCCGTAGACATGCTCGTCAAAGCTGGCCCTGGAAGTTTTTTGGTGGGTAATTGGCCAACAAAAAAAATTACCATACGCGGTGATATTAAATTTTAATTTTTTGTTAAAAGGTGCGACCTTCGGACAACAGCCCTGGAGATTATTCTTTATTTTTCCACATCAACAATCAAATACAAAGATTTAGAATTGAAAAGAAAGGCGTTAGATATTTGATGGGAGGGCGAACATTCGAGTGTCTGGATGCCGTTATTAACAGGTACCTAGCATATTTCGTATCACCTGCACTCCATCCCCTCCTCCCTCTTGATCATATTTCTCCCGACACCATTTACTATTGCATAAGACCAAATGCAAGGTTTTTCAGCGTGGTCTTTTTAATTCCTAAGCTAATGAAGTCGTTCAACTCACTTTTTTCAGATATCGAAAGGAACAAATTGTCGAAGGACACACGCTGGTTCAACCGATGACAAACGATACGGAAGACTCGTCGAGAATAACCAGCTTTCAACAGGCTGAAAAAATTTACGCCACTCTGAGGGAATGCAGAGAACAGTCGGGCGTGAAAAAGAACAAAGGAATTAAAATGCAGGGATATCTGGATAAGAAGTCGGAAAAAATCAAAAAATGGAAAGCGTTATATTTCGTGTTGTTGGTCGACGGCACCGACACGCATCTTTATTTATATGAAAATCCAAAGAGAACAAAGCCAAAGGGACTGATAGATTTGAGCTGTGCCTACATATATCAGGTTCGTAATTTTGTATGGAACTATCGATACTTGACGGATCACTTGTGCACTATAAACGTTCACGAAAACGTACCGATTTTTGTGTATTCATGTCCGCGTGTGGTGAACATTTTTTTGTTTTTGTTCAGGTTCACGAAAGTATTTTCGATCGACCTCATTGTTTTCAATTAGTTGAACGAGCACTGCCATGCTTAGCCACGATTACTTATTTATCGGCTCCTAATTCCGAAGTAGCTATGGATTGGATCAACGCACTTAAACCTTTATGCGTCTCTCAGCTCACGAGAACACCAAAAGTTGCACGCCTCCAAGAGCTGCGCTCGTTACATTTGTCAATAATAGATGCTCACATGCTACCGTACAAATTAGTACCCAATCCGTTTATCATGGTCTCGCTGAACAATGTTAAAGTTGCTCGCACAAAAGTCAAGATGAGCCCGCACGTACCTTGGGACGAGGAGTTTGTTTTGGAGTACGTATGACGACGATCGTTAACAAAACTCGTTGAGACGAGTTTTTTTTTCATCATTTTAATGGGCATTTCGAATTCCACAGTGACTTACCACCCGATGTCATGTCGTTTACGTTATCGCTGTGCAATAAAGGAAAACGAGGAAAAGATACCGAGGCTGCCGAGTTGACCGTTGAACTGTGCAATCTCGCTAATGGCGAAGAAATAGACGAGTGGTATCCTCTGGCTGGTATAACGCCGATTGGGGATTGGGGAGCTTTGCGGCTAAAATTAAGGTAACAGCTCGATTTTATCATATTTTATCAAACTTGACGTTTCATTGCATTACAAACGTGGACTGGTGAATTTTCAGATATCAACACGATCTTGCTATGCCTCCCGAAGAGTACAGCCCTCTGCAGCAGCTACTTTTGGATTCCGATTTGCAAGTGGTAAAAGCACTGTCGGATATCTGTCATCTTGACAGAGTTCCGCTTGCCAATAGCTTGTTAAAGATTTTCAGGCAAGTAAAATAATATTTTAGAATTGATACGTTTCTCGTAGATTCCGCTGTATGAAAATTCGATCCGTTTTTTCATATATAATTATTAAATTATAGAAAAAATCGTTTTCGTTATTGAGATATGCACGAGGCATATAAAATTATTCTTTTTATTACAAAGGTTCTGATGGAAACCAACTTTTTTAAAATACTTTCGAGCTTACGAGATAAAACAACATTGATTTCTCTCAAAACTGGCTTTAAAACGCTTAACGGGTTTTCGAACTTAGTTTTCAATTTTGGATAGTTTTATCATATTGAATTTATTTTAGTTTACCGTTAAGCTGTTTATTTTGAAAGGAGCTTGTTGTGATTTCATTAAAAGTTATTTTGTAGTTGAGTTGAAACTTTGTTACAGCTCAGGATTAATGGGTTAGCTATATATTTTTGCATTGCAGTGTAAGTTGTTTATTAGGATAAAGGAAAGTGTTAAAACAAAAATTCCATCAGGTTTCGAAGCATTAAATCACGTGCGACACTTTTAATGAAAAAGTTAAAACGTTTCGATTTCTTTAGTTGACACTCTAAGGCAGAATTTTCCTCGTATCAATTTTATAGACACTCTGGTATATTTTTATTTGAAGTATATCTATAATTAAATTTGCACCATCGATGCGTAATGATTAAAAAACGAATCAATAATCATTCACTTCACTTGTCTTGAGCAAAACTTGATTAATTTTAGCACATATCTCACTAACTTTATAAAGTCTAGACTAGATGCGTGGAAAAGAAAATTTTGCGAAAATCTTTCTTAATTCTCTACTAAACTCCAATTACTTTCAGGCACGAGAATAGAGAGACTGACCTTTTACGATCGCTCAATAAAGCAGAGGTAAGAACTTTTAAAAGTATCTATCTACCAATTATTACTTACTGAAATGAAATTCTCGTAAAATTCTTTTACCTCTTCATCTTCGTCGTTTGAGCTTCATATAATATTACTTTAGTCGACGAAGCTTAAATTACTGAAGACTATCAAGTCGTGGATACCGTATAAGTGCATAGAAATGCTTTTTACGTGAGGAAGCTTTTTTTGCCAAATACTTTGAAAAGAAGATTTATGATTTTCTGATGCTTAATATTTTTTAAATAAATCAAATTTTTAAATAAACTTTATAATTTATATTTTCATGCAAGTACTAAATGTATTTTTTAATGTGTTTTACGGGATCCGCAAAATGCAGAATAATTAATTTGAACATACATTTTTAATGGACTTCGTAATTTCCTTTCAAGTAGTTGATTTAAGGTCGTTGTTTTTTAGTGAATTGACTGATGAAATTTTCCTCACATTTCATTGAACAAACTTTTTCTAAATTTAACATGAATCTTATTTTAGATTGATAAAGAAAATGATACTTCCACACTATTCCGGGCTGCAAATTTAACTACAACTCTGATGGATTTGTATATGAAATCAATTTGCACAGTATTTTTAAAATCCGCTCTGCGTGACACAATCACAAAATTGATCGAAAGCAAACAAAGCTGTGAATTGAATCCAACAAAAATGGATTCACCCGAGGACGCCTGCAACAATGCAGAGTACCTTTTACAAGTAAGATTTTTTTGGATGAGTTGTTTTTTTTCGTGATGTTAATAAGTTTCAATCCCTTAATCAATGATTGAAATATTTTCATTTTAGATTTTAGACGAAGTGACTTTGAGCATTTTCACGAGCTCTGAAAAATGCCCAAAAAGCTTACGATACATATTCTCTTGCCTTCAACGCGCAGTTTTAACAAAATGGCCTCATGAAAGATTGGTGCGCACGAGGGTCGTAAGTGGATTCATATTTTTGCGGTTGCTCTGCCCCGCAATTTTGAATCCAAAATCTTTTAATTTAATTGAAGAATCACCATCGCCGATGGCAACGAGGTACATTTTAATGAAATCTTAAAGAGGTCTGGTAGTGAACCGAAACTCAATATGCATTCGAAATTTCAGATCACTGGTTATGGTGGCAAAATGTTTACAAAATTTAGCTAATCTTGTGGAATTTGGAGGTAAAGAGCCGTACATGGAAGTTGTTAATCCATTTATTCTGAAGAATAAAGAACGCATGGTCGTATTTTTAGATCAACTCTCGGTAAGCACATATTTTTAGTAAATTACAAATGAACTTAAAAATTATATTATCGCAATTCTTTTACAGAATGTTAATGAAAAACCAGAAGCTGAAAGCACTATAATACGAGACAAAACGCTATTTGATATTGCTAAAGACCTTGCTAGTTTACATCAAATATGCCTTCATCATACAAAAGAGTTGCAAGTCTTGTCGAAGCATCAGGTAAGATATTTTCATTATAGTCCTTAAAGTTTCATGTTCTCTTCAAAGCTTGAATGTAAATAAAAGTAAGGAATGACGGTAGAAGCTTAGGCTAGAACAATAGATATATGTAACTTGATTCGCAATAAACTCTTGAGTACAAGTAGTTATATAGGGATTAATGCAAGTTTTAATCGTCGACTTTTTTATGTTCACAGCCTATAATCAAACAACTAGTTACAGTTACCGAAATGTTAAACAAGCATAAACAGAAATATGAAGAAATGTTACGTTAAAGTAAATAAAATTAATAGGCATTAGCAGCCATCAACAGTCTTCAGATATTTAATATTACATAAAATACATAAAAAATAAAAGTCTACCTTCTCATGCTATGAAATAAATATTTGTTAATTACTGATTCACCTATCCTACATTTATCCTTAAACATTCAAGTCTTTCCGAAAAAAAAAGTTTACTTGATTCCGATAATTCAATGATATATCCTCAATTAACGGAACAAGTAAATTCGTGCTAATTTTGTTTTGCAAACTAAATGAAGTAGTAAAAAAAAACATCGTTATTAAAGAAACGCAACATTATTACGTTCCACGATAATAAATATAAGTACATTTTTCGTAAATATGAAGAAAATCGGAAAATAATCCTGAAAGCGCGATTGCATACATCATTTGCCGCTGTCGATTCGTTCAATTCTCCTCGCTTCCCACTGAGCTTGCGCCTGTTTTTCTGCATATAAAATAAGCGCACACGGCAGTAGCGTCGTCGACGTCCCTTTCTCTCACGAGCGCGCTCGTAAGAAAAGTGCTACTTACCACTCGATACATGAGGTAAAACTGACATTTCCATATGCTCCCCCCCGCGACTGCTGTATATATACATCGCGCGATGATGTACGTGCATACAGTATAAACTTTTACGTGTGCAGGTAACATGCAAAGGTACATACGTGCATGAATAAAAAAATGCAGGTCACGAGAGAGATGCGGATTTCAAACTGTTATGAGCTTTTATATGCACGCTCGGCTAATTACGAAGAGAAGAAAAAAAGACGACTTGTATCAGGGTTTTCCTGAAAATGTTAATAAACACGATGTTTGCCTTTTTTGTTTCCTGAAAATGTAGTACTCTCGCAATTTAGAAAGCTTGTAAATTTGTTTGATGAGAAAACAATTTTCATACGGGAGTAGTAATTTCATGACAAATATTTGGCTGTAATTTTGATTTTAATATTAATAATCCTCTGCTGTGAGAGCTAAGCTAACTACTATTCACTGCGATAAGACACGATAGATAATTTATTCAAGCTTTTCCTGTTAAAGCTCGCTAATAATCTTGTTTTAAAAAAAGCTCTAAACATTCAAAGTTTACCAAATTAAAATTGTTTAGCATCAATCCGCTAGTATTCATCCTTTACTCGCAACTACATAGTTGATGCTCATTTTAATCTTATACTCGTGTTCCTATCGTTTGCTTGAAACATCTCCTTCAAAGACCAAAAAAGCTCCAACAGCATCAATTATAAATAAGAAATTCGAAACGCATCGTGGTCCACGTGTATCCACCCCCTCGATTTTCCAGCCCAAATCGACCCCCGAGAAAAGCTCCGCGTATTTTTCCCAAAATCCGCCAAATTTTCCAGTCCCGCAGAGCCGCTCCCCAAAATTCGAAACGCGTGTCTTTCGCACTTTTAAAAATAAAAAAGTCTCTCTCTCTTTCTCTCGTCGTCGTCGTCTCGTTTTCTACCTCTGCTACTGTAATATCCATCGAAAGCTCGGCTCTCTCTGTTTTTTTCGGGGGGATACATCGATCGATGCGCCGTAGTTAGTGTGCTGTAAAGCTTGCCTTCGCCAGCCTGCGGGAAGCGAAGGCACAACAGTCTCGGGCGGGGCAAGAGGGCGCTACTAACGGCGGTTCGATTCCGTCTCTCTCGCTGAAGCGCTGCCGTTTCGTCCGTGCACTGTCACAGCGCTAGAAGCGAGAGCCTATGTACTTTATATGAAAATCCTGTCGTGTGTGTAGTTTTTTATTCCGGAGTTTATTGTGGTGTCTCTCTTTTGCGGCGGGTATCCTTGCGAGATTTTTTTTGCGGGCACAAGCAGTGGTCGATTGTCTACGAATCGTGGGTGTCTTTCGAGTGCATCGTCAACGTCGAGAGAGAGCTTGAGGTTCGTAAAGAAGTACACATCGAAGAATCGTATCGAATTCGCGTTCCTCGATCGCGCTTTATATACAGAGCAGAGAGCAGAGCAGAGAGAGCCGAGGACGGACGGGCTTTCATGGCAATTAAGTGCGAGGAAAGAGAGGAGAGAGAGAGAGATGATCTCGTGTATTGACTGACTGGCCGCGAGCTTGCATGTATAATGGCACTACGTGTGCTATATATACACACGTACGTTTTGTACGAGGAGTGACTATTCCGCGTTATATATATAATATATACAGTTTTGCTCTTGGGCACTGTAAAAAATTCGAACGAGACGAGTTGATTCCTCGCTCCGCAAGCATTAATTCGCAATGAGGCTTTAGTCGTGCTTTTTTTTCTCGCAAGCCAATGGCAACAATTATTATTACTCGTTCGAGGAAGAACGACGATTCTTCGCCGAGTTGTGCGTTGCCGTAGGTTTGAATTTTTTTTTTTTTCTATCTGTGGGGGCCGAATAATGACCATCGCTCGCCCGTCTCTCTCTCTCTCGCTTGCGCGCCTGAGCAAATATACACAATATGAGTAATAATTTTCTCCACGGTAATATAACGCCCGATGAAGCTTAGAATGATATTTATCGATTTCTCCGCGCGCCTACTCTTTGCTCACGGCTCGGTTCTCATCATACTAACTTTGCTTGCCGTGTCGGTATATATATCTGATATTGATTGATAATGGTGAAATTTCGGCCACCACCATCGTCGCCGCCAAGTAGAGGACACACACTCGATTCGCGCGGATATAAAAGTCATTGCTTAACCCACGGGCTTGTTGTTATGGTGTGTGTGTGTCTCGCTCTCGGGCGCTCTCGGCAGCAACATTATATTATTGATTAAAAATCGAACGAAAGCTCACGCTCGCTCGTTCGCGCGCCGTTCTCTCTCTCTCTCTCTGTGCAGCTTTCGCCATTAGGCTTATATGTACACTAGACGTGTTATGTTGTATTACGGTGTGCCGTCGTACATTACGCGCTCGCCCGAGCTTTTTTCAATTCTGATCGTTTTTTCATTATAAATATAACAAGGAAAGGAATACAAAGTTAATGTTGTGAATTTGTTTGTGTGTTTTTTGTGTGTTTTTCTCGCAGGACTGCTGCTGCTGCTACCTTGCCACAGGAAGTGTCAAGCAGGAGAAGGTTTTTCCTTCGCCTATATATCGAACGCAGTACACGTCGGTGTTCGCTCCTTCTCTCTCTGTCTCACACGCTAGCTCGCTCGCTCTCCGATCAACAACCAAATACACCCTGTGTACTCGCCCCCGCACATATATACCAAAGACACAGTGCCAGTTTGTGAGTGTGTGTGTGCGCGCGCGTTGTTTAATAAAGAATGGAAATTGTAACACGTAATTGTGCTAGGGCAAAGTTGAACTCTCGCCTCGTCTGAGATATATATCATTATCCCGTTCCGTGGCTGCTACGTACTGCTGCTGTTGGGGCTGTGCGACTCGTACTCCACCACCAAAAGGGTTTATAAATCAGATTATCATCAAGTATGAATTACAATGACAAGATTCAAAAGGTTAGTTGTGCTTCTTTTATCGAAATTTCGTTAATTTATTCCGAACGAGTATAAACACTCGGGCGACGAGTATCATATTTGAACGCGATAGGTACTTGTGGCTTTTCGGTTAAAAACACTTTGGCATTCTGCCGTGTTATCGATAAACAGGGAGTAACTCTCGACGTATCCTAGTACGTTGTACGTATAACTAGTATGCTCTCTCGCAGTTTAGAACAAAAAGGGAATTATTGCGCAAGTGTATACATTTAAAATATATTCGTCGTCGAGTGTTGCAAAAAAAATGTGCCCCTCGCCCGAATATATATTCGCTGTTTACGTTACATGAAAAATGTCAAAAGCTGTCACCTTGACCCCTTCATAAGAGTTAGTTCCGAAATGGACGTGAACTTACATTTGCATATTTGAACTATTTTTCTTTTTTTCGCTCTCCTGCTCTCGAGTAAATCGAAATATGTAACTCAAAGAAAGAGTCGCTGTTTAAAAATTTATGGAAGAGAAAAATTTGCGTTAATCTCGAGAGCCGTTGTTATTATTATTGTCGTAATTATTAGAAACCTTCGGTCGGTGAATTTCAAGACGAGACTCGTGACTTACTCAATATTATACATTTTTTTAATTTCGTATACGACGTTCGGTCGAGTAATTTGTTATAATTTCTAAGTAAACAAAAAAAAAATTATTTTTAATTGAAATTCAAACACTACTAAAACATAGACTGATTTTTTGCTAGGTCTTATGACAATTGACGAGAGCTGCTGCGGAAAAAAAAATCTAAAGTAAACATATTTATTTTCAAATTACTTTTTAGACTTTAACGTGTTCATAATATTGATAAAATAAAAAAAATTGTTATCCTTGGTGTGGTTGAAACTTTTTTTATACGATAATCTGGATTGAGATTTAACGCGTGACTTTTTAATATTTTGTGTTCTTCTAGAGCCTTAGAGTTGTAAGAGCTGCCATACATTGATTCGTGACGAACAGGTGTATGATAAAACTGCAAAAATTAATTTGTTAAAAATGGGATGTGCTATGTCAGCGGAAGAGCGGGCTGCTTTAGCTCGCAGTAAGCAGATAGAAAAGAACCTGAAGGAAGATGGGATTCAGGCAGCTAAGGATATTAAACTCCTTTTACTGGGTAAAAATTTTATATTTTTTTCTTTAAAAATAAGAAGCTGCGCATCACTTAATCGGCTTATTTTGCCAAATTCATTTGTTTCAAATTGGCTTAAAAAAATATCGATCGGAAATTATTAAATTTAATCTGAATTTCATTACAGGTGCCGGAGAGTCTGGAAAGAGTACCATCGTAAAGCAAATGAAGTAAGTAAATGGGTTTATTTTTTAAAATAATTATTATTATTTTGGCAGCCACAGATTTCAATTTCGAGAGTGTAATTGACTTATATTAACGCGATGACTTAGTTATTAAAAGATAAACTGTGCGGTCATTATTTCAATACCGAAATTATACTTTTAACATTTTTTAAATGATTCACTGCTACTGAAGAAGCTTATTAATACTCTTGTTTTGCTATATACTACGATTAGTATCATTTTCAGTTTTTATCAATGTTTATTTTAAGAATAATGCAATTACAAACAATAAAAAAAGCTTCAGTACTTTTGTTTTAAAAATTAGCTCAACTAGTATCTGCATTAAAATATAGAAACTACAATCAAAACTAACATTATTGTTAAATTACAGAATTATTCATGAGAGTGGATTTACACCAGAAGATTTTAAGCAATATAGGCCTGTAGTTTACAGTAACACAATTCAATCATTAGTAGCTATTTTAAGAGCCATGCCAACTCTCGGCATTACATTTACATCTTCTGAAAGAGAGGTAAGTTTTTCGTTTGTTTTTGAATGATTCATTCCTTCCTTTTTTTTTCTCTCGCGCACGAGTTTAAACAGAGCGATTTCTCATGCGATTTTTAAAATAAATAATGTCTCGATTTTCAAGGCGCGCGCGCGATTGACGAATCGATTTGAATTTTTGCAATAATGACGCCCTTATTCTTTTTTTCCTCGACCAGGTCGATGCTAAAATGGTGTACGACGTCATCCAAAGAATGGAGGACACGGAGCCCTTCAGCGAAGAATTACTGGTCGCCATGAAGAGACTCTGGCTGGATTCCGGCGTACAGGACTGCTTCGGCCGAAGTAACGAGTATCAGTTGAACGACTCCGCGAAGTAGTGAGTTGCCAGAAAATATCATTCATAATTTTGAAAATTTTCCTCCGCGCGATACCCCCGGCTCTCTTTTGCCGCGCGTGAGATCGTGATTTGGAATTTCGGAAGAAACGTACGGCTCCTAGCCACTGTGCCGCACGCGCGCATAGCACGCATTCTAGGCAGCATCAATTATAAGTAGTTTATATCGTAAATATTGATGATACGATCAATCATCGTTGTTTATTTGAAAAATATAAGAGATAGAGGCGATAAAATGGGCGCGGCGTAAAAATAGTCGTAAAACCTATTATTTTTAGCTTAGAAATTAAGCGGTCGTGTGTACATCGGCTCGTGTGTGTATACGAGCGCGGCATTACTCTTATAAAGCCGTCGCGTCGCGTCCGAGACATATAGTAAGACAAAAAGAGCCTTCCTGGATGATAGGTTGATTGGCTTGATTGTATCGGGCGTGAATCGAGATTGCGTTTGCACACGTAAGAAGAGAGCCGAGCGAAAAAAAAAACACAACATTGACGGTACGCCGCCGCCGCTGCTGCTGCTTCTGTCACTATATGCGCGCGGCATATAAAGATTGATAAGATTCATCAATTAAGAGATGCGGATGAGTGGTGGGAGGCCGTTTGCAGCTTCCATCTCTCTCTCTCCGTTTAAAAGAGAGACGACTATATAGAGAGAGAGTAGGCCTTAGGTCACGTTGTCCCTACCGAGAACAATTAGCGTAAACTGCGGTCGATTTTTTTTTTATTGGCTCTCGGCTCGAGTCACGTCGGGTTGATTGATTTAATTTTTTTTTTCCTTTTTTTTTAAGACAAAAAATGTAATCGCACTGATTCACTTCGATCCTCGAACCGATCTTTTGAAACCCAATGATGAAAATTAGAAAAAAAAATGTGATTTTTTCTCTATTCTTATAGTTTCTTAGACGATTTAGACCGCTTGGGCGGTAAGGATTATCAGCCCACGGAGCAGGATATTCTTCGAACCCGTGTCAAGACAACGGGGATCGTCGAAGTACATTTCTCCTTCAAAAATCTTAATTTTAAGTGAGTCACAGAGATGCTTATATGACTTACCTTTTTTCTAATTTATGTCCAATCTTGTATCAAACGTAAATCGTGTTTGTGTGTGCCCTTCACAGGTTATTTGACGTCGGAGGTCAAAGAAGCGAGCGAAAGAAGTGGATCCATTGCTTCGAAGACGTTACCGCTATAATATTCTGCGTGGCGATGTCCGAGTACGATCAAGTGCTCCACGAGGATGAGACCACGGTAAAATATATAAAACAAAACAAAGCAAAAAAAAAAAAAAACAATTGACTTTGACTGTCTTTGCTTTTGCAATTGTCTCGTGCAAATTTCGTGCACATACACTACTCTTCTTTTTGTTCTTTTTTTTACAGAACCGTATGCAAGAGAGTCTCAAGCTGTTCGACTCCATTTGCAACAATAAATGGTTTACCGATACTTCGATCATTCTCTTCTTGAACAAGAAAGACTTGTTTGAAGAAAAAATAAGAAAATCTCCTCTTACAATTTGCTTTCCGGAATACGCAGGTAAGAATCGATTTTACGTGCTGGCACACATGAGTTTAAACAAAAAAGGGCTTATAGCTGGCTTTTTATTCGCAAACGGTGACACGAAATTCTGGTAAAAAATGCACTTGGAACTATTATAACTCCTCTGAATAAATTTGTCCGTAGTCTTATAATTTTCTCTTCAAAACTCGCCATCTTTAGAGTAAAAAGTACCATTATTGTTTTTGCACAATAGTCACGTCGAATTCGACACTCAAGATGGCTTGCGATCCAATACTTGCCGTCAAAAGTGAAAACTTGTACGACTTTAATGAAAAATGTAGATTCAACGTTTTATTTTGTACAAAGCTTCGATGTGCATGTATCCGGCAGTACAATGCATGAATTGTGTAGTTGTTGCACCTATGGTAAATCAAAGTTCAAAAAAAGTCCCTTTAAGAGTAAACGGTAGTACTTTTACAGTTTTATTTATTCGAAAAAATGTAGCTTCTTTGTAACGATACAAATGCAATTTCTTAATGGCAGCTTATTGAACAATTAAAATTTCGAGCAAAACCCAAAATTTGAGCTAAATTATAAAAAAAAAAACTAAAATGTTATAGGTGCCCAAGAGTATGGGGAAGCTGCAGCATATATACAGGCCCAATTCGAAGCTAAAAACAAATCTACAACCAAAGAGATTTACTGCCATATGACTTGTGCTACAGATACCAATAACATTCAGTTTGTATTCGATGCTGTCACGGATGTTATAATTGCAAATAATTTGCGTGGCTGTGGACTATATTAAAGTAATACATCATTTCTGCTTGAGTAGTTGATTTGTGTAACCATTTTTCATAACCTGAAACATCTAATAAAGTATATAATCTCGAATTTATTATCTAAAGTAATAAATGTATAACGTTTATATCATGTTATTTTAATCACTCTTTCGAATACCTCAATAAAATATCAAAAAAACTGTAACAACTTAGACTTTAAATTGTGTGCTTTGTCTTTATACAATTATACGTAGACCAATATTTTAAATTATTTTGGAAAAATGTTGACTAATTTAAAAATCACCCAACCAGCACAATATAATTTAGTTTCATTTAAAAAAGCACTAATTGCAGAAATTTTTAAAATTACTGTACGCATTATGTAGGTTAAGTGGTGTAGAATGAAAGTTAGACTTACCCAGGAGCCCGGCGATTTCAGTTCCGATCGATATTCTTTCTTTTGGCTTCTACCGGATTAGCCGTCAGCTTTTCTAATTATCCGAGTTTTTATAACCGAAGACAGCACATACCATGGGGGTCGTTACATGAAAATGATCTTTGTATTATGTAAAAGTCTGATTATTATTTTTGCACTTATTTCACCATACACTTAATTGTTAATATTGAATTATAGAAATGGAAAAAAGCTCATACTTTTTTAGGTATCATACAAGATATATTTAAAAATAATATTGATTATAAAAAAATATATTATTACGTTAAATTATTCATATGAAATACAAATTCAACACAAATAGGGTTACATCAACTATATTACAATATTGAAAAGTTCAACAAATTTTTTTGTTATATTACCTCGATTTTCATTTCAATGTAAATTTTAAAGTATGTTTTGCACTTTAATCACGACGATAGATCTTTAATTTACAAAAAAATTAACTTATAATAATAAAAAGTAAATCAGATTTACTACGAATATGGATTAATGCACTTTAAAAATAAAGACAATTAAAATCAAAATCTATAAATCTATAAATCTAATAAATTATCGAGTATCAGAATTCAAGGCGAACGCATTCATAAAAAAATAAAGTATTTTTAAAAAAATACTATCATTTCCTCCTGTTTCTCAAACTTCGAGCTGAAATAGATGGGGTGGGTTTGGGTGAAGGCTGTTGAACAAAAAATGTTATATATACGTAAGTTTAACGAATTAATATGAAATAGTAAGAGATGTTCAAATTAATTCTTACTCCACTTTGGTCAACATCAACAAATGATTCATCAACGCCATTAAATAATTTCTTTCTCCTTGTCTTTTTAGTTGATACAGTTTCTTTAGACGCTGTTTTTGCGGTTTTAGGTGAGAGTCTAAAAATAAATTATTCATTTAGTTTACGTCATTTGCAAATAAAGCCACATAAAACATATAATCTTACATATGATCAGAATCTGATGAATTGAGATCGTGAAGAGTCATATCAGGTTCTTTTTTAATTTGAGTTTTATTTGCCTGAAAAATGTAAAATGTAATCTCTTTCATCTACTTAATTTATTTCATTTTTCCATCAGATTCGCTCCATGATGTTGAACAATCACATAATTTATTTTACCATTTCTTCAAGTTATGTTTAAAATTGTCTACTTACTTTTTGTTTAGTTGTACTCTCTTTGGTATCTTTGCGTCTTCTTGTATTGTAATTATTTTCTTCAGTTGATATTTGATTATACCTTATAAGATATTCGCCCAATCGTTCAACCTAAAAAATGATTTGATTTAGCATAGATATTTCGAGAAAATTAACAAGAAAAAATTTCGTCCTTACTTCTTTTTTAAGTTTATCCAATTCTTGAGATTGAACTTGGACCAGGTTCTCGTATTTGGCAACTGTTTCATTACGATTGGCAGAGAACTTTTGGAATTCTTCTTCTTTATTTTGAATAGCATTTTCTAATTCACTATTCTTCGATTGTAATGCTTCAATCGTCTCATGTTTTCCTTCTGCTGTTTTTTCAAGAGAACCTATTCTCATTTCCAAAATGTGAATAACTTGCCTGTATTCAACGTCCATTTTTTCACATTTGTCTTTATAATTTTGTACTTCAAGATTTGCTGCTACTATATCTTGCAGAACTTTTTTCAACTCCAGTTCCATTTTTTTTGTTGTTTCTTCATTCTCCTTCAACATTTTCTTTAATGCTATAAAGAATTTTTTTATATAAATAAAATGTACAATAAAATTATCATGAAAAAATTGAGAAGTTGATGTTTTTACCAATATTCAGGCTTTGAATTTCATCATCTTTTTCTCTTTCGCGATTAATAGCTTCGTCCAATCTATCCATTAGCTTTTTATTTTGCTCATTTTTTTCTTCTATTAATTGCTTAAGATCGTAAGCTTCATTTTCTAATTTCAATAATGAAGCTTTTAATTCTAGAAAATGTGTGTACATTAATAATATTGAAAATATATTTACATTTATTAATCTAAAAATGTTACACACCTTTTTCTAAGTTAGATCTGTTTAATTCTTCCAATTTTGCTTTTTCATTCTTTATTTCTAATTCAATTTTATCAACCTCTTCGATAACATGCTGTTTTTCATTATCACCTTGAGTCTCTTTCATGTTAGTATCATGAACCTGAAATTCATTTTAATTTTTAATTGGAAAATTTTTCGTTTTACATTAAATTTTTGCAAAATTATCAAACTTAATATTTACCTCGGATGAGTTATTTGACGATGAACGAACACTATCACAGAGCAGAGAATCACTGGTTTGTGTTGACATTATTACTGTATTTTTTACGCAAGCTAATTTTTCGTTCAATTCTGTGTTTTCTGTCATCAATGATTCAAACTGCAATCTAGCTTCTTTCAAGTAATGTTTTGATTTTTCAAAATCTCTGAGTTCACTTTCATTACCCTATAAGCAAAAAAGTTTCGTTATTTATTTTTCAAATGAGAAGTTCGCCAGTAATACTTACGTTTGAAGTATTGATTTTTTCGGGTACATGATCTTTATCAAGTTTCACATCAACTGCTAATTGTATGACTAATTCATACATTTCATGTAGTCTTTTCGTTTGATTTTCTAAGTCCTCCTCAAGCGTTTCAATAGTTTTACTTTGTTCAGCTGAATATGCATTTGCCTGATTAAGTTGTTCCTCTAAATCATTGATATGCTCTTCATTCTCTATAAGTAATTCCTCTTGTTTTTTTACTTTTTCTTCTAATTTCTCAGCCTCACCAGTAATGGTAATATACTCTTCTTTAGCTTCATTTAAGAACGTTTTCATTGTCTGTAAAAAATATTAGTACTTTATTAGATAATTAAATAATTAAATTTAAAAAGCTTCAACAGTTAGAGATAATATTAATAGGGACGCCGTCAGTCGTATGTCACCTAGATAATTGTTACAGATAACGTTGAAATAGCTTCTGTCGCCATTTACGATTCACCCTCGTTTGAATTGACCAGCTCATAATCCAGCGCAAATTCAAACTACGTAATAAGATATGAATACAGATATCAAACTTACTTGTATTCTGTCATTCTTTTTGCGTATAACTTCTTGTAGCTCTTTTATTTGATCGTCTGAACTTTTGTCATTTCCGTTATAACTATCATCCAATAATGAAGCATCCATCATTGATTTCATTAATGACTCCAGTCGACCATCGGAAGTATCTTTTTTCTCATTCGCTTCATCATCTTTTTCGTTAAACGATGTAGATAAGGCTCTTTTCGAACGATTTGAGCCTGCTTTTTTAAGCTTAGCTTGATAAAATCCTTCGATGCGTTCAACAGCTAATTCTCTTAAATCTTCTTGTTGTTCTTCCATATCATTCAAGCGAGATCTGAAAAATAAAATTATAACTAAAGTACTGTTTTTATCTAAAATTATACTATATGACGATATACGTACTTCCAATCATTTTCAATTTGCTTTATCATTTCAGTATACATATCCGTCATCTCCTGTCGAGTTTGCAAATCTCTCTGCAAAGATGTAGCTTTCAGCTCTTCAATTTCAGTTTTCAACTTTTTATTTTCAATTAATAGATTCGTATACATTTCATCATTCTCTTCATCTTCACTATTTTCATCCTCCTCGTCGTCTTCTTCATCTACTGCTTATAATAAAATACAATAATTAAATGAATGAAGGTTTTTTTGTGAAAATATAAAATTTATGACAATGAAGAACGTACGAGTATCGGCAGCATCAGACAGCTCAGTGTTTTCCCAATCCATGTGATTCTTTTTACTTTGAGTAACTATTCTTGAAAAACGTGACAACGATTGCCTACGTTTGGAAATTGGAACTCTTTCGATCACAATTTTTTTTGCAATCGCCGAGAATTTGAGTACGTTTTGTGTTTCCTCGTACAGATTGGGAACGGGATTGACATTAACAATCATAGACATTTGTTCTTTTCCTGATAATGCTCTTTGGAAGAGCCTTGTTAATTTTGATTCTCTAAATGGACCGATAGACTCGTGCTTTTGTGGTTTCGCGGACGATTGAGCTGTATAAATGGTTTGCAAACATCTTCCCAAGACTAATAAACTCGTGTTAATGTTTTGAGCCTCTTTTAGACGCTCTCCAACGTTTAACGTTTTCTTCAGTCGTTCTGAACCAGCCAGATCGCAGAATGAAAATCTGGACAAGAAATAAAAAAGTCCAAGAACATATAACATAAATATTACTTCAAAAATCATTTCAAATCTAACAGAAAATTTAATACTTACATGCTGACGTCGACCGAATTAGGATCGTTCTGGGAATAATATTTCAGCAATTTGATAGTGAAAATGCAGTGGGATCTCGAGCTTTTTGAATTTAGGGCAGTAGCAGCGACTTTCAAATTATACTGTCCAGTCATTAAAACTTGATAAGCTTCGGACCCGGAAGCGACGCACACGCTTCGCAAGCCTTTGATGTAGGCTCTACCTTTGCTGTCTGTGGCCAGCTTCAACGAGGGTCTCTTCTTCTGACAACCGTTCCACAAGAGATCATAGATCGTCTCGTTGTATATTTCCGCGAACGATACCCAGACCGAGTATCGAGCATTGGTGGCGATGATCGAGGACGTCGACGCTTCTTGCTTCAGCAACTGTTGCATTTGTCTGTAAGTATTGATGTGGCAGTTTTTATCGAGCGAATAAAAACTGAGCAGCTTCATCTTCTGATCAGCTTCCAGTAGCCTTTCGTGCGCGTGCAGAGCCATGACCTCGCAATGACCGACCGGTTTGTAATGAGGGGTGCTGTCGGGCTCGATGTGGCTGAATACGAATTCGATACCGCGCGGAATGATACCGGGGGATTCCGAATTACCTTGAAGAGTATATGTTTTGCCGGAATTCGTTGTGCCTAAATTTGAAAAAATGAATGCGAGAAAATTGAGCGATGTTTTTCTTCGCGACGCTTTCATCAACATTAAAAATAAAAAGCTCGTTTACCGTACGACATAACAGCTGAATTTTGTCCAGATATGAAGTCCAACATTTGGGGTTTGACAGCTTCCTCGAACAGCTGCAGTTGCGACGTTTCGGGCCCGAAGGTCTGCGTGAAGGTAAAATTTCGGCAAACGATCTCGTTCGGTTTCATTTTTTTGAGACAGCTCGCGTTGTTGTCGAGCGAGGGCATTTTCGTCAGCAGTGTGGTGGAGTCAATGATCGTGTAGGCCTCGGCCTGCTCCTTGGTCAGCGTGATCCTCGATGGGAACGGCTTCATGCGCAAGAACACCTTGACGGTCTGAAGGCCGGTTTTTTCCGAGCAACTGGTCACGCGGTCCGAGCTCTCGATCGACTCGGTCTCCTCTTTTTCCTCCTCCAACAACGAGTAGAGATTTTTCTTTAGCTCTTGCGATGGGAAGGGTCTTTGACCGTACGCCAGAATGCTGGGATCTCTGCCATATAAATATGACATATCGCCGCCCGAAGTCAACGAAGCCTCGGTGTCCGAGGGTCTGTTTGAGATACTCATCTGCAAAATAATCGAGCGAATGGTCGATGTAACAAGCGTCGTTCAATATACGATACATTTTAATATTTTTCTAGTTTTTCTTAAAATACAAATCGTAAAATAGAACGTCATTATTAAAATAAAATTCATTAATTATATCGAACCGTATAACGTTAGTCATTAAATTGTTTGCGTTAGTTATATTGTTAAAAAGGTAAAGTCGAGCATAGTATTTTTTGTTATCATGTAACCAAAACCGCGCAGCAAGTGTAAACGAAAGCGCATTTCATGTTATCATCATTGCATTATTTTTAAATGATCCTATTTTTCAATTCCATAGAAGATATTTTAAATTCAATTTGCGTACTTATATTTTCATTCAAGTTAATTGAATTTTACAAAAGGTTGAGTAAGGATAATTTATATTTTTGATTTGTGTTAATAAGCTGTTTAATGAATTAACAATGAAAAAGATTATATTGTAAAGGGGATTTAAAATTGTAAATAATAAAGAGATGGCATTGTAAAGTGTTTAAAGTAAAAATAAAAATATTTTTGTTTCAAACGGATATGCATGATACCAAATGTCAATTAAGAAGGTTTTCATGAACTTCAAGCTTGAATCATCAAAAGATAATTTTGAATACTAAAATATTGTCCATATTAAATAGATATTTATAAAAATACTGCAGGTAGCATATAAAAATTTCTAATGCTGGGCAATGCAAACAACTTTTAAAAGCGACTGATCCGTTGACATACTTTGAAAAGAGACTGATACATTCACAGAATTCACATAAATAAAAACCAATGTAATAGGTAAGTAAATTGAATAACTGCTATGATTATCAATAAACATATCAACTGTCCAATGGTAAAGCTACTTGCGATGAAGCATGTAAAGCCTAATTAAATTAACTTTTATTCAAAAATTTCCTAATCACGATGCTGACTGAACGTACAATAGCAATCACAAAAGAAAATCTCTATAAACTTTCAGAAATAATGTAACTTTGAGCACTAAGTATTCAAAAATGTCCATTGGTGAATATCAAGATTAGAACATTGTATTCTTTTACTATAAATACAATCAATCCCCTAGCAATCATTTTCCTACTTTTATAAAATTGAATTGATATTTTGTCATTTTTCATTCATGGGATGAATTAGATAAAGAAAACTGCAATAGAAAAAAAATCATTCATTTCCACTTTATCAAATTTATTTGCCTCAACTATCACGAAATCCTCGTATCAATGCTATGTAATCAGCAGTTACAATAACAGAGAGAATGCAATTGCGACGCTGCATGAAGCACAGGTCTGAACAAGTCGAAAAAGCAGTTGGTCGGTGGTCGTAACACATGAAACTGCCCCACGAGGATCACTGAACAATGCTACCGGCTTAAACAAAGATTTTTGTTTTTATACTACAGTAAAACATGAAAAACTCACCTTTGACAAGTTTGTGGATTCTTGATGTTCATAAAACTGAAACACGGTTATGGCAAAACCTCGCACAACATTTGATTTACAATGTTATTGTCGAAAAAACAAACCATTCGCACGAAATGTGTACTTTCAAATGACGTTTGGCAAAAGGTCGCGCGACGGTTGGAATATTTGAATTCTCAGTTCTTATATGTATAGATATACTTGCTCAGCTGAGAGGTATGAGGCAACTTTTACATCGACTTCGCGGTGCAAAATTCGAGCGCTGGTCACTAAACGTACTCGGTGTTTTCATTTAGCGCGAGTGCGAAAAAGACAGACGTATGTGGCAGTCACACTAACGATTGCTTTGCAATGTTTACACTAGTTCGTTCGAAGAAAAAACAAACAATAAAGCATTTTCAACAGTGAAAATTCATAGAAAATATGCATTGAGTACCTGACACGATTTCGATCAACTTTGCATCGCACTAAAGTCCAAATATCACAGGTCTAAACAATTTTGCGCGCCGATTGTACGTCGAGCATTGTGGTACGCCGCTTTATGCAGAAGAGATACTGGTTGGCAGTGACGTGTATAATAATACACGAATTGTCGCCTGATAAGTGCCTGTGTGTCCACGGTGTACTGCAAAAATCATGATCCATGTGTAATGTCGAAGAAGTACTGTTGTTGAAAGTTTATTAAAGGTCCCGGAAGAGAGATCAAGCGCAGCCAGTATGTTGACCAAGTTCGAAACCAAGTCGGCTCGCGTGAAAGGCCTGTCCTTTCATTGCAAAAGGCCGTGGATTCTAGCCAGGTTATTAAATTTTCCGAACATTACATATTGAATGATTTTTCGATCGATAATACGTCAAATTGCACCGTGTAAAGGGCCTCGTAGCGTGAACAATACAATTTTTTTACTTTTTGGTTCATTCGTAAGTGACTCGTGTGCAACGGTGACTAATATTAATGGTTACGGCAAATGTTTACACCCAAGACAGTTCGAGTCATTGGGTTGAATTAGAAATTTTTTTGGAGCAGCATATGTCATTCTATGTATTTTTTTTTTTTGGCTTCGTAAATATGCATTAGTTTTTCAACTTTTATTTAATTGTTGAGGAAACAACATTTTATCGTCATATTCAGTGTAATAACATATGCTGTGACAACAAGTATGGGAGTTATTTTAATTGTCATTTGAATTTCATCGCTATTTAGAAACTCATTAAGAAGTTTCATATGCTTCATGATAACTAATATTTATACAAATTGAATTGAATCAAGTACCATTGTTGTTTTTAAATTTTACTGCAATCAAATTTGAAAAATAAAAACCTTAAATATTTTTATGTTAACAGTTTACACAATGGAATCATTCAGTTATGGGATTACCGCATGTGTGCTTTACTGGACAAATTTGACGAGCACGATGGACCCGTCAGAGGCATATGTTTCCACAATCAACAACCGTTATTTGTGTCTGGAGGAGATGATTATAAAATAAAGATTTGGAATTATAAGTTACGTAGATGTATATTCACTTTACTTGGTCATTTAGATTATATTAGAACTACACAGTTCCATCATGAATACCCATGGATCTTGAGTGCATCAGATGATCAAACAATAAGAATATGGAATTGGCAGAGCCGTACCTGCATAGCAGTATTAACTGGACATAATCACTATGTTATGTGTGCTCAGTTTCATCCATCTGAAGATATGATAGTATCTGCTTCGCTGGATCAAACAGTCAGAGTTTGGGATATATCAGGTCTGAGAAAAAAAAATGTTGCTCCTGGTCCAAATGGATTGGATGAGCATCTTAAAAATCCTGGTGCTACTGACTTATTTGGACAGGCTGATGCTGTTGTTAAACATGTTCTTGAAGGTCATGATAGAGGAGTAAACTGGGCTACCTTCCATCCAACCCTACCTCTTATTGTTACTGGAGCTGATGACAGACAAATTAAAATATGGCGTATGAATGATTCAAAGGCTTGGGAAATAGATACTTGCAGAGGGCATTACAACAATGTGTCTTGTGTCCTTTTTCACCAAAAACAAGATCTTATTTTATCGAATTCAGAAGACAAAAGCATTCGAGTTTGGGACATGACCAAACGAACTTGTCTTCATACTTTTAGACGAGAACATGAACGATTTTGGGTGCTCACTGCTCATCCCACTATGAATCTATTTGCTGCTGGACACGATTCAGGGATGATTATTTTCAAACTTGAGCGAGAAAGACCTGCCTACACAGTCCACAAGAATATTTTGTATTACATCAAGGAACGCTACCTTCGCAAACTTGACTTTAATACTTCGAAAGATGTCTCTGTGATGCCAATCAAAGGAAATAGTAGAACTCCTCCCCATAGTATTTCTTATAATCAAGCTGAACACTCTATTCTGGTGTGCTTTAGAAATGCAACTAATCTGGAAAACAGCACTTATGACTTGTATACATTGCCAAAAGAGGATGAGCATTCAGAATCTGATTCCAAACGAGCTTCAGGAATGACTGCCATATGGGTTGCGAGAAATAGATTCGCTGTTCTCGACAGACATATGAGTACTCAATCAGTAAGTAAAGACCGTGTCCTTGTGGCACGTACACGTACGGTGAGTTTCACACATTGCTTTACTTTCATCAAACATCATACAAACGGAAACACACTGATAAATCTACTTGGTTTAACAACTTTTTTTGATAAGCTGGATGGGATATAAAAAAATTAACAATGACAAAATAACACAATTTTTAACAGATTCCCGCGCTCATCATCATAACATATTCATTCATTTCACAATTTGAAAATTTTTAATTGTCATCACTCATGTCGATTTTTTCTTGTCAATTACAGGTACAATTGAAAAATTTGAAGAATGAGACGCTGAAAAAAATCTCGATGCCCAACTGCGACGAGATTTATTATTCCGGCACGGGCTTGCTGCTCGTCCAGGATCACGATATCATTTCCCAGTACGACATTCAGCAGAAGAAGTACGTGGCCGACGTGAAGGTGTCGAAGTGCCGCTACGTCGTTTGGTCCCCGGACATGGCCTACGTCGCTTTCCTCTCCAAACATTCCATGGTAGTATGCAACAAGAAATTAGAAACTATCTACACGATCCACGAGAACACCAGAATCAAATCGGCCGTCTGGACCGACGATTACGTGCTAATCTACACGACCAGCAACCACATCAAGTACGCCATCATAAACGGCGATTACGGCATCATCCGCACGCTCGATCTGCCGATTTACCTCACCAAGGTCAAAGGCGAGCAGGTCTACTGTCTGGATCGCGAGTGCAAGCCGCGCATCCTCAGGATCGACCAGACCGAGTTCAAGTTCAAGCTGTCGCTCATTCACAAGAAGTACGAGGACGTGCTACACATGGTGCAGTCGGCGAATCTCGTCGGTCAGTCCATCATCTCTTACCTGCAGCAGAAGGGCTTCCCCGAGGTCGCGCTGCACTTTGTCAAAGACGAAAAGACGAGATTCAGCCTGGCGCTAGAGTGCGGTAATATTCAGATCGCGCTCGAGGCCGCGCGCGTTCTGGACAGCACCGCCTGCTGGGAGCGCCTGTCGCAGGCCGCGCTGCAGCAGGGCAATCATCAGATAGCCGAGATGTGCTATCAGAGAATCAAGCATTTCGAAAAGTTGGCCTTTTTATACTTAATCACGGGAAATCTGGATAAACTGAAGAAGATGACTAAAATTGCTGAAATCCGTAAGGACGTTTCCGGGCAGTATCAAGGAAGCGTCGTGTTAGGAGATATGGCAGATGTTGTTAAAATATTGCAGGTATGAAAATAATCGAATTATGTCATTTTTAAGAAACTTATTTGAGCTCCGAGATTAATTGTTTTTCTTTTCATTATCCTCATTACAGAGTGCAGGCCAAAAGTGTCTTAGTCAATCGGCAAGTGCAGCTTACAAATGCGATTCTGACGAGCAACCCGGTGATGTTATCGTGGCGCCCAACGCCACCTACCTACGCCCTCCAGTTCCAGTCTACTCGTTCGAAAACAACTGGCCACTGCTGACGGTATCGAAAGGATTCTTCGACAATCCAATCAAGACCAGCAAGCACGATCATCTGAACGCCGCTGCGCCAAAGGATGAGAATCTCATTCAAGACGGCTGGCTCAGCGACGAGGAGGACGCCAACGCCGGCGACGATAACGACGAGAAAAACAGCTCGAAAGGCAGCGAGAACGGCCCCGAAGCCGGCTGGGACGTCGGTGACCTCGACCTGCCGGCCGACACCGAGTTCGCCATGCCCTCGGAGGAGTACTTCACTCCGCCGATCGCTGGACGTCCGGTATCCGCAGCTTTCTCCGGCTCCGGCTACCTGCACGATCACGCCGCCGGTGGAGCGTACGAGACAGCGTTCAACAAGCTCTTCAAGGATATCAGCGTAGCTTCGTTCGGCAAATTGAAGCCCACGGCTATGCGTTTGTTCCTCAGCTCGAGAATGATGGCGCCGTTCAACGCCAACTGCGGCTCCCTGTATTATTATCCCGCGCGTAATTGGAAGGTGGACACCCTCACGAAAGCGCCGATGCCCGCCTTCATCTTGAAAGTGCCCCAATTGTCGAAGATTCTTCAAGTGGGTTACAATTTGACGACCAGTGCTAAACTGGACGAAGCCGTGGAGAAGTTCCAAAAGATTCTACATACCATTCCGTTCATCATTGTCGACACAAAAGCAGAAATCGCCGAGATCGATCAGTTGATCAAGATTTGTAAGGAATACACGGTGGGTTTAAAGGTAGAAATCGAGAGAAGAAATATTTCCAATAGCAAGGAACCCGATATCAAGAGGATTTGTGAATTGGCCGCATATTTCACCCACAGTGAATTGCAACCGATTCATCAGATCTTATCGATCAGATGCGCCGTTAATACCATGTTCAAGTATAAGTACTACAAATCGGCCAAGCTGTTCGCGAGACGCCTCCTGGAATTAGGACCAAGACCCGAGATAGTGCAGAAAATCAAGAAGATCATGCAGGTAATGTCGCTATTTTTTAAAATCACGTATTTTTATCGATCCATGAACACAACACTGTAAAATGTCTTTTTTTTTTGTTACTTCAGGCCTGCGACGCTAATCCCACGGACGCGACGCCACTGGAATACGACGAGTACAATCCCTTCCATACTTGTGCCGCTTCCTACAAGCCCATCTACAAAGGCTCGCCGATCGTGCATTGCAACTACTGCGACGCGGCTTATCAAATGTCGTTCGCCGACGAGGTATGCAGAGTTTGTGATTTGGCTCTGATAAATCACAGAGAAAATCAGCCCGCCGGCGGTAAATCTTAGAAAACACCTGCATGAAGTATTTCTATGAAATTGTGAATGCTCACAAAAAGAAAATGTTTTATTATTTTCATGTAATCTTTAAAGCATTATATGTTTCGTCATTGAATATGTTTATTATTTAACTTAATATTTTTAATAAAATAATTATATAACAATGTACGTATTATTTCGATTATGTAATTAAAAAAAGTGGAGTTCCCGAGCTAATTTAAACATGGATAGAAAAATCGCGTATGTATAGCACAAAAATTGTAAGTATTCTTCGAATTTATAAAAAAAAAATGAAATATCACAGCGAAGTTTGTATTGCAATATAAGAAAGTTTCTTTTTTTATTATTAAATTTAAATAAAATCACTTTCTCTCTCTCTCTCGCTCTCTTTCTCTCTCATGTTTCTCTTTCTGTCTATTTTCTACACACGCGTCTGTGTGCGTGTTTTATAAAACAACAACAACAACAACAACAACAAACAAAACTGATCCATCAAATGCCCAGCGCGATGGGCCAATTGAAGCTGCTACCGCTGAGCAGCATGTCCCTGATGAGAGTCTCGATCGGGGTCTTGCCGACCAGTCGCACGAAGAACAGCTTCTCGATGACCCGCGACGGCACCGTCCTGAGCGAGGGCAGCCTCAGCAGCAGCTTGCCGAACCTCGTCGGCTGGTTCGGATACTGTATGCGGCAGTACTCCTCCAGGGCGCTTTGGCACTTCTCTTGGAAATTCTCGATGTGCACCATGTCGGACAGGCCGCAAGCGTCTGAGATTTACAGAAAAAATAATAATTAGCATTTTATCGAACAACGAAACAGGGGATCGATCGACTCACCCGAAGTGAAGAGAACGATGGCCTTGAGGCAGCTGTACTCGGCCAGATCCACCTGGAGCGTCTTCAACTTCTCCACCTGCTCCTGAAATATCCTTATGTGATCCATGAACGCGACCACGCGATCGGCGGCCATGGGCGAGACGTCGAGGCCCGCCGCCGCTAAGATCGAGTCGACGTGCAGCGGCATCGACCACTGACTCGCATTGAGGACGAACAGCTCGCTCCAGACCAGAGTCAACAGCGCCACCTGATCGGTGATGTTCAGCTCCGAGAAGAAGCTGATGTTCTTGGCCCACTCGACGGCCGAGAAGAGCAGACGGGCGGCGATCTCGCTGATGTTGTCGATGGCCGTGAGGCTCGTCGACTGCTGCATGCAGTGGCTGAAGCGCGTCTCGGAGTACGGCTCGGCGCGCAGCAGCAGACTGATGTGCGACGAGTAATACACGTGGGTATTGTTGGCGTGGCCGCACGACATGGCCGGGTCCAGGCCGCCGGCGCCGACGCCTCCCATGCCACCGACGGAGTTGATCCCGGCGGCTGCTGCGGTGGCGGCTGCGGCTGCCGCTGCCGCCGCGGCCCCGCCGAGTCCGCCGTTCTCCATCGGGAAGCGATCGCTCATCGACAGGCTCATCTGGCCCGGAGGTACTCGTCCTCTTTGTACGGCTGAAAATGAAAGGCACGCTGTTATCGATGGGTACGGTACATGAGAAATGAGTAATTATCGGTATATACGTACCCTCTTTACGCATGCCCATTTTGAAGCACTTCCTCAGCCGGCAGAACTGGCATTGGTTTCTGTGGTGCTGGTCTATCGCGCAGCTACGATTGCTACGGCACGAGTAGGTGAGGTTTCTCCTGACGCTCCTCTTGAAGAAACTCTTGCATCCTGAGGATCATGGAACAATACATTTACATTCATCGTTTTGCTCTTAATCGATCGACATCGATCTCGTGAGTTTCGAAAAAGATCGGTATTGACCGATCGAGATCGAGGTAGTCATGTATTCTTCTTTTTATTTTTTTTTGCGATTATATTATTGTCTCGCGCGTTTACGAAGCCTTGAAACGTATACGCATAGTATTTTCTTTTTTTCCATTCTTCGGCCGGAAAAAGCGAAGTTCCGAGACGTACAGACACGAGTACATTAGAAACATATACAACAGAGCCCATAATGATCGGCCATTCGTAAGCAGAAGCGTAAACGATTCTCTCTCTCTCTCTCTCTCTCTCTCTCTCTCTCTCTCTCTTGCTGGCTCTGGCTCGCTCTCATTAGCAATTAAAATTTCGCTGTACTACTCCGCCACTGCCGCGCTTACATTATATACGGAGAATACGCGCCACCGCGTGCGCGCGCCCGCGCGAGCGACGATAATAAGCCCATTTCAATTTCGGGATTTATTATTCCGGCTTTGCTCGCCCCGCGTGTTCACAATATTATTTCTTCTTCTTCTTCTTCTTTTTTTTTTTTTGCCTTTTGCCAATGTTTCCGAATCGCGTCGAGCGCGCGATAACGTAAAACGAGCTTACGCACGCCCGTCTTTCGGAACTTTTAGAGCGTATTATATATACGGTTTTACGTAAGATTTCTTCGGCAAAAACTATTTCAATCTCGCTTTATCAGCTCGAGAGAGATGCTGCTGTGCGCGGCTTCATTTACAAGAAAATAAAACGCGATAACGCGACGACGACGACGAGCTCCCGGCAACGTACATACGAATCAACAAATCGTTATAATGCCAAACGATTCTACTTTTTTTTTATAATCGCCTCCTCTCGTATTTTGGACGTACGATATAATGTTTAATTACGGATAGAAAAAAAAGAGAAAATTATTGATCATTGTAATTGCACCTTCACAAGTGAACTGTCCATAGTGCTTGCCGCTGCTCTTGTCGCCGCAAACGACGCACTCGATGTTCACCGTCTTCTCCACTTGGATCTTCTCGGTCTGATTGTAGCAATTATTATTGTTGTGCTGCGCGGCTCCGTCCGACGGTGACGACTGATCGCTGCTGTTGTTGTTGTTGTTGTTGTTTTGATTATTTTGGCTGTTGATATTGTTGTTGCTGGTGCCGTTTTTGACGATCTCCCCCTGCTGATGATGATGATGATGATGATGCTGTTGCTGCTGCTGCTGCTGCTGATGATGGTGATGCTGCTGCAGAAGATCGCGGGATATCGATATGGACGAAGTGACTAGACACGTAATATCTTTCGTGACCGTATACGTAGACGATTGTGTCGATGTCATTGACCCACAAATAATTATAACTTATACTACGGGCAGCAAACTGCAAAAAAGATGCGAGAGTATGACCACACATACACACACACACGAATACAGATACAAACACGCGCACACACTGACTGCGATTCTTCCTTTTTTTTTCTTCGAGTAATCGTTCACGATTGTTCTGCCATAAGTTCGAGAGTTTTTTGTTTTTTTTTTCTTTCGGAACTTGCTGCTATTAATCACATTATTATTCACATGCACATTTGTATAATATAAAGTGGAACTTGGATCGCTGCTGCACTACGGCCACTAATACTCGATTATTCGCACGAAGATATACACGATCGTCTCATCGTCACATAATAATTTTATTTCAATACAATATTCATTGAAATTTATGTATTATTTCAGCAACAAGTTTCAGCGAGATCGCAACGACACAGGCACACAATTCACACGCGTAGGCACTTTCTGTCCAAAGGAACATTTAAAATTATAACGAAAAGATAGAAAATTAAGATTACGTTGAAAAAGCCACAGCAACAACAAAAAAAACGAAAAAAAAAAATTGTAATTTAAAAAGTTCGCCGATGCTGAATTACATATTTAAAAGAAAAGAAAAAGAAGAAGAAGAAAAAAACATAAATTGTTCTCGCAGTTTATTTTTAGTATATAATACACGAGTTGCCTCTAATGAGCAAAATATGTTGTCTTGATACTGTCTAAATATGCACTGAAAAACTATTCGACCTTTGAACTTGCATCGCTCTCTTCGTTAAAACTTGTTTCTATGGTAACTATTGGTGGGGACAATGATTAGTCCAAGTCTTATTCTTCGCCTTTCGCGCTCGGACACGCACACATGCCTACATATTTCTCGCTGATTATACATTCATTACCGAAACTGTATCAAATGTTTCTTTTTATTTTATTTTTTTTCTTGCTTCGAGAATTTGTCGTATTCGAAGATTTTTTTTCTCTCTCTTACCGATTACGAAATGATAATTGATTCTTTTTTTTCGGCTGCGTAAAATAAGAGTTGAAAATTCATCGAAAAAGCTAGCGATCTTAGCAATTTATTTTTTACAATCGCGTGAATTTTTGTAATTTTTTTAAAAAGATAATCTAACGTAAAATTAAAAAAAAAATCGTTGCATTCGGATTTCAAAACGCAACGTGAGCTTATAAATACATTTTGTAATTCGATAAAGCATAATGTTCATAACTGACGTTTCGAATAATCTGCCGATTTTGGGGAGGAAAATTCGCATAATCAAAATTACTATTCTGCAGAAGATCGTAGCCCTAGATCTCCAGAAATTTTTCAATTTCATCAGGAACCCTCAAAGAGTTCGGTCAACTTTGTATCCTGGCCTGATTCTTATCTCGTTCTAAATGCTTACATAATAAACGAGCGTCAGGTCAGAATAACGAGAATGAAAGGCCCGGGGACTTTTTGAATAAGCGCGAGTTGACGATTTTCCGCGCTTTTCAATTCTTTTTCAACGGAGCTGCATATTTTCGAAAAAGTTAACTCATGTATAAGTTTCATTTGAATGAACTTTTCAACCAAAATGACGATGATTTTTTCAGGAAAAAAATGTAAAAAAGTATAAATTATGACAATCAATCAACAGGGGGAGAGGAATGTAATTATTTCCGTTAATGATAAACAATAAAATAATTAAAAATTCTTTTGTATTCATTTCCAGGTTATTGAAATAATGTTCAAACTTTACATTCATTTTACTTTAAGAGATGAATTATTATGAATAAAAATGAAAAATATTTTTAATTAATAATCAAGAGAAAAAATTAAAGTTGTTCATACGTGTAGCACACGTGTTCAAAAGTGACATTCATTTCATTTCAAAAAATTGAGGGCAGCACGTGTTATAAAATTTACAATTAATTTTACACAATATGCATCGCTTAGCCAAAGCCCGTATCGCTGCCAGCTGCGCGAGCAATTCGACTTCCGGGAGCTTCGTAATGCATCGTTATTTTTAAGTAATAATAATCGGGGGCTTTATGTTGGCGAAATTCATTGAATGGAATGCGCGAGTCGGATTCATTCAATTTTCCGCTCGGCCATCGTATATGACATATTATAATAGCGTCGTCGTGTGCAAGCAGCAGCGCAAATTCGCTGCATCCGAGCGACATCTAACGGTCGTCGAGCGATAGAATTTCTGCCCATGTGTGCAGCATTCTGCGATCATATTAGCAGCGAGCCTTACACGTTCGAACGTACGCGGTCTTTAAACTCTACCTTGAAAGTCATACAGTCGGCTAGCGTGTATATAAGCAACTCCAGCAAGTTGTTTTAGGTTAAAGCGTTGGGTACCAGTTGTGCCCCACAGAATACACAAAAATAAGGGCAATATTTAACGTAAAATTTACCCTTAAAAACAACTCGTGCGATCGAACCGCGGCGTTCAATCAGCCTGATTATTTGTGAGGTTTTGTTGTAAATGCACAGTGTAAAAATGTGTTGAGTTAAAATGTCATAGCAGCTAATCACAAATAATCAGAATGGAAACTAAGAAGAAGTTATTTACATCTACCTTAATAGAATATCAAGATGATCTTGAAGATGTAAGTAATCGTTCATTAAAGACATTTGCTTATAAGTCTTTAAACGTACATGTAAATGAGTGGATCAATAGGATTGTAGGACTCATCGTAACAGTTTGATATGATACGTAACAAGAATTCTTGCTTGAATTCACTTTTACAGTTTGTTTTTATATTCAAATTTGATTAAAATACTTACTACTGTTTACTATTTAATAATTTCTTTTTATAATAACTGTTCATACAAATTTATTGTACTTTTCTATTTTTATATTATTATTCATTTCACTTTTCTTTCATAAAAGTTTGCTCAAATAGTAAGTTTGAAAATATCAAGTTTTAGTTTGAACAATTATTTATTATATTTAGATTTCAAAATAACTTAAATTTTCCTTTAATCATTATTTAATATCTTATTAATTGGTTTTCAAATTAGTACTTTAAAATCATCCAATATCTTCAATCTTAAAAAATAAGTTCTCTTTTTAAAGTAAAATGTCAAACATATCTGAATCAATTAGCCACTTTTTGATGAGTCTAAAGGATTTTTAAACAATTGGATTTTTAATATTTTTATAAGTATTTAGTACCATTCAAATTCATCAAAAAAGTCAAACTTGAATTAAACTATCATAACTCATGAATCATTTTAAACTTGTTACAGAGACTGTTGCACTGCGCCAGTGTTGTGCACAACTTGTCTAACGGACTATCGGATACAGAAAGACACGACGCCTACAATAAACGGGGATGCTCGGATACAAATCACGAGGAAGTATGCCTCGGTCTGCTCATGAACATCCTGACGGACCAGCCGGAGGCAATCAAGTCCTACAAAGATCTGACGTTCCTCAGTCGAGACGGTTTTGCGATCGTGGTCAGCACTCTCAATGCGATCGTACTGGACAAGTACGGAAAACTGACAGACGACTCCAGGAACCAGGTGCTTTGGCTCGTCCGAGAGATGATCAGGAGCAAAGTGGTCGGGGTCGAGCTTGTGTGCTCGAATCTGTTGCGTCACGCGGCCGGCGGCGATATCTCGCCCAAGAACATTTACTTGATCGAGTCGCTGCTCAACATCTTTCAGGAGCAAAGAACCTGGCTGGAGCAGACCTCGCACATGATACCGCTGGTTGTATATACGTATCTTCGTCTACTCGAGGATCACGCGTGTAACAGTGCTTTGGTCGCTCTTAAAAATAAAGAAGTTAATTTTATTGTCACCCTGATCAGGGAAAGGTTTAGCGACTGTTTGGTTATTGGAAGGTAATGACTTTGTACTTGAGCACGTGGTATTCACACAAATTTATTGTCAACTTATTTACAATTCATATTTTTTGTCCCTGCAGAGATTTTATTAGATTATTACAAAACGTCGCTCGAATACCTGAAATCGAGCAGGTCTGGAAGGACTTGCTGCACAATCCAGCGTCGCTGATGTCTAATTTCACGGGTGTGCTACAAATCCTAACGACGCGAACTTCCAGACGATTTTTGCAATCTCGACTCACGCCCGACATGGAGAAGAAGCTTGCCTTTCTTACAGGTTCCGTGCGTTTCGGCAATCACAAGAAGTATCAGGACTGGTTTCAACGTCAGTATCTCTCGACGGCTGAGTCGCAAACGCTGAGGAGCGACCTGATCAGATTCATCATCGGGGTCATTCACCCGTCCAACGAGCTGCTCTGCTCGGACATCATTCCGCGCTGGGCCGTTCTGGGCTGGCTATTTACTACTTGCACGTCGGCGTGTGCCATGAGCAACGCCAAACTCGCTCTGTTCTACGACTGGCTGTTTTTCGACCCCGAAAAGGACAACATTATGAACATAGAGCCGGCGATATTGTTGATGCACAACTCGATGAAACCACATCCTGCTATAACGGCGACGACGCTTGATTTCTTGTGCAAGGTAAGCAACACGATAAAATTTTTGAAACTGTTCCATGTACTTAAATGTAATAATTTAAAATTTTTAGATAATACCGAATTTTTATCCACCTTATGAGGAAAGAATAAAATTAGGTATATACACGTCGCTGAGACATATTTTGGATAAGAAGGTTTTGCCAACCTTACACCCACTATTTGACAGTCCGAAATTGGATCAAGAATTACGAATAACCATCAGAGAAAGGTTTAAGGAGTTTTGCCTACCGAGCACTGTAGAATATGGTATGCTTAAGCGATTGAAAAATTAACTTTTAAGAACGATTGAGGAAACAATTTTTTTATTTTAAAATTTTTCACTCCAATAGATCGTCAGGATGTCGCACCTAGAGAAACAAATAATCGCATTCAACACGCACAGTCTCCGGAATCACATGTAGACGTTTATTTCGACAACGTAAGTCCACCTGTATCCGCAGACTATTCGTCATTGAATGAAAATAAAAGGTACGCGAAATATCAGTCTATAACAATTTTTTTGTAGCAAGGTAGAAAACATATTGGATTACATCTATTGAACGTTGCTCTCATATTATTTTTAGAAAAAGCGATCATACGTTTGAAGACGGCGAGACGAATAAATCCAAAAACTTCCATGAAGATTCGGTAAAAAAAGAAGAAACTTCGAGCGAATTATCCTCGTTAGAAAGCTCAGAGTTGAAAGATACATTAGAAGAATTACAAAAGGAAGTTGACAAGGAAAGAAAGTGTCAGCTCATGGAAAAAATTGTACAAATCATATTAGAGGATGACTTAGATCCCGAAACAATAAACGTATTGGCAACATGCCTCACGAATTTCCTATCCGACCAAATAAAAGACGATAACTTATATCCTCCAAAGGATCCGGATGCCGAAGATGCACTTATAGACAGTATAAGTATACCCTTATTTATTATGTTTAGGAATCAGTATCAACTTCGTAAAGATGACGATGATCGTAGCCGACTCCTTATGACAGTTATAGTTGAAATGTATACGATTCAACCCAGAATTGGATACCTCTTACTGTACTTCCTAAAAGTTTATGGATTGGAGGTTGAAAAAAGTGAAAATGATTCCAGGTAAGCACAAGCGATTTGCAACATTTGAAATTCACAGATTCGAAAAGGAAGTTATGCACTATGCTACCTGACATAACTATATAGTAGCGTAAATTAAAAGTAATTCCCACTAATTTTTATCTGCAAAATTTTTACTCGAAATTCAGACAAAATTTATTCAGCCTCGATAAAAAAATGTTCATACCAGCGGCCAGAAAGTGACTACTTCTCGGCCGCTGCGCAAAACGAGAAGAGCTACTTTCGGGCTTCCTTTTTTCCCGGTATAGTTCAGTATACGATTTTACATACCCCGGGCCCGAAAATAGCAATATCCCGTTTAGCGCAGAGGCCGGGAAATTCTACTTTCGGGCCGCTGGTATGTAAAATAGTATACAGGCCTATGCCGCGAAAAAAGAAAGCCCCAGAGCACGTGTTTATCGGCCTCGGCTTCGCCTCGGACACTAATTGCACGTACTCTGGGACTTTTTTGTTTTTCGCGGCCTAGGGCAGTAATATACTATTTTTTTATATTCACTTATTTTATTTTTCTAAATCTTTTAATATTATATTTTGTTATATATTTTTCAATGGTTATTTAATTATGATTTTCTAAATTATTCCTCGTTTTTCGCTGGTTTCAAAAATGGTATCAGAAATTTTGAATATTTACTATTCTCATTTCCCAGTTCCGTTAAAATAAATGGAAAATAAATTATAATTGCAATAAAAAAATATCAAATTTTAATTCGCGACCAAACTAGTCTTTATTTGAAGACGAAGTTTTTCGGAAATTGATAACGCTACCATGTTTTTATACAAAATATATATAGACACTCGCAGCCGACATTAATATGATGCAGATGCGTGCCACACCCCGATGTCTGCGCATCTCGGAGTGCTAACTTTTCATATCTACATAGGAGACTACTTACTTCTTGTATATAGGGACGCTGGGAGGAATGAGCCTTCTTAAAAGAAAAAGAAAATTGCGAGAAAAGAGAGGCATACAGCGCTCGTAGCTAGACTACGGCCAGCCCTTATTTCCGATCAATCTTTTAAGATGAATGAAACGAGAATATGAAAATGCCAAGAATAACAATGAATTGATTCGTTTTTAATGGAATTTAATCGATTTTTTTCTCTCTTTCAGTACAATTATAAACTCTGTAAAAACGAACGTGTACAAAGATTTTTGCGCTCAGAGGGACGACGAGTTTAAAATTTGTTTAATGTCAGATTTAAAAGTGAGTATTTGCCGAGAACGAATTGAATTCTCTTTTTTTACGTAAATCAACTTTTTCTTATCTCCCTTCGTTCCAGCTATGTCATAGGGACAACGTCCTGCTACTTTGTTACCTCATTACCGACGTTTATGCGCTATTCGAGAGCATTGCCGTGGGAAATGTGGACATTTTTCATCTGGTGGCGCAGTCAATCGATCCCAACCAATTACAGGACATCGTTTACCAAATTATGCAGAGTCGCCTGAAAATGTTGAAGAAAGAGTCGATTCAAGATTTTATCGAAAAAACCTTAGAGTGGGAGAGTTTCGGGCAGTTTTGCTTCTGGCAGATATTTTTCGTGCACAATATCCGTTTGGAATCAATATTACCAATTGTAACGAGATTAAATACAACGGATCACGCAGAAGCTTTGACATCAATCATGTTTCTGTTGAAGCACGAAAAGTAAGAACTCATATTTTTGAAGCGCAGAATTTTCATTAATTTTCAAAGTAATGATTTGTACACTTTCGAAAATAGTATAAAATTATTTATGATTATTTCTGAAAAAATATTGTAGATATTATTTAAAATTATGTATGCAAATTTTATAGCTTATATTGTGAATCACAATTAATAATCATTTTTCTTTTTTCAAGGCCTACCGACAAAATCCTGGAATTCTTGTTGTGTAGGGATTGCAATGACGAGGAGGAGGAGGATACGTTCGTTATTAGTATTTTAAAATATTGGATAAAAGAGTACGAGCAGGAGATGACCGAGCTTCTGGCTACATTTTTGACCTCTCGATTTCCTTCGAAACGGAAGCGTTCAGGCGGGAAACAGTACAAAGTTCCGAAAGAGTTGCTCTTAATGCACTTGAATCAGCTACGCAAAAACTGCATCGATACATCCGAACTGGAGCTATTTAACTCAAATGCCATGCAAAATGGACTACAAATGGCGGCAGCTGGAAGTAACGATAATACGAAGAAATGTTACAGTGATTTGTTCGCGATGGTTGAAACCAACGCTGAGCCAACAACAACGTCAACAACCACAAAAACCACTAACAATGCTAAAAAACCCCCACCAAGTTCAAATAATAATTCACACAAGGGAAGTAAAAGAATAGCGCATAATTCGAAAGATAGAGTTGCTAAAAGACCCAAGAAAGATGAAAGCGACGTTGAAAGCGACGAAGTAAGTAGAAGCAATTAAAAATATAGTGAAAGTTTTGTAACAATTTTTATTAATAAAATAAAATATTAATTTTCAGAGCATTGAATTGTTAAAGCCTAAGCGAGTGAAGAAGCAAAAAAAAATCCTTGAATCTGACTCGGAATAACTGATCAACGGAATATTCCTATATTTTTCGTAGCAGATTGCTCGGAAACTTTTAATCAAGCATTATGTTCTTAAATTTGTAAAAGTTAACCTACGAAGGTATAAACTATTTTTTTAAAAACAAAAAAAATTTCTGAAAATGTCTTATAAAATATAAATGTAAACGAATGCTAAGATATGACGACATTCACGCTCAGTGAAAGCGTATGAAAATATTGATGAAAAATATTTTTTGACGTCATTGTAAAAATTTAGTAATCTCTATGGACATAATTCTGTTGTGAAAATTTCGATTTTTTTATTAAGACTTTTTACTAGTCTTGAAAATTGCATTTACAAAATGATAATTTTGAAAAATTTCGATTTTTAATAATGCCACTGTAAAAATCTCAACTAAAATCATGAAAGTTTTAAGGTATTAACAGTTTTTGATGCAGAGAGATGATTTGAGGAGCTAGACGCACTTGAATAAATTGTATCATTCGTAGATCTTAAGAGAAAATTCGCCTGTTAAATTTCGCACCATGTGCTATTGTTTGTTACTTACCTCAAGTAAATTAAATACTTTTATGAGAATTTAAAGCTAGTTTAAGAAGAACATGTAAGAAAACGATAAATTATATTTTTACCTGTAATTAACTATGAAATGGAGCACTGAGTTGTTCGTTGAAATCAACCATAATCATTCAGAAAATAAAAAAAAATTAACTAAAATATGTTAACGATTTGATCAATTATATCTATCCTGATTCCTAACGATCACAAAAAATCCATGAGATATTTTTTCAATATGAATTTTATAGTTTCTTTAGTTTATAACTTGAAATTTATTTTACTTCAAATCAAGATGAAAGATGGATAAATTATATTAATAGTAGACCAGACTTTTGAGTGTAAAAATGAGAATCTTTTCGAAAATATGTGAAGATGTCATAAAACAATGATTATGGCTCGAGAACCTTTCCATTTTTATAAACTCCCAAGAAATCATACAAAGTAAGTGTTTCCAATCCTTTTCAACCATTTTGATTGATCAGCCATCTTGAGAGTGTGCATCGGTAGCGCTAGCATTTCACGGAAGCTCCATTTTGATAACCGGAAAGCCACGTGAATTTTAAATTTTGTTTGCATGCAAATGATTGTCATAGTAAGCAACATTTATAATTTATAATATTATTTATTAAAATTAGAAATAATTGACTCATGATTACTTAAAAACGGAGTTATATTTCCTAGTATATAAACATGAACATGCGAGGTATGTAGAGTGATCTTTATAAATAGTTACGTTAGGAAAACTGTATAAAACGAAGATCACATACTCTTTATACTTACAATATTTTTGGATTCTTAATATTTGAACAAAAAATATGCTAGTATGCCTTGATCGATGAGATTTGCATAAATTGATTAAAATACAGTCTATAGATTGTTCATTTTCCATACATAATTTGAAAAAGTTCAAATCGAAGAATCGAATCGTTAAACATGATTGATTATCAAATAAAGGAATGATATAACTAAAAATATGAATATATATAGTCTTCACTGTACATAAAAACATAATTTGGACATTGTGTTCAATAAAATATCATTGTATAATACAAATGAAATCATTTCATCCGTCTTAATATTCAGGAATCAGACATTTCTTTTCTTATTTATCGTATTTTTCGTTTTTGAACTATTCTTTTACTACTTCGTTTTTATCAATTTCAATAGTTCTTATATTATAATAGTCATTTGAATAGGAACTTTCAGTATTGCCTAGCACTGGATATAATATTCGCGCGCTACATAAAGATATTTTTGAACCTACGTAGTTAAATCGCAGTTTCTTATGGCCCTTTTACCATTATCACACGGACCATTTTTAAAATATGTTTACAAGTGACCTACATTAGTACAACATATAAATTAATTTTCACGCTATCATGATTTTCAAATATAGTAAATTTCACCTTTATTTTTGTCGTGTTTTGCAAAAAAATTGATTATCAAATTCACTACGTTTATTAGTAATTTTTTTTCCATTTTTTTTCCATTATGTCAATTAATATCTTAATTCGCTTACATAATTTTTATTTTTTAATTTTTTCATTAAATATTCTTTTTTTTGAATCATGATAGCATGAGTTTAGGAATCTAAAAGGTCGCCTAAGCACTCTCTACCGGTTGTGGTGATAGTGTTAGAGTCGACGTTTCCCGTATGTTGCTGTTGCGGCTGCTGCTGCGACTGAAACATTGCAGTGGGATGAAGGAACAACGATCCGTACATGAAATTTTCTTCAGTCTGTGGGCGAACGCCATGCAAGTTATTATTCGTAGTATTGTTCGCGCCACCACTACTCATAATGGTATTATTCTCTCGCGTTATGGGAGCCCCGGGTGTCGGCGGTATGAGGGTGCCGTCGTTCACGGCCTGTCTCACCGATTCAATATGCTGATGAGAAAATATATGCTCTTGTAATGGCAACTTCGAAGAATAATGTATAGAACACAGTTTACACTCTTCTGGGCCAGTCAGACTACGGTGTATGAGAATACCATCGGCTGATAATCCTGCGGCCAATCTGGCTTTCTTCTCTTTTGCACGTGCATTTTGGAACCAAACCTGAAATCACGCATTAGATAGCCGATTACTTCCCTCGTGTTTATATTCTCTATCTCTCTTTTTTTGATCGTCGTCGTCCGGGCGCGGACTCGTCTTATTGCTCGGCCGTTTGAAACTGCGAAAACACAGTAAAAATGGTGTTCGGACTTGTAAAGTGTATGATGAAGTCAATTTGCACATGGTTAGTATTTTGGATGAACCAAATAAAAAAAATTGAAAAAATATAATTGAGTTTAATAACCGATCCAAATACCGCGACATTATTATCATTAAAATTTTTCAATTGTAAGTGCAAAAAAACAAGAGAAAAAAATTATCAATGATTCGAATTTGGTTAAGAATGAGCTTCGATTTGGGGCCTTTGAGTTTTAAGTTACGAGTTTAAAATTGATATTGAAAATTACCTGAACCACTCTTTTCGGTAGGGCGATCTCCTTTCCAAGCACTTCGCATTCGGACATAGTCGGTGTTTTGTAGTCGGAGAACAAGGACTTCATAACTTTCACTTGTGTTGTCGTCATTTGGGTTCTGTATCGCTTGTTATTGCCTTGGGACATGCTGTTGTTGCCGGAGTACATGACGACATTATTGCCAGTGCCACCGCCACCGCTTCCGCCGCTACCATTGCCACCGCTGCCGCCACCGCCACCGCCGCTGATGGCCTGCTTGAAATTCTGCGGACTGATGGGGCAGTCGTCGTCGATGAAGTCGGTGATCTCGCTCATGTTGTCGTCGTCGCCGCACAAGCTCTTCTCCGAGCACTCGCCCGTGGCCTGGCAGGCCTCGGCGTTCAATCTGATCGCCTGCAAGTGATTGACCGCGGCCTCGTTGAACAGGCCCTGGCTAAGATCGATCTTGCCACCGAGCATCGGCTTGCTGAGATCGAGCGGCGACTCGTTGCCGGTGGTGAAAAAATTCGAGGAGCTCTCCGGCTGCTTGTTCTTGCTGTTGCTCGAGTTGATTTGCAATTCGTTGATGTAACGCTTCATCGACTCCTCGTAATACTTCTTGAGAGAAGCCTCGACCTCGGCTTGGCCGGTGAACAGGGGTGACATGATGTTCGGGGTGCTAGAATTCGACGGCGAAGATTCGAGCGACAACTCCTCGTCGGGAATGTTGTCGATGTTGATCTCGATTTTGCCCATGTGGTCGGCGTGCTTGCTATTCAAATGGGACTCGAGGGCCGACTTGACCTTAAACAGGGCTGGACAGAAGGGGCATCGTTTGTTGATCACCTGACTGTGGGCACGAAACTGTCCCTTGCGCTCGCGCGCGCGCGTGTTCTGAAACCAGACCTGCACGACGCGCTTTTTCAGGCCCACCTCCTTGGCTATCGTCTCGAGCATCTTGCGCGACGGATTCGACTCGATCTGGTACTTCTGATAAAGATAATCCAACTGCTCCGGCAGTATAGTTGTGCGCAAGCGCTTGTCCTTCGGCTGCTCGCTCTGCTCCTGGCTCATCTTGTCCGAGGACTGCATGTCCTCGAAATCATCGTAGGAACGTTTTTTGTCTTTCATTATGGTCGGCAGGAGATTTGGAAGATCGTTCGACACGCTGCCGGTGCCCTTAAACGCCTGCTGCTGTAATATGCCGAAGGCCGACTCGGGCGAGTAATTGGACGAGAACAGCGTGGGGTTCATGATGTGCACGAGCTGATGTTCGCGCCAGAGCTCGAAGCGACTAAAGACCAGGTTACACTTTTCGCACTGAAAGTCATCGCTTTTCATATCGGATTGCATGCAGGGGAGATTGAGATTGGGCGGCTGCGAGGTATTATGCTGTGACATGGAAATTTGATTAGGATTCACGGACGACTCGGACATGGTGGACGTGTTCATGGACACCGATAGTAGCGTGTTACTCGTCGTGTTGGAGCTGCTGTTGCTGTCCTCGGAGCTCAGCACGGCGGCGATCTGCGCGGCCGCCGCCTGCGCCTGGGCGCTGCGCTTCGCGTCCTCCTCCTTGAAGCAGTGCGTCTTCTGATGGCGAATGAGCTCGTAGTAACGCTGGAAGACCAGCAGACACTTTTTGCACTGATAATTCAGGCCCGGGGTGCGCTGAAAGCGGCCGGTGTTGTCCTCGGCCTCGCCGCGGCCGCCTGTCACCACGGGCTCGGCCAGCGGCTGATTCTCGTACACCTTGCGCGCCTTCTGACGAGCATTCTGAAACCAGACGACGATGACTCGCGGGCTCAAGCCCAGCAATTTGCTCAGATACTCGAGATCGTCGTCCTTTGGATAGGCGTTATTCTCGAAAAATTCTTGAAGTACCTTGATCTGATAGTCGGTGAATCTGGTCCTGTTGGCTCGCTTCCCCGAATTCGAGGAGTTCGCGTTGTTGGAGTTGCTACCGTTGCCGCTCATCGAGTAATCGGACAATCTTGTCGGACTGTTGCACTGCTGGTTCTGCATGCTGCCCGACGACGTCACGGACAGATTAGCGATGGACTGAAAGCTCTGCACGGAATTCTGCGAGGTCGACTTGGGCGGCAGCATGGACGAGGCGTCCATGTTCATCGAGCCGAGCGTCGCCGCTGACGGCGCGTCCTGATTCGGCGAGGTGAATATGGACGCGGGCGACTGCGGCCGTGACTGCTGCTCGCCGGAGCTCTCGCCCGAGTGGCGGGCGTCCTCCTGCATCTGCTGCATCAGATTCTGGCCCATGAACATTTGCTTGCTCAACTCCTGCTGGATCATCTGGCTCTGGGCGGCCATGAGCTGCGAGGCCGCGTCGTTGCTGATCTTTTCCTCGTTCTTCTCGTCCATGCTCTTGTTGCTCGAGATGTTGCCGAGTGACGTGACTTTGGCTTCTCCGGTCTTTTCGTACTCCTCCAGATTCAGGGTGGTACTGGGTGGATTGTTGAAGTTGTATGGACTGTCTTTGTTTCTCTGTCGCTCTTTGAACAGTGTATTGCGGAACCAGTGTTTGATGACTTTCGGAGGCAAGCCACTCTGGGAGGCCATCTCTGTTATTTGCTCTTCACCGGGTGAATTGTTAATGTCAAAGTGTGCTCTTAGAATTTTCAATTGATCGTCCGTGATTCTTGTACGAGCCCGTTTTTGTGACGAAACAGCGTTTGTCTGAAAAAAGAAAAAAAGGAACCATTGCAATAAAACGTAAAACTCGTAAACCAAAATAATTTAGAAGGCTCAAGAGCGAATATACTTACAGCTGCAGCTGCAGCCTGTTGTTGCTGTTGACACAGGGCTATGTTCTGCTTGGCGAGCAGCTCGTTTTGTGCGTCAATCGACTGATAAGTACTGTTATTCCCGTCGAATTGCGACGGCAGCATGACCGGCACCAGCGGCGGTTGAAGATTCATGGCCGCGATGGCGGGCACGTTGAGACCCAGCGGCAGGCCCATCATGCTCATGATCAAGCTCGGATATTGATGGAGCTGATGTTGGAATTGAGTGGCGGCCATCGCGCTCAGCGCGACCTGCATCTCGGTCATGTGCTGCGCCAATAATTGCTGCTGTTGCTGTTGACTTTGTTGGCTATGTTGCTGCTGTTGTTGCTGCTGATAGAGATTTTGCACATTGGACTGGATTGTCGCTGCCGTGGAGTCGGTGCTCGATACGGGGGTGCTGCTCAACACCGGCGTCGAGGCCGAAGTGGTCGGTGTCGTCGTTGTCGGAGTCGTCGAGCTCGGTTCGGTGGCCTTGTTGTTATCCTTATTGTTTTCAGTGGTATTGTTCTTTTCCTTCGACTCGTTCGTATTGTTGTTTTCGTTCTGCAGCGACGACGAGTTCATCTGGGATGATGGTGTGGTGTTGACCGGTCCCGAATTAGTAGATGACGACGTGGCAGCCGTCACAACGACCACTTTCTTCTCGTATTCGTACTTGAATTGTTGAGCATACTTTTCCAAAAATTCCTGAGGAACGACGTCTTTGTGCACCTCCTCGCAATGAGCCTTCAGTACCCAGACGCTGCTGAATTCTTTGCTACAATGCTGACACTTGCTCTTCTTGATCTCCGGAATGATCTTTTCCTCGGCGAGCTCATCGAAGGACTGCTCGCGATCCTGCATCAGTACGCTCAAGTCGTGGCCCTGCTTACCGTTCATGGAGAACTTGGAATCGGGCGAGTAGTCCGACTCCAGGTCGTCCGCGCCGTCCTTCATTCTCTGCTTGCGCTCGTGATTCTCGTTGAACTGCATCACCAAGTCGAAGCCAAAGCTCTCCAAAAGATGCTTGTATATTTGCGAGGATTTTGGTTTTGTTTGATATGTCAAATCTTGCGACGCTAGGGTCTGCTGTAGGCTCAGTGCTTTGTCCTGCATCTCAGACGACGACACCGACGGCGAGGGCGTTTTCGGCAGGGCCAGCACCTGCTGCTGATTGCTCTGTGCAGCCAACTTCTTGAATATCGATAGCGGGCTGTTGAAGATGCAGTAGAGCTCCTGATGTTGAGTGAGCTGCTCCTGGCTGTTGAAGGAGGCGTTGCAATTGCCGCAGATATTGATGTGTCCACCGCCTTCGGCGTTCTTCTGATACACGGCCGAATTGTTGGCAAACGGCTGCTCGAGAAATTGGCGTTGCGCATCCTGTTCGAGCTTGCTCGCGCGCGTCTGATGCAGTACGCTGCGCTTGTGTATGTCGAGGGTACTGCCCTGCGAATACGACACCTTACAGATGTTGCACTTGTAAGGCTTCTTGTCCTGGTCATTCTGCTCGTCGGTCGAGTCGTTCGGGCTGAGCGGAGATACTTGAGTCATGTACGAGCCAGCGCTGTTGTTGCCCTGATCCTGCATGGCTCGTTTGAGCTTGTGCAAATGGCTGACGCTGTTGTAGTGCACCAGCAGTATGTTCTTCTGAGTAAAGCTCTCTTTGCACACATCGCACTTGTAGGGTCTGTTAGGGTCCAGATACTTCTCGATGGAGTAGGGCATCTTGTCGCCCTTGCGATGAACGATACTCTTGTTGTGGCTCGACAGATAGGACTGACGGGTGAAGGCGACCTTGCAGCGATGGCACTTATACTTGCGGCTGGGATCGCTGTAAAAGTCCTCGGCGACCGAGTGGCTATTCAAATAGTTTTCGAGCAATCGCTGCTCTTTCATCAAGGCGCTGGTGTCGTTGCCGTCGCCGTCCTCGTCATCGTTCTTCTCGTCCTCGTCTAGGTAGAGCTCGTTGGGCAGGTCGTCTTGCTGCTGCTGTTGCTGTTGGCGCAGCTGCTCTTCGCTCATGGCACGCTGGAATAGCGAGCCAGGCGACATCATCTGAGCGGCGAGGTGCTTGTTGAAGGGCGACGTCGAGGCTGCGGAGGCCAACTCGTCGTCTATGGGCATCTCTGCATGACATGTCTCGAGGTGGCGATTGAGAGATTGGATCGAGCGAAAGGACCGAAAGCAGGTGCCGCACTTGGTGGCGTCGCGTATCGCGTGATACTGGGAGTGCTGCTGCAGCTTGTCGAACGTTTTGAAAGCTAAGGAACATTGACCGCAGCGATACTTGTAGACGTGCTTCTCGCTCACGGCGAGATTGGGCACGACCGTCGCGGAGGAGTGCGCCTCGCGCTGATGCTGCTGCAGCTCCTCGGGCGTGCGGTACTCGCTCTGGCAATAATTGCACTTGAGAAAGTGCGAATCGCTGTTGATGTCGTCCGTGGCCATCATCATGTCGACGGCCTTGACGTCTTCCTCGCTGCCGCCGCCGCTCGTCTTCTGAGCCGCGCTGGCGGTCGCGGTGGGTGTGCTGCACGGCGACTCGCCTACGCCGCCGCCGCCGCCGGCGCTGCTGCTCTCGTTGCTGGTGTTGCGCGGAACGATGTTCAGCCAGTGGCTCTGATTGACCAGGGCCAGCAGACGCTGCAGCCCGTCGGTGTTGACCGAGTGGATCTGCATGACGTGCTTCTCGAGCAGCGTGCGATGCTTGAAATTGTCTTGGCACAGGGGACACACGAGCTCGGAATCGTAATTGTCTTTGTATTGACTTATGTCTTCGTTGCTGTCTTCGCGCTGGGTCATGAGGAAGTTGCGCGTAAGGTCGGCTGACGTCTGCGGCGGGAATGCGTAATTGGAGCACTTCTCGTCCTCCGTGTCGTTATCTTGGTCATTGTCATTGTCTTGCTCCATTTCTCGCTTTATATCGCTACTCCCGTCTAAGGAACTTTCGCATCTTTCTGCAATTATAATAAGGTACGAAAAAACGTTATAGGTGGACTCACATTTCGTCCGCGATCGGTTTAAGTACGAAAATAAGTTGGCTTTCACGAGAATTTGGAAATTGTAATCAAACAATAAAGTTTCGATTCAAAATAATTATTAAGTTAATATTGTGAGTTATTTGTACTAATAAAATTTTATAAAGTGTATTTTATTTAACATGCAAGTGAATTTTTCTCAGTAATGCTCTACCGGAACAGGGGCTCTAACGCGCTTCTCGATTGACACTGATATAACAACATGTCGGACGGCAGGCCAAGATGGCGGGAAATTTATCACAATGAGTTGACATTTTAAGAAAAGAAATTATATCTAAAGACACACCCAAGTCATGCTGTGCGACTGACTTACCGGTATTTTTTGGAGTGGTCTGCTGCATGTCCTCGTTGGCGTCGATGTTCATGCCGCGCGCCTCGTCCGGATCGGGCAGCACCTGAAAGATCTCGGCGATGTCCGTCTGCAGGCAGTCGGACTCCTTCATCTCGGACCTGGCCTGCAGCTGGCGTATCTGCTCCATCTGCAGATGCTTCATGGACTTGACGTGCTGGAGAAGATAGAGGCGGGACTTGGCGTTGAAGCCGCACAGCGTGCACTGATAGATCTTGGAGTTGGAGCCGACCGTGGAGCCGGCCTCGAGCAGATGCTGCAGCAGTATCGTCGAGGCCTCGTGCTTGGGCGACGAGGCGTGTAAAGCTAATTTATGAATACTATTCGTGTAATAGTCGCAGGCGTGACAGCGTATTTGTGCGGAAATGGTCGGGGCCGAGAGGTACTTGAGCTTCCATTCGTTGCGCGGTCCGCCCTCCTTGACGTGATTCAGGTGCTGGAGTCGCTGCAGGTGCTTGTCCGTCTTGCAGTGCAGCTGAAAGTTGGCCTTGAGATTGGTCTTGTACGAGCACAGCTTGCAGATGAAGTAGCCGGCGATGTTGTTGAGAATCTCGGTCTCGGGGATCTTCGTGCGGTCCTGGGTCAGATGGATGCCCAGCTCCTCGAGCGAATCCGTCTCGAACTTGTTGCAGATGCAGCACTGATAGGTGTGGCCGGGATTCGGATCCGAGGGCTCGGGCGGTGGCTCCATGCTCTCGGGCAGAATGCCGATGTCCGGATTGCCGAGGCCCGCGAGGGCGTTGAGATTGAGACTGCCGACGAGGTCGTTGCCGAGGTGCGGCAGAGTGCCACCCGTCATCAGCTGGATCAGCAGGGCCTGATTGTAGGCCATGTCGGCGAGGGCGGCCTCGGTCGGCTGGGCCGCCTTGCTGCCAAATCCACCGCTCATTATCTGATCGAATTGCTGCTGTTGAAGCTGGGCTTGAGTCGGTTGACTGGGTGACTTCTTTTGGTGCGACTGTTGTTGCTGCTGTTGTTGTTGCTGCTGCTGCTGCTGTTGTTGCTGCTGCTGCTGCTGTTGCTGCTGCTGCAACACGGAGAGCGACTGCATGTGCTTGATGTTCTGCTGCAGTATCAGCATGTGATGGGTGTGCTTCTCGCTGGTCATGTGAATACGTAAATTGCGCGCGACATTGGTCTCGTAGTTGCAGGCGTCGCAACGAAACATGGGCTTGGGTTTCATGTGATTGGCGACCTGATTGGCCATCATGGAGTTCTGCTGCTGCTGATGGCCACCGGGGGACTGCATGTGCGGCGAGTCCTGCTGCGGCGACTGGCTCATCACGTTGCTGTTGCCCTGCTGCAGCTCTTGCATGTTGTTCAAATGTTTGTCGCTTTGCATGTGTATGCTGAGATTGCCCTTGGTCGTGGTGGAGTAGTTGCAGACCTCGCAGCGATAGGGCTTGTAGCCGCAGGTGTATGTCTCGCCGCGGGCCAGGCGCGGATGGGGCTGCCCCGCGATGCAGTAGATGCACGAGGTCTCCGCCTCGGGGTGCTTCTCCTTCATGTGTATCTCCAGGGTCTCCTGGTACTTGTAGTGCCAGTTGCACTTGGGGCACTTGAGGGTCTTGCAGGAGTTGCGCGAGTGGATGCCGGTGAGCGAGCCGCTCACGGTGGGCAGCCGCGAGTTCGCCAGGATGATCTCGCACTTGGAGCACTCGATGCCCGAGGGCCGACCCTGCATGTGCTCCGGGCAGACGCCGATCGTCGTGCCGCTGATGAAGTTCGGTGGGGCGATGCTCGCGTAGCCGCTCTGCGTGGCGGCCTTCATCAGCGAGGCTTGCATCTGTTGCTGCTGCGCTTGCGAGACGGCCGTGGGCGAGTTGCCCATGACGCTCGACGCGAGCTTATCAGGAACCATTGACCACGAGGACCCGACGCCCAGGCCCTCGTTCGAATAACCTTGCTGTTGATTCTGCTTCAGTTTCTTATGATAGGAATCGTCTCTATTGGCTAAATTAGTAGTAATAGTAGTAGTAGTAGTTGCATTAATCATAGACTTATTCTGCGACGCGTGAGACTTGTTCTCGGATTCGTAAAATTTTGACTTCTTCTCGCTCTGGTCCATCGCCATGGCTGCTGCCGCTGCCATCTTCTTTGCCGATTGCTGCTGCTGCTGTTGCTGTTGTTGGAGCTGTAGCTGCTCGTTACCGTCGTTGGAGTTGGGCATCGACAAGCTCGGCTGTCTCAGCTCCTGATTGCACTGGGGTGAGACGACCGGCTCGAGGAAGCTGACGATCGCCTGCTTGTTCTTGCCGACGGGCTGTATGATGGCCGACGTGGTGGAGCCCGCGAGCGTCTTGCGCTCGTCGTCGAGCAGCGTGATCTCGTGGTCGCTTTGTGCGTGGGCGACGAAGCTCTTCGCGTGGCCGAAGCTCAGCTTGCAGATGAAACACATGAGGATGGGCTTGACCGGCACGGAAGAGGCCTTAGTGGGTGACGACGACGAGGACGACGACGACGCCGAGGCGGCAGCCGCTTGCGCCGCCGCCGCCGCCGCGGCCTGCACGTACGAGTTTCTCTCGCGATTTCTAAAGTTAATAACACGATAACTATACATAACAGGAAGTTCGGAGTTTGAGATTGGTGACGCTTTGTTGCTGGATTGCTGATTGTTCTGGCCCTGGCCGACGCCTCCGCCGCCGCCGCCGCTCAATTGGTGTGCGTAAAACCGAGATACGTAATAGGCATTGGCAATTTGTGGAATGACTAGTGAGTGTGAAATGGAAGTACCCTGGCCGTCGACGATGCAGCCGTCCGGCAAGGACTCATCCTCGCTCAACTCACTCTCCCCCTCGATAATGTAAGCTGAACCATCGGAATTATAAACTATTTTACCGTCGAACTTTTCAACATCGTTTTCGGACAATGGTTGCCCTAATTGTTGCTCAGGAACTATATTTTCTGCTTGACGCTGCTGAAGCTGCTGCTGCGGCGATTGCTGCTGCTGCTGCTTGTTGAGTATTATCGAGTCCGCGGGAACGACGCTGCTGCCGCTGGTGCTACCGCTGCCACTACTCATGGCTGTGGTCGTCTGCGTCGTCGTCGTTCCCGCAGTCGTCGTTATCGTCTGCGTCGTCGTCGCCGTCGTCGTGTCCGCCGTAGCCGTCGTCGGCGTCGACAACGCGCTGCCGCGCAGACAGAGCTCCGAACCGGGCGAGGGGCTTACGGTCAGTGGATAATTCGGATTGTTGAAGACTGTGCCCACAGCAGTCGGAGAGCTATCTCCCCGGTCTTTTTCCTCTTCCGGACTCATAGTATACACGATAATAATTGTATATAATAATTTTTTTTTCTTTCTAACTTAATTTTTAGGTTTTTTTTTTACTTTATGCTTTATTGGAAATTAAGGTGTAAATCGTGTGTCGATGTGTGTTTTTTTTTGTGTGTGAGAGAGTAGAGAGGAATGGTGTGTTGTGTTTTTGTTTGTATGATTATTTCAAAACTGAAACATCAACATTGAAGTCTGGTTGCTGCAGACATTCTGTCAATAATGCTAATGGAAAGTTTTTTCGTTATTGTACTCTTGCGACTCATTTTCGTCAACGTCGGAGGAAAGTCTGTTAGTCGTACAAGAACTTCGGGTGTTGATGCTTTATAGCAAATTTGAAGTAAGAGTAACTTTTGAAATACTGGGCTGATGATGTTGACGCTACGTCCTCTGCAACAGAAAGCAAAAAAAAGCATTTTTTTTAATCCAATTTCGATCTTCACCGAGAAACACGATTGTTCGTATGATGATGATGATGATAATAATAATGATAAATGAATGCATTTGTAAAAGAATTCTCCATTAGCACGTGACGCTAATGCCGGCCTTTTATAATCAGTATAACTCCGGACGTATTAGAGTGAATAATTTAAGGCAGGGATAAAAATGCTGTAGTGCCTACATTGCAGCTGTGAGTGTGTTTCACGTACATATAAAACCCTTGTCAACCGCAAGCGTAATATTTAATTGCGTAATTAGAGCTTCAAGCTGCTAATTCAGTCTCACACTACTTATAGAGTTCCCTCCTCCTCCCACCCGGCGCACGATATTACTTCTTGGCTTTTTCAAGTGCTGCCCCGTGCTGGCTCCATTGTTTGAAGATTGTCGCGCGAGCTCGTTTCGTAATTAAAAAAAAACGAACGTTTATAAAATTATCAACGAGTAAAATTATTAGGTGGCATTAATAATTCTCGAGATATTTTCAATTTTACATTATAGTGCAAAAAATATTTATTAACATTTACAGTTAATTAAACTGTCAGAGTATGCACACAAATTTTTCAATCATATAGACTCTCTCTCTTTCGTTCGTAGACGCGGCACGGCGTACTACGCCACTTGAGCAATTTTTTGTTGCCATGATTATCGGAGAGTCTTATATTGCCCGAGTACTATAATGTATCGATCGGTCTGCCAGCATACATATAGGTACTTTAAGATAGAAGACAACACTATTAGGACCTACCGAATCGATATGAATTCATATTTTTTTTCTTGCCGAGGGGAGAGAGAAGCAATCATTTTTTCATCAAAATAAAAAAACTGAAAAATAAAAAACGGTTAATGCAAATGATGAAACGAAAACGCACCAGTTTACGTGGAAATAAACATTTTTATTATTTTCGTGTGTGCCTTTTATACGAGTATTTACGTTTAATACTCCAGTTGAATTATGAAAATGAAAAGCAGAAGTAGTGCGTTGAACAAAGGGGGTTGGGTGGGGAGAAGAAGTGTCGACGCCATCTTTATTAACATTGACAATCAATTGAATAATTAACGATGTATATCACTTGTTTTGCGTAGCGTTGAAAAATGAATATTGTCAAGCGACTATAAACTTTTATTCATTCCAACATCGATTCGAAACGAAGGCTTCTTCTATTTAAAGTTAAATAGATCAACAATTTGAATGCGAAATTTAAAAATTAAAAATTTTCGCAGCTTATTTTTCAACGAACAAAGACGTTTTATCTTTTATTCTAATGAAATCGATAACATTCGTTTCACACCCGAGGCATTAGCCGACAATGACAGAGCGAAATTGCACATTTTTTACTAGGAAAAAAAAAGAAGAAGAAAATGGTTCAAAGTTACGCGAATTGCAAATTATAAAAGTAATCCCCCGCAACAGCGAACCGAATGATTTTTTTCTAATGAGATAGTCCGGGCGAGCGCAACGCTGCGGTATAAGGTTCAACTTAGGTTATGCGTCAGAGATTCATTATTTATTTTTCTTCGTTCTTTTTTTCTCCTTTTTGTTGCCTGCGCTCGTGCAAGTTTCAAATTAACTTTTTCAGTAATAACAAGGTAATGAGCAACTTTCGTTAGCCGATTCGTCATTAGTTAATGCGCGCATCGTGTGGCTCTTGGGTTAAAAAAACAAGTTTTCTTAACGACAAACAAAAAAAAACTCTTGTTTTATTAATTTCGTTACTATTGAAAGTAAAAAATAAAAGGTTTTGAATTTTTAAGAAATACTGTGAATAATTTACATGAGTTATAAGCATCAAATATAATGAAAAACACGGGCAAAGAACAATGAATTTTCACTCTAGTCAGAAGGAAATGAAATTAAACAGTAAACAGTAAACAACATTTTAAGTTCAAAGTTAAATTTACTTGAGCGAAACGAAGCTTTCAATAATTTCATTAAGACCGAGTTAAAAGCAAAATGTCACTCGACGAAAATAAGTTTTTTTTTCACCTTATAATCTATTCAAGCATTTAAATTATAATGACTGTAATGTGCGTCATAAAGTAGAGGTTTCACACTTTGTACACAATCTTGGAAACAAAAAAGTTTTGATTCAACAGTTATAACTACGCTTAATTGTCTTTCACGCATAATTGGAGTGAGTTATTAATTTTATAAGAAAAGTAGTTACGAAGTCAAAGGCATGAAAGTCAAACGGCTTCACGGAAAAAGGTCGCGGCGCGTGGAGTTACGACCACTATACACACAGCTTTACTTCTTTTCTTTTTTCAAGAAGCATTAATAATTATTTCGAATAAAAGATCGTACATTAATTGCATTGAAAACGCTCATTTGAATAATTCACAAGTGACTCGAAAGAAAGAAAAAGAGGGGAAAAAAGTAGGCGAACGATTTTCGTTTCGTTTTAACGTGAATGCAGAAAGTAAAGTTCGCGTGTGTGCGCAGCGCAGTTACGATTACACCGACAGGCTAATTATTCTCGTTATATGCAAAAATTCATGCAGTCGTGAATGCCTAAAATTCCAATTCGAAATGTGTTCACAATGCGCATTACACGTTGTCATTTATGACAACGCGTGCCGCTGTATAGCTGCTGCTGTTTTTTATGCGCTATCACGAGGCGACGGGGAACCACACCCAAATAGTCTATCGCTGGAAATCGAACGCGGTACAGACACACACGTACTACGAGCACACACGAACGCATAGGAGAAGACGCGACTTGTCACGATCGTTTCGAGCTAATTTGAATAGTCGACATTATTGCCATTGTTATGCCGCGTGCAGAATTAACAACATTGATTCCGATTGGATCATTATTTGCATTATGAAATAAACGAGGGAATCTGAGAAAAGCCTCTCGACTGAAATATCAGCAGCGAGTCATAACTCGAATTTATAATTTTTCATTCCTGTTTCGTATTAATTCCTGACGATTCGTCTAGTAATAATAAAATAACACCGATAACGAAATCATCATCCGGATGGCACTTGGGCGATGCCAATCGGTAATACACAAACAATAAGTCTTTTTAATCGTATGCATAATTAATGAACGAGTTTCGTTCGGCACTGATCTATAAATGTATACATCTCGCGCTAATAATAGCGCTTTGAAACATGAATTTTTCAAGAAAAAAAGAAAGAGAACGTGATTTTTTTATTATATCGATGCTCTCTGGCTATAATAGTGCTGCTGCTGCTGCTGCTGCTCGCTCGAGAGAAATATTTTCCCTTTTCTCTTTTTCAATAATTTATTCGTTCATTACTGCGCAGGAGGGTAAGAAAGAAGAAGAAGCAGCAGCAGCAGCAGCAGCAGTGGAAGAAGAAGAAGAGAAAGAAAATTCATATAATAAGAATCGACGAACGCGCAGGAGCATCAGCCAGCAGCATCGAACTGAGCGCCTACATATACCCCAAGCAGCACACATATCGAAGGAGAGAGAGAGAGGAGAGAGAGAAGAAGTACTAAAAGCTAAAGAATGAATTGGAATATAGACACACACGTACATGCGCGCACACACACATACAAATGTAAGAAGTAACACACAATGTATGTATGTGCATCGAGGTGGTGATGGTGTTGGTGGATGATGGTGGTAGTGGTGGTGGCGGTGGCGGCGATGTGTCTCTGTGTAGAGTCTATATATAATGTATAAATGCGCGCCTCGGTGTGTGCGTGTATTATACATACGATATGTACCCTAAAAGTTGGCGTTAAGAATGCTACATTAGAAAAAGACGGAAGATCGTGTGCGCCTATGTGTGCTCTCGCGCCGCGTCTTTTTTTCTCTTTTTTTGCTCTCTCGCTTACTCTCACGTGCGCGTGCAAAAGAGAGTCGCCAAATAATCAGCATCGTCGAGGTATAAATCAAAATTCGTAAACTGCTTGTATTTCTTCTTTCTTTTTGCTCTCTCTCTCTCACTCTTTCCTCTCTTTTGCTCATCATCGTCGTTAACGCAGATATATTACACACGGACATATACGCACACGGGCGCGATAATATGCGCGAAATATATGCAAGTGACCGGACAACCGATATACAGCCGCATACACGGAAAAGTTTGCGTAAAGAGTAAAAGTGCGAGAGGTAGAGCGAGAATGAGAGAAAGAAAAAAAGAGCATGTATAATATTATAAGAGCAAAAAAAAAACTCTCTCATTTTTTCTTGCACATCCGTTCTCTGTCTCTTTCATTCTCGCACTCGTCGTCGTCGTCGTCGTCGCCGCCGCGATCCGCGCGTCCTTTAGGAGAAAGAAAGAAAGAAAGAGAGAAAAGAGAAAGAAAGAGATAGAGAGGGGACTTCACTGTTCTTGTTACATTTTCTGCATTGTATATACCACTGGGTAGGCCGTGCCGCGCGCAGAGCTCTCCGGCATAAGCTTCTATATAACTGCGCGCTGCTGCGAGTTTCGTAGATTCAAAATGTATTTTCATAGGTATTTGTACGTAGAAAGTAATGGTTGAGGGTGAAAAGAAATGACGCTACACACACATTTACATTGGCATCGCGTGGTACACGAGCGCAGGCAGTGCGCCACGGCCCTGCACACATACACTCGTACACGTACACTTACATCCAGATCGGAGCAGAAAAGCAGCAGGCAGCATATGTGACGGATTGTTTAAACACCTTACAACGTCGAGCGAGAGAAAGAGAGAGAGAAAGAATGAGATGATCGCTGATTATTGGAAACTTTTGAAGATTTTGTTATGATTATAATGCGACGTCTTAGGGCTTATTGTTGGAAAAAAAACAAGAGAAAGAGAGCAAAGTATTTCGAACGTGCGTATGCGAGTGTGTGTTGTATGCATAACCTAGCAATTCGCTGTAAAGAAAAAAGAATACTGTACTGCCAGATCCACGCTAAGAAGATGCCAATACATTTCATTCAATCGCAGCAGTATTTCAATCCGAAACGCAATATCCTAAAACTAATTGCAAATATATTCGCGCAGCTGTTAAACGTCATAAACGCGCATGCAATTACCGTTGCAGTGCACGGAGCATTAGTTAGACGCGACTTTTTTAAACTGCAAAAAATCATTATTTTTTTTTAGAAAGTCTGCTCGCGAACGAGGTGTTAATGAACCAATTGAACATACGGACAGAAATGCTAAGTTACAAGAGCGAGAGAAAGATACTTCAATTTTTTTCTCTCTTTCTCTCTCTCTCTCTCTCTCTCCCTTTTCTTTCTTTTTTACATTTCCGAATAGATGCTGTGCTGCTGCTGCTGCAGCTCCTCGCGCGTCTCGAACTCCCGGATGGGCGTTGTTTAGAGTGGGGTGAGTGAGTGCGAGAGAGAGAAAAGGAGAGAATTTGTGTATACAATACACCTTCGTCAATGTAAAATATGAAATGTCTCGAAAAATTCTTCAATTTATTCGCGCAGCGCGAAACGATGATGCGCATCGTGCAAGCAGCAACTACAACAGCTTAGCTCTTCGTCGTCGTCGTCGAAAGTACAAAGCATTGTAATGCGCCCCGTCCGTCCACTGCTGCCTGCTTGCCTTTTAATTTAGGTTAGAATTTCATTCGCAGCGCGTTAGAAGAGAGACATACGGGGCGCGATCGTTACATCGCAAAAATTTGACATTAATTCCGTAATGAAGAAATTGCAGGAAATAAAAAAAAACACGATTTCGCGAATATCATTACGGAGAGGTCGAAATGAGTTTTAACGAACACGGCCAACTCTCTCTTCGGGTATATAGAGAGGCCAGGCCACAACACAAAACGCGTCGATATAAGTAATAATTTTCACCTGAATATGAATCCTTTAATCGGGGAGAATTCGATGAATTTTTTCGCCAAATGGAATGGCTGCGTTCTCGCGCGTTATATTACTTTTTGCCTTTGCCTGAATACATATACAAGATTCCTTTCTCCCTCCCTTCCCTCCCTCGCACACCGTCCGCGTGAAAATGTGTGTGCAACGCAAAAAATGAAAAAAAAAGGGAAAGAAAGAGAATTGTAAAAAAGAAAAAACAGAAGGCGATCCGTGTGCAGACACAGAGTGAGAGAGGTTCCGTGAAAAACAGCACCTAATTAATCGAGTTGGTTGTGTTTTTTTCCTTTTTTACAACTATACTTTTTTGTTGCAGCATCGAAGAATGTGTGTATCTACCTCACACCCTCGTGTACAGTAATAGAATACTTTTGCTACGCACACACACACACACACATGCTTTTACACGCACGCATACACTGATCAGTCGCAGTAGCAGCTTGACCCATCTGTTCGTCTAACCCCAGCGTTTATTAGTTTCCATGCTGCCCAGGCATTGATGTTCTTTAATTGCTCCGAAACGAGTCGGGAGAGTCTTAATTTCGCGCGCGTCGCTGTTACTGCCGCTGCTGTTGCTGCCGCTGCGTGAGAGGCGTTTGTCAGAATGTTATAAACATGACGTCAGCCCCAATGCCAATATGCATACATTAACAGCTTAAAATTATAACGCAAAAATGAATCGATGAATATTCAAACTGACGAGCGAATGAGAGGAGACAAATGAACGTCGGATGAGAGCTTCTACGAACGAATGATCCTTTGTTGTTTTTTTTCTACTGTTTTATTATTTCGAAATTAATGATCGCGGCTTTAGAGCAGCAGGTATAATATACAACGCACACCGCGTTTGTTGATAACTTAAAAATTTGCCTTCGAAAAGCCAGTCCGATTCGTGGAATCGTCGTATCGGGCAGAGAGCATTTTGCAATTAATTCTTTATTGCATATATTCGTCACACGAGCACGGCAGCAGCAAATTGCTAATTTAAAATGAGTTTGAAAATAGAAATAAAAATACAAACAAAAACCGGCATCGTCAAAACAATAACAAATCACTCGCTATCGCAAAAATAACGCCGAAATTTCGCCAAAAATCGAGCTAATTATTTGCACTTTTTAAAGCCGTTTGAAAAGCCGAAACATTGCACAGTACGGAGAGAGAGCGCGCGAGCGGCGAGAGAGAGTCGGATCTGCATGGCAGCCCGAAACGCGCAGACATTTTCGTGCGAAATAAATCAATACGCGATGCCTCCTCAACCCACGCCTCGTCGTTTTCAGAATGTATATGAGCGTCTTGAATGTGTATACTAACGTGAAGGGAAAAAAAGAGGATCGTTGAACGCTACTACGATGGGGGCTGCTTCTTTGGTATAAAAACGAAGATTTTCGACGATTAAAGCTGGAATTAATTACAGTCTGCTCGTTTGCGTTATTTTATAGTCGAAATCGATGTGCACGATTTGCGTACGAAAATTTGGCGATTTAAAAAACCAATAGAGCATGACTCCGAAATAGTTTTTGACAAGCTCTCCGCGTGTTATAACAATCCTTGAGACTCGTCTCCGTGTAATACACGTAATTTATTTGCAGTGAAAATTTTAAAGCGTCAACGCTCTCGCGTTGCTTACAACTTGACGCCGAGACACGGGAGGTACACACAACATCACGGTAGCAGCGACTCCACACATTCGCACACAAACACACACACATACACACGTTTAACGTTGTGTATAGCTCGTTTCGCGTCCTATGCTTTTAGCTCGTGTATAGAGCAGCAAGCAGCAGCTCGTGCTAAAACACAGCTCTCGCTCTCGCCTCGGTCTACTCGGCTCGCGCGCGAGCGAGAGAAGGTAAATAAAAAACAAACGGCAACAATTAGCCGCTTGGCGGCTTGATACCGATTCGTGTCGAGAGATTAATGCCTCACGCACATGTATATACGCCTATAACGAGGCACGGGGCATTCATTGCTCGAGCTTTTGGCGAGTTTAAATCTCTGAGTGATTTCAACGCGTGGCTCCGTGCAGCTCGCTGGCCGTCGCATAGCGGCAAGGCAGGCAGGCAGGCAGTCAGGCAAGTCAGGCTATACGCAGGCCGGGCGCTGAAGCGGCAGAAAAGGCAATGGCAGCAGCAGCAGCAGCAGCAAAAGCAGGCAAGGCACAAGCGAAAATTGGGTGATATGATTGCACACACAGGAGGCTGCTGTGTTATGCTGAAGCAGTACACATATAGTAGAAGCACAGTAGCAGTAGCAGCAGAGAGAGCAAAGGCGAGTTATATGCTGGCGTAGAGGCGGAAACGATACCGAACGAACGGCTACCACTGCTTTTACACATGTATATATCACAGATACACACACAGATACACACTCGTGTCGATACACACACGCGTGTGTCGAGCAGGGCAGTTCACGGTAGTTGTATTATATAGTAGTAGTATGTAGTATGTAGTAGTTACATATGTATACAGCAGTGCTAATGAATTAATGGGTTTTTAGCGGGAACGACGACGATGAGATGCGACAAGAGTATAAGCGCAGAGCGCATAGTGGTGGTGTATAGCAGTCATACATGCACTCGCTCGCATTACTTCGTTTCGATCGTTATTATACATTTGCTGCTTTGATTTTTCATGCCTCTGTCTTCGTCTGTCGTATATTAACAGTGTCAGAGCTGAGTACTGTGTGTGTGCGCGCGTTAATGCCGTTTCATACTGTGTGCACAATTTAACGAATGAATATGACGAACCGTTGATTCTTCTTGCCTGCACGATGCATCCTCGAATGATTTTTATGGAACTTTTTTTTTCATCAGCCGCAGCACACAACCACTCGAGAGAGAGCACAGAGAAGACACTGCAGGACACAGGATACACTCACGCGCGCATACACTTTTTTACTATCGCGACACTAATGATCGCGTTCGATACCTTTGTTTTTAAACAATTTTCCGAAGATATCGGCGCGGCGCGCACGTACGGAAGGTTCGCATGGCTGAGATTTAACACTACATTGCCAGCAGCAATTTTAAACCATGATATATGCACCTCTCAAAGTGTGGTGGGAGGTGCATAGCTCAGGATACACATACACGCGCGCACACACAGACACGGACACAGGGCACAGAGAGATACAGACACTCGCATACACACACACACACCAACACACACTGACTCGCCACTCAAGTGTCTGGGTATAATACGTAGTACTGTATATGTATGCTGTGTGCAGCAACGCGACCATTGCACATTCGACAAAACGTTACATATTAGCCAGATATAATAAACTAATTAGATTTTATATGCTATAGATTCGTTCGAAAAATAAAAAGACAAGAGCGAGCGAGGAGAATGATATAATACCGTGTGTAACAATGGCCCCTTCTAGAGTGAGATAGAGAGAGCGAGAGAGAGAGAGAGAGAGAGAGAGAGGAGCCCTTTGTTCAACTGTGTTTCAGAGAAAATCGACGTTTTGCAAAAATATAAAAACTTCGAAGAGAGGCGAGGAGCCTCTAATGCAACGAGGCAACGATCGATCGTTACGAACGTTTGTTTTCTTCGATACACACACACAGACACGAGTTCGAAATAATTTAACGACAGTGGTAGTCGCTCTTTTCGTCAAACGGTCTCACTTTGCTGCCTCTCTCTCTCTCGCTCTTATTTAAACAAATGAATGAACGAATGAATGATTTATCAAAGCTTATATGATGTATAATAGAAAACTTACTGCGAGGACGTCGGCTTAATGACTGAATATCGTTGAGCGAGCAAGAATATCTCAGTGCCTTTGATATCTTCAACATCTTTAGGAACGATTTTTTCATATTAGAATCGGTGGCTGACTGCTGCGGATCCTGGCGTAATATATGCATATGTACATATACATTTAGTATGTCGTTGAGTAGTTAACTTTTTTCCTTTTTCTTGCACAAGCACAGAGACGATTTTTTATTAAATATATCGGATGTATAACTATATCTATATGTATAATGAAGAGAATACACACACACGCACGGATACATACATATGCTTGTGTATATATCTATATATATAATGCTCCTTTATCTTTTCTTTCTTTCTTTCTTTCTTCTCTTTTTAATCTGCACGCTGATATATTTTCCTTAAATAATATATATATATTTGTATATAGATATATATTGATTGAATGGCTTTCACTTTGTAAATTTCACAATAAGGAACATTCAAATCACTATTTTGTCGTGCGGCCACCGCGGCTCATTTCTTTCTTCCTATATTAAAGCTTTCTTCGTTTACTTTTTTACTTCTGTCTCTCTCTCGGTTGATATCGTGCGTAGGAGTGAGAGAGATACCAGAGAGACAGAGAGAGAGGCGAGTTGCAATTGATAATCGGACAACGCGTGTGTATAACGCAGTCGAGGTACTATATGTATTATAGATATATACACAATATAATATCGTCGTATGTGTCCTCGCTGTAGTACTGCTGCTGCTGCTGCTGCTGCTGTAGTAGTACTCGCTCTCTCTCTCGCTTTGCGCGTTTTTTTTTGATTATATATATACTTTGTCTATATATATAATAGTTGTAGTAGTTTGTAGTAAAAATGCGGGGCTCGGCCGAGCAAAATTGGTGGACGACGACGACGAACGAACGAACGAAGAAACAATCAACAATCAACGAGGAACGTAACGAACAAAAACTTTTTTTTCTTGCAGTAGTATTACAGTTGTATTACAGTGTCGTGCGGTCTTCACAGGATCATTTACTATTTAGGCGCGCGCCATAATATAATTATTAATTATAATACAATATTTTTTTTAGTTTTTTATACTTAAAAAAAGAAAACAAATAATATTTTTAATTATAAAATGACAGACAACGAAGTGCCCACATCGAGTTGGGTTGCCGAACTGTTCGTTTACCGCCCCTCCTGTAGTCGATCGCGCACCCCACCCCGCCAGCCGCTCGCTCGCTGCTTGCGAGTCGCGCCGCCACTACTGCTGCTGCCGCCGCGCGCCCCCGTGGCCGTGCACATACACACACACACACACACACACACACACACACACACGAACACACACACAGTGTTTCTGCCTTGTGCTCGTCAGTGCGAATATGTATAAGCGCACGAGATAAAGCGAGCGAGCGAGAGAGAGAGCTCTGCCGCGCGCGTCCTCTCTTCCCCTCGCTCGTACGTGTGTGTATGCGTGTGTGTTGTAATTGTACGTGTGTGTGTATACGCTTGTGGCATGGATGTGTTTTCTAGTGTCAGAGAGTCGAGCCGAGGCACAAGCGAGAGCACAGGCGAGCAAGCAAACGCGCGCGTCGCGGTGCAGAAAAGGCTGGCCATCGTCGCCGCGCCACCACCAGTAGGGGCATCGAGTGGGCGTTACCTGGCGAGGCCTACGTCTCCTCTGGGGCGGGGCTTACTTCTGTGCTGCTGCTGGGCGATCGTCGTCGCGAGTATAAGGTAGAGCAGCAGCACACAGTAGAGTAGTGTGCGAGAGAGAGAGAGAGAGAGAGAGAAACGAAACCCGCGGCACACAGCCGACGAAAACTTTCGAGGCATACACTAACTAACCAACACCAATACATGGACACGGACGCACATCGACGTAGACGACGACGAAGCTCGAAGCGTTGCCCTTCTATATATACATACATACACGCGCGCATATATACATTTATATGCATGTACTGTATGGATACCCACACACACACACACACTTAAACGGACACAGAGAAGAGATGGGTATACACATAAGCGCGAGCGCGCGGCGGAGCGGCGTGCGGGGAGAGAAGAGAGAGAGAGAGAGAGCGACTCACGCCTTTGTTCCTTACTTACGCATACCTAAGGCAGCTCTCATAAAGGACAGATAGTTGGTAGCGCGCGCGCGGCGCGGGGCATAATATAAGCACACCACCACACCAAGCGAGAAAGAAAGAGAGCGCAAGGAATGAGAGAGAGAGAGAGAGAGAGAGGAAGACTCTTTTTCGAAAGATTTGGATATCACCGATTATTTTTCAATTTTAATGCGAGAAAAAGGAGGAAAAATAAGAAGTAACGAATCTTGATGATGCTTTTCTTTCTCTCTCTCCTTTTTTTTTTGCCTCCCAACAACACACAACCGCGCGCGGAGTTGCATGTATAATTTCCCCTCCCCCGTCGTCGTCGCGCCGCGCGCATTGCCCGTTACCGCTGTTGCTGCTGCCGCTGCCGCTGCTTATCGAATTTTTCACACCTCGCAAAAAGGAGTCTTCATTTCTCGACTTGTGCAGCGCACCGTCTGTCTGTCTCTCGTGTGTATTATAATATTACACATTCGCGAATCCTTATGAGGTATATAATATACCAGAGACAGAAGAGGAACCGGGCTCGCGCGCGCGGATTTTTTAATGACTATCGCGTTCTCCTTTTTTTTTTATGAATAATTAATAACGAAGCGAAGACAAAAAAAAATTTTTTTTTCCTTTTTGAAGTAGAACGAAGTAGTAGTAGAAGAAGACGACGAAGAAGAAGAAGAAGGAATAAAAAACTCGTAACGCGAGCGAGGATAGTGTATTATAAAAGATAGTTATAATATACCGTGTCGTTCGAGCTCGATGCCTTCGCGAGGAAGAAGGCACCCAACACGTACCGAGACAGCAGCAGCAGCAGCGGAGACACACGCGCATATTGAGAGCGAGTACAAATACTGGTTATATATGTGAGTGTCTCTGTCTGTAAGTATGTGTATGCCGTTCGTGTGCATATACAGAAAACGAGCGAGAGCCAGGGCCCTCGGTGTAAAAAATTGAAATTGATTCCTTATAGTCCCTTATTTAGATTTTGTTTCCAAGACTCGTATTTTTACTGAATAATGCATTTCTCGTTTCTCTCAATCGACGAGTGAGAGAGAGAAACGACGACGACGACGACGAGAGAGGAAAGAAGGAGGATATCTCCTCGGAGCAGCGGCTCTTTCGACTTCGTCCCCGCAGCCAACAGCTAACAGCATCAGCAGCATCGGCTTTATTATCAAAAATTTAAATTTTGAAAGATTAAAAAAAAAAGCGAAAAACAAAGGGACGTTGTCTTGTCCGAGGATTGTCAAAGAATCTCCTGCAGTTAGAAAACGCGCGTTTGTTAAAAAAAATAATAAGAGTATCATTTAAGAGGGACAGAGGGACGTACCACGAACATGGCGCTGGTATTAATTATCCAAAAAAAAAGCGTCCACTCCCCCGTGCTTACACTCTCTCTCTCTCTCTTGCTCGATACACATTGGGTATCAAACTACGTGCAGTGTGTAGAGTGGTAGTACTACGAAACCGAACGGGGTTCTCTCTCTCTCTACTCTACTCTGCAGCAGCACAACGATGGCGGAATTTTGGAAATAAAAGCAATGCCAGGCGTTGAAATCTTCCAGACGAATTACCCATCAAGCCACCGTAATTAAGCGGCGGGGGTAAAATTATACCGAGAAGCAGCAGCAGCAGCACAGAGCGGAGCGGCTCGGCAGAGTCGCCCGGCACTGTGCGCGCCGCCAGAGAAAGAGACTTGCTCTGCGCTACGAGCTGCATAAAGCATGCGTATATAAAACCCCGAAAGGAAAGGAGAACTTGGAAATCGTTATACATTGTTTTTGGTGATAATTCGATGGAGAGAGAGAGAGAGACAGGGAGAGAGAGCGAGCGAGAAGGAGAGCCTGATTTGAACAGTAAAATTTCATTCCTTCTTTGCTTCTCCTTTTTTTTATATTATGCTTGTATGCTGCACCGAGAAAGAGACTCCAAGAGAAGCTATATAAGCATCAGGTCTGCGCCATGAAGAGAGAGAGAGAAAGAAAGAGAGTCCCCCTGAAAGTCATTCTTTTAAATCGATTAGTGAACATCGCAGAGGCATACAATACACACACGTATACGTATATGGGTATTATGTGTTAGTGTCGATTCGAGTCTCCGTGTTCGTCTCTCTTTCTGCACATACGCGCGCGCGCGAGCCTGTGCAGCACGAGTATTAATATTTCTGTGTGCAGTTATTTTATTTTGCCTCTTTTTTTTTAAACTTTTTTTTCGAGCGCGAACTTTTACCGCGAAAAACTCCGCGTGTTTTTTTTGTTGTTGCTTGCTTATGCTCCGATCATTGTTCATCCGCACGTTTTGTTTTCGCGATTCCGACGACGACGACGACGACGACGACAAAGCTCGAAATGAAATTTATATTCGTGTATGTGTGTAGGACGACGACGCGTTACAGTATTATAAGCTGCAAAATCAGAGAGAGAGAGAGACGAGAAAGATAAAAATATATATATCATCCATGCTTGGCTTTAATTGAACTATTGAATCCGCGTCACAGTTTATACGACGTTGGTTTCATTCAAATGATTTAGCTTCGTTGCCAATGTGCAGCAGCAGCAGCAGTAGAGCCGAGAGTGTGCAGAGCAGAGAGACAGAGAGCGAGCGAGAGAAAGAGCGACAAATAATAAAAGCAACAAACGAGATCGCGTAAAAATCATATACGAATCCTTTTATTTTTCTCTCGCGCGCTGTCCGTCTCTCGCTCTCTTCTCCTCTCGTTGCGTCCAACACCCGGAGGTGTGCTCTGCGTGACTTGGAAGAAAAAAAAAATTTTTTTGAAGAAGAAGACGAAGAAGCATTAGAGAGAGATGACCTTAGCCCCATAGATAAATAGCAAATGAGGCTTAACCCTGTGATTTTTGTTAATGATTAAGAAGAATATGAATAAACGAGTTTTTTCTTTCTCTCTAGAAGCTATTTACCGAGGCAAAGATCTTATATATTTAATGTACAAAGCTCGGCATATACATAGTGTAACGCCGCGAAGAGAGATACATATACACTCGTATTTGTGCGTATAGATATGTATAATATGTATAGCATCTTTCACGGCTCTCTAACAATGAGTCTCCTGTAGTACCTATACCTACAGTATATATAGTGTATATAATACACGTCCCCGGGATCGTGCAAATATTCCGGGGCCTTTGTTTCCTATATTTTTCGACTCGCGCGCGCGCGCGCTCACAACTTGGAGCTCATACCCGGCAGAGTTGATTTCATTATTTTTCAGTCATTCTCTCCTCTCCTCTCTCTCTCTCTCTCTCTTTTATTCTTCCTAAATTTTTTTGCTTGTTCCTCGGTTGCTCAAAAATATGCCGTGGCTCGCGCGAGAACCCGTAAATTTTCCCCGAGACTATGTATCCATACGTATGTACGTACGCGCATCTAATATCGCGTTGTTAGTACATATGAGCGCGTCCAGCATAAGTCGGCCACCCCGCGCGATTACGGCATTTTTGGCCGAAAGTGTCGTATGTTTAGCTCGCTCGGAAACGTTTACCAAGGGTCAGAAAAAAAATCTAAACCCATGGATCAATAGATTTTTTCCTCCTCTTTCTAGTGGTGTAACTCAAAAAATTCTTAAAAATTGCTTTTGAGGTTAAAACTCGACTTGAATGTTTAAGTCGATTTATCCAAAAAATGTATCCTCCGATTTCAATTTAAACTGCATCAATCGAAAGAGGAGGCAAAAATCTATCGAAAACCATATTTTCCAGGATGGAGAAATGATAAGAACTATTAAAGATATCGAGATGAATAGCGCGGGACGGCGCGCGCGGACCTGTTTTCCTGCCTATGTCTTTTCGACTCGCTAAAAAAATGCTGGAAAAATAATTGAAACACGTAAATCGATAGATTTTTTCCTCCTCTTTCGATTAATAATGTTAATTTTGAGGTCAAAATTGAAATACTAGAAGAAATATTGACTTAAAAATTCAAGTCAAGTTTTGACTATGAAAAAATTTTTTGGGAATTTTTTCAATAACACCATCAGAAAGAGGAGAAAAAAATCTATCGATTTACGTGTTAACATTATTTTTCCAGCCTTTTTTAAGCGATTACGAGGGAGTCGAAAAGACAAAGACACGGCGCCGCGTGTGTGCCGCCGCTGGCGCACGGAAAACAGGCCCGCGCGCGCCGTCCCGCGCTATTCATCTCGATATCTTCAATACTTCTTATCATTTCTCCATCCTGGAAAACATGGTTTTCGATAGATTTTTGCCTCCTCTTTCGATTGGTGCAGTTTAAATTGAAATCGGAGGATACATTTTTTGGATAAATCGACTTAAACATTCAAGTCGAGTTTTAACCTCAAAATCAATTTTTAAGAATTTTTTGAGTTACACCACTAGAAAGAAGAGGAAAAAATCTATCGATCCATGGGTTTGGATTTTTTTTCTGACCCTTGGTAAACGTTTCCGAGCGAGCTAAACATACGACACTTTCGGCCAAAAATGCCGTAATCGCGCGGGGTGGCCGACTTATGCTGGACGCGCTCATATATGAATATCTACGAGGATTGACCCGAGACTGCGCGCGAACGTGTGTATGTATGTATGTATGTATATATGTATGCGCCGCCGTGTGCACACACACACTTGCAAACTCGCATATCTATATAATGTGCCGGACTGCCGGAGCTCTCCGAGTGGAGTGTTGCTGTGCTGTGCCTGCCCTGTACTGCCGCTACTTTGCCGCTGTTGCAGTCTCTCTGTGTCTGCGGCGAGGCTGACCTTTTTTACAGCACGTATAGATATATATGAGCCGAGAGCCGAACGACGACGAGATCAACGAGAGGAAAGAAAAAGCTCCCTGATATAACACGCCCCCGCAGCTCACATACACACACACACGAGAGCCGATGAATGACTTTTCTCGCGAATTTTAAGGATAAATAATATAATAATAATGACGATGATATTAATGAAAAATGAAAAATTGAGGAGACAAGACTTTTTAATAAAAAGTTTTGTAATGTATGAAAAAAGTTGACGACGATTTGCGCGGGGCGAGAGCTGCGCGAAGAAGTTAAAGGAATGCTCTTCTTCGAGTCAGCTCCCGACGTCGTCGTCGTCGAGTTAGTAGTGTAGTATATAAAAATACATGTATATACGCGGAACGATATGCGCACGCGGGCGTATGTATGTGCGAGTGTAAACGCGAATCGTCTCTTTTATAAATTAAGGAGTGCAACAGCGCGCCCCGGCCGTATTGATATTTTCTCGACGCGCGTTATAGGTATACCATACAACGTGTGTACTATGTGCGTGGTACTTTTTATATACAAACGCTACGTAACGTGTTTACAAAACATTTTGCTCATTTAAAAATTAAACTTTATTATTATCTTTATTATTATTATGATAATTTTTCTTTATATGCAAATGACTAGCGACTCTTTTTTTTTAACGATTAGGATGTATAGGCGGAGTATACCATAGGATAGGAGCGCGAAATTAGGCAGTATGGGTGAGGAACAACGAGCGAGCGAGAGCCCCTTTTTTTTACAGCAGTCTAAAAGCAAAGCGAAAAATGTGGCGCGAAAAAAAATCGATGTTATTTACATCGAGCCCTATGCAGCTCTCATTGTTAGTGCGAAGCAACGATGCGATGTTACATATGAAAATCATGTTGATGATGATGATGATGATGATGATAAACTGTATGCGCGGAATTTAATGTAAAATGGCAAATTTCGTCGACTTACCGGCACGGAATAATGCGTTCATTATTGTTAAGGCTGAAAATTGTCTCCTTATCGGGTGTGCGTGTATGAGCGAGTACGTGTGTGGCAAATATTGCATTAGAATAATCGATCGCCGCATATGTATGGGAGACGCAATGATGATATCGATTCGTTCGTCGCCTATGCGTAATGAAAAATTTCGACGTATAATCGTAAAAAACGCACACATCGTTATATCGACGAAGAAGACGGCGGCGGGGGGGTTGCTTGCTTGCGTCGTCGTCGTCGTCGTCGCGAGCGTCGAGAATCTAAGGCTGCGTAGCTCTCTCCTCTTGAGTGGTAGTTTTGCACACCCCTACTACCCCAAGAGATGACTGGCGAAATATAGATATACACGCGCACACGAATGATACGCAATCAGCATCCGAAAAAAAACCTGGATTCGTTGGGAGAGAGAAAAAAAAAAGTATCATCAGTGCGAAGAACGAATGCTTATATACGTATTGTAGTAGGTAGTACGCGCGATAGACGAAAAAAAAATGGATAGAAAACGGGAAAATAAAAAGATTACGTATGTACGCATATACAATCCTAGGGAGAGGAGAGGAGAGAGAGCCTCGAAGGCGAGCTGCTGGCGGCAATCGCGCATAGCCCCGGTTCTCGCATTTAAGATTTGATTCTTAAAATGTCGATAACACGAGGCGTGTAGGTGCATGCGTGCTCGTTCGTTCGCTTAGCTCGCGTTGCTCTGGCTTGTGCTCTGCGCGTATGTGTGTGGGTGGGTGGGTGACGATGTGCTGCTGGCTGGCTGGCTGGCTCAGGCTGGATGTGTAGCTGTAGCTCCCTGCGTGTGTAAGACGAAGACGACGACGGTAACTTACTTCGAGAGCGTCGCCCGTTGCCGCTGCCACCACCGCCGTAGCCGCCGCCGCCGCGTCTCTAAAAAACTCTCCTCTACTCGGGATGGAGATTTTCTTGATTGCTGAAAAAGAAGAGAGCGTGTGTACGAAATTCGCCATAGCGCTTTCCTTACGGATTTTATATATTTCTTTTTCGTTCGTTCGTGACGTTGTTTGCCGAGGGTTGTGTGAGATGAAATAACGGAGACACTGTGACACATGTGGATTTCTGAGTTGATTAACGATAAAAAAGTTTTTTTTTTAATGATCCGTTGAACACATCCATTGAAGAATGAATTACACACATCTACAAAATGAAATAAAACGACCAACAATATTATAACTTTTTTTTTATATAATATGGTTAGTAATAACGGGAGCTTTAGAACCACAATTTTTTATTACAGCTATATACAGTAAAATGTGTATTCAAAAAGCCAGGGTATATTTATTTCTTAGATTTCAATTTTTCGGAGAGGTCGTCGAACGTCGAGTCTTGGATGTTCAACATCAAGCTGTTGCCGCTCAAGTATACTCGGTTTTGAGAGTGAGAGATCTGCAAAAAAATATTAATTAATTAGATCAATTTTGCGGGGCTCTCGCGATCCTTCGTGAACGTTAAAATATGTATATTTCGTGACTTCAATTGCTTCGCGTCTTACAGCGAGGATAAATCGACTCCGAAATTTTTAATCTCGTTTCGTCGTAAGTACTAATGAGCCCGAGTCCTTCTCTCTCGGAATGCTTATATATGCTCGCGATTTAGTGACAGGTACTACTGTTGTAGCGGCACATGGAGCTTCTGTCATGACTGGCTAGCGAACAACGCGAGCCACACACGAGTTGTGGGTGTGACTATGTCCACTCTACACGTATGTGTGTAGGGTGGGTCAATATAGATAGAGAAAGTATTTTCGGCTACGGATGCCCGGCAATGCTTGATGACTTTTGTTTAGAGAGAGAAAGAAAACACGTGGTATTTCCCTCCCCGATGCCGTTCTTTTTTTTTTCGAAAAACGAAAGAGAGAGTGACTTCGGCTTTGGCGCAAAAATTCTCTTCTCTTTCTAAAAATGACTCAGTCTTCGTGGGTCGTCTGTCGTAAACGTACGAGTTTCGGGCGATACACCTCTGCGCGCTGCTAGGATAAGCGTTTATATTATAATTTTCGAGCTATCGTTTTAAAAAAGCTAGGGTGATTTTCGTAAAAAGTTCAAAATAATACGAAACAATTTTTAGAATATTTAACGAGGTGCTTTGTGGGTGGATTCGACGACGGTGCTCGCGCACAGGAATTACTATTGAAATTATATATGTAGGGGCACCGCAACAATCCGACTTTAAAGGCCGCCATGATAGAGGACATGCACTCAGTAGCGGCGAGCGCCATTTACATCCCGACGTAATTGATCGTCGAAACGAGAAGAAAATTCAAACGCAACTAGAAAATGTCGATGTTTCGCGACGAAGTAACGAAATTTCGTCTCGATTATTAATATCAAGCACGAATTTAATTAAAACTAAGCGTTAATAATTTTTTTCTACTTTAAATTTGAGCCATTGTTAGTTCGAAATAAATTCACTCTTACCGTTCGTGAGATATTTTGAGCAGCACGGATTTTCCTCAGCTTCAGGTAACCTGGATTTTGGCTGACAGCTATACCTAAGTAAGCATTATTAAGGAAAAAATACGAATCGTGGCATTCATCATTCAACTATAAACATCAACGTTATCATTGTATGAGAAAAAGGATATCATCTTTGCGGCCTCGGCTTCACCCTCGGCTTGGACGATCTTCTGCTGTTTCTCCTGCTTGGCGCGCTCGACGACGAAGGCGGCGCGCTGGGCCTCCTGCTGGGCGACCTGCTTGGCCTCGACGGCGGCGGTGTACTCCTTGCCGAAGCTCAGCTCCGTGATGGAGACGTCGTCGAGGATGATGTTGAAGTCGCGCGCGCGCTCCGTGAGCTCCTTGCGCACCATCATGGAGACTTGTTGACGCTGGGTGATCAGCTGCGACGCGTTGAACTTGGCGACGACGGACTTGAGTACCTCGTTACAGATGCTGGGAAGGACCTGAGAGAGAGAGAGAAATAAAATTTAGACGAGTGGTAAAAAAAAAAAATTATCGCGAAGTAGACGATGGTTATTGTTGTACCTTTTCGTCGTAATCCAAACCGAGTTGACGGTACATGACGGGCAGGGTGGAGGCGTCTGGCCTGGAGAGCACCCTGAGAGAGATGTTGACCATTTGCAAGTCTTTGGAACCGGTGGGCGACGAGATCTTCCTCGGTCTGCTGCGAATGTCGTAGATGATGGGATAATGGAACCAGGGTAGGCGGAAGTGCAAGCCCTCTGTCATGATGTCCTTCTGGACGCCGCCAATGCGCGAGAAGATGATGGCACGGTGACCACCGTCGACTGTACAGACACACGTGACAAATTCATCATGACTTGTACTTTTTTTTCATGGAGTTGTATTTTTTATAGTTTATTTTTTTCGCATTGATTCGAAGTCATCGCAAAGGTGTGAAAGATGCCAGTTTCAGTTTCGCTTAATTACATTGCCGGAATCATTACTCAAGTGTAGAACACATATCAGAAAGTACGATCAATTGATGCGACCGCCCAATGGTTCAGAGTTCTTAATTCAATCTCGCATACTTTTGATTTTATACACGCATTCATTTTATAATGAAACCAATAATTGCGTGTCTCAGTATGCAGAGCGAGAGATGCGCCGTAAAAAAGTAAACAGCGTCGCCATCTGTAGTTCTCGGCCGGCTGCCACCGCACGCGAGTGCTGGTGGCATTAAAAAACGCGGAGGAGGCGCGCGTGCCCGTGACCCGCGCGCCGCTGCAGTAGCGATAAAAATTATATTCGAATGAAAACAAATAATAATAAAAAAAAAAAAATGAATAGATGCGATTCGTTGCACAGCGATGAAAATCGTATGTAACTTATATGAAAATCATTATCTTCGTTACGTGCAGCGGTACATACGCGAGAGAGATCGTCGCGTGTTAAAAGTACGAAAATATCACTATGCCGATGCCGCTGAATGATACGTATACCCCGAGTTATACGATTATTTTTAATGACATCGCGTTATAAGAGCCAATGCCTCGTATCGGAAATAGAATTTGCATATTACGGTGCAGTTAACAAATTCATCGGAATGATATAAAATATTTTTTTAGCTTCTTCCAATTTTTATATTTGAAATTGATGTAATATTTTTTGGAGCTCACAAGTGAGAAATGACATTGTTGAACAAAATTGTTAAATGTTTATGAAATTTGATATTTGGATTATTGAGAGTTTGATAATTGTATGTTTTTAAAATTAAAATGAGTAATCAATCGATTGTCTTCGTCTCCGCCAACATATATCTGACTTACGTAAATTCCTAACCTTAGTTTACAAATCGTATGTAATTGCTTCCAAAAAAATGAAATGGTATTACACAAATTTATGTTAAAAAATGAAGAGTTATTTCAAAGTATTTATATCTGAATTAAAAGTTGGCGATGAGTACTGGACAAAAATGAATTACTAACAATAAGATATATTATTAATTATCTTTGTTTGAAAAAAATAATTTTGTTTGGTCATTAAAAATTATGGTTAACTAACAATATTTATGCTATTATGATTGTTCACATTTCATCATCATGTGTTATTATTTATTGCATGGAACTAGAAATCTGCACATCAAATTTAAATTTCAAGGTCTGTTAAATTGTTTGATTGGTTTCAATTCATACAGCCTACGACTATTACTCTATTTTCAATGCAAAGGAACTAATATAGCCTGTTTTTCATCAACTAATTTTGTTGGATTTAAAAATGGCATTTATATGTAATGCATCTTATTATAAAGAGATAACATAGTAAATTTTATTACAATCATTCAATTAAACTTAATTTGTGAAATAGCTCAATAGAATAGTTTTCAGTTTGCCATTTGCAAAGTATGAAATTAAATCTTAATAAATGCTTCATGCTAACAGTGCATGAATTATTATTTTTTTTTTTTTTTGATGTAATGCAATGAAATGCAATGATTGTTTCAATTCACATAGCTATCTAAATAATCAGTCATTATCCTTGACTAATTACAAAGTTTGCTTCATGAAGATGGGTGACCTTAGATGAGTTTCATAAAAATTAATAAAACTCTTAAAATTTCCTGCAATTTTTGTACTTATATAAACTTTTATGAATATCCGATTCTAGAAGTAGATTAGCACGTTGTAAAGCTGTCAATTAGTTTTGTTAAACAGAGTGTTTGTCCTGAAGACATAATCATGGTAGCGATACAGCCACTGACTAAGGCCAGTCATTGAAAGATAAAAATGTACTTATTTACTATTATAGTGTTTCAATTACAGAAATTTGTTATTGTCTTTGTTATGAATGATTTAAATCAAATGAATAAACTTGAAAATGTAGATGTCATTGGTTATCTAAAATTTTTGCACCCTAATGCGCAATTATGCAACATTACGTCAAATCATTTTGAGAAACTTGCAGTGTTTTCATCGAAATTTTCTCGTGCGCACTTCGGTGCTGGCTCGGCACGCGAGACACGAGGTCGTTCATGCTCATCGCTGCACTTGGCGTCCACTTAAAAATACATCGTATTCGCTAATGATACCACAATAATTGCATTTTATTACGTACCGGTGTACATGGATTGGTTAACTCCATAGACAGCGGCTCCAGCGACAGCCAGCAATTTCATGCCGACATTCAGGCCTTTCGGTGCTCCCTTGCCCAAACTGTTGGCGAAGTCGTTCAATTTGCTCTGAGACATTTTGTTTGTAAGCTTAAGACCTTAATTAACGAATAATAATGGCTCGATCGACGGTTCAACGATCCTCTTCTCGAACTTGTAACAGAAAAAAAATTACTCTCGGCTGTGTTATCGTGCGATGAAAAAATTCGCCTCAGAGCATAATATATCTCACGTGTAAGAAAATGAGTGCGGTTAAAGGTTCGCGAGACTCGCAATACGCAGCCGCGAGGAACGACGACTTTTAAGGTCTCATCACTTGAATGGAACGTCGTGCGCCGGTTGGTATTTGCCAATTTTGCTCGCAAGAAGGCGCAACTTGACGGTCGCTGCTCTTCGGACGATCGACGAGTGACGACAACAGCGACCACTCCCATGGCTTTCTCTCGCTTTAAATTGACCATATATGATAAAGCAGAGGGACTTACGTGTTCTCATTATGCGAATTATGCGAGCTGCAAAAATGATGCATGATTTATGAAGAGGGGGAAGTAACGAGCTTACGAAATATTTAAATTTTCGAAAAATTAACAGAATTTTCGCCAAGATTTTACCGTTGTTGTTCCATGACAATTTTCATATCTCATTTGGCAAGTGCGAAAATTCAAAAAGCCGGTGTTCTCTACATTCGAGCACCCTTTTTGAATGAACACATACGCACTGCTGAGATATACGCGGCGCGGAACGCAGGAATTCGCGAGACTCGCCTCCTTATGTTTTTGCAGATGTGGACAACTCTGCGTGTTTTCGTTGTATGCGTGCGTGTATGTATACGCAGCGGAATCCGACAGCCGACATAGACAACACTACAACAGAAAATTAGTCACTCGTGTGTATGAGGCACCTGATGTGTTCGAACGTCAGGCCTTGTACTTGAATTTATACGATTATTACGATTAAACAGAATCCCGTAGAATAATAGATGAGCTCGGACATTACGGTCTAATGTCGAGCGGTGAATTTTTCCAGTGGTAGATTTTGCATTTACCCGCGATCATCATCATGAGCGATTCGCTGGATTACGGGCTCTCCGAGTCCACCCCGGAGCCACAGAATGTGATAACGGTCGATTTTATGACTTTTGTGGATTACTTGAAGAAGATCGTCTTCGTGCTACATCCCGACGATGAGTTCAACGTGCCGATGGCCTTTGGCACGGCTGTCGAGGATAAAACCAATCAAGAGTGCATCAAGAAATTCTTGACTGATTCACAAGTTTGGGCTCTCTATATCCAACGTATATCAAGTAAATGTCGTTTTTACACACTAAATATTTGTTTTGAAATGATCTAATTGACTCCATTAGCTTGGCTACTTATTTTTTATAAACACAAAAATAATTGAGATGAATTTTTCCTTTGCAGATGATGACGTTAGTGAGGCAGACGATGAGAAAGAAAGTATTTCTTATTTCATATCAAATGAAATATTTTTTGCTAATCCTAAAATGATATCTATTGCATTCACCAAGAGAGGTGCTGTCATTGAAGCTGACAAATCTATACATTCACAATTGCGTATAGTATATTTTTCTGACGGTTCTCCGTATGAAACTTTGCACGCCATAAGTAAAACTATGGCTCCGTACTTTAAAAGTTATGTGAGGGAGAAGGGTAAAATTGACCGAGATGGAGACAAAATGGCTCCATCAGTAGAAAAAAAGATTGCAGAATTGGAAATGGGACTATTGCACTTGCAACAGAATATTGATATTCCAGAAATTAGTTTACCAATTCATCCTGTTGTTCAGCAAGTAATTAAACAATGCACCGATGAGGGTAGAAAACCCAAAGTAGCAGATTTTGGGGCCAAAGCAGAAGATAGTTCCTTTTTGAATCAATTGCAAAATGGAGTTAATAGATGGATAAAAGAAATTCAAAAAGTATGTAGTATGGTTTTATTAAATATTATTATATGATTTCAATTATGAAAAAGTTAATTAACCACCATTAATTTTTAACTAATTTTTTTGCAGGTCACAAAATTGAATAGAGATCCAGAATCTGGAACAGCTTTGCAAGAAATTTCATTTTGGCTGAATCTTGAAAGAGCTCTATATAGAGTTCAAGAAAAAAGAGAGAGCTTAGAAATTAGCTTGACACTGGAAATTTTGAAATATGGAAAACGTTTTCATGCTACAGTTAGTTTTGATACTGACACTGGATTGAAAGAAGCATTATCAACTGTATATGATTACAATCTTCTAATGAAAGATTTTCCAATCAATGATTTACTTTCAGCTACTGAATTAGATAAAATTCGTTATGCTATTCAGCAAATATTCATTCACCTAAGAAAAATAAGAAATACAAAATATCCAATTCAAAGAGCGTTGAGATTAGTAGAAGCCATTTCTCGAGATTTGGGAATGCAATTATTGAAAGTTTTGGGAACAAGAAGATTAATGCATATAACATTCGATGATTTTGAAAAAGTAATGTCTCAATGCTTTGAACTTTTTAACGCTTGGGATGATGAATACGACAAATTGACGCAATTACTTAGGGACGTTGTTAAGAGAAAACGCGACGAGCACATGAAAATGGTCTGGCGCGTTTCTCCAGCTCACAAAAAATTGCAAACAAGAATGGAACAGATGAGGCGTTTCCGTCGACAACACGAGCAGCTTAGAACCGTCATCGTTCGAGTACTGAGACCAACACGACGAAACAGTCCGATAAACGAGAAAAATAGCAACGATAAAGTTGAATTTGCTTTTGACGCGGCCGATGCCGATGCGATCAGCGAAGTCAACTTGGCCTACGAGAATGTCAAAGAGGTAGATTGTTTGGACATCACGAAAGAGGGATTGGAATCCTGGGAAGCCGCTGTCGATAGATACGAAGAGAGAATCGAGCGTGTAGAGGCGAGAATTACTGCTCATCTCAGAGATCAATTGGGAACCGCCAAGAATGCCAATGAAATGTTCCGGATTTTCTCGAGATTCAATGCCCTTTTCGTAAGACCTCATATACGAGGTGCCATTCGAGAATATCAAACACAATTGATACAAAGAGTCAAAGATGATATCGAAACTTTACATGAAAAGTTCAAGGTAAGTACTGCATCTAAGGACTGAGATTTCTTATTAATTTTCGAAATCTTGAGTATCTAATCATTTTTTATTTATTTAGGTTCAATATGCTCCAAGTAAATGTTGCAGAATGAGCACTGTAAGAGATTTACCACCCATTGCTGGATCAATCATCTGGGTAAAACAAATTGACTTTCAATTAACGATGTATCTCAGACGCGTCGAGGATGTACTCGGTAAAATAAATTTTCACAAGAATTATTTAGTCTCAAAAAATTTTTCTCTCGTCGATTCTCTAACGCCAAACTTTGTACAGGCAAAGGATGGGAAAATCATATCGAAGGCCAAAAATTGAAAGCCGACGGCGATAGTTTTCGCACGAAACTCTCGACTCAGGAAATTTTTGACGACTGGGCTCGTAAAGTGCAACAACGTAACATCGGGGTGACCGGTCGCATATTTACGATAGAGTCCATACGCTCGCGTGTAGGTAGAGGAAATATTCTCAAGCTGAAGGTCAATTTTCTGCCGGAAATCATAACTTTGTCAAAAGAAGTGAGAAATTTGAAAAATTTAGGATTTCGCGTGCCTATTGCTATTGTTAACAAAGCGCATCAGGCCAATTTACTCTATCCATTCGCAATTAGTCTCATTGAAAGCATCAGAACGTACGAGAGAACGCTAGAAAAGGTAACTTCAGTTTTATACTTGGTAATTTTGAAAAATTGAAATACTTGCTTTACTCTTATTTATTTTCTTTATAATTCAGATTGAGGACAAGTCCAGTATCATACCTTTGATTGCTGGTCTTCGTAGAGACGTCCTAACACTCATCACCGAGGGCATAACTCTCATTTGGGAGAGCTACAAATTAGATTCTTATGTACAGCGCCTCTCAGATGCTGTTCTGTCGTTCCAAGAAAAGGTCGAAGATCTTTTGGTTGTCGAGGAACAACTCGACGTTGACGTACGTTCGCTCGAAACGTGTCCGTATTCCGCCAATACGTTCGCCGACATTTTGATCAAAATTCAAAAATCAGTCGACGAGCTCTGTTTGAAGAACTTTTCGAATTTGCATTTATGGGTGTCACGATTGAACGACGAGGTAGAGAAGAGCTTAGCATTCCGACTAGAAGCTGGCATCAAAGCTTGGACAGATGCTCTTATGGGCAGGAAAAAGGTCGATTTGAGCATGGACACCGATGCACCCATGCTACCCGCGCATAAGCTAGGCGGTGATCCCAAGATACAGAATCAATTCCACGAAGTTCGCATTACCAACCAAACGATGTATCTGTATCCGAGTATAGAAGACGCAAGATTCCAAATAATGCAGCAGCTTTTTGCTTGGCAAGCGATCGTGACTTCTCAGACTCGAATCCAAAGTTCTAGATACCAGGTGGGTCTGGACAAACAGGAATCGAGTACTTACCGAAATCTGTTGACCAAATTGCCCTCGGGCAAAAATGCACTGGAGATGTCTTATGACGCCATCGAGCAGAAAATGCTCGACATCAACAACTACGTCGATCAGTGGCTTCGTTATCAATCGCTCTGGGATCTGCAGCCAGAAAATCTCTACGGCAAATTGGGCGAAGATATTACGCTGTGGATTAAGTGCCTGAACGACATCAAGAAAACTAGGGCAACTTTCGATACATCCGACACGAGGAAAGAATTCGGCCCCGTCATCATCGACTTTGCCAAAGTCCAAAGCAAGGTGTCTCTGAAATACGACTCCTGGCACAAGGAGACGCTCGGAAAGTTCGGCTCACTGCTCGCCAACGAGATAGCCAGCTTCCACTCGCAAATATCGCGATCAAGATGCGACCTCGAGCAGCACTCGATCGAAACGGCCAGCACGACGGAGGCCGTCACCTTCATCACCTACGTGCAGTCGCTGAAGCGAAAGATGAAGCCGTGGGAGAAGAAGGTCGATATTTATCGCGAGAGTCAGAGGATCCTCGAGAGGCAGCGATTCCAGTTCCCCTCGAACTGGCTGCACGTCGACAATATCGAAGGCGAGTGGGGAGCTTTCAATGAGATTATGAGACGCAAGGACACGACCATTCAAACACAAATATCTTCGCTGCAGCTCAAGATCGTGGCCGAGAACAAGGCCATCGAGGTCAGAACGTCGGACTTCCTCAACGATTGGGAGCAAGAAAAACCGGTCGAGGGACATTTGCGTCCAGACGATGCTCTCCAGCAAATCTGTACCTTCGAGAGCAAATTCGCTCGCATCAAAGAGGAGCGAGACAACGTTAGCAAGGCCAAAGAAGCTTTGGAACTTACCGAAACAGGTGGAAGTTCGGATAACGAGGCTCGAATGCAGGTGGTGTTTGAGGAGCTTCAAGACCTAAAAGGAGTCTGGTCGGAGTTGCTGAAGATTTGGACGCAGATCGATGAGATTCGCGAGAAGCCTTGGCTCTCGGTGCAACCGAGAAAGCTGCGCATACAATTGGATGCCATGCTGACCCAACTGAAGGAACTGCCCGCGCGACTGAGACAGTACTCGTCGTACGAGTACGTGAAAAAGCTTCTGCAGAATCATCTGAAAGTCAACATGCTCATCATAGAACTGAAATCGGACGCGTTGAAAGAACGGCACTGGAAGCGTCTCACGAAGCAGCTGAAGGTCAATTGGTCGTTGAACGAGTTGACTCTAGGACAGGTCTGGGACGTCAACCTGCAGAAAAACGAAGGAATCGTCAAGGATATCATACTGGTGGCTCAAGGAGAAATGGCGCTTGAAGAATTCTTGAAACAAGTTCGCGAGGCTTGGCAGAATTACGAGTTGGATTTGATTCATTATCAAAACAAGTGTCGCTTGATTCGCGGATGGGACGACCTATTCAACAAAGTCAAGGAACACATCAATTCCGTGGCAGCTATGAAATTATCTCCGTACTACAAGGTATTCGAAGAAGAGACCATAAGTTGGGAGGAAAAACTCAACAGAATCAATGCACTCTTCGACGTTTGGATCGACGTACAACGAAGATGGGTGTATTTGGAAGGCATCTTTTCTGGCAGCGCAGATATCAAAACTTTGCTACCAGTTGAAACATCACGTTTCCACAGTATAAGTTCTGAATTTTTGGGACTCATGAAAAAGGTCTCAAAGTCTCCCATGATAATGGACATCTTAAATATTCCTGGCGTTCAAAGATCTCTCGAGCGTCTAGCTGACTTGCTCGGAAAGATTCAGAAGGCTCTGGGTGAGTACCTCGAAAGAGAAAGAACATCGTTCCCTCGATTCTATTTCGTCGGTGACGAAGATTTGCTCGAAATCATCGGCAACAGTAAGAATCTGACGAGGCTCCAGAAGCACTTCAAAAAAATGTTTGCCGGCGTCGCGACCATCATACTCAACGAGGAAAACGACATTATTTTGGGTATCGCCTCTCGCGAAGGTGAGGAAGTCATCTTCCAGAATCCCGTGTCAACCGTGATCCACCCCAAGATCAACGAGTGGCTGTCACTAATTGAAAACGAGATGCGAGTCACTCTTGCCTCGAGCTTGGCCAGAGCAGTCGAAGACATCAAGAAATTCCGTCAGAACTTCTCATCGCAATATCTAATGAGCTGGTGCGACAAGTATCAGGCTCAAATCGTCATTCTGGCGGTACAGATAATCTGGTCGGAAGACGTCGAGAACGCGCTGCAGGAGGCACAAGATAATCAAAAGACCAATCCGCTCGAGCGCGTGCTGTCCAACGTCGAGAGTACCCTGAACATCCTAGCCGATTCCGTACTGCAAGAGCAGCCGGCGCTGCGCCGCAAAAAGCTCGAGCACCTCATCAACGAGTTCGTGCACAAGCGTACAGTGACGAGGCGACTGATCGCCAACAACGTCACCAGCCCCAAGGCTTTCGAATGGCTGTGTGAGATGAGATTTTACTTCGACCCGCGGCATCCCGACGTGTTGCAGCAACTTACCATCCACATGGCCAATTCGAAATTCTTCTACGGCTTCGAGTATCTCGGCGTACAGGATCGACTCGTGCAGACGCCGCTTACCGACAGGTGCTACTTGACCATGACGCAGGCGCTCGAGTCGCGTCTGGGTGGATCGCCCTTTGGACCTGCGGGTACGGGAAAAACCGAATCGGTCAAAGCTTTGGGACATCAGCTCGGCCGATTCGTATTGGTATTCAATTGTGACGAGACCTTTGACTTCCAGGTGAGATTTTTTTCAACGTAAAACTTCGCGGTTTTTCGATCTTGTTACATTTATTCAATCTTTTTTCCAGGCCATGGGTCGCATATTCGTTGGTCTGTGTCAAGTAGGAGCTTGGGGTTGCTTCGACGAATTCAATCGTTTAGAAGAGCGTATGCTCTCGGCTGTATCGCAGCAAGTCCAGACGATTCAAGAAGCCTTGAAAAATCAAATCGAGGGTAAAAAAGAGGATGCCTTATGTGTCGAATTGGTTGGCAAACAAGTCAAAGTATCACCCGACATGGCTATCTTCATCACTATGAATCCTGGATACGCCGGCAGATCGAACTTACCTGACAATTTGAAAAAACTGTTCAGATCTTTAGCTATGACTTCACCAGATAGACAGTTGATTGCCGAAGTCATGTTATTCAGTCAAGGTTTCCGAAAGGCCGAGAAACTAGCTTGTAAAATTGTTCCATTCTTCAGGTGAGCATCGAAAATTATGATTACCTCTAATAATTTTTGAAATAGTTTTAAACATTTAAATTTGTTTACAGATTATGTGATGAGCAATTGTCCAATCAATCTCATTACGACTTCGGTCTGAGAGCTCTGAAATCAGTTTTAATATCCGCGGGTAATGTCAAGCGCGATCGAATTCAAAAGATCAAAGAAACCCTGCAAAGTGAATCCGACAGTACCATCGATGAAGCATCTATAGCAGAAAATCTACCAGAACAAGAAATATTGATTCAATCCGTATGTGAAACTATGGTCCCGAAACTCGTTGCTGAAGATATACCGCTTTTATTCAGCTTATTGAACGATGTTTTCCCTAACGTCAACTATACTCGGGCTGAAATGAAAGGTAAAGTTTTATTTAATGTCTTAGCTAAAAAAAAAGTCTAAATGTAGTAATATTCCATGTTATAAATTTGTTTTAGGCCTCAAAGATCAGATTAGAAAGGTATGCGCCGAAGAGTATCTCATTTTCGGTGAAAGCGGCGAAATTGGAGCAGCTTGGCAGGAAAAAGTCCTTCAACTTTATCAAATCTGCAATCTTAATCACGGTTTAATGATGGTTGGACCTAGTGGTTCCGGTAAAACGAGCGCTTGGAAAGTTTTATTGAAATCTCTCGAAAGATTAGACGGCATGGAGAGCGTTGCGCATGTAATTGATCCCAAAGCAATCAGCAAAGAATCTCTGTATGGTGTGCTCGATCCAAACACTCGTGAATGGACTGATGGTCTTTTCACGCATATTTTGAGAAAGATCATCGACAATGTACGAGGAGAAATCAACAAAAGACAATGGATAATTTTCGACGGTGACGTCGATCCTGAATGGGTAGAAAATTTGAATTCGGTGCTTGATGACAATAAATTGTTAACTTTGCCGAATGGTGAAAGATTGAGTCTTCCACCGAATGTCCGAATAATGTTCGAAGTTCAAGATTTGAAATACGCGACACTTGCCACCGTATCGCGTTGCGGTATGATTTGGTTCTCCGAGGATATTTTATCCACCGAAATGATTTTCGATAATTACATGTTGCGCCTGAAGAATATAGCTCTTGATGAAGGTGAGGACGAAATCGTTGTGTCTAAAAAAGTCGAAAGGGACGAGAACAGCACACCAGCTTTAACTGTTCAAAATCACGCCGCTAATGTATTAGCCAGCTTCTTCCAACCGGAGGGTCTTGTAGTGAGATGTTTAGAATACGCGATGAAACAAGAGCACATAATGGACTTCACACGACTCAGAGCTCTAAACTCTCTGTTTTCAATGCTCAATCAATCCATTAGAAACATCATACAATACAATCACTCTCATCCAGATTTCCCATTGTCCAATGAAAAACTGGAACATTATTTGACAAAGTCATTGATTTACGCTTTGCTGTGGAGTTTCACTGGCGATGCCAAATTAAAAACCCGATCAGACTTTGGTGATTTTATACGATCCATCACTACGATACACTTACCTGCCCAGGCAAACATTCCGATTGTAGATTATAAGGTCGATATCACTGGAGAGTGGCAACCTTGGAGCAATAAAGTACCACAAATCGAAGTCGAAACTCACAAAGTAGCTTGCCCAGATGTTGTAGTACCCACTCTCGATACAGTTAGACACGAAAGTCTTCTGTACACATGGTTGGCAGAACATAAACCTTTAGGTAAGAAAATAATCTTGTAACTAATTGAAGCAAAGATTATGGCTGTTTTTAACACGATTTATTTTTCAGTTCTTTGCGGTCCACCTGGATCAGGAAAAACTATGACCCTGTTTTCGGCACTTAGAGCTCTACCCGAAATGGAAGTTGTTGGTCTCAATTTCTCCTCGGCAACAACGCCAGAACTACTTTTGAAAACTTTCGATCACTATTGCGAATATCGTAAGACTCCGAACGGTGTCATCCTGTCCCCGGTTCAACTTGGAAAATGGCTCGTGTTGTTCTGCGACGAAATTAATTTGCCTGAAATGGATTTGTATGGAACTCAGCGAGTAATTTCATTCTTGAGGCAGCTCGTGGAGCACAAGGGATTCTACCGTTCCTCAGATCAGGCTTGGGTTTCCATCGAAAGGATCCAGTTCGTCGGAGCTTGTAATCCACCCACCGATCCCGGCAGAAAGCCACTGAGCCATCGATTTTTGCGACACGTGCCTGTCATCTATGTCGATTACCCCGGAGAAATATCTCTGAAACAAATTTACGGAACATTCGTACGCGCAATGTTGAGATTAGTACCTGCGCTGAGGAGTTACGCGGAACCGCTCACAAACTCAATGGTCGAGTTCTATTTGACATCTCAAGAACACTTCACCCAGGACATGCAGCCTCATTACATCTATTCTCCTAGAGAAATGACTCGCTGGGTCCGTGGCATATGCGAAGCCGTAAGACCTTTGGAAACTCTGAGTCCCGAGGGTCTCGTACGTCTCTGGGCTCACGAGGCTCTGCGACTGTTCCAAGATCGTTTGGTCGAAGACGCGGAAAGAATCTGGACTAACAAGATGATTGACGCCGTCGCTCTAAAGCACTTCCCCGGCATCGATGGTCAAACTGCTCTCAAGCGACCTATTCTGTACAGTAATTGGTTGACCAAAGATTACGTGCCTGTAAGTAGATCGGAACTGCGTGACTACGTGAAAGCTAGACTGAAAGTATTTTACGAGGAAGAATTGGACGTGCATCTGGTATTGTTCGACGAAGTTCTGGAGCATGTGCTACGAATCGATCGAATCTTCCGTCAACCGCAAGGACATTTGCTGCTCATCGGTGTTTCTGGAGCCGGAAAAACGACCCTGTCCAGATTCGTAGCCTGGATGAACGGATTAACTGTGTTCCAGATCAAAGTTCACAACAAGTATACCGCCGAAGATTTTGACGAAGATTTGCGTCAAGTACTGCGACGCTCAGGCTGCAAAGACGAAAAGATAGCCTTCATCTTGGACGAGTCAAACGTTCTGGACTCGAGCTTCCTGGAGCGAATGAACACGCTCCTAGCCAACGGTGAAGTGCCCGGTCTGTTCGAGGGCGACGAGTACTCGACTTTGATGACACAATGCAAGGAAGGCGCCCAGCGAGAGGGACTGATGCTCGATTCCAATGAAGAGCTTTATAAGTGGTTCACCGGCCAGGTGATGAAAAATCTCCACGTCGTCTTCACCATGAACCCGAGCACTGCAGAACTGAAAAGTCGTGCCGCTACATCGCCCGCTCTGTTCAATCGTTGCGTGCTCAATTGGTTCGGTGATTGGTCCGATAACGCACTGTTCCAAGTCGGCAAGGAATTCACCGGTCGCATCGACTTGGACAATCCGCACTGGATCTGTCCGGACTATTTCCCGTCTAGTTGCTCGATGGTGAACGATAAGATAACCCATCGCGAGGCCGTGGTCAACGCCTTTGTATACGTGCATCAGACGCTTTACAAGGCCAACTCGAAATTGGCCAAGAGAGGCTACAGGACAATGTCGATAACACCACGACATTATTTGGACTTCATCAACCACTTCGTAAAATTGTACCAAGAGAAGCGCAGCGATCTGGAAGAGCAACAACTTCATCTCAACGTAGGTCTGAGCAAAATAGCCGAAACCGTCGAGCAAGTCGAGGAGATGCAGAAGAGCCTCGCCGTCAAATCCCAAGAACTGCAGGCTAAGAACGAAGCAGCCAACGCCAAGCTCAAACAGATGGTCAAAGATCAGCAGGAGGCTGAACGTAAGAAGGTTCAAAGTCAAGATATTCAACAACAATTAGCCGTGCAAACCGTGGCTATAAACCAGAAGAGGGACGACGTAATGGCCGATCTAGCGCAAGTCGAGCCAGCCGTCATCGACGCCCAGAACGCCGTGAAATCCATCAAGAAGCAACATCTGGTCGAGGTGCGATCGATGGCCAATCCACCGGCCATCGTCAAGGTAGCACTGGAGTCCATATGTCTGCTGCTCGGCGAGAACGCCAACGATTGGAAATCCATTCGTGCCGTCATCATGCGCGACAACTTCATCAATACGATCGTGTCGAACTTTAGTACCGAGAACATCACCGACGACGTACGCGAAAAAATGAAGAGCCGCTATCTGGTCAATCCGGACTACAACTTTGAGAAGGTGAATCGCGCCAGTATGGCTTGTGGACCTTTGGTCAAATGGGCCATCGCCCAGATCGAGTACGCGGACATGCTAAAACGCGTCGAGCCGCTGCGCGAGGAACTGTTCTCGCTGGAGCAACAGGCCGAGACGAACAAGAACAAGGGCGAGGAAGTGAAGAACCTGATCTCGCAGCTGGAGCTGAGTATCGCCTCGTACAAGGAGGAATACGCCCAGCTCATATCCCAAGCGCAGGCCATCAAAACCGACCTGGAGAATGTGCAGGGCAAGGTCGACCGATCGATCGCTCTTCTCAAGTCGCTGGTGATCGAGCGAGAGAGATGGGAGTTGACCAGCGAGACGTTCAGAAGCCAGATGTCGACCATTGTGGGCGACGTGCTGCTGTCATCCGCATTCCTGGCTTACGCCGGATACTTCGATCAACACTATCGTCAGAGCCTCTTCTCCACTTGGTGTCAGCATCTGCACAACGCCAAGCTGCAGTTCCGTATGGACATCGCCCGCACGGAATACTTGTCCAATCCGGACGAGCGTCTCAGGTGGCAGGCCAACGCCCTGCCGACCGACGAGCTGTGCATGGAGAACGCTATTATGCTGAAACGCTTCAACCGCTATCCACTCATCATCGATCCCTCGGGCCAGGCCACGGAATTCTTGCTCAACGAATTCAAATCGCGCAAGATCACCAAGACCAGTTTCCTGGATGACTCGTTCAGAAAGAACTTGGAGAGCGCCTTGAGATTCGGAAATCCTTTGCTCGTGCAAGACGTGGAAAATTACGATCCTATACTGAATCCAGTCTTGAACAGAGAACTGAGGCGCACCGGTGGACGTGTTTTGATCACGCTCGGCGACCAAGACATCGATTTGTCGCCGTCGTTCGTCATTTTTCTGTCGACCAGGGACCCTACTGTCGAATTCCCACCGGACATCTGCTCGAGAGTGACCTTCGTGAATTTCACGGTCACGCGCAGCTCGCTGCAGAGCCAGTGCTTGAATCAAGTGCTCAAGGCCGAGCGTCCCGATATCGATGAGAAACGATCCGACTTGTTGAAGCTCCAGGGTGAGTTCCATCTGCGTTTGAGGCAGCTAGAAAAATCTTTGCTGCAGGCCCTGAACGACGCCAAGGGTAAGATCCTTGATGACGACTCCATCATCACGACTCTGGAAACACTGAAGCAAGAGGCTGCCGACATCAGCAAGAAGGTCGAGGAAACCGACAAAGTCATATCTGAAATCGAGAACGTGTCCCATCAATATCTGCCGCTGTCTCAAGCTTGCTCTAACATCTATTTCACGATGGACAGCTTGAACCAGATTCACTTCTTGTATCAGTACTCGTTGAAGATGTTCCTCGACATATTTACCTCCGTGCTGACGAAGAGCCCGGAACTCTCGAAGCTGTCCGGCTATACCGAGCGATTGAACCACATCACCAAAGACCTCTTCTCCGTCTGTTACGAGAGAGTCGCGAGAGGTATGCTGTATCACGATCGACTCACCTTTGCCTTGCTCCTCTGTCGCATCCAACTCAAGGGAATGCTGCCCGGAGCCAGCTACGACAAGGAGTTCTCGTTCTTCTTGCGTGGCAAGGAGGGCGTGCTGAAGGAGATCTCCCTTAACATTCCTTACCTCAGCTCGGAACAGGTCGAAGCCATGGTTCGACTGAGCTCCAAATTACCGCAATTCTTGAAGCTGCGTGACGACGTGCAAGACAGCGCTGACTTCAATGCCTGGCTACAGTGCCAGACGCCCGAAACTTGCGTGCCGAAACTTTGGAACGAAGAGAAGGTGACGTCGAAACTTGGCGTATCGATCAACCAACTGTTGATCATACAAGCTTTCAGGTAAGAATATTGAGCTTTTTTTTTCATGATAATTGTTCCCTCTGAATTTCGTGTTTTTACATAAATTGATATTTTTACGCAGACCCGATCGCGTCATTGCCTCCGCATCTTTGGTCGTCGATTCCATTCTCGGCGAATCGTTCATGAGCTCGGCGGAGAGCGAGCTGAACTTTGTCAACGTCGTCGAAAACGAGCTGAAATCGTCGGTACCGGCTCTGCTGTGCTCAGCGCTTGGATTCGATGCCTCCAGTCGTGTCGACGATTTAGCAGCCGAGTTGGGCAAACAGATCGTCAGCATAGCCATCGGTTCCGCAGAAGGTTTCAGCCAGGCTGACAAGGCCATTAATCATGCCGTAAAGACAGGCAGATGGGTACTCCTGAAGAACGTGCATTTGGCACCCCAATGGCTCGTCCAGCTGGAAAAGAAGTTGCACAGTCTGCAGCCACATCAAAACTTCCGGTTATTCTTGACCATGGAGATCAACTCGAAGGTGCCGGTCAATTTGCTGAGAGCCGGTCGCATATTTGTGTTTGAGCCACCGCCAGGCATAAGGGCCAATCTGCTGAGGACGTTTAACACCGTGCCGGCAGCGAGAATGATGAAACAGCCGAACGAAAGAGCTCGTCTGTACTTCCTTCTAGCGTGGTTCCATGCCATCGTCCAAGAGCGTTTGCGATACGTACCTCTTGGTTGGGCCAAATATTATGAGTTCAACGAGAGCGATCTGAGAGTAGCCTGTGACACCCTGGACACCTGGATCGACTCGACGGCCATGGGCAGAACGAATTTGCCACCAGAAAAGGTTCCATGGGACGCCATTATCACGCTGCTCTCTCAGTGCATTTACGGCGGTAAGATCGACAACGACTTCGATCAGCGTCTGCTCACCTCGTTCCTGAGGAAGCTCTTCACGCCGAGATCATTCGACGCGGACTTCGCCCTCGTGGCCAACGTCGATGGCAATGTGAATAATCAGCGTCACATTACCATGCCCGAGGGCACGAGGCGCGATCACTTCCTCAAATGGATCGAGTCGCTATCGGACAAGCAGACACCGAGCTGGCTCGGATTGCCGAACAACGCCGAGAAGGTGCTGCTGACCAACAAGGGCACGGACTTGATTTCCAAGCTGCTGAAGATGCAGCTGCTCGAAGACGAGGACGAATTGGCCTATAGTAACGATGAGTCGCTGGATACGACACACGAAGCGGAGACCGACGGTCGTCCGGTTTGGATGAAGACCCTCTTCAATTCGGCCTCAACTTGGCTGCAATTGCTACCAAAGAACTTGGAAACTTTGAAGAGAACTGCGGAGAATATCAAAGATCCTCTGTACAGATACTTCGAGAGAGAAGTCAAAATTGGCTCTCAAATTCTCAAGGACGTAATAAACGATTTGGAAGATGTCGTGTCGATATGTCAAGTAAGCTCATGTTTATTATTTCTCAAGTATTTTTCTTACTTTTATCTATCTTCATAATCAACTGTATTTTTCTAGGGCGAGAAAAAGCAGAACAATCACCATCGCACCATGTTATCGGATCTTCTGAAAGGTATTTTACCATCAAACTGGAGAAGATATACCGTGCCATTCGGATGTACAGTCATACAATGGATTACTGACTTTAGTCATAGAATTTCACAGCTGCAAGAAGTGTCGCGATTAGTTTTGCAATTAGGAGCCAAAGAGTTGAAGGTATTATTTTGGACTTTTTAAAGTATTTATACTTGAGACTTTATTTTTTGTATTTATCAAATTTTTACTTTTTTCTATAGAATTTCCCTGTATGGCTCGGTGGTTTATTCAATCCCGAGGCTTACATTACGGCAACCCGCCAATGCGTCGCCCAAGCCAACTGCTGGCCTCTCGAGGAATTGCATTTGGAAGTCAACGTGAGCAACAACGAGCACAGCGAGAGCAGCGATTGCTCGTTCTCTATAACCGGATTGAAGCTTCAAGGCGCCCAATGTAAAAATAATCAGCTATTCTTAACATCGACCATCATGACGGATTTGCACAAAGTAACTCTGCGCTGGATTCGCATCACGTCAGGAAAAACGAATTATTGCAAGCTGACGCTACCGGTTTACTTGAACAGCACGCGTACCGATTTGTTGTTTACTATTAATTTGAACATAGCGCCCAATCAGGATCCGCACAGCTTCTACGAGAGAGGCGTAGCTATTATTAGTTCTACGGCATTAAATTAAACAAATAAGAAGTTACATTTATTATGCATTTGAAAAATATATATATTTTGTTTTTTTCTACTAATGCGGATGATTTTGCATTCGGTGTTAGCCTGATGTATTAAAACAATTTTTATTTTGAATAAATTCAAACATTACTAATATTATATTTGTCATGATGAATATTTACTAAATATCCATCTCTTTCATAATCATAAAACTCCAAAAAATTTCGACGATTCACAAATAAGTATATTTGTTTCTAGTGAATAAAAATGTTGTAATATACATAATCCAGCTCAATTATTTAAAAAATAGACAAAACATGAAGTGATATTAATAAGAGTCACAACTTTTTTCTTATGGAGAAAGTAATTTAAAAGTTAATAAAAAAAATGGTTCTTAAAGTAATAAATACTGAGATAGTTTTTAAGTGCGTTTTTTTCATCTTTACTTTTTTGAAAATGAGATTTAACTTAAGCTAATTCTTTTTCTTCAGAAAGTATTAATATATTGAAATGGTACATAAGGATCTAATTCTTACATATGAAACATTACAAGAAAACAATTCATTATAATTTTCAAGATATTTCGATAAAAACGTTAAGTATTTATTACAATCACATGCCTCGTCTAGAAGCACTTGGTAAAAGTAATTGAACTTCTGCTACAGCGTCTGGGAAAAGCGAATGATAATTCGCGACAGGAACGTAAGCAGCAGTGATGACGCGCCCAGCAAACCATCTACCATGTAACGAATTTACAGCTGCAACAGCCGTAACGATAGATGGGCACTTGACGTAAACATTTCCTTGTGGCGATGCCTGATCAACATAAATGTGCAGAACACCACCGTGCTTATTGCACTCTTCAATAACATCGTCTTGTATTTCTTTGGCCCACGTCGGATTTGTTTCACTGAAAGGATTGGAATTATTGTAGTAAATAGTATATATTAACTTAAATTTTAATTTAATAACTTACTTTTGTGGGTCAAACATATTAGATAGCATAAAACACTGAGTTGCTATTGGAGGTGCTGTTTGTGGAGCTGGAGCTGGATTAGATGTTGGTATATTTAAAGCATTGGCAGCAGCAGCAGGAATTTCCAATCCTGTACCTTCTGCCAACTTGAACATCAACTGCAGCCTGCCACTAGCTCCAAGATCAATTCCAGTTCTGTCAAGTTCATCGTTGTCCAATATCGACGAACCTTGCATTAAATCAGCACGTTCAGTGACATTGCCTACTTTCATTGGTCGTCCAGCTAATTCAAATCCATTTAACTGTTCTAGAGCTTTTTTAGCATCTTCAGCGTTTCTAAACTGAAATGGTTAAAATATAATTTAATATTAATTTACCAGAGTTACGTTTATTTGTCAAGAGTTAATTAGAATTGAAATAGTTACCGTTAAAAAGCCGTAGCCTTTACTCCTTCCAGTTTCAGGATCCATCATCAATTGTATATTTTCAATTTTGCCAAAAGGTTCAAAAATACCTCTTAACATATCTTCAGTTATATTAAAGTGTAAAGAGCCAACATAAAGCCGCATTGGACCAGTTTGACCTTTGGGCATAAGGTTTGGCATTGAATTACCCATTCGATTTTTTTCCGCTTGAGTGTGTTGAACTACAATGGGAATTCCCAATATTTTTTGACCAGATAATCCAAGAGCCTAAAAATAGAGTTATATTTAAATAGATTTAAATCGTGTATACTCATTTGAAGAAAAATTTAATTACTTACAAGTGTTACACTTTCAGGATCTTTGAATTCAACATAAGCAATTCCTTTGAAACGCCTCGTTTTATTACAAGTTATTAATCGAACGTCTTGTACTTTGCCCACGCTCGAAAAGAATTCTTCCAAATCCCGACCTCGAATTCGCTGATTCAATTGCATGCAGAAAATTGTCCTAGCATCTCGTTCTTCGGGTGTTAATTCATCGCCTTTGCTAAAATAAAAAAATAAATATTTTTCAATTTTGATTAATCATTGAATAATTTTCAATTTTTTAGATAGACCATATATAGATTGAGGATAAAAACTTACGCAGCAAGTGGACTTCCGCCTTTTTTCAAGTGTCGAGGGGCTCTAGGGAGTGAAATAGGTGTTAGTGATCTTTTTCTTCTTTTATCATAGTCCCTGTCTCTATCTCCTCTATCACCTCTATCTCCTCGGTCTCCTCTTTCTCCTCGGTCGCGTTCCCTTTCCCTATCCCTGTCCCTGTCTCTATCTCTGTCCCGGCCATCACGAATTTTGTCACTTTCTTTGTCTCGCCTATCTTTAGAATGTGATTTGTGCCTTCTTTCCGAATCTCTGTGTCTGTCACTTCTGTCACGCCTACTTTTGTCTCTATGACGATCTCGGGATTTTGATCGCGATCGAGATCTATGTTTGTCTTTTCTAAAAAACAATAATTATAATTTTATTAATTTTTCAATACTCTATGAAAATAAAACGTAAAAAGATTAAAAATTACCCAGAAGATGACTTTTTGCTGGAGCCATTTTCTTTGTATGATTTATCCTTTGTAGAATCACGTTCCTAAAATAATAAAGTTTTAATAAGTTCATTTGCTTATAAATATAAAATATAATAAGTATCAATTGTAGTTATTGGAGACGTTCAATTAAATTAAACTTTAAAAAAATTTGACTCTTATGTACTAACTTTAATAGTTTTCTAGTTATTAACTATTAAATTTTAACTGGGACAAAATCCATAAAAAATTTTATTATGCTGTTTTTTAATCAACATTACTAAAAATGTCAAAAGTTCTCGACTGCAGCTTACATTGCTTATTATTATAACTAATTTCTTGGGTGTAGCTCTTATGGTGATAATTTATATGGTGTGTAACAGTGGTGAAATCCTAGTATGCCAACAAGGGTCAGGAACAATGAAGCCGTTTTTTGTTTATGATTCGATTGATGGAAAATCCTTTCATAGACAACATCTTCATTCTAATATAATAATACCGTAAAAATTTCGAATAAATAAGTGTGCTGATAAATGTAGAAAGATTAAACTCATAAAATATAATTTTTTTACACATGGAACATTTATCAGTTACTAGATAGTCAAGCTATTTTAAGGATTCAGGGTAGATATTTTCCAATAATAATTATGTATTAATAAGTGTTAGTAAATATATTAATTAACTACTATAGTTAAAAATGTTATGATGTGTATTTAATAAGAATAATAATTATTTATCACATGGCTTATTTGAAGTTTCTAAACGAATGGTTGAACCAGGTAAGTCGCATGCAGGCTTTACTGTAAAAAACATGAAAAATGGATTCTAAGCGTTTGAAGTGCACAAATAAGTTACGTACCCCTTTTTTGTACGATGCCTCCAGCATCTCCTCAACATCTGAATCCTCCGCCATTTTCTGTAATAAAATAAAGTAAAATTAATCATTTATAAGAATTCATAAAATGAATAAACAATATCAGAAGCTATTAACAATATAAGTTTTGTTAGTATACATGTTTGGAACATATTCTTAGTCGCTAACCTCATCTTCAAGCATGCCTCTTTGGCACAAATTTTAACATGAACAGTTAACATTAGTTAATAGACAATATTCAAAAATATTGAAAAGGTATCATTGTTCAACACAAACTCACTAATGAGGGATTATGAATGAAACCGCTATCCGGTTTCAGGGTTACAATACATCAAGTCTTAGTTCATTCTTACCTTCAATGTGGTTATTGATCAAAACAAGTCGAGAATAATTTATGCACAGATTTTTAAAAACATCATAAGTTTTTATCGTGCGTTAAGTTGCGTTTGTTGCCTCTTTCGGCTTGGCAACAACCAAACAGTCCGCTTGATTCTCGTCCCTACGATGAAATTCTAATTTTATTTCTAAAAATGTTTTTAACCTACTCTTATAGATTAATTTTGTAACAATTACACATTGACACTTTTTTCCCCAAGTCAGGTGTTAACTTTTATCAATGTTGCAGGTTATAAACAATCACAAACTACACAGTGAACCAAGATCAGCGCCCGTTTGTACCGCACGTAGGTTACGCGGTAACTTAGGAGTTAGGATATATATATATCGTAATGTAATGGCACGTTCAGTTTCGCACCGTCTCCGCTTTATATATTTCGCAACTATTTCGAACCACGCACGGCATCGAAGCATTCGTATGTGGTGACTGGTGTGTATCATGCAGAGCGCGCGGAAATTCTTCGCTTATTACAATGCACACACACGCCAGTTTATCGCGGATCAACGTGGCACAGCCAATTCGAGAGCGCGCCGAGGCGTCCAGTTTTTTTCTGACGTTTGTTTGTGTCGCTCTAACCCAAAAAGCCGCCAAAAGGTGGATTCTAATCTCTCTGGGGTATATCAGTGGAAAAAGCGGGGCCACTCTACGTGATATTCCGTATGCCTCGGTTTGGTCAATTTCCACTACGGCCTACGGGTTTACGGAGTTCGACTTCGAAATCTATATGCCTTCTGTATTATCGCGGTCTAAATATAAAATGTGTCACGAGCGTGTGAGCTTTCTACAATTTCACGTGCATGAGTTTTTCATCGATGACGGTTACGAGACCGTAGATTTATGTGTACCTTGACGATTACTCATTTTTTGAATTCTGGTGATTCATGATCGAACCATTTTTCGAACTTTGATATGAAGAAAAATAATTTTAGATTACTTTCTATCAATAATTTTCATATCATGGGTTATACACAGCATAAACTTATTGTTCATGCATGTAATGATACAATTTCTTCGTTTAAATCAAAAGTACGATGAAAAAAAAAGAAACGAAAAGTGTAAAACTAGCTTCTCACGGAGTATTTTTCTCATAGCTCCTCAACTAGCTAACGACGTCCGTTTTGCGATCCTCTTCGTGTTTTCTCGAGAGATCCACAAACCTACATGCTCGGAGGCCGTAAATACGTCACGATTAATTTCAGCTCGTCACTTAATTAAGATAAGAGTAGTATAAAGCCGCACCGCCAGCGACTCAGCAGGAAGCGAAACAATCAAACGTAATGAGGCTTTACAATTGAACTGTTGGGCACTTGGCAGCTGAACACATTTAATTATCCTGACCGATGATCTTACAGTTTTGCGAGAATTATTTTTAAACATTTTGCTGGATCGCGAAGTTGCACATCAGCGATGTAACATTCGAATCAATCTAGGAAAATCGCTGTAATAATTTAATATCGCTGTAATAAGTAATAATTTTTTGTACTTTTTCAAAATTAAAAGTGTTTATCTCAATTTTTAATCGACACGAGATTGTGTTCTTACGATGGTTGTATAATTGCTTAATCGTTATCAACCAACGACACTTTACAATTTATCGCTTAAGTTTCGCGCGTTATACTTGGAAGTTCCGATAAGTAATGCAAAGTAGGTAGCATAGCTTGCGAATGCGTGCTTGCATCATCATAGTTCCTAAATAGCCGCAGGGAGCCGGTTTTTCAGCGTGACTTTATTTTTCAAAGCGATAAGTACTCTTGCACCGTTGATAGAGCGCAAATGATATGATGAAAGCGCGAAATATTTCGTAGGTGTATAGTTCTTAGTTCAAGAAAGTTGTATGCACGAATGTGCATCATATACAAAATAATCTACAGTCTGCTGCCTGTACAGTAGCGATTCGATAATTTAGACGCACAAAGAGAGCCACTGGAATCTTGAGAATTCGGGAGAAAGCACATGGGGAGAAACCCTGTGCCTGCCAGACGGATTATAATCGGCGCTCGCTTCTCGACAGCAGCAGTAGCCGCAGCAGTAGGGGGGCCATCAAAGGCCAGACAGACTCGCCACACACGCACGAAAGTCTGCAGCTCCGCACATTTCGCGCTGGATAGTGACTCCATCTGCTTGCACGGATTAAAAAGCAGAATCTTGACACTGCTGCTGTATATTCTCGCAGCGCAGCAGCAGCAGGAGCACGCATATTGTGTGCACTGTAGCAGCAGCAGCAGCAGCAGCAGTAGTGCTTTTTAACGCAAAAATATTCCAATAGTCGAGGCAATTCCATCTGCGGAGTGTCGCGCGACGTTTTACATTACACGGCGTTCGCTGGGACAATACGTACACACATTTTCACCGTGTGCTGCGCGCCGCGACGACTGTGCCTCATTAAATATTCATCCCGCTGTATACTAGACAGTAGACACACAGCAGCAGCAGCAGCAGCTCAAACGATGGTGTACGACGACGTGAGAAAAGCGGCCAGCTGCGATCGTCGTTGTTATGTTTAACGTCAAATTTATCAGCGTACACGCGACGACGACGAGGGCACACTTTCCAATATGTAAACAGTCTGCATCGCTCCGGTGGACGACGAAATCTTGCAATCTCGCTCATTAACGAAAAAAAGGAGCCAGCAGAGCTTTTCTTAGTGTGAGATTATAATTTGCAATTTTTTTACTGATCTGTGATAATCGAGCGTGAAATGAATGAGCAGCACTTCTGCAAGGTTCATTCTAAATTTAAAAAGAAAGTTCATTAGTGTCATCCTTCTTGATAAGAAAGTCAGTGGGATCTAAGTTTGGAAGTGAGAAGACAAGCAAGGTGGAAGAAGTTGGGAAGAAGAGTATCATTTTAATAGTTGAATTTTTTGATAATTTAAGAAGTGTTTAGAAAAATATTTAATTCAAAATGGCAGCTGGTGGAGACGTCTTTGGTCCTGGAGTGATTTTGCCCAATTATCAGAGATACTTTGGTGCCAACCAAAGCCAATACACACAGCGAAGAGCTTTCAGGACTCGAGAGAAATATTTAATTATATTAGTTCTAATGACATTTAGTCTTGTTTGCTTTGGCGCATTCTTTTATCTGCCAGAAGACATGCGACCAAATAGTCGTTTAGTTTATCGTTCAGTTTATCAGAGTATGAAGAAAGCTGGTCCAGAGCTATTAATACCAGTAATGCCTCAAATCCATAACCTCAACACAAGTAAACTGTCAATTGTTCATCATGATTCAAGGGCTGAAGATATTTATTTATTAAAAGATAAACAAAAGCTTCAGGTAAGCACTCCAAAATTTTTCAAATCATATCTATTCGTATAAAATTTGTATACTTACTTCACTGGTTGTTCGTCTCTTAGTATACTCCTTCAAACCAGCATCGAATATAGATATAATCTTTATGGACACTCAGACAAAACTTCTATTTATATGTACTGCATAATAGACTCCATTCATTAAATATAAATTCCATCTGTCTTATTGCTAAAATTCAGATCTTTTGAGTCATTCGAATTCAACTAAAAACCAAAAAAAATACACTCAATCCATTTAATCAGAAATGGTTTTTAATGTTACATCATTCAAAATTCTATAGATTATAATTTTTCTGAAATTATAAATTTACAAGCAAAACGTAATTCACTCAATTGATCATTTTTAATTCAACGAAAAAAAATTAGTCAAAAAAATTTCTCAAACAAGAAAAACGTAGGTGACGCGTTGGCAATGTATGTCAAAAAATTATTAACTGTCGAGCGAGTTGATGCAAAATAACATTTAGTATCGTTGATAAATTCGCTCGATAATAACATCGATGATATTGAGGTGGTCATAATATCCACGTCACCTTACAAATCGCTAATCAGTTATGCACGCTCAATATGACATAATTATAGCTGCGTCCCATATTGTATTCATTATGTGAATTTTCGCAACTATGAATGATTGAATACGCCGACGATATTTACCTTGCTTCATCATAGAATATTTAATTTAAAAATGCAACACTCTACGTGTACTTTTGATTGAAAAAAAACGCATCAAACACGAATGAAAAAAAAAGTCTAATAGTAGAACTCGTAAAAATGTTTAAAAACACGATCGTTGAATGACGGATGAAATTAAATTTCATTCGCTAGTTTTTGCATTTATGCAATATCCTGTTACGTATCATTTTTCACGAACAAAAATATTCAGCCCGATCGAGTTTTATTTACGAGCTTGCGACAAGAAAAGTCGAGTTTTTTTTTCGTCGCGCATGTATACTTACTTTTGTCGGTTCTTCGATTAGATTCTCTTGGCCGTGACACTTTGAACTTTGCACATTAATAAACCGTAAACGAATTTGAGATGTTTCATTGTTATTGAAAAATAAATTAATCTCACCGGTATCATTCGCCTGTATTGCAGGCTAAGATCGATGAAGATGACATGAATCAGAAGGTCCTGGATAAGCCCGAAACGATGAAACAGACCAGATCGGAAAAGTCGAATCTGTCGACCACGCAGATGTATCAAAGCTGGAACGATATTCCGAAAGCTCAGTACTCCAGATCAGCCGACGATTCGCCGAAGGTCACCGGTGGCGAGGATCCGGATCCCGTGACGCGCCAGAGGAGGGAAAAAGTCAAAGAGGTGAGCTTCTTCGTCCCTTCAACATTCCATATAGTCAACCTTGAATTTATTTACTCATTAATTTTTCCTCTCCGAGCGCAGATGATGAAGCACGGCTGGAACAATTACGTGAGGTACGCCTGGGGCAAGAACGAGCTCAGGCCCATCTCGAAGCGGGCCCACAGCGCCAGCATTTTTGGCAGCTCGATGATCGGCGCCACGATCGTGGACGGCCTCGACACCCTCTACATCATGGGCCTGCACGAGGAGTTCAAGCACGGCCGCGACTGGATCGAGAAGAATCTTAACTTCGACATCGACTCGGACATGTCGCTGTTCGAGCTCAACATACGCTTTCTGGGCAGTCTCTTGGCCAATTACGCCCTGACCGGCGACGAGATGTTCAAGGAGAAGGCGAGGCAGCTCGGGGAACGAATGTTGCCGGCGTTCAAGACGGAAACGGGAATTCCCCATTCTCTCATTAATCTCCATACGGGGGTAAGGCGTCATTTCCATATTTGTTACACGGAGCAAAGCTGTGATATAATACTAATGACAATGTGTTTTTACAGAGGAGTAAAAATTACGCGTGGGCCAGCAATGGCTGTAGTATTTTATCAGAAATAGGTACGATGCATTTGGAATTTATTTACCTTAGTGACATTACTGGAAATCCAATATACAGAGAGAAAGTAATGCAAATCCGAAGGACATTGAATAATCTAGACAAGCCAAATGGATTATATCCTAATTATATTAATCCGAGGACCGGAACCTGGGGCCGACGTAGGTTTTTTTTTTCAAATTATGAAGCATCGTTGGAAAATCGCTCGACACTTTTTTTCTTACCTCGAATAATTTTACAGATCACATGTCGCTCGGTGGTTTGGGCGATAGTTTTTACGAATATTTATTGAAAGCCTGGATCCAGTCGGGCAAAACCGACAGAGAGGCGCGACAAATGTACGACGAAGCGATGGACGCAATCATGACGCACATGATCCTGAAATCCCCCGGTGGACTGCTCTACGCGTCGGACATTCAGTACGAGAGGGTCGAGCACAAAATGGGCCATCTCGCCTGTTTCGCGGGCGGCATGTTCGGCCTGGGAGCCAAGAACGACAACGAGGTCAACGACAGGCACATGGAGGTGGCCAGCGGCTTGACCAATACGTGCCACGAGTCCTACATAAGGACACCGACCAAGCTGGGTCCAGAGGCTTTTCACTTTATCGAAGGCAGCGAAGCTAAGAGTCTGAAAAACGGTGAAAAATACTATATTTTACGACCAGAGGTGAGCATGACAACAAATAATAAATAAAATGACGATAATATTATGAGTTTGAACAATTTTAACTTCTTTCTTTAATCGTTTTTCTGCAGACTTTCGAGTCTTACTTTGTCATGTGGCGGCTAACAAAAGACCCCAAGTACCGTGAATGGGGCTGGGACGCGGTTCAGGCTTTAGAAAAACACTGTCGAGTGCCGGGAGGATACACGGGTCTTCACAATGTCTACCAGGAAGATTCCCCGAAAGACGACGTGCAACAAAGCTACTTTTTCGCCGAAACTCTCAAGGTACGTGTCGAGCCGTGTACAAAACGAATCAAAATATTGTGTGAATTAATTTTTCATTTCTATCATTTTGCAGTATTTGTACTTGCTGTTCAGCGACGATGACTTAATTAGCCTCGATCAGTGGGTCTTCAATTCGGAAGCTCACGCGTTTCCGGTAAGGGGGAAAAACACATTGTATCGATCTGCTCCTGTCGATAGTGATCGTTGAATACAAATTAATTTGACCAAAATGTTTCATACTTACACAAATTGACGCATTTTTAATTTTGTTTCATGTATCGTGTAATTGTAATGTCTCATGTGTTTTTAGAATATATAAAAAAATAGTGCATTGTTTATTAAATTTTTGAGTAAATTTGTATAATATCGTGACGTATTGTATGAATTTATTTATATTAAACATAAATTTATATAAGGAAAACTTTTTTTTAAAACTCAAGTTGTATATACAATGAACTTGTCTGATACTTATATACAATTAGTAAGTGTGTATGTAAAATGTCTTGACTTCCGTTTTATAGGTAAACCAAAAAAAAATTATATTGTTTATTAAAATTAGGCTTGTACCTTATAAAAAAAACAAGAAATTATGTACGTGACATCTTTTTATTACAAAAAATATATCTATCCAATTTGTACAGAATACCAGAAGAGTCGAATTTAATTTTTATCCTCTCACAGACATTCGATACGTTGCAAATTGAAAGGTACACATGTAGTGTGCCGCAGATGAAAATCTACGCTAACTCGAATAATCTTCGACACTTTTTTTCAGAGAGTCTCAGATCGTTATCGGACGCGGTGGGATATGCTCCGATTCGGTACTAAAATTTTTTTTATCGATCGTAATTATTTACGCGATATAAAAACTTCTCACCGTGTCAGTTTCGTTGTGTTCCTCGTCAACAAAACATTCGATTATTCAATTTTTCTACCGACGAATTTGAAAATAATGCACAAAAATAACATCGATGCATTATTTTATACATTGAACGCGCTCCTTGAAATAATATTTCTTACGCGCAATATTATTATGACTCCGACGCTAAAATATCAAGATTATACTTTCACTGCCCCTTTGGTTTCGCGCAAATAGTTATTTATGCACGCGAAGCCTTAGTAGGGGATGTCTATATAGTCGCGACTGCGGCATGTGCCTACTTGCAGGCGCGATACACATGTGTACTTGCATGGAGTCTCTCTTGTTGGTCAGCATCGCGAAGGCTGCCCGCAGCCGAGCTTCTTCGACGTCGATTCTCATCAAAAGGGTCGACGATTTAAAAAAAAAAAAAATACTTCGCTCTCGTTATATCGTCATTATCTTCTTTTCTATTAAATCGCGACTGATGTTGACGTACTTCTGAACAATAAAGACGATGATAAAAGTATAATAATATTGTTATTATACGTATTATATTATATTTTATCGCGGCGTCAGAAACTAAAACCGAATTTCCCTTTTTCCAAGCTCTTTCTCTCTGTATACTCGCGCGCGCGCGCGTTTTCCGCACACATAAAAAACAGCGGCAGCAGCGCAGAAAGGGTTCGTCGTCGTCGGGTGCTGCTGCGGCGCATGTACCACCATCCTATATAGGTATATACGGCAGATATAGCACGAATCCGCGTTGTGTGCCTGAGAAGCTATCGTCGTAATTGATTCAATCGACGAAAAACACGAGGAATACGACACCGCAGCCGGGGCGCGCTTTATACGCTCGTCGTACATGCCGCATATACAGTCTGCGGGGCTATGTGTGTATGTGTGTGTGTATATAACTACACTGTATACCGTTGCAATGTACCAACTAACGCGTAATGAGGTGCTAAAAGTTGGCTCAATAAAAAAGTAAAAAAAAAAAAGAAGCGAGAGAAAGAACGACGATGAAAGAATCGTTGTTATATACGGGAGTATCTTTTGTAAATTTATATATGTATTTTTTAAATTAGATTAATCACTTCTGTCATTCATCATCTTTTTTCTCTTTTTCAAAGTCGTTATTATGTACACGGGGATGAAACGAGAGAGAAAGAACGCACAAAACAGAAAACGCGTTCATTATTGTGTACGGGCGCGCGCGGTGATCATTTTTATTGTCTTTTTAAACGAAAATTTTTTATCTCTGAATTTATTAAAATGCGCAAAGTTTGTGGAAACAAATGATGACTGACAATACGTAAACAGGTTTAATTGAAAATTCTAAATGCGATTGAACGTTGGCGATATCTTTATTAAATTTGATATCCAATGCGATGTCAATGTTTAAAAATTATGAATTGGTACAATGTTTGATACATTTGTACACTTTTACAACCAAAAGTACAGCTGAAAATGAGAATATCAAACTCATTATACAAAAATTTTTACCGAATATTATTTTAAAAAGATATACGTGAATGCGTGTGTTTTATTGTTTTTTTAGGTATCCACATGTATTGTACGGAAAAATATTCAGTTATAAAATGTCAGAAAACGTGTTTGTCGAATTTTCGTCACCCCGGCTTCGGCATCCCCTTCATTATTACGCGAAAAAATATTCGGAAATGAGACTTTTTTTATTGAATAGCAGATTTTATTAAAACATTTTTTTGACAAATACGTTGATTTTATAGAAAAATGAAACAACTGTTTAAGAATAACTGCAATGTGTAAAATTGATTTATGCTTTTGTGAATAAAACCGAATTAAAGTTAAAACACAAAATAAGATCAATTATTTTTTTATTCATATATTTGAAACATATGAAGTAGCAGCAAAATTTAATAAAAACTAGAAATTTCAAAAATACTCCAATTATGCTCATCACCATCAGAGATGTTGGCTTCCAGTTGCCAAGAAAATACGCGACAGATCCTCGTTCTTCAGATTCCCGATGATCATTTCACAGCAAAGGATTGGCAATTGGTAGCGCGTCAGCTCCATGAAAGAATCCAGTGCCCGTTGCCAGCAAAATCTTTTCAAAATTATCTCGCATAGGTGTGCTGTACAAGCATCCTGCTTATGCCAATGGGTGATTTTCCATGGGAGCTTGTTCATGAAGTCGTAGTGTTCCGTATATGTGAGTCGATTTCTTGCCTTTACGGGTGGTAACTGGATCAGATCGTGAAGCGAAAGATTCGGTTTAATCATCGATGCTTTGACTTCACTCACAAACTGCTCGTTGTCGTACCAACGTTCTTCGAGATCCACCGATTTTTCAAACAATTTGTACTCGGCAAAAAATGTCACAATTGTCTGGACGCCGCTTCGATCCAGTTCATATCCTCGTTTCTCAAGGCGTTCGACGACGGTCAGAACACTAGATGCAAGTTTTAATTGATTAGTAGGGGAGTCATTGAAGTTATCTGGGTCGTAAATTTTCCATGGCCTACCGAAATAATTCTCAGTGGGAAAAATAAAATTTGATAAGTCGGCACCGTGATTCAAGAGTGCATCGACCGTATTTGGCTTGAGATCAATCACGGCCAATTGAAGCGGCGTTCGGCCCAATTTGTCCCGGGCGTCGACTAGTACCGTTTGATGCTTTTCGTTGCTGATCTCAAAGAACATCTCCACCAAATCGTCATCTTGAAAGTAAACTCCGTGTTTCGTGGAAATAACGTGCAGAGGTGTCAATCCGTCCTTGTTGGCCAAATTTGGATCGGCCCCGCTTCGTATTAGCAATTTGACGGCGTTTCTCTGACCGTAGGTCATGGCCGAAAGCAAGGCCAAATGTAGAGGCGAATCACCTGTTTCTGGCACGAGACAATTTGGGTCTTGACCGAGCTGTAGAAATTTCTCGACGGCGTCGATGCAGTTCGGAGATAAGCAGGCGGCATGAAAGTGCGTAAATCCAAATTCGTCAATGTAGTTTACATCGAACCTGTCGTATATTGTAAAAAACAGTCGAAAGACACGCCAATCGATGAAGCACCCTGTAGAGTTGCGTCTAATCGCATGATGCAGTGGCGTGTTGCGATGCAACATTGGCTTACCGTCTTCATCAAGTTTGGGCTCATCTTTGTAGCCGAATTTTTCAACCACGACCTGGATGAACAACTGTCCTGAGAAATCAACACTACTATGCTTCCGTCCATACCTGTAATTAATTGAATCTACGAGAAGGCACTCAATTTCTTCGGGCTGCAAAACATCTCGGATATTTGGAATTGGGCCATCCAAACGTATTATCATGTTAGCAATTTTATAGATAAATTCGTATCGTTCTTCTTCGTTATCCCAATTGACTTCTTCCCGTAAACTTTTCATAGTTTCCAAAATTTTGGAGGTGGACATGTTTTCGTGCACTTACGTTCAACACAAAATCGCTTACAATTTAAGGTATATTTTTAACTTTGCAAAAATCACTTGCGGCAGACGATGTTTCTTCGTTGCTCACGCTGTGGCGTCTAAACGCATACTGAATTCGAACCGCGTGCACGAACGAACACGCACGATGAGAGCGAGACAGGCTTACCGCTTGCACGACGCTGTATGTGTAGCTGACGAGAAGTAGCTGAAGCGAGCGTGTTCGGCGCTCAAGAACGCTCTCGTTAGTCGAAAAATAACACTTATACACTGCTTCGTGTGCTTCATTAATTAATAAGCTTCGTGTTGGTCCTTAGGCTACGAAAGTCGCAAAGATTACGCATGCAACATTTGTGAGAAAAAGTTCGGAAAAAAGGCTCCATTTCTTTGCTATAAATAAATGAGGACACAAAGAATTAAAATTGAAGCAAATAAATGAATTCATATATTTTTTTATTTATTTATACGAAACATATAAAAAATCAGCTAAATCTCATAAGAACCAAAAATTACAAAAATACTGCTAACACACTCATCGCCATCATGAACTCTGGATTGTAGTTGCCAAACAAACATTACACAAGTCTTGGTTTGTTAGATCCTCCAGGATCATATCACAGCACTCCATTGGCACCCGGTATCGCACCAGCTCCCAGAAAGAATCCTCTGCCCAGCGCCAGCAAAATCCTTTCAACATCATCTCGCACAAGTGTGCCGCACAAGCACTCGTGTACCGGCGGGGTAGATCCCACAGTCCATACGTGATCGCGAAGTTGTAGTACTCCGTAAATGAGAATTGATTTGTTGCCTCCACGGGTCGTAAACGGATCAGGTCGTGGAGCGAAAGATTCGGTTTCATCATCAGTTTTTTCGACCTCTCCACGAACTCTTGATCGTCGTACCAACGTTCTCTGAGATTCACCAATTTCTCGAACAATTTGTACTTGGCGAAGAATGACACGATTGTCTGGGCGCCGCATAGATCCAATTGGTATCCTCGTTTCTCAAGACGTTCGACAACGGTCAGAGCGCTAGATGCAAGTTTCAATTGAGTACTAGGCGATTTATCAAGCTTTTCTGGCTTTAATTGTTTCCATATGTCGCCGAAGTAACTCTCAGTGGGAAAAGTGAATTTTGATACATCGGCGCCATGGTTGAAAAGTACATCGACCGCATTTGGTTTAAGATTAGCTACAGCCAATTGAAGCGGTGTCCGGCCCCATTTGTCCCGGGAGTCGATTAGTATGGTTTGAAATTGCTCGTAGGCAATCTTCAAAAGCATCTTCGCCAACTTGTCGAATTGATATCCGCGTTTCTTCGATGTTATGTGGAGAG